TCAAAGCACATTCAATCTAGCTTAAACATGGGCCCCTCAAGATGGCATGTTTTTGATTTGTGCCATGTTTTTACAATTATGCAGTCTACTCTGTTAGCCTATGGACTTATTTATAATAAGTGCTAACTAAAATCTGTCCGTGACATTTAGTATCATACATTATCATACTGATATACATTATCATACTAATATACATTTAATATCCTGCTCATGACTGTATACCGAGAAACTAATGCCAAGTAAAATGTTCACCCTATACAGGTAGAATCCGTTTTCCTGCCGAGTTATTTTCGCATTTCACATGGTATCCCGTAACTAAATATAGTAAGTTGCGTACACGTTTTCACTGTTGTGATAAATTTGCCCTCAATTATTAGAGCATACAAGGCGAAAGCTAAACTAGGGGAAAAAAATCCCCGTTATACAGTATTAATATATCCAACTTTGAAAATACATGTTTCTGTATATTATTATTAATAATTTTGCAGACATGATTATAAAAGGGACACAACTCAATGATAGAAGACTACCATTCATCAGGCTTAATGGGTAAATGATCTGTTGTCAATTTTTGAAATTGTCACAATCTCGTTAAAAGTTTCATCTACTGAACATCGTTTTTTTCCTATACATGAATACATGAGATGCTATAAACTGAACTAGTCTCTATAAATTTGCTCTTAAAAATATTAAATGCATAAAATTTCTCACAGTACAAAACAAAAATTGTCTACTTAAATTGGTGGAACATTGTAAGCATAGCATTTGATACATGACAATTTTTTATACCACACAACAATTACCTCTTAACCCTTTCACCACCGTAGACGATAATGGACTCATCCATATCAATGCATGGTAGAGTCTATTAAAGTTACATAGGGGTGAAAGGATTAACACTAAGACAGCATGCGTTCTTGTAGATACATATCAGTACAGGTCTACATACACATCAAGTATGGATTGAAATCAACATGTTGCTATATGCAGCCAGTATATATGACAACAACACTTCATCAGACAACAGCAATGGTAAGACCTTTTGGCAAAATGCGGCTATGCGTGTCATTACTATGAAAACGGACACAGGTAGAAAATACACATCTTCTCTTAGCCATAATAACAAGTCCCTTTGTTAACTCATTCACCCCTGAAATTTCATAATGAACTATTCCAGCCTTTGAACTGGAAGAGTTCAAATGTGTCTTCAGGGGTGAATGAGTTAGATGAGGGTCAGTTAACCTTGCTAGTCTGTCCTTCTTGTGGCTATGGATGTTTTTTTTTCTGATAACAATGAAGGAAAATTGATTTCCAAAGGCATAACACTCTAGAGGGAAAAAAAGGAATATTCAAGAAATATTTTTTGGAAAAACCCATAAAAAGCATCGTAAGACATATGGTCAGGGAGCAATTTTTACAATGAGCAGACACAATGTTGTATAACTCATTCACCCCTGAAATTTCATAATGAACTATTCCAACCTTTGTATTGGAAGAGTTTAAATGTGTCTTCAGGGGTGAATGAGATAACCTATACCCTAGAAACGCACGTTCCAAACAACTGACTAACGAGGTCTGAGAAATGCAACATGTTCCTGTGTTATTTGGCTAAGAGTCGAACAAGCAAAAATACTCAAGCAAACATTCATGTCTACCATAATGAAATTGTCTGAAATGTCAGGATGTATAGCAACAAATTTATAAATCTCAATGCTATAAAAGGCACATTATCTTCACATAAAATGAAGTACGTCATACAAAATGGTATCAGCCAAAAAGGTGGGTTTTTTTAAGATTTTTTTTTTTTTTTCAAAAGGGAAAACAGTAATGGAAACCATTTAACACATATTCATTGAACACACACACACAATTAAGTTTTATCTATGTTAACTGTTAAAAATATTGACCAAATATTCCTTGAAATGTACACATCTTAAATGAAAATACATATGTAACATGTATGAAATGTTAATGAATATTAAACTAAAGATATTTATCATGGTGTTGACACATGTGTTCTAGACAGTATTGTGATTGTTTATATATTGTTATTATACCTCTACTTGATTTACTCTATATAAAAGTAATTGGTTAAATCGAATATATCCCCACTTTTGCCTGACTGTGTTTTAGTCCTGTGTGTTAGTCTGGGAACTAAAACACACCTTCTGAACTAAAACACATCTACCCTCGGGTGTTTCTGCCGAGCCAATCAGGCGAGAGGTGGGCAGAGCTTGTTACCGAACTCGGAAGTGATGTGCGAGGTGGGCGGAGCTTGCTACCGTACTCTGAAGCATTTGGCTCCATTGCCATCAAAAGGGTAGTTGGGACGTGAAGCTATGCAGCTTATGGTTTACAAATATTTTCTAATTAAAACTATCTCTCCAGTGTGTATCGGTATAATAAAACGGTTAAAGTATAGGGTTGAGGGATATAGTAAGTTTCTGGTGTCCCTTGACCATGCCTTTTTCCCTCGGCTTCACCTCGGGAAATAGACCTGGTCTCGGGACACCAGAAACTTGCTATATCCCTGAACCCAATACTTAAACTGTATTATAATAAATGTACATATTTTAGCGGTATTCTGATCTTAGCAATTTCCGAGCCTTAAATATGGCAGTCATTTATGAATGTGCTAAATGAAGTTAATTAGTTTCTTTACATAGTTTTCTATCACATTTCTTGTGAGTGCGCCGATTTATCAATGTGCTTAGCTGTTAAAATTTAATAATACGCTAAAATTTGTGTCCACTAAAATGCGTATTTTTACAGTATGTTTATTACATACCGAGTGAACCTTATTGTAGTAGTACAGCCAGTCATCAGGCCAAACAAAAATAAACTGTGTATTATGTTGTATATACCCCAGTAGCCAGAACTCCCGTTTTTCTTAAACCCATTGCTTGTTAACTCATTCACCCCTAAAAATTCATCATGAACTATTCCAACCTTTGATTTGGAAGAGTTCAAATGTGTCTTCAGGGGTGAATGAGTTAAATCCAATGCTCAAATTGACAAGTTGAAACAGTTGAGCATCATTTTACACAATAGTAACATAATTATATTCCTCTGTCCATGATGTCGGTTTGTACACTAACATCATTCAGTTCAAGGTTTTTTCAGGAAGCAAGTTGAACAAAAATGTGGGATGATTACTCAATACTGTTTCTCAGGAAATATGATAAATGCAAATAAAGATCAATTGTACGCATGTAAGTGAAGCATTATCGCACATGTGTTCAGCTGATGTCCGAGACTGCATCTGTTTATTGCATGTAGGAATGTTCTACTTGGTCTAAAGCCCTATTGCAATATATCCAAAAGTGTGCCCAAAGACATTAGATGAATATTTCACTCATCAAGCTCCTCCCCGTGAAAAAAAATCATACATGCAATTCATTGGAAAAAACACCCTTGTGAAAAACATTTGTATTTGCAAATCATTTGAGCAATCAGAGTTGTCATACAAATGTTTCATTCAAGCTTATGGCGTTGCAAGAGAGAGAAAAAATCCATACATGCAATACACTGGAGCCATCGAGGATATCAGATGAATGTTTAACTTGAGCCTAATTAGCCCTCATAAAAAACATCCATATCATATACACATATGTGCAATACAGTCAAGCTCTCATGAAAAACATCCATACAGTACAGCTATCAGAGATGTCAGATGCATGTTTCAGTGGAGCTTAAGCCCTCGGGGGGAAAAAGCATCCACATGCACTCAATGCAAGCAATCAGAGACATCAAATTAACACATGCTTGGTATATTTACCTTCGTACCCTATCATCCATCTATCAATTATATGGTGTGGAGCAATGCATCCATGATATAATCATGGATCTAGTGAATAAATAATGAAACAAAAATTATGACTTTCATTGACTGTTGACATCTAAATATTTTTTATACAGAGGATATAAATAAAACGCACAAAAAAACCCAGTATTATCTCCGTTAGAATGTCATCTGCATCATTTATTTTTATTTTTACAATATAACACTTTTCATACATTCACATATTTTGATTTTCGAAAGTAAAATGTGTACATGCTTCTCAATAAGATATTTATGTTCTACATGCCATTTTTATTAGAATTGTGTAATAGATTAAGCTTTTGTATTTATCATTGTGTTATACACTAAGCTATTGTAACTATCGTTGTGTAATATATTAAGCTATTGTTATTATTAAGCTATCAAAACTAGCCATGCTTTATACAATTTTAAGCCGTTGCAATTATTGATCATAATTGTAAGTCATTGAATGTTATTTTTTTTTTCGTAATTCTGAGAAACGCTCAGTAAAACAGAATAGTGTAACGTACTTGAATAATTGTATTTATTATCTGCAAACCTTCTTTATTAATTAAGTTTCCAATGGAGATACTAGTACAATGACTGAACTGCATCACAGACAGACATGTTCACCAAAATTATTTCAATATGGATGTATGTATCATAATTTATATTCCAAGTGTATGCACAGTGTTACAGTAACTAGAAGATATTAAATGAGATTAGTTAGAGAGTTGTATAGTAAACTAGACACTGTCTAATTATGAAATATTAGATACCATTAGGTAATATTAATTAATTTAAGGATCCTCGTACCACTGCAGGCAAAACATTAGAGAGTTCCACTGTAGTTTTGTGTACAAGCAGTAGTTACCTCCCCTTTATTTAAGTAAGCGCAATTGCACCAGGATTGTAACTTGGTAGTGAAGCGGACGTTAAACCACTCAAACAAACAAACAAACAAACACCAGGATTCTGCCATTAAACATTCAGCTGATCAGCTGGTGAGAAGGACAATGTAATGGTCGAAAAGTCCACAGGTTACAAAACCTGGTCTAGCTTGTTGCATTTTTACATTCCGACTGTTGTTGATTTGTTTTTGATTTCGTCATTATTTTTCAGAAAAGTTTTGCAAGGAACAGTTTTATTTATTAGAATAATCAATGTTATAATATAACCATGCTGTGAAAAAGTTTCAAAACATAGAACTTTAAGTTTTTGGCAGTGGTATGGGGATCCTTAATACGGAGAGAAGCATAAAAAAAACCCAGATGGAACGCCCCGTACGACACTGTCCCCGAATTTTGAAAAATCCTGCAGAAGTGATGCGAGATTCAGCCTACTGAATATGGGACCATATTTGGTCAGGTATATAGTTTATATATAAATCTACTGAAGCAATGTAAGACAATCATTGGTTTAAATTACAGCACACTTCAATGATAATTTGTGTCTCTGAAGCAAGGACATAACAGACACTGTAACCTTAGTAACAACGATAATCTCACATTGTCTGTTTATCCAAAAAGATTTGAAACCAAATTATACATTGAACATTACGATTTCCTGGCATAATCTGAAACAAGATCACAAAATGATTTCCATTTATGTAAAATTTATGAAAAAAAAATTGCACATATTCCGGAACCTATCTTATTATTAAACTTGTATAATAAAACTACCACAAGGTTCCCTTTTGCTTAGTAAATTGCACTCAAAAAATGTTATGGATTAATGAATAGCATTATATTACACAAATTGATTTTTTATATAAAGCATTAAAAAATGATGACTTAATTAAACGATGAATGATTTTTCCAAATGTTTCTGGACGTTAAAGCGAGCATAAAATGGGGACGCAAAATCAAACATACACCTCACAAAATTCAATTGAAAAAAAAAGAAGACCATGAATGTGGTTCATCATTATATGGAGGGTTAGCTTTTGTGTGTGGCAAGTAAAAAAGGCTCCGGAAAAAAAACACCTCCTCCAAAGTGGTATCACAAAACTTGAATATATCTAAATGTAAAATACTCCTTTAGAACAGTCTACATTTCACACTCAAAACAGCTAGACAATGTTTAAGTTCCTTTCAGGTAAATAAATCACAAAAACAGGTAGAATACACTCACTAATTTTTTTCAAACAGAGGCGAAGAATAGTTTCAGAGTAAAAAAAGTCCATGAACACCGAAACTGAAACTTTTTATCAGCAGTTTATTTTGTCAATAAAGATATATATTTTCCAAAAGAAAAAAAAAAAGAAAAAAATATCAAAAGCCTTTAAAATCAATGTTGTGCAATTTTCCAAGAATGGTTATCTATCAAAAATGTTACATTCACATGAAAATTTAATCCAAATTGGTATTTAAACTAAATTATTGTCCTTGATAACAGTACATAAAAGTGTGTGTAGAAGTTTACATAGCATATTTGTGCAATTCCAGGGTGTAAACATATTTTTATGTCCACTTAACCTTATATAAATGTATAAATGTATTTCTAAATAGTAGATCTGAATCAAAAGTACCTTTGTAGTTACATATACCCTTTTCCGAAGAAACTAAAAAACTACAAAAAATCTGGAAATATAGATATATATGAAGCTAATTATCAAAGAATATATATATATATATAATATTTCTACAAGAGAGAATGAAGCAAAGTTTAACCACAGACTAAGATAACTAATCTAATTCCGTGGTTTAACAGATAAAATGCTGATCACTCACCAAGCTTGAAACAAAATGTACCCTGATAGTTATATATATCAAAGAGGTCAGAGGTCAACCTTCAAGTTTATCGGAAGGTCACTTTTCAAGTCACCATAAAATAAGCAGGAGGTCAACCTGAAGGAAACCAATGGTATCCCTTTGTTACTAGCTAGCTAGGGCATAATCATGGTCACTGTAAGATATATATTGTGCGTAAATTTTAGTTGTGCAATATTTCCCACGAATGTAGATCTAAATACACAGATAAAGTATAAGTTCTACCAAGGCAATGAAAGAGCTACTGGAGACTACAGCAAAGCTCACCTATTGGGGAAAATACTGAAAATCGGTAATTTTTTCGCCCAGTCGAAACTTTCGCCCTTGACCAGTAAAATACATATTTGCCCAGCATGACTTTCACCCTTCAAATTTAATTACTATGTATATTATGTTTTTCAATAATGTTCGCTGTTATGATAATTTCGCCCTCGCTGTGTCCATGGAGGGTGAAAAAGGCGAAAATTAAACTGCGGTGAAAATTTCACAGTACACATTATTTGGTCCAAAACAGGTAAAAAAAGTCTAGAAATTTGACTGACTACATCAATACTGGACCCCTCCGGACTCTCCATTTATATATAACAAACACATGTATCAGCATCTTAGTACAAATACTGAAGGTTTTGTTTATGACTGTCAACATTTCCGCTAAAACTTTTAACCTAGTACTTATATTTATTATGGCCAGACTGAGGATGACTTCACATATAGGTTTTCCTTATTCTTCCAATAGGTGAGCTAAACATGTTGACAAATACACGATCACATCTGTTCTGTATCAGCTGGCAGCTGCTACAAATCAGCTGATCACCTCAGTACTGTACCCATGAGGTGCTAGTTTTATTCATTATGATTCTAGAAAATGTACAATTAAACAATGTATCAAGCGAAAAATTATACTCGTACATTGTTGTTATATATAGAGAACAATAAAATTTTGAATTCCTCACTAGTTAACTCATAAACCCCTGAAGATACATTTGAACTCTTCCAATTCAAAGGTTGGAATAGTCCATTATGAAATTTCAGGGGTGAATAGGTTAAAAAGCTCTGAAATCCTCATTATTTCCCATAACAACCTAAAAATAAAAAAATCTACATGTTTGGTCTTTGTTTTAATGTTTGTATAAAGCAGAATACAGGTTATTTCGGTATCATTGATCTTGTACCACTCTTGTCAAAATAAAATATTGGTAAGGTTTCAAAGTTGAATTTTCAACAGTATGTAATAAATTCATTTGTCATTTTTCTATCATCCCTCTGTCTATCGTGTTTGATGTGCCCATTAATCAAAAGCAAAACATTTTCCAGATTCTTAAAGTCTATCCTACTATAAAAATGGCTACCAGCATATTTTTTGGAAGTAATTCTGGAGAAGTGTACTTGTTTTTCAGAGTAAATTGCACTGAGCATCTTCTAAGCCGTATTGATACATGTACAGTACATAGAAAGATAACAGGAACAAGAGATGTCTAGCTCAATGGACGTACTGGCTTGAATTGTAATAGTATATATCAGAATTACCATATATCAGTTTGCAAATATGATTCTTATTCAAATAGTCAGAATGTGACACATTATAAACTTCTGCCTTTAGATTGTGTTTAACCCTTTCACCACTGTAGACCATAATGGACTCATCCAGATAAATGCATGGTAGAGTCTACTAAAGTTACTTAGGGGTGAAAGGGTTAAAAGGTTCACGGTGTCAGTTGGTTGTGGATTTCATAGTAAAAATATTGGAATACTGCATGAACAATTTAATGTGACAGCCATATTTATGGTCTAACTAGCAACAAAAAGAAATCTTTTTCTGAATTTATTTATTTTTGATATCTTTAGTTATATTAATTTATATATATATATAGGAATTCTACGTTTTCGAACGCAGTTCAACTTCATTAACAGATCATTCACCCCTGATGAAGACACATTTGAACTCTTCCAACTCAAAGGTTGGAATAGTTCATTAAGTAATTTCAGGGGTGAATGAATTAACTAACTCATGCAAGGGAATTGGGAAACCTTTAGGAATAACCAAGTTGACTGTTAGGAATATGAAACGTTATTTGGCATAAAATCTGGTGACTACAAAACCAGTACACTATAATACAGTAACTGCTGTAAGAGCATGAACTTGCAAGATTCTTATAATTACCGGATAAAAAAAAATCATGGAGCAGTGTCATTTCATATTTTGGTAACAAAATTAAATTCAACAAAACAGTATTAAGTAATTTTTATCGCATTGTGTCATTTTCAGAAAATCAGATATAAAAAAAAAGAATAAATAGGAATAAGACAACTTATACCTAAATTATCTCATTCTGCATGTCCGTGTCCCTGCGTTGTATGTACCAAATATTATCCTGATATTTATAATTTTATTTACTGACCAAGTATTATAGTAAATGTTGTGCACATGTACATTTCTTGCTTACTGTTACAAAAACTTATACGTAATATTTATGTCGGTATATATATGTATATATCTAGTCTTCTCCAAGTACATGTTCGCAAATTCTTATATACATTATATCATCTTTATAGATATAATTAACACATGCATAAGTCTACCATAATATATAACTCATGTAGAAGCTAAACGCAAATAAATCTCACTCATTCAATCTATAATTTTTCATGTGCACATTCTTAAAAACTTGTTTTATAGAGCTATAATTTAACCACACAAAATGTATTTTGCATACAGGCCCACCTTACAATACAGCAATCGTATATATATGTCTGTTTGAAACAGATGACAAAATAAAATAAAATGAAATACTCTGTTGCAATTAATACTCATACTCGGATATATATATATATATATATATAATATATATACAAATAAGTCACTAACCATGCATCCACACGGGTATACGTATAGAATATGTTTATACAGTCAAACACGCTACATTTGTAACTACGGGCTGTGACAGTTTGGGGCGTACTCGATGTACTACCCCTTATCACAACCATTGTGGGTCGACGGGATTACACACTGAGCAATGTTGTCAGGAGGTCAGTTCAGCATCGTGCTGCTCATATATTAATTCCTCACCATCCTCGGTGGCCTCAACCAATCATCAAGTACCTCATCACTGGGCATCAGCCAATCACTAAATAACAGCACATCATACATGGCTTTAGCCAATCAGCATTTGACAATTAAATCTTTGGATTAAAATCAAATTTATGGTCTTAATTACTTCGTAATTAGGACAACTTGGCTTTCTGTTATCCCCTCCCCTCCCAAAACCCTACACCCAACCCTGAAATAAGAGGCTCATTGGGCCTGTAACATTCACCTATCTATATTTGTTGATCTTAACTAGAAAAGTTGAAAATGGTTCCGAAATTTCCAGACCATGGTGGCCATTTTGGACTTCTTGACTTATTGGGAATAAAATTTGCAAAAGTAACAACACCTGGTCTCAACACGTTAAAACAAATATCTGTGTCAAACTTGGTTAAAACTGACCTGGTAGAATCTCCGAAGTTAAAAATATCTTGTGTAATTAAATTGAAGGCAAGGATGGCCATCTTTGATTGTGAATTTTGTGTCAAAAAAAATATACCAACACTTTGTCAATTCCATAAGAGAAAAAGCTGAGTAGGATGAACACCACACCGTGGCATAAGCTTCACTTTCAATTGGCTCTTTGGCCTGACAATTATGTGTATATCTACAAAAAATTGTGAAAATTAAAAAAGTCTTCACCCATACTGAGATTTTTTTTTTAACCCTTTCACCCCTATGCAACTTTATTAGACTCTACCATGACATGAAGCATCGATCTGGATGAGTCCATTATGGCCTACAGTGGTGAAAGGGTTAACTCGAGCTCTCTCAGTATTATGTATGTTACGAATGTGAATACAATATCTAGTCCTGGTATGCATATATATGTATTTATATACTGTGTATGAAATGTATCAATACTAGTATAGTGATTATATTGTTACAATCCTTCACCATAAATGCGAAAAATCGGAAAATGAAATACACTAACACTGGTATTTAACTATATTTTAGTCTTGTTCCACAGCTGGTCTTCAGTCTTTGAGCAGATTAAACAGCTTCTATTGTCACACATACGGCCAGTTTGGAAATCTGAAGGACAGAATTATTATCAGCACACAAAAAACGTAGGAGGCTGTAGCAGAAACTGTGTTTGTATTTATGCTGTTTTCACAGAAATAAGCAATAAATCCCACCCCGTCAGGTATTGTACATGTACGTAGCTAGGTTATCCAAGATATGACAAATCACTGAAAGTTGTCCTGGTCAAGCTTAGCCTACACGTGTATAAATTGTTCGTGATAATTGTTGGTCATGACACCACCCACGCATAACAGTCCCAGAATGCCTGCTTCTCTACCAACTGCATCAACCTCGGCTCAGTATATCGGAGTGGGTAGAGCTTAAGGAGTACAGCACCTCAGGCGTGTAATAGCAGAAATGGGGCTATTCATGATCAGTATATATTGGCACTGAGTCGAGGTGGGAACAAACATATATGTAAGCCTCAATAAGGCTCAGGTCAGCAGTGTTTATGGTCACCACTTCGTTGCGTACATCAGGCCCCAGGGTCTGGAGGTGGGAGGGGGCCTCGCTGTACCTGACACAAGGCATAGGAGGTAGCCACACTATACCTCAGGCTCTGGCTGAGGGAGGAGAGTTCACAAAGTCCAGCACGCCCCAAGGGGTAGGAACTATTCCGGGGTACCTTTCACTACCTAACCCCAGGGTCAGGGGAGGGCTGGAGCTACAAACATCATCAGTGTACCTAATTACCTAGCCCCTGGGTCAGGTTGAAAGAGCCTCACTGTAGCATTAATGATTTGAGATTATCCTGAAGAATAGTGTCCTTCACTGCCTGAAACACAAACTTGATGTTTTCCGTGTCTATTGCTGTGGTAAAGTGGTGGAAAAGAGGTTTCATCCGCTCCCGGCGCCGCGAGTCAAACATTGTCAACATAAAATTCTGCACATCCTCCAGGTTGTGTGGGTTTCCTTCAAACTCGGGAAAGTAGTCTTTGATACTCACTAGTGTCACTTTCTCTTGCAGCAGGTCATATTTATTCAGAAACAAGATAATTGCCACGTTTTTGAAGTTCCGGTTGTTAATAATTGTCTCAAATATAATGCAGGATTCCTGAAGCCGGTTTGTTTTCCTGTCCTCGAGCAACACCTGATCGTACTCACTGGACGACGCCAGAAATAGAATGGACGTTATACCCTCGAAACACTGGTACCACTTCTGTCTCTGTGACCTCTGCCCTCCCACATCCACGAACAAGAAGGGCACACCACTAATCTCAATGGTGTGTTCTATGATGCCCTTTGTAGCCTTCCTGGCATGAAGTATGTCCCGTTTGTTTGGAATGTAGGTCTGCAACAAATCAAGATTTAATTGTTAAATATGTAAAATGTGAAAAACATTTCAAAGGCCAAACAAATTTTTTTGGTGTTTCTGGTAATCCTACCTTCCTTAATTTATTGTCCCTATACCCTACACTTGTTATGGCAGTTTTCAAAGAAGCACTGCAAAAGTCAAGATTACTCTCCTACATAAACCATATAAAATTATTTGTGAAAATCAAATTTGTAACCTACCTATAGCTACATACCCAAATTTTCTAAAACATGTTACAGGAAACATATATAATTTTTGTGTCTGGCCTAAACTGAACACACTCTTCTGTTTTAAAAAGAAAAAGTTCAATTATTTTTTTTTATCATTATTTTTCATAACAAACACCATAGGTCTCTTTTCTGATAAGACACAGGGATATATGCATATGGCCTGCAATCTACACTTGTCTTAGGCAAAATGCCAGGATAGAAATTACAGATTGAATAAAGAAAATCCCTACAGTTTTATTTTTTAAATCAACACAACATATTTTTAACCGATGCATATCTAGCCATGAAAATATACTGTCTGATAAGGTAGAGAGAGTTGTCTCCCCTGCCACGGAAGTTCTGCAGAGAACTGCATCTACGTACGTACACACTCATCATGATCAATTAAGATTTTTTACTTGAATTATTCAGACAGGGAGAATGCTTCTTCATTAAAAACCTTTTAGGATGGCGTGTATGTGAATACATTTACAATTTCTTTCAAGACAAAGGATTACAAAAGGCCTTGAGCATTTTAGTATTTCCACCACTTACATCGTTTTAACCTTTCATTTTAAACCGTTTTGAAAAAAAAAAATAGTCTCAATCTCATCACAGGGGAAAAAACATACCGGTAGTCATGACTTCATTCAGAGGATAGTGATGCTATACAGTATCATGTAATCGATGTAAAATTAACCTTTCTACAGACAAATCTGGGATGGTACATGCACATGCATTTATTTGACAACTGTGTAATTTATTTTAATATGTTCACGGTAAAGAGCAGATATCCTGTTTAAGCCATTTATGGTATTTCTAATAGATTTGTCAGGGTGTTGAAAGACACGGACAGGTCTGATATATATATATCAGTGCAGTTCAATTCAGTACTAAGTATTTAGGGAAAAGCCAAAACTCATCATTGTACATTGGTTTTAGCACAAATCAACATTCAACCGTAAAATATGACTTCATCCAAGGTATTTTCATACTTTTTGACATTTGTACGAACTTTGAGGAAAATCTATAAAGAAATTCAGTTGACAGAGCCATAACAATGAATGTGGGATGGGACAGGACAGACTGAGCATGACACTATATGCCCTCACCATAAAATGGATAGGACAGGACAGACTGAGCATGACACTATATATGCCCACACCATAAAATGGATGGGACAGGACAGACTGAGCATGACACTATATATACCCACACCATAAAATGGATGGGACAGGACAGACTGAGCATGACATTATATGCCCACACCAAAAAATGGATGGGACAGGACAGACTGAGCATGACACTATATGCCCACACCATAAAATGAATGGGACATGACAGACTGAGCATGACACTATATGCCCACACCATAAAATGGATGGGGCAGGACAGCCTGAGCATGACACTATATGCCCACACCATAAAATGGAGGGGACAGGACAGACTGAGCATGACACTATATATACCCACACCATAAAATGGATGGGACAGGACAGACTGAGCATGACACTATATGCCCCCACTATAAAAAGGATGGGACAGGACAGACTGAGCATGACACTATATGCCCACACCATAAAATGGATGGGGCAGGACAGACTGAGCATGACACTATATGCCCCCACTATAAAATGGATGGGACAGGACAGATTGAGCATGACACTATATGTCCACACCATAAAATGGGCATAAAAAAGGCAAACACTTCATGCCCCTCTGCATACAAAAATCTGGAAAAAATACAGCAAAACCTTGGTATACCGCCATCATTTATCTGCTCAAAGCAAATTTGGCTTTATAAAGGAGTTTGGTGATAAATTGAGGGAAATATATAACGGATTTTTTCAGAAAATGAGAAAAAGGGACATTGAAATTTGTTGGCAGTGAAGGAACTGAGGGGCATTAAATCAAGGTTTTGCTGTCAGTGCTATATTGATTAACATGCATATGTGTTACATCCTGTTAGTCACTCACACAGGTCACCACCCTCCAATTGCAAGTACATGTAAATATATTGTATGCTCAACTTAAATACCAGGATATATATGATTTCATGTACAACACCGACTCAAATGTACCGGTATCAGCATTGTGGTCTATGTAATGTTCTTATTTAACTCAATACACACTAAATGATCGACACAAACAACCGTTTCATCATAAGAAATAAACATCTTTGTAAGTGATATAGACACACGTTAACTCAAGTGATATAAGTACTAATAAAGGACATAAGATTAGGTCCTGTCTCCAGCATTATTGTGCATGACCAATACCTCATTATGAGTCATTTTATATATTTCATTGTTTCAATTCACATGTACATAAATTTATGTACATTTGAGATAAACAGCAATAAATATAATGTTTAAGTTGTAACAATTGTGTTCCATTTTGACCCATTTCCAGTTAAATTAGTCAGTGTTTCATTCTAAGTTACCTATTCCTCTTTGTTTCAATTTCCATATTTAAGTTGACATTTAAGTTTTTAGTACATTTGCGCATACATGAAAAACCATTACCTTATTTATCCCGGGACAAGCCCTGGGGGGAAACCCATAATCTCTTACTCAAAGTAGGGGTTGGGCTTATTACAGGACAATGAAATAGCATATAACCGGTATATGTGTACTGAACTGCAATGCAAGATACAGGTGGGCTTATTACATAATTTCCAGGCATGGGCTTATTGCTGGATAAATATGGTAATAACCTTTCAGAGTAAAGTACTTTTTTCTCCATATTTTTAGAATCAATCCTGAATAGGATAATTAATAATAGCACTGACTAATATCACAAAACATGACATATCTAAGCCCTTGGATATACAGTCATAGGTTATGTGAAATATTCAACTTTTCTTCCTGTTATATACTTACACATCGACTATCATCATAAAAAAAAAAGCTAAAAATCTGTCACTCTTGGAATGATTCACTTTCATGAAATTGAAAAAGCTCAGGAAATGTAAACTTAATTGTTTCCTGGTAATTTGCTGGTTTCATGAGAAAACCACAAAATCACTATTGAAATTATGTATTTTTATGAAATTGAAGTAATTTAAGCCTTAATCATCTGTGAACGAGGATGTCAAGTGTCCAACTTATCCATGGAAATAATATGGTTCAAGGTCCAATTAAAACAGATTTTATTGGGGAGGAATGAAGCATTTTACAAGAATAAGTGTAACAGTTTTTGATTTAAATTTTTTTTTTTTTTTCTTTCAGTTTTATGGATTTAAAATAACTAGAGAGATTAGAAAAATAATGTCTATACCTTGTTAGAAATCAATGAATTACAAGTCTTTTTTAATTTACCCTAACTGACATCTTTGTGCAGATTGAGCTACTTGTAACTGGGATTCCAATTATATTTGATGGTTAATGTAATAACTTAATTCAAAGTCAATTTAAACCACTTAAAAAAAGAAATTTTGACCATTCATTCTGTACTTACTAAATTCGATTAAAACCATATCTTGATCTACTCCCTGCTCCGTAAAGTACACTGATCTCCTATGTGTATGTAGCAGAGTGTAGTTTACGGAAATGAACGTAGATCAAGGTAATTGTAGTTTTAACTCATTCACCCCTAAAGACACATTTGAGCTCTTCCAGTTCAAAGGTTGGAATAGTTCATTATGAAATTTCAGGGGTGAATGAGTTAAACAAGATTGGTATTTACTAACTCGAAGACGAACTCAGATCCATCAGAGAATTGTCTACATCATGATCATGAATGACTTAAACCCAATGAAAAACTACACAAGCCATGCAATGACACCACAACATCAGTAACTTGTTTAACTTTCGAGGAACTATATAGGTTGCTGAGCATGACGACATGGGCCCAGTTGTTCAAAAGGTGGTTAGCTTAACCACTGTTTAACAACATTTTTCAACATTTAATAGTTTTATCAATATACAAGGTAACCTCTCAAGACACAAGTTTGCATGTAGATTCATTCTACTAAATATTTGATATTTGGAAAGTTTTATTAATTCGATGGTTGCGTTTTAAAGTTACACAAACATTCAAATTTGCACTTATCACTGATTAAACTAATCACCTTTTGAACACCTGGCCATGGGCCCTCAGGCCATTATGAAAATGAATGAATACTCAGGGTCCCCTCCAGACATTGTGATGTACCCGTATACATCTGTAGTTAGTCATGAATGAAATTGCATAGGCAGTTCGAAATAGTCCGATATTCACAATGGAGTTTTTCATAGCTTTTTCTAACTCTATTCAAGATTTTTTGTACAATAAACATTCAGCAAGCAAGTCCATGTATAAAAGATTGTTTACAATGCCATTCATAATTACTAGTGCATCACAATAACTGGTCGCGACCAAGAAGGATACAAGATTTTTCTAAACAGTATATATATATATAACTTTGCAGGTTCATCAGATTACCGATCCAGGACATCACTTATAAAGGGATTTAAGTATCTTATACAAAACATCCTGCAGACAGGCGTACCTGTGTACAATTTCATATATTTAGAGTACTAGTATAACACGCAGGCAGATTTCGTAAAAATTCTATTAGCAAACCCTGTATTTTCACAGCAAATATTGAAAATATTCACTTACCCTGACATCAAGTTTATTAGCCCTGTACTTTCACAATACCGGTAAATATTGAAAATATTCACTTACCCTCACATTTAATCTACTAGCCTTATGTTTTCACAGTCCTGGTAAATATTGAAAATATTCACTTTTTAAACCTCACATTAAATCTACTAGCCTTGTGTTTTCACAGTACCAATAGATATTGAAAATATTCACTCACCTTGCTGACATTAATTCTACTAGCCTTGTGTTTTCACAATAGATTGTACCGGTAAATATTGAAAATATTGACTTTTTAACCCTCACATTAAATCTACAAACCTTGTGTTTTCACAGTAATGGTGAATATTGAAAATATTCACTTACCTTGACATCAAATCTACCAGCCCTTGGTGTTAGGCTTGTGAAATTGTACTCCCCTTCACAGACGTGTGTATATTTCATGTCAGACATATAATTATCTTTAAAAGCCAGTAAACAAAACTTTAAATATGTGTTTAAACTCTCTGAACTATTGATTTAATTTGGCTATCCACAAAAGCCAATCGCTAGGGCCTTCAGCATTACTACCCGGCAAAACTATACGATTACGGGAAGGTTTTTGTGAAATCGTCAAGATATACCGGTATTAGCAATGCATGCACATTGGTGCACATAAACTTTTTTGAAGAATACGTTTCGAATTTCTAAACCATCTGAACTGACTGGAAACTGATGTATGTTTTAACTCTTATATATTTTTTTATGGAGATAAAATGTGTTCTGTGTTAGCGAATGGCGATGCTTACTCTCACTGCGATCCTGTGAAGACTGTCCAGGAAGTACTTTAGTGACTCACCCTGTGGAGAAAAAAACACAAAAAACATGTCATTTAGCATTACAAAGTACACTTTAATCTTTTTTTTAAAGATTTTTTTTTAACGCAGATGTATCAAAAGATCTTTTTATACAAATACATTATTCCATACCCAAAATAATATATGACTTAACACTGTGTGTGCTTCAAAGTGAATGAAAACATACGTGTATAAAGTAATTATACATTTCAAGTGCATTGCATAAAAATATCTAATTGTTCGATTTTGCTTTTGTGGGACAGTTTAATACTTCCATTTAACTCCAGTGGGACAAAACAGCCTTTGTCTATATAATAGCCAATCTAATGATACACTTTGTATTTATTTCATTAATCAAATTCTATTGCACAAGAGTGAATTATTAAAAAAAAAATGTTTTAGTTTGTGACACACTAACACAACAAACATAGGATGTGCTGTTTAGAATGGTACTGTGTCACGCAGGTTGTAATGTGCGGAGCAGACGACGATGAGGTGTTGTCGCCAGTGTGGCTCGTGGACATTTTTCACATGTTGTCTTTTGCACACCTTTCACGTTATATATTAGCCAGCTGTATACATACATACACGTATATATAAATATGTCAACGTACATACAACTGTATTTATTCTATATAATTATAGCTACAGCCCATGGTCAATTTATATTATTGAGCAGTTTGGGAATTAATAAATAATTTTGGAGTGCATCATGATTCAATTTGGATCAATTACCCTGATCATGAGCCGCAGACTAAAACAAATCCACTCCGACAACTGCTGCGTTTTTACATGAAATCACCATCATGCCATATTATTACAAATGTGCATTATACATAGTGTATTTTGGGTATTTAGTAAGTGCAAGGCCATGAGATGATTGTGCCATCCTGCTTCAATGATCATACATATACATGCTGCAAAACGTTAAAGCCCTAAACATTAAATTGATAATGAATTATCGTGATGTCACCTCATCAGTATATCAACGCAAAGAATCCTTTTACATACATTTTATTCCCACATACATTCAAGGTAGTACTGCTGTCAGACATGTAATTTAAAATGTATACATGAACTTACATATGCAATGTATGTACATTGTGTAATTGTAAAGAACGTTAAGGGAGATAGAGTCCCAGTGCATTGTGATCTCCAACAAAGAAGAGTTCCAATTTGTTTCATTTGGTACCTTTAATATCTAACAAAGCAGAGTCCAAAATTCGTTTGGCACTCTTCCCAAATTAAAGTAGCCTTCCAGTTTACTATATACAGAGAGTAACATACAAAATAAGAAGAAACTTTTGGACCCTTAAATTTAGTATTTTCAACCAGTGAATTTCTGAACTATTCCTATACCTAAAGACTTCATCTGAAAGAACAGCACAAAATGTTATATTTTAAACAGTTGTTTTGTATCTAGGGGGATATATACACACATTTTATTTGTTATTAATTTTGAGCACCTCAAATCTCCCAAGTGGAAATTTCAAATGGTTGGCAAGTATATATATATATTTGCAATCATAAAGCAGGGAGCTTATCCACTTCACCACTAGTTATAATTGTTATTTATGCCAATATGTTTTTTCGTAACTTTAACGGGAATAATTTCAAAAATATCTAACTCCCTTAAAAGGCTCACAACCTATAACAACTGTTATTTGGTGTACATATAGAAGAAACACCTATTGTTACGAAAATAATGTTTCAAGACCATGCCAGTACGTACACAGCAGAAAGGCACTGGGACTATCTACCTTGTACATGTATTTCTACATTCCTGGCCACAAGTTCCAGGAAAATTGCGTATAACTGATGGAAATAAAGGCAATGCTAGATTGGAGGAAAAGCGCAAGTTAAGGAACATTCACGAAACTGGGGTTCAGTATATATATCTAATATAATAGAAGCAGCTGCAGGATTTGCCATCCAAAACAAGCTCTCCTGATCATGATCAGTAAAAAGCTTTTCTAGGAGTTTAATTTTACGTAAATTTCTGGAACTAGCATCTGAAGGATTAGGCAGCTAGGGTTGATTACAATATATAAGCAGGGTTCTACAGTTTATATCCTCCTCCATTTGTCTCATGCTCGGAGCCAGTACATTTTTTATCACGACAGGACTTCCACAAGGAACCTGTTTCAGAACTTCCTAATCAAGATATATACAGGAGAAGAGGTAAAAGATTTTTTTTTGTAAAATTTTACTGCTGTTTAGAAGATCAACTTGAAATTTAGTATACCTTAATTATGATTATGAGATTATGAATAACTAATTATTGCATTTTTTGGTAATTTTGTTCAGCATGTTGTACAAAAACCAAAATCTAATAATTACAAAGTGTAATTTATTTTAGTTACTATAACTCATTCACCCCTGAAGACACTTTTTAACTCGTCCAAATCAATGGTTGGAATAGTTCATTATAGAATTTCAGGGGTGAATGAGTTAATACATATTAAGACAAGAGGCCCACCAGGCCTGTATTGTTCAGAACATGGATACAATATATACGTCCGTTGTGTAGGTAAGTGTGACAAGCCTGTGTATGTTTATGTTTGTTAAAATACATTAATTTTATTAATTTATAAGCCATGGAAATTGGTCTAACTGTGATTTTAAAAAATGTTTGTACCCGGGTATATATTTTTTTCTGCCAAACATACTTACTTCAATCAAATAATGTTTATTGGAGGTGTACAACAGGCTAATGTTACACATGTATTTACGATTAATTTAGCAAATCACATTACAACATGTTTAGATAAAAATGTTATTAATACAACGTATATTGTGTTTACTGTAATCAAAGTCCCACATTAATGGTATGAGTGATGAGATCATTAGAGAAAATAACCCTTGACGAATGTAAGTTTTACAAAGAATACATTGCCATACCCAGGTATATTTAGATCTTATCCAGTTCTACATGAAGCTGATATATATGGTACATATATACTGTCAGAGACACGTGTGTAAGTTTGACAGTTTTTGGACATTCCTGCTAGCTAAAGTTATAACATATAATCATGTTCAAGTATACCTGTACAAAGAAACCTTCTTTCCATAATCCAACATATATGTACATCTGACCATTGGGTATTCTGACATACTGCCTAATTTGACCTTTAGAATCGAATTGGACCTTTTCAATAAATCTGACCTCCTGCTGTCTAATCTGACCCCTGGTTTTTCTGACACCCAGCATAATCTGACCGCTAAGGACAGAAATGAAACAGAATAACTGAAATCTAATATAACTAAGTTTAAACACATATTTTCACTTTCTATTTATGTGCCCCACCGGTACCTCTCTCATCACCCCTTTATCCATATCCACTACAAGGGGTGCACCTGGTTCATATTTTGAGCAAACACATACTAGGTGTTTTTTGGAGGCAGATTTTGAGAAGTCTTGCTAGAATAACTGATTTCATAATAAATACGGAACATTTTTTGTAGTCTTGACATGTAATTTACTAGTCCTGTGGCCAGCATACACTGAAATGTTGGTACATGTCTCTGACTTGAGACTGGCCACCGCCTCTAGAGTATTGAATAATTAAGAAAACCAATTTATTTTTAAAAAAAAATTATCACTTGGATTTCCCCAAGTTCTAAACTAGGGGAGATAATCTAGTAGTAAAATGCAGCTGAGAGAGTCTGGTGGGCAGTTTAGTCTCTGACCGGTGTATATATTTCAGTGTGGTACTCTTTGGCTATTCCCATTACAAATTGACCCCACCTTGGAATTTGAAATTCTTCTTGTAGATCTACTTCAATGCATACATATGTACGCCAGTAACAAGTCTAGATATCCATTCCGACTCCTTGAGCATATTCAGCTGCCGAAACTAGTTAACCATTCTTAATACAAAACCAGAGATATAGATATATACAAACACTACTTCACACACAAGGGAAATATCATTTATGGTTTCAGATATACATATTTAGGCCATATGTGTGTAAATATTTACAGTTAAAGAACTATGAAGCATGATTAGAGCAAAATAACATATACTATACGTACAAGAGCACATAATCTTCACGGAGAATACACACCGTAAGCCCCCGTGTTTATCGTCAGTAAACACTTCAACCTCAAATTTGCAAGAAAAGAAGCTTACACTTACCATAATCCTCTTCGTCATCTGAATTTTATGTGAATTTTTAAATTACTTTAGCTTTATATATATATGTACATATTTGACAAGTATGTTTTGCAAATTGGAACTTTTCAAAAAATTGAAATATGTTCTATTCTTAAAATTATATAAATTATTATATCATTACATAAGGATACCAGATTTTACTAGTACAAGTATTCTGCATCAGTAACACACCTGGCCTGTATAACATGTTATGTCAATCTTCACAGATCTAGAGCAGGGCCTGTATTCATGAAACCATTCTCGTACTCAAACTCAGATTTTCGGCTCAAGTCCAATTTCTTGTTTCGGTGATCATAAACCAATTATGTTTAACATTATTTTTTTCCATGATGCAAAAGATTTCAGGAGAAATTTACAGCAGAACACAGACTTTGTCAATGGAATTTACTGTGGACTTTTTGACTGTATCACATGCAAGTTACAAGAAAATGAGTCTGACCACAGAATCCATGCTGGAGCAATTGAGAAGAATATTTAATGCATGCAGTACTATAGTCATATTCCAAATCATCCCAGTCAAGATCCACTGCATTTTTACACTCAGAACACTGTTGTTTATTGTATTTTGTTTATTTTATCTTTATTAATTTCCAGAAAAGTATTGCAACACATGATTTTCTTTTGAGAAACTATATATTTAAACAGTGTCCAATGCATGCAGCTCAGCTACAGCTTTTGACAGTGGTACAGGGATCCCTATAACATACATGTATATATATAGCTTGTATTGTACAGATACACAGCTGTTTCATGATGACATGTATATATACATACATGTATTTAATGCATTATGAAATGAACAAGATTTGATTAAAATAAGAATAAATTAATTCTTGTCTGTCAAAATTGATTTCATTAAAATGCGTCACTTCTATACATGTGCGGTGTCAAACCACGCTATGCTATACTCAGGGAATGTACAATTAACTCTACCAGCCCATTGCCCAGGCTAGTTCATTTTTTGCCTGCAGGGCTGTAAGTGAATTTTTACGTACCAGGTTACTGTAAAAATATAGGTCGGACTAGGGGCAACAGAAATTTTCCAATTTGTTTGGTATCTTGTAATGTACTCCAAATAGGAATTTGTATATCACTGCTATATATGTCTACTGTGTAAACAATGTAAAAAAGGCAGTTAGATAAATGACAAGGTCAATGGGGCAAAAGGTAAATATGACCTGTATATGCCACATCTTCATAGCAGCTCTTATATATGCATTACATGGTGTATATACACATAGTACAGTGATACACATAATTTATAGTGCATTCCGCTGACCAGGTGAAGACGTTTTACCCACGACACACAGGTGTCTCATTATATGTCAGCATATATTTTAATTGTGGCAGTCTACATGTATATATATATACAGATCTACAAACACAGGGACACAACTTCATATGAATGATGTACACTTCAAATTCAAAACCACATAAATACTTCAGGTTTCACAACTACTTTAAGCAAGTATACATGTATGTGCTTTTACCATAAGAGTCCCAGTTTCATGAACATTCCTCACTATGAGATTTTCCATAAGAAAGTAAAGAAAAATTCCTAACCAGAAGATAATTTCGTTCATTTCCAGCAATGGTTTAATTTGAGTCTGATGTAGAGGATAACACAGATCCTGTATCGGAAAAAATAAACTTCTGTTTTCTCGAAAAAAAATAGGATTAAGGAAATGTCTTAAGCAAGGTAACGTTATTGAAACAGGTGTTTAAACAATGTTTCATTTCATTAATAATATATGTTACAAGTACACACATAAATGGAAATCAGATCTGGCAACAAGTTTTTAAATCTTACATTAATTATAAGCCATCAGCTTGAGCTCCCTCGTCTACATTTTCATTGTATATGTAGTGTCCGTGTGAAATTAGTGTGTGTTATAATTATCAAGTGCATATATATGTCTGCTGTTTGTGTTTTGCATATAACTGTACTTTTCCATGTACAATAAATGTATACATTTACTGTAAATTTATTAGAATTAGAAGTATTTTCCATTGGGAATCATTCTGAAATTCATTCCCAATGCAAACACCTGAATCACAACTTCGACCTGCTTATATGCATGTCCATTATAAGAGACAATATATAGATAAAGACTTATCACACACATTTCACATGAGAAATCTGTTTCTTTTGCATTGTTTAATTTGCTTATTGAATTATTAAAGAACCTATAGAATGATTTATTATACCTCAACTTTATTCACTTTATATAAAAGTAATTAGTTAAATCGAATATATCCCACTTTTGCCTGACTGTGTTTTAGTCCTGTGTGTTAGTCTGGGAACAAAAACACACCTACACTCGGGTGTTTCCGCCAAGCCAATCAGGCGAGAGGTGGGCGGAGCTTGTTACCAAACTCTGAGGTGACGCGCGAGGTGGGCAGAGCTTGCTACTGAACTCTGAAGCATTTGGCCCCATTGCCATCACAAGGGTAGTTGGGACTTGAAGCTATACAGCTTATGGTTTACAAATATTTTCTAGTTAAAACCATCTCTCCAGTGACTGTATCGGCCATATAATAAACGTTTAAAGTATGGGGTTAAGGAAAAATGAATTGGGAAATAGACCTGGTCTTGCTTTAGGACACCAGAAACTTGTTATATCCCTCAACCCCATACTTTAACTGTATATTATTATACCTCTACTTTATTTACTCTATATAAAAGTAATTGTTAAATCGAATATATCCCCACTTTTGTCTGACTGTGTTTTAGTCCTGTGTGTTAGTCTGGGAACTAAAACACACCAACACTCGGGTGTTTCTGCCTAGCCAATCAGGCGAGAGGTGGGCGGAGCTTGTTACCGAACTCAGAAGCGATGCGCCAGATGGGCGGAGCTTGCTACCAAACTCGGAAGCGACCCGCGAGGTGGGCGGAGCTTGCTACCAAACTCGGAAGCATTTGGCTCCATTGCCAGAAGTTGGGGGCGTGAAGCTATGTAGCTTATGGTTTACAAATATTTTCCAGTTAAAACTATCCCTCAATCCCATACTTTAACTGTATAATATAGTTTGGGTTTGAGGGATATAGCAAGTTTCTGGTTCATTGCATTTCAGACAAGGTCAATTTTCTGAGCTGAAGTTGAGGGAAAACGACCATACTTCAACCGTATTATTGTACTGCCCACATCTCACTCATCACTGGCTCAGTCATTTCTTTAATTGAGGAATTTGGAGAAACAGCCAAGGGAGTTAGTCTGCAGGTGTGTTAAAGCTTTCAGACTAACTCCCTGGACAGCTAGTTCATGGCAAAAGCAGCTCTTATATATATATATAACAAACTTAACAAATTACATTACCAGGGTAGATCATTGAGTAAATATAGTAAAGGTGTATTTTTAATAGAAATTAAAAGTTTTGTTGAATTTTTAAGTCACTATATATATGCATAACTAGACAATATATAGCAAGTTGCTGGGGTAAATTTGAAGGCATGGTCTTATTTTAATTTATCTACATGCATTATTATAAAAATGTTATGTTCAAACTGAACCTACATGTCAGATAAAAGATAAAAATATTTCAATAACAAAAATGGATATGGAATGACCTACTTAAGGAGACCGCCAAGCAAAACATACCTAATCAAGATATAGGTGTCATACAGAAACAAACAAACAAACAAACAAATCTATGTAATCTTATAGTGTCATCAATGCTTGTGGTTGATGATCATGATCTTTGTTGTTTAATTTTAATCACAGATATTTGAGTACTGGACTCAAGCTTTTACTGTGGGACTCACCCAGATTTGGACTCACGCAGATTTTGATAACCCACAGTATCTTTTAGTAATGAAATAATGGGACTCATCAACATAATTTGGGAAATATGACATTAGGCCAGACAAAAAACAAATGTGTTTCCTGTAACATGTTAGAAAATTTTAGGGTAGTTATAGGTAGGTAACAAATAATTTTATTAATTTATATTGGAGAGTGATCTTGACTTTAACAGTGCTTCTTTGAAAATTGCATCAAAATCTAGGGTAGGCACAAAAAATTAGGGTAGGTAGGGTTACCGGAAACACAAAATATTTTTAGTTTGGCCTAATTATTTTCTGTGTTGTGTTGTTATCATTTTTAACATGCAATGGGTTGTTTAACAAATGAGCATTCGTCCCCGGCTCACAACACTGGTACCCTTAAAGAAACGAAAGCTTGGGCCTCATGATGTTTTTTTTCTAATAGATATTTATTTACCATAAAAAGGACCTTATATTAGATGTTTTAATATAATAAAATCTACATATAAATCAGTTAACTTTGGAGAAGCATATTTATACGTAGTATGTTCTGTTTGCCGTCAACAAAAACCTTGACAACATATCAATCTTGCTAAAACATGTATGGTAGACATACTTTTCAACAGATATGTAAGATCGCATCGGCTGATAGCAGCTATATAGGCCCAACTCATGCCTGCTTATCATCAAGATTCATGATCCTCTATAGTAGAGTTAGCTAGGCTTAGTCTAGATCTCTGCTAGAAGATTTGGCCACTCTCAGCGAAACACTTTGTATCACTTTCTCGATCTTATATCCCAAAATATTCTGCTTTTTAGATATTACTTTTATATGAATATATTTCTTCACGTGCATCTGGCCCCCACCTAAAAAGATTTATGATTATTTTCTTTCATATTTACTGTCTTATCATTAACCCTTTCACCCCTATGTAACTTTAGTAGACTCTACCATGCATTGATATGGATGAGTCCATTATGGTCTACAGTGGTGAAAGGCCTGGGTTAAATATAAATATAGCAGAAACTAGAAAATTTTGAAAAATATATGTATAACTGCACAACCAGACTGCAGCTGGTACTCAAACCCTGAACCCTCCAATCTCTAGATGGATGCTCTACCTGGGTGACGGCAATACAGATCTATATATAAAGCTATTCCAGTTTTGCTACATTCCTCCTTCCTTCAACAAAGTATTCGACCCCAAAGATAAATGTGACCCTATACCACCTCCTATGGGTATATATTTGGTTGGGCACCAAATATAACAGGAGAAAAGAAAATGCACGGATAAACCAGGATTCAAACCCTCCAAACTCTAGACGGATGCTCTACCAATATAGAGCTATGTACCTGGTCGACAGTGATCAACCCAGTCCAGTTTTACTACATATATACATATAGATAATGTCCCCCTCTCCTCTGAAGGAAATGTATCGAAGCTAAACACAAGGTCTAACCAAAGTAAAGGAACTACGTATATATACTATAATGCAGAGTCTGACGAAAAGTCAGTAAAGTTACTGGTCACTATGCGTATACATGTACGTACGACTGACAATTTATATAGGACAGGTGTATCATTAACTCTCCTTGTTAATATAAAGTCTAATAAATATGTTGTATGGACAGATAGATGTACGAACAGATGCAAAAAGCAAACACTTATACATTACGGTAATGCTCCCTGCATGTGCACTACTGTGTATACCGGTATATATTTGTAAAAAGTGGCAGGGGCATAAAAGCACTTCACTTGTGTTATTGAATTAACTCAACAGCATTTTTTAACACCTACATATACACACAGTGCTAAGAAATGTAAGTCCAGGTACATTAACAGCTTCCATATTTAATGAAATAATATATTGCACTATAATTAACTTGTAAGAAATTCACTAACTCTGGCAACAAACTCCCTAGATTTTGTTTTTTTAAATGTTAAAAGTTAAATATTCTTCACACTTGTTTTGACATGATATATAAGAAGAATATACCATTTAACACAATTTAAAGACCTTTTTTTCATGTTAATTAAAAATTGAAATTAAAATGACTTGAAATAAATTAATACTAACAGTATGATACAATGTATGTACGTGGCAATTATGTATACATGTACATCCTATTTTTATGTGCTTCAAATGTTCGTCTCCCTGGGTTATATATATACGTTATACATGTATGAACATGAATGTATGTGCTGTACTGGGGCTATGCAATATCTTTGTGTGGATTCCCATCTATAATGTGAAGGACAAGTTGACTTTAGAAAAAGATTTTCAAGGATTTACCTCAGCTCTGATGTATATATTCAATAAACAACAACTGCATGTTACCTTCAATTTTATTAAATATGAACCTGTGCACCTCCATCAAAACTATCATGGCAGGTGCTCAACTGTTTTTCATTGTTCTGGCAAATTTATAGACTTTGTATATGCATGATTTAACATGTGATATTTATCAGTAACCATGGCAACAAAATTGAAAAATAAAATTATGATTGATTGAAATTTACACTTTGTCTGAGTTTAAACTGTGCATTATTAAGGGGCTGATGAGGGATTTTCATAAGGGGAGAACACCATAAGATTTTAAATACCCCCCCCCCCCCCCCCAAAAAAGCACACCACATTCTCCTTCAGAGAGTTTCACTACCCAATAGAAAGTTCAGACCTTTGAATATTGGAAAAAAAGGGCCAATAAATATATGCTTTGAAGTCATCTTGAATACAATATTGGAACAATGATGTATCCAAAAAAATCAAATAAATATGAAACAATCATCAGGCATTTACCTTTTAAATCCTTTCTCTTCGTAACTATTAATGCAACTCTTTTTTCTTATTTGGGAAGTGAAAAGTACAAGAATTTGATATTATATCATAAAAATATATATAAATCATGTTTGCCGACCACTATTTAGGATCAAGGTGAAACTTAGTAGTTTTAACCAGTGAATTTGCTAAATTATTCCTATATAATATTCTAAGATCTAAATATAATGATTGTATCTGAAAGAACAACTCAAATATATCATTTTAAATGGTTCTTTTGTCTCTAATTTTGTCTCTACATATATATATATACCATACACACATTTTATTGTGTAATTCATGTTTTAATTTGGAGCATTCAGAATCTCCCTATGGAAACAGCTATATTCTATATACATTAACTCATTGACATATCAATAAAGTAACTAAAACTTAGGAGGCACAGTAGTCAAGTGGTAGGACCCCGGGCTCATGACCGAATGGTTGCGGGTTCGAGTCATGGCACGCCACTGTGTTGTATCTTTGAGCAAGATACTTTACTCTACTTGTTCCAGTCTACTCAGCTGTAAATGAGTATGTGGTTGGGCAGCGCTAGAATTGTTGAATGCTAGCTGTGAGCACTGAAATGGCAGCACTGGCTGCATATGCTCCCCAGGGATTTGAGAAAGATGTTGACTGGTTGCGAAGGCCCTATAACCACGGATAATAATTTGTGAACCAGTTTGAGACGACCTACGAACTATAGGTTGTGACGAAGCGGTATATAATTAAGAACCTCAAGTTATTAAACCGGACTTTGATTTGGTTCGGTTCAAATGTGACTTTAGGGATGAATGGGTATTAATTAACCAAAATCACAAAAACCCTTGTTGGACAGCGACCTGGCCAGATAAATCCAATAAATGTACCGTGGACTGCATCTTTGCTAGCCAAGTGTTCGCTTCGTATACATTCCACTTACGTAAGTGGCGTGTATACGAAGCGAACACTTGGCTAGCGAAGATGCGTGTACTGTTAATTAGTTACGTATACGTAATTTTCATAAATGTGTATGAAACGACTTACCCATGAGAATAATTTATTTTTTAATTTAGTCAGGGATTAATGCAGGAATAGAACATTAGTTCCTTATGTATAAAAATTGTATTGGAACCATATCACATCTATAGAATGATAAAAAGATCAACAGACAAACAAAGTTATGTATTGGAACTATAAATATGGTCTAGATCTGTAGGTATATGATCATGACCCACCAGCAGGGAGGGTGGCTTCGAATCGACCACTGAATATGCATTAGAATAAAGTGCCTGTTATGATACATGTATATTGTATACTGTAAAGAATGTTGTTAGATATTGGCAGTGACAACATAAACACAGAAAAAAATCACTCAATTGTCGAACTGACGGGAAATATAAACAAAATAGAACCAAGACAGATAATGGCGTGGTAGTGCATTTGTATTTCAGTTACAAGTGGGGGAATATTTAAATGAAACATGGGAAAATAAAGCTGAAATAGGGGGAAATAACGCTGGAATCGGAGAGGGGAACTGGCCCATAATCAGCCATAAAAAGGCCTGTACATTGTATATGAATCCATCTTTGCCCCATATACTATTTTAAGTAATTCGTATCCTACGGACATACCTCCATTAGGATCCAGTGTTATATGGGATTTTACCGTCTATATTACTTCTTTGACCCATATCCATGTTAGTATATATATATATACCTTGCTTAAATGTTTCAGAATACATATTTGTGCAGCATTTTAATTCATAAGGAATTCACCTAGTGATTTAAATGTGAAAAACTACACAATAAGACAAATTATTTATACATGATTGATTGATGTTTCAATGCAACAACCAAACAATAATAAATTATTGTCACTAATGTCACCTTTTAAACAAACTTAAGGGGGAACATACACTTGTATATTTAAAAAAGTCTTTGTAAAATTTTACATATATATATATATATATATGTTTTAGCATATTTCACAAAAAATGTGGCAAGCTAATAAGAGTTTTCTCCGAATTTGAAAAAAAGGAGGGAGGCATTTGTAGTGTTATGATGATGTATATAGTCAGAATTTAAAAGGGGGTGTAAACAATCTGGCAATCTGGCAAAAACGATATTTATTCAGATCTGTGACAGATTTCTACATCTTTCATATATACATGTATATGGAGTTGTCAGTTCAATTTTAATGATGAAACTGATTAAATAAGATTTTGTAAAAAACAAGTGTACTTCCACAGAAAATAACATTCTTTCTAGATCTGTTACTTTCACTTTTTGCTTCATACTTATTCTATGTTTTCCTTTGGCAAATTTATAACACATTAATATTGACAGGATTATGCATGAGGCATTATTTGTTGTCAATTTCTTTTACAGTCACCAGAAATACATATTGTATATAAGTGCCAGGCAATTTGGTACTGAAACTCTGCGTGGGCGAGAGGGGACAGTCTATATACAGAGCATCTGAGTAGTCAGTACCAAATCATCTGATGTGTACTGAATTTCATCAATATGTTGTAATATATAGGGTCGTGGCATTAATATTGTATCTAGGATACGTATGCAAGGCTTTTAAAAGAACCTTGTCACGTTGTGAGTTTATTCTTTGTTTCAAAGAATTGAACAGCCTACAGGTCTATTTGACATATATTTTGACTTTCAAAAAATTCATGAAATTGTATTCTTTTTGACTTCTGAATTTGCTAAATGTTCAAGGGTCAACACTCAACCGAACGCTCTAGATCTTCTACCTGTGCACATGTGTACTGTAGGAGTACTACAGACGTTTAAGTTCTGTCACATCAGTATCGGAATGTTTCGGTTAGTTTAAACATATTTCATTGTACAAATATACAAATGGATCGGACAACAAGTTAATACAACTTAATAGAATGTTTTGGTACTTTCCAAAAGACTCTGTGTTTGCTTTTTGTGTCCTGTGTGTTGTTGATTTTTTTTAATTTTATGATTCTACACTCAGCAATAATAACCTGGACAAAAATATACTGAAACATCCCATGTTTAGGTACTGAAACTACTTGGTACCGAAACGTCTAGAATTTGATTAAAACTAGTACGATGTTGTATCTTCGGTGTGTAAGAGTCTTATCTCAAAACTGTATCTATAATATATCACATCTCATTTCATGTCGATGCACTTACCAGCTGAAATTCTCTTCTTCTGTCGAAGGCAGCTAGAATACCAGAATCTCCCCATAGATTTTTCATTGGTTCAACATAGTCCCAGAACGTCGTCTCGTCTAATTTGTTGTTTGTGTCATAACTGAAGACATAGCTTGCATGCTTTGCATTAGCTTCATTTCCCCACGGTATCCCTAACTTGTCTCTAGCATCTATAAGTACACGCATACCTTTGACAATGTTTGCATAAATGACAATCCTAAACTCTCGGAGGGCTTCATCGTCGAAGTCTTGTCCATGGATAATCCTCATTTGTTTCAAAAATGTACTTTTACCACTTTCTCCGGCTCCGAGTAACAGAATCTTAATTGTCCTTCTAAACTGAACTTTCTCCTTGGCTAGAGTTTTGTCTATGCTCCTACTTCGACTTTTCTGCTCCCTTTCCTGGTCAGACATACAACATGACATTACTATGTCAGCCATTTTGCCCCTCTTACCCCGCCCATGACGTCAGAGACAAAAACTTCCGGTTTTATGTCGTAAAAATATTATTTCTATTTTCAGTAATATTTAATATAGATTGAATTATATTATCGATTGATTTTGTAATATAATTGTAGTTTAGTAGTTTAAGCTAATTATTTAATAGATGTTTAAAAATGAAATAAATACATCTTTCACGATATCCAATGACCCTCAACAAGCAAGATGGCGGCCTCCGTGATACGAGGATCGGCATTCCTTGTAAAATCTATGAAATGTCTACGAACTCCATGTCATTTGCCTTTCTCTGTTCCAATGCGACGTATAAGATATTTCATTGCGTATGTATTTGGTGTAATGATATATCGTATGCAAAACAATTTTTGAAAACGAATGCACAAGTTTTGTGTGTGCTTATGCAACTAAATGCAGCATGTTTCAGTGTTTGGAGATCAACTACGAACGTGCGAGTGCCTTCCAGCCACTTACCACACTCGACTTTGCTTTACTGTAGAGCGTCCAATAGTTATGCTGCGTCACTGGGAATACTAGCTTGCCAATAAGGCAGTATCCCCCACCTTCATAGTCATTTCGGTACCCAGTCATTTGTTTGTACAAGTGGAAAATGCTCATGTTGATGAATCTTGAAATAGAAATACGATATAAAATCAGCATCACATATGACACATAAAGTAGTTTTCCATATTTTAATCCGGGTTATTGGTTTCTGCTTTCTTGGTGTTTATAGCACAGACCTCAAAGAATTAATTCTATGATATTAATACTAAATTTCAGGGTCACCGGTCACCTAAAGTTGATAAAGGAAACTTCTGAAGCATTGAAAAATATTCACAAACATCAAGTCCATATATTTTCTATCACTGCTCACAATTTGGTCTTTAGGTACTGTATACTGAGAAACTTTCACATTTCATTAGAAAAATCCTTATATTAGCCCAGTGTTAATTTTGCCAAACGCCTGCAATGACTATATATCATACATTATATGGTGATATGATATTTTCTGTCAGAATAAATTTGCCCACAATTTAAACCGCGAAAAAGACGAAAAAGACAAACTGCAGCATGTGAGGAAATTTTGCAGTATACAATAAAACTATGTGTTTTGCAATGAATTTATACCTTCATACCTTTCAAATTTGTCATTAATTATGGTTTCATATGTGTCGTTTCCTCAATTAAAAAAAAAATGATATTATACATCCTTTATATTTTTTCATTTTTTTTTCAGTCTTCCTGAAACTCCAAACGACACACCGGAGTCAAACCCTTTATTGAGAACTGAGGATGTCCCACACTTTTACGCGATCTCACCAAAACAAGTGGTCCGAGGATGTGCGAAATTGAGCCTTGATTTTGAAAGAAAAGTGGACACACATTTCTCTTCATTTGAAGAAGGTTTGCTATTGTAGTACATGTCTGCTTCCTTTTTCGGTAGCACAGTAAATTTTAATGATTATGGAAGAAATTGAACCAATTTCAGGCTATTCCAAAATAAGTATAGGGGAGAAGGGGAAGTATTTTATACCATGCATTGTTACTGAATCCTAAGGAGCCCAGTATACAGATGTTTATGATCATTTTTTGACCCCTGTCAACCCATGACCAAGTCAAAGCCTCCCTGCCTCCTTCATATTGATGTTATTTGTATCAAATTAATAGGCTCCGTGTATCAACTCATTGTTGATCTGAATGTTAAAGATATGAACTATTTATCTTTTATAACATAGAAAAGGATTTAAAAACATTTTTTTTTCAATTATATGGATTACATTTTACGGGGTGAGGGTTCGTGACTCGAATCAAAGATTTCTTTTAACAATTACTCAATGTATTTGAATTCCCTAGATCCAAGCAAGCCAAGAACATTTGAAAATTTAGTGGCACCAGTGGATGCTCTCCATGCTCCGTTACAAACTGCGATGAACAATACACAGATACTGACATGGTTAAGGAACATACAGCCCTATATAGACGCCAAGGCCAGGGTAAGTAGGAGGCAGACATGAACAATTACAGCTCATATGAAACGGATGAAATCACCGGCAATCTTTGGAAAAAGCATCAAATTTATATGAAAACGGTGCAAGTTTTAGAAGAACATGTAATTGTTAAATTTAGAAGAATATGCAATTGTTAAAAATGCTGAAAATTACAGCTCCTTTGAAATGAATGGAAAATAAAATCACCTGCAATCCTTGGAAAAGCAATTTTACAACAGTTATGAAACAAGTTATTTTAACTGAAATATTTCAATTGAAATATCTTTTGAAAGTCTTGTCTTAAGTCTAATTTATTTCGCCTTTTTTTTTTCTTTCCTTCCCTCTACTATAATTTCAGGTCAAGTCCAACACTGGTTCAATGTTTTTCACTCTAATTTAATTCCATGTTTTGCTTTCAGGCTGACACCCAGGTACATAAAGCCCTACACGCGATCTATACATCGGAGGCTTATGTACTTTTGAAGGTATTATACACTTATGTATCCTCGTACCACTGCCCAAAACTGTAGATATGCCTTACTTAGAAACTGTTTTTACTGGCATGACTTAAGCTTTGATAAATTATTTCTGAAAAGAAAACCATGCTTGGCGGGACTTTTGTAAAAAAAGTAATGAAGATATAAACAACTTTAATCAACACCGGAATTTGAATGTAAGATAATCAGTCGGGCTAGATCAAGATTTGAACCCTGGACCTCAGATTGTTGTACTATCGCGCTTACTCAGTGTTCTCACTGAATTTTTAGATTTGTGGGTACACTTATATATTTGAAACATTTTCCAGATTCTGTACCCCTAGCTAGGTACTTAGTTACATAGGACAATGATTGAAGAACGGGGGTACAACCAACTGTTTTGGGGGTGAAAACCCTCATTTGGAGGTTTCTGGGAACACTGCCAACTGACTAAGCTTATGTCAACAATGCCTCAAAGTCACATCAACCCTGCATTTAGCCTGTTACGTTAACAGTATGTTATGTATAGGATACACAATGGGTGAACAGAGTAGGAGAAAAAGAATCATTCACTCCTTTTGGGTGAGATAGTGAAATCTCAACCCTCGGGGAAAGATTCATAAGTTGCCAAACACTCAGCAGAGCCTCAAGTTTGGCAACTTAAGAATCTTCCTTTGGGTTGAGATTCCCCTATTTCATCCCCTAAGGGGGTGAGAGATTCTCTTAATCCAGTCACTGACTGACCGGTTTATGTGTTTTGCAGGACCTATATAAGCATAAAGAGTCTATGACAGATGAAGAGATCACTCTCTTAGAGAAGATGCTGTACAACTGTCAGAAAGCAGGCTTGGAGCTAACCGGCAAAACGCAGGATAACTGGGACTTTACTATGACGAGGATAGATGAATGCGTTGGGGATTTTGGGTATGTGAAACCGTAATTTCGTATGTCAATGTTTTCCAGACAATATCTTGTTACCAGATGCAGGATTAAACTCTTTCACTGTAACAAAAAATCATGTTTCCAATCCCTACCGCGAGGGCAATAATTGTTCAACATTGCCAGGTATAACAAAAGGCAAACAAACATTATAAATAAATGATCAATACAAGCCCGTTTTGCCTTTACTTGAAAAGAAAACAGGAGAGAAGGGTGTGTTGCTATTATGCTTTACCTTTTATTTTCATATTTTCAGAAAACGAGCAATTGCATGTAAAAGACTGTTCAGTCACACGATCACGGACAGGAAGCTCATGAAAAGACTTCCGGAGGAGTTGATTTATAACATGTCACTGAACCCGTAAGTGTGATGGAAACAAGATCCCGAAACATCACTATCTCCATGTGCCTATTACCATAGAGCAGGATATTTCTGCGGGGATGATATCTCCGCGATTTCACAGGTCAATTAAGTGAATGCGAAAATATGATCCACTGAATAATAAGACTAGCGTAAAAATGAGCGGCAATAATACACTTCAAAACTGTAATGTCCTCACGAAATAACGTGCATGTGATTATGATGATTCATATACATAGAGAGTAATGATGTGTGAAAATAGGTTATAGATTTGTTTTAACAAAATACACTTTAATACTTGTTGGTACTCAATATGCTATCTTAAAGCCTATTCATGAACTATTTGACAAATTGAAAATTGAGTTCCTTCAAATGTCTAGATCATGAAATTATCATTTGTGTGTAAATTCAATTTTTAGCTCACCTGCCCAAAGGGCTAGTGAGCTTATGTCATGGTGCGCCGTCCGTCGTCGTCCGTCAATTTCTTCTTCTGAAGAACGAAAAGGAATAGAGCCATGATATTTGACTGAAAGTTTTGTTGGTAGGAGCCAGACAAAGTTTGAAAACGGAAATGACCTTGACCTACTTCCAAGGTCACTTGGTCAAATGTGTCAAACACTTCAAACGACTTCTTCTGAAGAACTGAAAAGTATAGAGTCTTTATATTTGGCTGGTGTCTTCTTGGGATAGAGCCCAACAAAGTTTGAGAATGAAAATGACCTTGACCTACTTTTAATGTCACAAAGGTCAAATATGTCAAACTCTTTGAATGACTTCTTCTGAAGAACTAAAATGTATAGAATCTTCATATTTGGCTGATGGTTTCCTGGGATAGAGCTTGCCAAAGTTTGAGAATGGAAATCATCTCAACCTACTCTAAAGGTCACAGAGGTCAACAACATTTCATAGGATTTGTTCTGAAGAACCAAAAGGAATGGATTCATAAGATTCAGCTGGTAGCTTCTTGGGAAAGAGCTAACAAAGTTTGAGAAGGAAAATGACATTGACCTATTTACAAGGTCACAGGGGAAAATATATATGTCAAACAACTTCTGAAGAAGAAGAACCAAAATGCATAGAATCTTATGATATTTGGCTGGTAGTTTGCAAGGGAAATACTTGTAGTGCATTATAATATTTAATGAGAATATTTTGCTATTACTGCTTAAATTTTCAGGTGAGCGATACAGGCCCTCTGGGCCTCTTGTTTCTAATAATCTGTAGTATTCTGAACCATTTCATAGTGGTGTGTGGGGGGGTTTCAAACCCACACTAAAATAATAAAATCATTAAATCATTTTAAATCTTTGCATCTTTTTACTAGTTGTGGATAGAGGATACTGGTATATAAGATTTATTTTATTTTTGGGAGTTGGGGGATTAGTAATAAGAATTAAGTCTTGTCGCATATAATATGATTAAATAAACCTCAGAAAATGACTTACTAAGGAATGTCATGCCACTTATTTTGAAGGTAAATTACATTGTATATTTGTTTTATTTGTAGTGTGTTTCAAAACTGACGATCTAAAGTAGTCAAATATTGTCAATGATTTTATAGAATTTTTGAAAAACTGAAAGTCGAACACCATTTTCAAAGTTTTTATTTGACGTTTTGACCATGTCGCCTGATTTAAGCGAGTTACAATAAAATAAGTTTAAGCACAGAATCGACGCTTGAGCATGAGAACTGTATCATGAATATGGACCCAGGGCCCTAGTGACATGTGAAACAGGCAGTAAGGTAATTCGACACAGCGTGAGTGAAACTTGGTTATATATGTACGTATAAATGTCTCGGTAAGTAAAGAAAAAGTCACTGTCTGTGGATGTGTGTTGTACAGGAGAAATCCCATGGCCGGTCCCTGGAAGGTCACCCTGGAGGATACTTTGTATCACACGTTTCTTAAGTACTGTCCCGACGCTGAGGAGAGACACAACATTTGGTACGCCTACAACAATGTGTCCTCTACAGACTTTGTATCTCAGTACATGGACACACACAGACTCATAGACGACATTGTCAGATTTAGGTAAGTACATGTAATATATACTGTGTACCGGGAAATTTTCGCCGCATTTATTTAATTTTCGCCTTTTGCGCCATACGTAGCGAGGGCGAATGAATCATTACAGCCAGCATTTATCAGCAACATGATATACATAGCGGTTAAATGTGAAGGGCGAAATTCATATGGGGCAAATATGGATTTTACTGGCCAAGGACAAAATTTGACTGGGGGGAAATTCCCAGTATAAGATGTAATAAGATTTTATGTCCATGCTCAATTTTGTGTGCCCTGGGGTGTAAATAATGTGTTATACTAAAGCTGTCCTGTATGTGCATCCATACCATAATATCCTTGTTCCGTTATTTACCATATTTACCCACCAATAACCCAATCCATATGTATATTGCAGTATATTGCAGTTCAGGCAAAAAAAATAAAAAAAACTTGGTTCTCAGGCCAATTTTTTTCAAAAGAGATGCGGCAGGGAGGTTTTTATTGTTTTTCATTTTACATGGCAAAAATGAGACAAGGGTGATTTTTTTTTTTGTATAGTTTTTAAAACGTTCATTGTGGGCATTACCTTGTCTTTTTATAGTTGTGTAGAGACCCGTCATAGAGCAAGCCTCCGAAAATCCCCCCACAATGTTCCAGACGAGAATCACGAACCCCCCAATTCCTTATTTGTACCGAAATGAGCGCCATTTGTATACAAGATTAATAAGTCATAATCATTTTAACGCTTGCCTGTATATCAATTTCCTTATCTGTATTCAAACGTTTTTGGGACTTGGGTGACTAACGAGTAAAAACGACATGCGGACCAGTTTTCCAGATTTTTTTGGACCTGCGGGCCTGAGAACCAGGTAATCAATTTGTTTCGGCCTAAGTCGATCAGCCATAAGCCAACATATGCTATATATATATATTTATTGCCCTGTAATAAGCCCCGGCACCCACTATGAATCGTGGATTGCTGTTGGCCCACTGGGCTTCATGGCAGATGGATATGTTTCACCTTATTTCTTCAAACGTCTTTACAGAAAACATGCCGCAGAAGATCTTGGCTATGAAAATCATGCTCAGTCTGTGATGGAGCCAACTATGGCCGGTTCTGTGGCTGTCGTTTTAAATATGGTGGAAGAGTAAGTAAAATTAAATTGGCTATGACTGTGTTCATTGAAGCATGACTGTGTTCAGTGGCCACTCATCATATTACCTTTGTTTCGAGCCCCAGTGGTTTAACAAAATAGTATTGGTGTCTGTTGCTTTTGTCCCTCTGATGGCAACCCATGTTGGTTCCGGGAAAGAAAAGGCCTGCTGCATCCCCCTGCATGACTGTAAGGGGCGACTGATATGCCCCCCTCCCCCCTCCCCTCCCAAGCTGTTTTGGTGAAAAGTGCCCTTAAAACTTCGTCAGAGTATCAATTACCCATTATAAGTGTACATTTTCTCTTAAATGAAGGAGGGTCGCCAACACATATACATGTTTGGAAATACTTACCGGTATATGCATTCGGCTTTTTTTTTATTGCAATAACAATATTATTTTTATGCTGATTTTCAGACTGAGAAATAGCTACCTTCCACAAGCTGAAGCTGAAATTGATGCTCTTCAAGAATTTGCAGAGAACGATGGATTTGAGGATGAATTGAAATTGAGTGATATTCCTTACTATCGACAGATGCAGCGGGAGACTTTGTTCAAGTAAATATGTCACTTAGGAGTTATCTGCAAGTCTATTTTACAATTCCATGATTGTGGGTCAATTCTTTAGGTCAGAAATGTAGCAGGAGAAAAAGAAACGCTCAGCCCGACCGGGGTTCAAACCCAGGACCCCCGAACTCTAGACTCAAGTAAACACATTCACACGGGATTGTTCTGATTTGAGTTGAAATACACTCATTAGCATAATAATTAGCGAGAGAAAAAACAGTGTGTGTGTCACTGTGGGAGTTTGCCTGTCACTTAATATTGATGTGACAATTTTGTTTTTGTAGTGAAGAAGAAGTCTCGCAGTATTTTATGTACAAAGATGTTGTCGAGGGGGCAATGGAACTGGCTTCCCAGATGTTCGGTATCAAATTTAAGGTATGTTGGTAGTACATGTAATATAGAGATTCCCCAATGAGCGGTGGTGGTTGGTTATCATGTTTATCTAACCTATTAGTAACTCTTCATAATGTATAAAGATACAAGGTTTAGTAACTCCCAGGATAAACTTGCTAGAAGTTGGTAAACATTTCTGGTTACCCACTCGCGGGTAACGCCTTGGATGTGATTTCATTGACCAATCTTATAATTACGACCTCAGGTAACAATGCCTTGTGTCTAGTAACTTTTCCAAATGTATAAAGACAAACAAGCTTTAACAACTTCCAGCTCATTGGATAAACCTGCTAGACGTTGGTAAACATTTTTGGATATTTCCTTTGTGACATCATATTATAATTCATGGCCATTGTTTCAAAGATCTGAATCACGAATAATGTATTCACAAGAGAAAATATGGTTTTCTAGATATAATATATGAACGTTGTGGGAGAGAAAGGTCCCAAGCTTGTGATGGTTGGTTGTCATGTTTATCCAACTTAGTTACTTTTCAAATTGGATAAAAACATGAGGTTTACCAAGTGTCTTTCACGATTTGAAAATTAGCTAACGAGAGTTCATTTAACCCTTTCACCACTGTAAACCATAATGGACTCGTCCATATCAATGCATGGTAGAGTCTACTAAGTTACATAGGGGTGAAAGGGTTAACATCTTGCAACATTGCATGGGATGTGAACACCAGGCAACATAACATGGACTAATAACTTTGTAGTTAGCTAAATGAAACATCTCAAAAAATGAATATGTTGAAAATGAGAGATTTTAATCAAACTTTTTTTTCCTGTTTTTTTTTTCTAGTATTCTGAAAAACGTTTCCCTGACGAAATATATACTTTTGATGCATTCGATGAAGAAGGTAAGTAATTCATCTCTTTAACATAATTTGATTCATGTAGCTGCTTAAAATGTGATATGGATACAGAAAAACAAGTAGTTTTCCACTGCATATTTAATAGTTTATACTATGTGAAGGATATGTTAAAGGATATATCAGGAATTTGGCATACTTTTGTTTTGTCACGAATGCGACTGCCATCTTCATTTTATCAAAATTTGTGCAAAGTTCACGTATGAAAATACCTCAGATGAGTTTATATTATTGAGTCCCAAGGTCAATGGCTAGGTCACATGCGTTATAGGTCAAGTACAGGACATGTCTTACAGATGTTTTCTAGAATCTAGACTGTTTTATGAGAATGTACGGTTTGTAAATGGCCCCGAACTTGACACCAAGACCTTCAAAATCTACATGAAATTGTTTTTCATCGACAGTTTGACCATTTTTTTCCAGTAAAACACTTCCAGATTCAAAATTTGATTGCTCAAATTAAAAACACATGTGTGTTTGGACTGCAAGTTTTACCTGCAAATTTTCTGATAAGCAGAGGCCAAATAAACAGATTTAACTGTACAGGAGAAACGGGTGGGATGACACAGACCTGTTTAAGTGTGGAGAGTATTTGAACTGACTTCATCTTAAGCAGATCTTAATGTAATCCGTCTTCATTTTATTCTAGGTAAACTTATTGGTCAATATATACTTGACCCTTACAGACGGGAAGATAAATATCCAGATAGTTGGATATTTCCGGCAAAAGGTTGGTACATTTAAACTACTATAATTACTTGTATTTTCCCTGAAGCCCTTAAAGTATCATTTTCGTGAAATTAAGTCAGCACATTCCCACCCCAGTGGATTATCCCTAGTTGTCGGAGTCGGAAACTCTATTTTACGAAATGAACACCAGGTAAACCTATCACAAGAATTCTTCACGATAATTATGCTTCTGACGTCAAGTACTGCTCGGATTATTCCATATAGACAACATGATAAAGTGATGTAAAAATGAACCATTTTTTTTCATGCATACTTTCGATGATAAAATAGTTTTTTGGAAAACATTACATGTACCCTGCGCTTCATGCTTCTCCACGTGTTAGCCACAGGGGGCATTTTTCAGCCCATTCAGCATCATTTAGTCGATGTCCGGGGGCAAAAGGCAAAAAAAATACAGTATTCATACTTGTTCCTTGTTCACCCAAGCCATGAAAGTTGCTTGAAAGTAATTGGAAATATGTGTATCCTAAAAAGGTGCTTGAATTTATTTATGGGAGCTAATTAATTTGTATTACTTTCTTAGCATTTCTTAGCTTTGTTATTGAAATGAAGGACTGTTTCAATGTTAATTTATCAGGAAAATTGATTAATAATTTGTGCTTGGACCTTCAGTTTTTGCATACAGTCAAACTTCCATAAGTAGAACTTTGAAGATTCAAATTTCTTGATGTGTCTGAGACTTAAGGCAAAGTCAAGGTTTTTTTCCTTATATAAAGCTTAATTATAAACTGAAGTGAAAAATAGTAGAACATGGAAATGTCACCTGGTCATTTTAACAGTACAGGCTTCGGAAATTTAATTGACAAAGAAATAATGAATTTGATAAGATCACCTTTAAAGTGTGCAAACCACGGTGTGTAAATACATTAATATTCTATTCTTACTTCTATAAATCATATATATTCATATATTTAAAATGAAAATTTCTTAGTCTGTATTTAGTCACATAAGAATCACATGCTGTCTTGTGTACAGGATCACGATGTTCAATATTGTTGACCCGAGGTCCATGTGTTTTCAATTTATTTTCCCGATGGCCCCGCAAAGTTCGAAACATCGAAGTTTTACTCTATAAGAATACATAAAGTTGTCACTACAATATCAAAGCTTTATACGTTAACATAGGTCATGTCATAACGTTGCCATCCTGAAACGGGATTGATCCTGGAGAAACAAATAATCAAGTAACCCTATTAACTTCAAGACGCAATAAATGTGTGTTATATTTTGCTTTTATTTGTATTTTAGCAAGATGTGAAAATCCGGTGTTATCGCCGTACAGCTACCATTCACTGAATCTTGATCGTGCGGATCCATGTCTGTCCTGGATCGATCTTGGCTCATTTTACCAAGAGGTAATCTGCCATGAATTTGTTTGGAGAGAGCAGTCCCTTTAATGACAAATTCCATCCTGAGGCTTTTTGGAGTTGGCTTCAGGTTTTACCCAATTTGAAAACCCCTCCAGTGCAATTTTCCTCCCCTACACCCCAGGGTAATGTCATTGAAAGCGCAAATCACTTAGTTCAGGAGTTGTACAAAGCATATGAAATCAAGTGTCGAGGACACCTGTACTGATAGATGCCCCTTTGGCGCTCTCGGTGACCCCTGTCGAGATCGCTGATGTGTGACTTCTGGCTACTGGGAATTGTGTTCGCACAACAGTGTGAAAATAACACTGAATGTCACCTGAGAGACTGTTGATTTGTTTTGTAAAAACAATAATTCGCTATATGGTCATTTAGTTACTAAGAAGCAAGTGGGAGATGAGCTTGGGAATCAGAATCAGTTTTAAAAATTGCAATAAGCTTGTTTGTATCAAACCTATTTCACTCTTATTTCATTCCGAATTGATTTTCTTTTGGAACTGAATTAACAAAATATGTACCTCAAAAAAAAAAAAAAAAAGATCCAATCATATCTTGATCAAATGACCTTTAAGAAACTACTTTAAACTTTGCCATCTATAACAAAGCATAAAAGATTTGTTGCACATGATTTGCTTGTATTTTCAGTTTGGGCTGTTCTTGCAACTTTGCTTGACTAAGACGAAATACTTCACGCTGTCGAATGACGGCACAGAGCGAGATATTCGAGCTGTGCTTGGTTATCTCCTCCTGCAGTTCACCATGGATCCTGATTACCTACAGAAGATCAGCAAACATGTAAAGACGGGAGAAAAAATCCCAATGCCAGTAATCCAAACATTATTACAAGGTAGTTTTCATGACTGCATCTGTATATGAAAATATAAATTTCTTGCCCCGCTTCATTTTCACCCTTGCATATATATATCAAAAAACAAATATCATGTAAATTCACCTGGTAGTAACTTTGCTCTCCCAATCAAAAGATTTTATTTCTTGTTATATAATGAATTTGTCACTTTTTCAAGGGTGAACACTTTTTTTTTTAAATGTAACAGTAATGGGGAAGGAACCAAGTCCCAAATTTTCACTGAAAAGTCCTGATAAATAAACTTCCTATCTTTTTATTCATCATTTTCTAGAGAACAAAAAGAACAATTTCCATGTCAGGAGATGTATTTATAAAATATATATATATAGCATGGTGTAGTGAAAAGGTATGGGGTCACCTGCCCGACCACCTGGGGTTTTCTCCCGGTACTCTGGTTTCCTCCCACATTAATTAAACCCTCGCAGGTTAACATTCGGGTCTACAAGAATGATTAATAGGAGTTGTAAAAACTTTGTTCATAATTGTTGTAAAACAAATTAAGTTCATATCTATATATTTTAGATGCAGATTTGTTTGAAACAAAACCCTGCAAACATAAGTTGGGCCAACCCGAGACATTAAAATTCAACATCAGTAATTCTTGGTATACAGCTTTAAGAATGGTTTTTGATAAGGAAACTAGACATTACACAGTTGACTCATTCACCCCTGAAGACACATTTTAACTCTTCCAATTCAAAGGTTGGAATAGTTCATTATGAAATTTCAGTGATGAATGAGTTAATACAGCCTGTGTGTTTTAATTGAGTTTTGTTGAGGTCTGGACACTTAAGATTACAAAGGAGCCACTCCTTCAAATATTTGTGTAAAATTTCAATCACGTATTTAAAGCGATTTGAGGCCCTGTTATCATCCATAGCGTCATTGTATACTCCTGGTCTTACTTTTTATTTACGCTCTCCGCACTCCTGGAATATGTTGTAGCAAAATTAAAGGCACAAACTTAGCTATTTGATTGGTCTCGGGTAAAACAAACTGTCTATTCGCTAGGCTGATACCCGTTCTTTAAAGATTACAGAAGGATCGCAAAGAGCATAAGTGAATACGAGGCCCGGTGGGTCTTTTGTTAAAGCCAGTTATGCATAGTGCATACAAATTTCAAAAAGTAGATTTTCTGAAAGTGATTAGCAAGCATCCTTAATTAGAAAAGTTTGCTTCAGGAAGAAGTATTTTTGTGGTACATAACTTCCATTATTTTATTACTTCTTTGCAGCCAATCAACACATGGCAGGCTGGGACCTGTGTCATAGACTTTTTAAGATTGCATATGACTTCGAGATAAATTTATCGTAAGTATGTGTTATGATTTTATAGGATAAGTTGGAGAAAGATGGCATTTTTTTTTATTGTCATTAGCTAGACACTAGCTGAATGAATTGATTATATATGACTTGAAAAGATGTGCCAAACATTAGTTTCCACAGTCCACAGCAATTCCTCTTATTTTTCAAACCATATATGTAATAAAGTGTAATAGTTCTGACAAAATTTATATCAGCAATATTATAATCAATGAAAACTGGAAATGTATTCAATTTTGGATTCAGATAATGAGAAGAAAGCCTTGCCTTGATTTTAATATTGCATGATTTAATTACCCCTTTCACCACTGATGACCATATTGGACTCATCCAGATCAATGCATGGTAGAGTCTATTAAAGTTGCATAGGGGTGAAAGGGTTAAAGCAGGACTGATTTTTAACCGTTTTTCAGTCATGAAAACTGGTACAGTACGCTGGAGAAGATCTGGCCCATCTACATGCCCATTCCTCTGGATATGGACGACAATCATCCATGTGGTGACCTGAATCAGTTCAGCAATGAAGGGGCAACCAGCACCTATCACATGACGTGGTCAGAGGTAGGCATGTCCACAGCGCCTGGTGCAGTACTGTCTAGTTCAGTGTGTCCTAAACATGGACCTGGATACAAAAGAGTGATTTTTGTTGAAATCCATTTTTTTCATTTTTCGACAATCTTGTCCCATAGATGTGAAAAATAGTACATGTACAATAATTACGACAATCATTTTAAGACATTATGTCTTAAGAAGTGTACTCTGTATGGAGAACATTTCTTCGAATCAAAGTTTAGACCTTCATCAGTAAAATACATATTTGCTGAGTGATAATTTTGAACCTTCACATTAAATATCTATATATTTTGTTATTAACTAATATTCCTCGTATGACACTGGCTGTTGTGAAGACGTTTAACCCCAAACAAAACCTAAAAAACAAGGACGGATTACAAGTAAGATATTGCCGTTTCTCTCTTACAGATGGTGGCTTGTGATATTTTAGAGGCTTTTAAAGATGCTGGTAGCTTAACTGATCCCAATGTACTGCAAGAAGTAGGACCAAGGTGAGGGTTTTACTTTTTACTTCTTTGTGTTGAACTGCCCAGGACAAATGTATTCATGTTCAAAGATATAATATACTTAAATCAATGATGTAAATAGAAACAAAAAAAACCACTGATCTGTAAATTAAAATCCCTGTCCCACTACATTGTGTTTTTTCCTATATACAATAACATCTCCTTGCTTCCATATGAATGAACAGGTAACTCAATCGGTTAGCGCGATAGTAAATCTGAAATCCAGGGTTCGAATCGCTGTCTAGCCACGCTTATTTTTATTATATTCAGAACACTGTTGTCGATTACATTCTGTTCATTCCATCTTTTTTTATTTTAATTTGATCATTGTAAAGACAGAAATGAAATTACCATTATAGGAAATACTGTGTTTTCTTCTGTTAAGATATATTTTCTTTACTTCAAAGAGTATATTATTTTCCAACAGGTTACGCGACAGCTTTTTCCATCCACTTGGTACAGTAAAAGCGAAAGAGTTATTCCGACGATTTCGAGGCCGGGACCCGTCCACGGAACCATTCAAGGCTCATAACAAGATAATTAACTGAAACTGTGATTTGTGCATTTGTTTCTTGAGAGGTAGATTTAAGTGCTTACAAACTTAATAGAGATGGATTGACCTGTGATCTCGGGACTGGTCAGTTGGTCATTGCACTGGACAATGGTCAATGGACTGACCAATTGATCCGTAGACAAGGAACGTGGTTGATTGATCAATTCGTCAGAATGGACAGTGGACAATGGTTTCCCATTCTGATGGAGTTTGATTGGCAGACAAATGTGATGAAAAGACATTTGATCGATTGACAGACGAATGTGATGAAAAGACATTGGAATTAATTCTTGGACGATATCTGAAGACTGTGTGTGTATTGTGTATGTATGTGATATACAAGTGTGTAGCTTTCAAGACAGTCATAGATAAAAGTCAATTATGTTCATTGAAACTAAGATACAAATTACATTTATATATATTGCATCTGAACGATTGAAGCCAAATGACACAGCTGTGTGTTCCATTCACTATTAGTGTAAACCTGCATTAACATACCAGTCACATACCCATTCTATTTTACCAATCATAAGGCCAGGACACATCTGGTCCCGTATTCATAAAACTGTTCTCATACTCAAGTATGGATTTTGTGCTCAAACCAATTTTCATGTAACTTAAATCATGTCGAACCATTTAAAAAAGTCAAAGGTGAACATTGAAAACAGTATTCGATTGAGTCTCTTCAAATTTTTCCGAATCAATGTCAAAAAAAGATTCTATTATAACTTTATAACTGAAACAAGAAATTATGTTTTAGTACAAAATCCATGCTTCAGCAAGAGAACAGTTGCATGAATACGGGCCCTGGTCCCTTACAAAGGGTTTCATGCAAAAGGAGCACTGATCTTATCCCTGTACTTGATTCTTAAAACACAAGTAGAGGTGTGAAGTAAAACATGTTTACAAACTACAGACGATTTTGTTATGTAGTTTGCTGATAACAAGTCAAGGAACAAAATATAACTTTGATAGTATAAAGAATCTGCTGGTAGGTGGTACACATGCTTGTTGTAACCGTATTTTACTGCAGGTGATTCTTCTATAAAAATCTGTTTAACAAGGGGTGGGCTCATTGTGGAGCATGGGCTTATTGGTAAAATACAGTATATTGGTATGTGTTCTACTGTGTCAATGCACGTGCATGGTTTACTGAATATGGACCGAGAGACTTAACTCATTCACCCCTGAAATTTCATAATGAACTATTCCAACCTTTGAATTGGAAGAGTTCAAATGTGTCTTTAAGGGCTGGTTGGAGTTATTTATTAGTTTTGATGAGTATGACTGATCAGCTGGGAAAATATTCTATTTTCTAGAACATTGATTTGATAATGTGTTGAGTACATGTATAATAAATGAATCATGAAAATTCAATTCTCAATTTGACGTAAATTCAAATGGTTGAATCAGGTATTTGTTATTTAGATAAACCTGTATATATGCTTTTGAATGTGTATATTTCTAGAAGACGATCCTACTGTGTTATTTAAAAAAATTCTCCTAAGATGAAATACATCAACATACGTTGTCTACATGATTCTGTTTGGTGTTGTTTTTTCCATCAACCTGCTTGCAACTATTTTCGTACTAAATTTGGTCAATTATAAATATTGTCCGTTAGGTTTTCATCTGGCAACAACGAATAGTAATTTATTTTCAGAATTACTCGCAAGAAAAGGCAGGCAGCCAAATTGACCACTTACAACCAAGTTTTTGCCATGTCAAATTCAAGTTTTGTATTAAACACAGAGTTGTGTCCCTTGTTCATTGGCATAACTATTTTGGGGACATGTCTCGTACACTGTGTTACTACGACTATAGTTTCTAATTTATGTATGGGAGAACCTCTTGGTACATATGTAGTCTTAATACCCAACTTGATACAGACGTATGGCCATATGCTAATTCTCACACCAACTTCGTTCAAAAGTGAGGGGGTTGCGGACTGCTCCTATAACACTGCAACATGGCAAAGTTTTCCAAGGCAATTCACAGTCCCCTATTGGTAATGATGTCTTAATTTTCCAGGCAGTACACTTATCTCGGGATATAGGTCACAGTAACATACTTTCTGCACTCCGCCAGCCAAAACATGCAGGCATACCAAATCTGGTTATTCCAGTTGAAACGGTATAGAAGATATGCCCCAGGCAAACTATTTCAGAGATTGAGGTCAAAGGTCAGACCATAGGTCACAGTAACCTAATTTCCCCCCTATCCAAAGATGTACTTGAATACCGCATCTAGCTATTCCAGGTGAAAAAGTAGAGAAGATATGGCCTAGACAAGCTTTTTCAGAGATCGAGGTCAAAGATCAAACCATAGGTCACAGCGACCTACCTTTTGTACCATACACTCCGCTATCCCATGATGTACTTGTATACCAAATCAGGTTACTCAAGGTGAAATAATACAGAAGATATGCCCTGGACAAAATCTTCGGATGGATGGATTTCGGAAAGATGGACAATGGGAGAGCAAACCTATACACCACTCTCCTAAATCCAAAGTGGTGGGAGAAATTTTGTCGTTTCTTTATCAAAATGCATTTTTTTTTAGATAGAAATTCAAGTCTTGGAACTCGGCCTCATTTGGAGAACTTACTTAATCTTTGTAATAAAACTCACTAACTTGTCTTTAAAAAATCCTACAAAAATTATGAGGTAATGAATGACATGATTAGACCCTCAAACCATACATTTACCCAAAACAAAACATAAACTACCTTTAAACCATTCCATAGCTGTAAAATATGTTGAATCATCTGTGAAACTTTCTTTCTGCTTTACTGAAAGGTACTGTGTACAACTAAAAGTTTACTTGTTACAAGACCTGAAAATTTAGAAACTCTAGAATAATATTGATAAAACAGTTAGTAAAACATTTGTGGCAGATTTTAATTGTACATAGGATTACGGTCACCTTCTAGCTTCTAGAGGGAATTTCCCTTTAGCTCCGAGGTAGAGCGTCGACTAGGAATGTTAGGAATGTGGAGATTGAGGGTTTGATCCCCGGTGAAAGCACACTTATTCTCTCTCCTGTTACAAATGGTGTCTGGCCCTCCCTGTAGTGACAGGGTGTTAGAACCTGGGTTGTGGTGTTCACCGGCGAACACATTTAAAAAGGGGGGGGGGGGGGGACTGNACTGTGGCAGATTTTAATTGTATATAGGATTACGGTCGCCTTCTAGCTTTGAGCTAGGGGGAATTTCAATTTTAGCTCAGTGAAATTACAAAAGATCAAAAAACAAAACATAAGTCAAATGAGCGTGCATTATAGCGTTTATTTAACACTCATCACTTAGCTTAAGTCAAGATCTGTGCCTACACGGTTACAACATGTAAAGTATAATTCAAGTAGCCATGGGTGATGTGTAGTATATAGCACTGATTTACCACAGGGGCTTGACAAAGCCTAATATAATGGATAATATAACAGAATACTATTCCAATGGCTATAAATAGTGTCAGGCCCCTGTGGATTTAAGTATAGCACTGAGTCAATCACAGGAGCTGGACAAAGTCTAATATTATAGATATTATAATAGATGACCGACTAGTGCCTGGCCCATGTGACTTGTGAAATATGTTAAATATAGCCAATCACAGGAGCTGGATTCATTTGTATAATGGTTGTAGGAATGTTAAATATATACCGATAATACTATTCCTACAACCATTATATCAACGTATCTGGTGCCTGTGACCTAAACTAGCCATGGATGCGGAATAGGGTAAGTATAGCACTGATACAACCACAGGGGCTTCACATTTATATAATGGTTTTAGGAATGTAAAATATACAATATTATGCCTACGACCATTATACCTGTATTAACGGGTCTGGCCCCTCTAGCCGTAGATGTGGAATATACCGGTATCATCAGGAATGTTTTCCACAGGAGGACAACGTGAGGTTTGCTTCAATCACAACAACTGACAATAACGGGGCTAAAAATAGTTTCGGCACTCGTACAGGATGCTGAATACTGACTATACTGTTTGACATGCAGATATTATCACACCTTTATGCATTATATGATACGACAGACATCCACTGAGATAAATATGGCAATAAATATTACACTGTGTATGACGGGTGACATTGATCACAGACAGATGAAATAACTGTACATGCCCACATGGTGCATGTTTTTGGTGCATATATTTTCGGAGGTACTGATATTGTAAATGAGATTCATCAGTTTGGTTTGAATTATAAATGCTTTTTTTTTTTTTTTTTTTTTTTTTTTTTATCACAAACAGTGTAACTGACCGGTGTCTCAGTTGAAACGCTGAGAACAACTCACTATGCCACCATGTGCCAAGTCAGTAAAGTCAGCTGTCAGAGTAATATTGGGACATTACCTACAAAATAACACTCTTATACTGCAGGCAATCAGAGTCTAAGGGTATTATGTTTCCTTAGTGGATGTTAACCGACATTACTGACTCGGCACCTTGTGTCTTAGTGAGTTGATTTCAGAGGTTTCATCAAGACACGGGTCATTTGCACTCCGTTTGACAAAGGAAACAGACGTTTTCAAAAACCTTGCAAAATAAAAAAAGTTTCCAATTACTGTTTATGTTCTTAGCAATCTTAGCATTGACTATACCAATCTTAGCATTGACTATACAAGATAATTTCAATAAAGAAACGGAATCTCAAGTCTGTTTTATTAGCAATTACTGTCCAACTTCTAAGGAAAACTCAAACATTCAAACCACACAAAAGCAAAGATCCGTCCTTATTGCTAGCATCACACATTGATTATCTTGGTGCTAAGATTAATAGGCTACAGCATCTTTGCAAGCCTCCTGCTCAAAGCTTTATTTATATTTTCATACTTGATATATAATTAATGTTATGTGTATGTATTATCACTGGTGTGTCGCAGAAACTATCCGGTGATTTTACTAAAGGAATATATAACACAGGAGATAAGAATGTTGTGCTATTACAGAGGAGAACAGCTTACTACAGTGAAAAGGATTCCTCAGAACACTCGCACAAATTTCGGTGCTCTCAACTTTTAAAACAGGCAGTTGACTGCCTAGGAGAATAGTTTCAGCAATAGTTGTTAGAAATGGTTGAATGTTAACATGCTATAATGTTTACCTATACATATTCAGAAAAATAACTGGCTCAAAGTTGATGAATAGCAGGTTAATTTTGCCAGCAACCAGCTTTAAATGAGAAGCTTCTTGGTCTGTCTGTACGCTATTTCACATTCTACCAGGATGTGTCCGGTGCTCTACTAGATACAATCGGTGTGGATTGAAAGATGTTGAAAATTAGAATTCAGAAATAAACAGATCAATTTACACTGACTAACGAAAGACAACAGTAAATTTGCATTTTTTAACCTTATTATGTGTAACATGGCAGTGGACATGAAGATATCAAAGTACTATCACACAGACTCGGGGAAATTGAGACGCTATCATTCACCTAATAACCTAATCCTTTATACACATTCTGGGCACACATTCCTTTGCCAGAAGTTACAAACTTACTTTTAAAAACAAGTATATGCCCTGCACCACATTTTGGCAGCCACTAGAAGAATCAATATGGCTATTTTTCAAGAATTTTGAAAACTTCCGTCGTCCTCTTCATTTTTCCTGAATTACTATGTCTTTTTTAAGAACATAATACAAAATCACTATTAACCTAAAATTTAAAAAAAAAATAAAAAAAATGAAAAATTATGTTTAAACACCACATATGGAATACATTGTAAAAAAAACCCATTAATGCATGTTTCTCCTCTAGCGACAGCAGTTAAATATTCGTTTGAAATCGTAATACGACAATTACCTGGACAAAGACATTCAGTATCCCTTAATCATCAATAACAAGTATAAATAAAATTGCTGTAATGCAGAGATATTTTTGTATACAGGGAAATTTTTAAGGAGGTGAATGAATCCTTAGAGCGAACATGAACAACAAACAACAAACATGGTAATCATATAATTAATAATATCAGTATTTTGAGGTTCTTATATACCGCTTTATCACAACCTAGTTCGTAGGTCGTCTCAAAGCAGTTCACAAATTACTATCCGTGGTTATAGGGCCTTTGTAACCAGCCAATATCTTTTTCAACTCCATGGGGAGCATACAGCCGGTGCTGCCATTTCGGCGCTCACAGCTAGCATGCAACAATTCCAGCACTGCCCAAACACATACTCATTTACAGCTGAGTAGACTGGAACACTCATTTAAAGCTGAGTAGACTGGAACTAACTTATACTCATTTACACATACTCATTTACAGCTGAGTAGACTGGAACACTCATTTAAAGCTGAGTAGACTGAAACAATCGGAGTAAAGTATCTTGTTTAACGATACAATACAGTGCCGTGACGTGACCCGAACCTGCAACCCTTTGGTAACGAGCCTGGCATCCTACCACTAGACTGCCGTCACTTCGTGCCTCCATGTGAAGGACAAAATCGACACTCGTCACTGGGAGAAGAACTGGTTTTACCAGTATAGGGTGAAAGTTTGACAGGGTAAAAGTTTCCCATATCCATGGTAATGATCCAATACACATAGTAATCAATGTAACAGATGCAGGAATATTGATTTCTTAGAATACTTTATTCATCACCGTTGCTATTTGTCACATGTATGGCTTCTTACAATCTGTAGCACTTGAGTAAAGATCAACACACATGCAAAACAAAAACAAGACAAACACTACTTATAAACATCAAGTAAATATTTTGGGTGGATTACAAAGCCACCTCTGTACGTCATCAAGCTCAAATTGATAATTTTCTCCTCTAAACATTTGTACCCGTGACCACCAACAATCTTGTCTAGAACACTATTTGGAAAATCCCTTAACACCAGTAAGAAGATAAACTGTCGAACAACTTGATAAGAGCGAGATCACTATGGTTTCTAGCGCCACGAACAAGTAAACTCCAAGCTTGTCACATGTCGACACACTTATGACGTCGTAACACTCTAGGTGTGCTAATTGAAAGTGAAGTTTTCCAAACTCAAGGTCACCTATGGTACACGGCACCACTTATATTCCAAGATTTTCCATTATTCTAATAAGGGTTACCTCGCTTTGAAAGGTATTCATCTTTCATTTTGATACTATACAATGCCTGAATAGCAACATTTGTAAAAGATTGCCAGACAATGGGTCACTCGTTAGAACCCTCGAATTTCTGTTGTTTAAGATATTCAAATTTCAAACAACGTCAACTTTATAAAATGCATCCCATGAAACAAGGAATTTCCTCATGGAAATTAGAAAATGGCGTAAACATACCAGAAGAGTGCCAATGGTAAAAAGATATTTTAACCTCATGGTATCCTTAACCTTAAGTGACCATTCTCTCACAAAGACTGAGCTGTACGAGTATAAATAATAAAAAGAGGTTTTACAGTACAGTTCCAGTAATGCGTCCAACTTAGTTCCGTGCAAATTAAACTAGACCATGAGAAAGGTCAATATATCCCCTAAATCCTGTGGCTACATAGCAGGACAATTAGATAAGTGGTGGCTAGATTAAATAATTCTACACTGTATTAGCCCAGAAACAAAGTAGCCGGTATGTAATTTGACGAGGCTTTAAGTATCAATTATCTGCTTCAACATCAAGACTCCAGTGCTGCTAACTGCTCCTTTAACTGGGCGAGGTTTTTACTCATAGTGATGCAGAATCCTCTGGAGGCAGGAAGGAACGGGAAGTCTGGGGCACACGGTTTATCCTCAACTACTTCTGCGACGGATTCTCCACTACTGTCGTTTCCCACGACATGTATCTCTTTACCATTAGAGTCACTGGTATGTTTAGTCTTTGCACAGTCAGTGGAATTTTGATTGCCTGAGTTGGTTTGTTGCTCCGACAGTGAAATCCAGTGCTCGATTCTACGTGCAAATCTGTTTAAACAAGGAATTACAATTCTTGTAAGTTTAAAGTAAATCTTTATTAACTGTTATGAATAAAAAATTCTAATAAATATTTTATTCTCAACATAACACCCTATGTTTATATACCAATATTTCATCCTTTGACACTCTGTTACCATCAATTGGAATTGAACTTAATATATTTTGCAATGAGTATGAAACAAGTTTATAAACTTACATTAAAATCACTCTACGTGGCCTTGACTGCATATAAAGAAACTCGATAGCATGCAACTGATATTGAAGTGGTGCACACGCCCTGTATATTGTATATATAAACTATTTACCTACAAATGCAAACTATTGAAATAATATTCCACATGACTTTCTGTAGCATAGTCCTACCTTGTTCCATACTTTCGGATGTGTTCCAGTGTTTCTGCTGTAAAACTGTGAGGAGGTCGCTGTATCATCTTGGTGACACTCTACAACACATATGCAGGATATTTTGTCTTGAAACAAGTGGCTCAGCAGGCCTTTATTGCTCATAATGATATTTAAGCAATTATGGCAAAATGTTCTCATTGAAGGTAACATTGCAAATATTTCCACATTTTGATCTTGTCTCTCAGCAACTTTATGTAAAATTTGATGAGCTCTTTCGAGGTATGCTCTTAAGCAATTTGGTTAAAAACAGATTAACAATGAAAGCTACATTCTAATTCCTTTACAACACAACTTATTCCCAGGTCCCTGAAGCACATAACTTGTCTGTTGATTTTTTCCTCTAAAAACCTAGTCCTCCTGACTGACTGGTTGCATTTCATCTAAATTTGGATTGCAGCAATCTTCCTTGGGACAGAAAGGTAGGACTCATTGTAATAAATTAATCTTATTCAGTACCAATAACCAATAAAGGCATCTGAGCCAAACTTGATCTGAAGCCTCACTGGGCCAAAGGGACTAAATTTGTGTAAACAGAGGGTGTAGTTTTATAAGTGTCTTTTTTTGTTTTGCCAATGCACTGAAACCTACTTCTTTTGTCATGATGGTGAATAGCAGTAATAGAGTTTAACTTTATCTTTTGCAAACCACATAGCTTAACAGAACTAGTTGGTGTTGTATGTGAAAGTGCACCAGTGCAGAACTTGTATAAATTAGAATTGATTGACTTGGCTAAAGTTTGGTTGAGATTTCTCTGTCCACACTACACAGGAGTGATCGATTCTATTATTGCATGTACCAAGTTACACAACCCAAAATAATCAGCCCCATATCCGACCTACTCATTTCTTTTAAATATTTCAATATTAAAATTCTACCTGAACCAGCTTCAGTACGGCCATCTCATTATAGGTTTTGCTGTTTTCATTCCCTAGCTGGGTGTCTTTTTGTCTCTCATAGCCAGCTTCATTGAAATAAGGTTCCGACACCAGTATCAGGCCTACAAATGCAAAAGAAATGTTTCGCAACAAACCACTCTAAGCATTAGTACAGTCAAGTGTGTCTAAACTTACATCATCAGCAGGACCAGTATAGATCCATTCTCAGGTTAACTATCCTAGATACTCCAGGGATTACGCTCACTTTCGCTCTCTGCACTCCTGGAATATGTCATAGCAAAATTGATGACACGTGACTAGCTATTTGATTGTTCTCATGCAAAAACATCTGACCAATCCTTAAGGCTGAAACCTGTCCTTTGAAGATTACAGAGGAGCGACACCAGACTTCTTTTGATGTACATCAAAGGATCACACTAGTCTTCTCTTCCCATCGATTTTGCTATGACATATTCCAGGGATGCAGAGAGCAAAAATGAGCATGTGATGTCTCCTTAAATATTCCACGAACTTCTCCTACATGCATTTTGCCTTTAAAACTGAAACATCCTCTGAAGAATCAGAATCTCCAATGGGTATGACGTTAGTACATGTAATCCCCACCTTGTTTAAAACGACTGTAAACACCAATAACAGAGGTTATGTTTAGAGAATCAATGATAATTACATAAAGAAGCTTTAAGTTAAGATTATTGTTCAATATAGAAGTAATTCATTGTGCTGGGTTCTGGTAAAGAATGCTTGCAATGAGAATTTCACTACAAACAACTCAATCAATCTTTTTACCAAAGGGAGAAAGATATTTCTATTTTTTCTGAAGTCATCACAGGTTCAGACCACACATGACAAGGTGGATTATTTGTTTATTTACAGTTTTGTGTTGTCGCAACAGCAAAGGTCATATGAAAACAGTGTTCGCAGATGATGGGGCCACTGAAAGAGTCATCTCACTGAAACGTCGTAACCTAGATACAGCATATAGCACTCTACCTGGTCACATTTAGGCATTATTCGAACAATGGGCTTACTGGGTAGGGGTGAAAACAAAAGACAGGTCCCAAGTGTTACAATGGGACAGCAGATCAATTTTGGTTTCCTCTAAGAATAAGACATGGATGAGAGCCAATTTGGTTTCCTCTAAGAAAAAGACATGGATGAGAGCCAATTTGGCTTCCTCTAAGAATAAGACATGGATGAGAGCCAATTTGGTTTCATCTAAGAATAAGATATGGATGAGAGCCAATTTGGTTTCATCTAAGAATAAGACATGGATGAGAGCCAATTTGGTTTCCTCTAAAAATAAGACATGGATGAGAGCCAATTTGGTTTCATCTAAGAATAAGATATGGATGAGAGCCAATTTGGTTTCATCTAAGAATAAGACATGGATGAACGCCAATGGACATAAAATCTTACCCTTTGGGTTGAGATTTTTCTGTCCTACCCCAGCTGGGGAAATATTCTAGTAGTCTTCACTATCTATCAGACATTTATGAGAAACATTACCTTGAATGGACACCAGAACTTGGAGAAGATTTGAATTGGAGGTCCAGTTTTCCTTATCCTGTTACAAAAAGAAGATTTACATTATTACATTTACTCATCAAGCTTAAAGAAAGCTTTATACAGTTCAATGCAAAGAAAAGTGAGTGTTTTTATTTATCTTACAAATGACACTTTCTAACTGTTTCTAATAAATCCTTTAAAACCATGTTATATAGCATGCTTTTATATTTATAATATACATTATGTAAGAATTTACCAACATTATCGTTAAAGCAGAAGTACTAAAATGAGAGAATAACGTTCAAATTTCAATAATAATTCTAGTTCGAGCTTTTCTATGCACCAGTCGTACTGAAATAAGCCAATTAACATTTCATTTTAAGCCTAATAGTGTGCGATACCAAGCCATACATATATTGCACATATTCTGTGTTTACTGACCTTGCCCTCCCACGTTCCAAGCAGACTCACACACACATTGCCATCCTCATACAGGTTTGGGTTTAACCTGTCTGAGCAGAAGGCTATGTAGTGAAACAGGGGCGGACAATTGGGGTACTCTGCTCGTAAGTGAATGTCGAAGAAGAAAGGTGCATCCTCGTATGGCGTCTTGGCTGGACCCATGATCATTGCAGAGAACAGGTCCTGAAAGTTGGAGAGTATACGCTTTCAAGTTAGTCTACACTCATGTTATATCTTCTGACTTCTATCCCACTGCAAACAAAACACTGAGGAATTTTACTGTACTTTTGCCATGCATACAGTAACCTCCCTTGATTTTATTTTGGATATAACCGTAGTTGGGCTGGGTAAGGCAAATACGAATGATCAGATAGTAACTTAGAGCAACCATATTTTGAATGCAGGTCTAGTGTTAAAATCCCTTTCTGGCCCCGTTGGAATTTTTTTCTCTCTGAACACTGTTGCTATCTTTTTATGCTTTTTTTCATCTTTTTTTTTCCATAAAAGTTCTGCAAAGTATCAGTTTCTTTTCAGAACTGACTTAGTACATTTTGGTATAAATTCCCCCTGTTAAACTGCAGCAAAATTTCCCAGTATACAGTAACCAATTAGACAAGAGTTAAAAATTTTTCCCAAATACTTTCAATTAGCAGCTGGCCTAACAACAACTGTAAACAATCTTAGAACATGATAGTTACTGATTAACTCACCACTCTGTCTTCAAACCCTTTCACAGTAATTCCATGGGGCAGACTGGACTGCAGCAGCTTCATCTAGGAGACAGAACACTTTATTAAACATGTTTATAACATGATATTTTGTAATGTGAAGTTAAACACTACTCACGCTCTCGTACACTTTTTATAAGAATGTGTGCAAATTTCATAGCAATTTTCACAGCCTGTCGGCCATTTTCATAAACTATACATTAATAAACAGTCTGGATTTGAATATTGGAAAAAAAAATTGGCATTATATTTTTGTACTTTTACCGAAAAAAAAGTAAAAGTTGTAGTTCCCCATTATTATAGCAGGAAATTTAATCAAAACCTGCTATAGCACTATTTGCTATGGCTACAACACCTGAAATCCACAAAAAATACATCCCGCAAAATTGACCATACCAGCTGATCCACGAAAATTAGGAACAATGAAATGGACTCTTACAGTAATATGAAGTTTTTATAACCTCTCCTGCTATATATATACCTCCTTGGAGACTGCAGACATAAGCGCTTTCGTAGTTGGGGCTGATTCTTTTGACAGAAAATGATGATTTGGGGGTACTTCAGTCTCTAGTGTAAAACCTGGAAATAAATCGCTTTCGGTTTAAATTGAAAGGCATCTATTAAAGCATGATGATATTTTATTTAAAATAATCTTTAAACATGTATTCAAATATTCTGTCCGAAATCCTACCAGGATAACTTACTTTTAGTTTCCTACTAAGTTTAGCAGTTGACATGTATGTATTACTGGACACGATGTAGCATGAAAGCCACTAAAATTAGCATACTTCTTAAATTAGTACGCTTACAGTAGTATCCCTCATTTCAATTCCCACCACGCTAACGACCTTTACTGTATATCTAAGGTCTCATTTTTTTTAACCATTCCTTTAAACTTCTCTTTCAATATATTGCCAAACCCCTTTATAAGGTCAAAATGTTGCTACACCCATGGTGGCAGTATAACAAGATTTTACTGTATCTGTATTACTTATACGTTTATATACTGTAGCTTACTTCCCCTCTCCATGGTAATGGGTTCTATCTCGTCTGTGCTGGCCTCCAAACTGTTACAGTCAACTGGGGTAGAAACTTGCACAGAGGAATTGTCAGATACCACATCATTATCAGGGCATTCCTTTACAGTGTCCTCCGTTTCAATTTGACTGGAGCCTGTTGATTTCACTTCCATATCGGTCAGATCACTCTTAGGATCAATAGTATTTGTGCCCTCTGCCACTTGAGATACAGTATTGCCATTATCTGTCTTTGACAAGACAGCTTCATCAGGAATAATTGATGCATCAGTAGAATTTGAAATATGACCAACCTCCTCAGACTTTGATGAGGCCTGGTCCCCTTCCACCGGAATATATGATGCACCAGAGGTAGGTGATGTAAGTCCAGCCTCTTCTGACTTCAGGGAGGCAATTGCTTCACTATTCCTTTTGTTTACTTCTTCCTGCATTTTGGTCATCTGTTTGCGTAATTGCTTACATATCCTAGAACACAATTCCACATTGCCGTCTCTGGTAGCTTCAGTCCCTGTAGCCACATCAGTCTGTTGGCTTTTGTCATTGGGCGCCATCTCCTTGGAACAATCACCTGAAATCTTCTCTAGATCACTTGCTATACCATTACACATAGTAGTGAATGAGGGAGACTCTGCGGTGCATTTATTGTCTCCTTCCCCACTTACAGGACTAGAAACCGCCTTGGTAGTCGCAGAGTTGTCTTGTTTGTCCGTACAGTCTACCGACATCTCGCAATCATTGCCTACGGACATATCACTGGGTTTGATCCCTTCCCCATATTGGACTTCCATACCGGTACCTTCTGTCTGAACACATGTGGCAATCTTACAAACACCCGACTGCTCATTCATGTCGGTCTGAACACTTGCCGACACCCGAGACATGCTCCCCTGATCAGCATTGACTCCTTTAATGCTCTGTCCTCGTCTATTTTCAAACACCTGCATCAAATGTCTGTTGATTTTATTGCACTTTTCTTTGCGTAGCTTTGCCTTGATATCTTCAATTAAACCTAAAATGTCTGGATTTTCGAAATAAGAGGATTTTATAATCCTGTCTAGTTCTCTGCACTTGCGGTATATTGCTATAATGTCCTGAAAGCATTGTTCTGGATTCTGAATTCGTAGGTCACATTGAACGTTAACGAAAATGGCTTCCAGTTTACCAAGTGCCGTCTGGGCTCTCTGTATAAAGGACACTAACTCCTCTCTTTTATGTTGTAGTTGGAACCATGCTGAGTCTGTATCTCTGAAATATCCAACAAAACTTAACACGAAATGTGAGAAAAAACAACAAAAAAACGTAAAAAGTAACATTCAACTATTTTCTGTTTAACAAAAGAATTCGGAGCAGCAACATTTCAATGAAATCTGTAAACCCCGAAACTAGTAAAACTTAAGTGTGTATGCAGCCAATCAAGCGTTGGTTAAGTTTGGCTTGATAGGTTTCAGACACATTGAGAACCTTATGCATATGGAAGCCAAAAAAAAACGTAGCCGGATGAAGATGCTAAAAATGAAATGTCCCGCTATCAATCGAGACCGCCCAGAGTAAATAAATCAATTTAAAAATTCTACTTTTCATCTGGTGTTGTTGATTTATTGGTGTCGTCGTCAACCTCTTCCTCGTTTTCTGTCTCCCAACTGGCATCGCTGTCCTCTTCATCATCTTCCTCCTCATCAGTAGTCGCCCAATCAGAGTCACTGTCAAATTCGCTCATCTAAACAAATTAAGTAGCATCTTATTTTCAAAAACATTTCTGAAATCAACGCATTTAAGGTGAATATGTTGCAACATTACATGCTTTATGACTTAATTCCAGGCACAATATAGACTAGCAGCTGATGATAATTACTGGTCGATCTAGGCCTATTTGATCATGTGCGAACATTAGGCACCACCGGATCTCAGCAAGTGTTTTAGCTGCATATTTCAAGGAAAAAAAAAATCAAAAAATCACTGTAAATAAAGTTGCAAATATCTTAACTTAACAATCTTCTTTGTCAAACCATATCACTTGGACATTTAAATATGGTCACTTTCGGGTTTTGACAGCTGAAAAGGTCAGAAAAACATGTTTTCTCTTAATGTCACATTCTGGTTATTATCATGTTTTCCCGGACAATGAATAGTGTTATTAGGCGAAACTTACTGTACTACTTAACATGCATTGCATACATGGTGACTGCATTATGCACAGTAAGGGAATGTAGTCATCAGAATGAGCTCAAAAACACAGATCTATGAGTAACTTCGTTGATTCATTCACTAAAATTAAGTGCACAGACATACCTCAAACATAAGTCCTTTCTGTGTTTTGCAGGCCTGGGTCATTTCAGAGAGGGGAAATTGGCCCAGCAAAATTCCAAATTGCTCATTTATTTTTTAAGTGATGGGCTTTTTTCCCAAAGATGTTCAATTTTTCTCAAATTCATACAAAATGAGCCAATCAAATTTCCTGCCCAAAAATTCCCTGCCTTTGTTAACTAATGTTTACTTAACTAAATTAAAATTTAAGTACAGGTACTACAGTGAGTGAGAAACTACATAACACATTGTCAAACGAAAAGTTACTCACCTCATCTCCTACAATGTAGAGTTCCTGAGGGTAGCAGTGTGTTATTTCCCCGTTGGGCCAGCGTACGTGTAGGGATCCCTGGGGGTCAAGTCTATGTACCTGTCCCACAGCTGGGGTATTGTCTGTAACATTCTGTAATAAACATATCACATTCTTTAACAAACCCACAGCAGTCAAAAGTATGTATTTGGGAATTGCCATCTACCTTTGAATTTTAAGAAATGAATGTGTACCTGTGGTCTTGAACTGATGATGACAATCACCTCATTACCAATTCAGCTTGATGACAAACATAAATTTTTAAAACTTTAACTTCCCTTTCCTCTATAGTAATATACCAGCTTCCCCTACTGCAGAGTTTACATGTCACAGTTAATTCATTATTTGAAAGCTAAATCTAAGACTGGTTCACTGTTTCCTAGTTTTTTTCTCTCATTGCTTCACTTTTGAAATTATTTAGACTTTTTGTGATGTTTTTTTCTGGTGTAAATGAAAAATAAGTGAACAAAATCATTTAAATTACAAAATTGTTTAGCAAGAAAGTGATAATGATAACTTTTTTCCCACTAGAGGGCAAAACGTTGAAATCCAAAAGGAATACGGCCAATTCTTTCCGTCAGTTACTTATAGCATCAAAAAACACATTCAAAGTTATAAACATGGATAAAGAATCTCATCTTATGAAACAAAATCAAATTGAACACTTAAATATTAAACAGTTGACAATATACAATTATGGACTTTGGGTAAGGTCTATCTCTGATTTACGAACCTGGTCTGAATGCTGCCTCGGACCAGGTCTGTAAATCATGGATAGACCGAAATTAAAGTCTACAATTGTTTTATATGACATTTTACAATGAGATTAATTAATTTTCATGTCATTAACATATGGATGACATGGGCCATTCTTAGCCAAATTAGACTAACAATCCTAAGACAAACCATAGGCTCTGCCACCCTGATGACCGTGTGACCTGGCCGGAACTTGAAGTCTGTGTGGTCCTTGATGTCATACACGCTGACCTCTGTTACAGGAACATCCTCATCTGGCCTATAACAATTGTACTAGCATATATATTTAATGGTAAACAAAATGCATACTCTTGTACAAATTCTTACCAAACAGAAAATTGTATGATCACCACTTAATTTGATACCTGGTATATCTATATAGTAATATATATTATGTAAGATATTTTTACATCCCCTGAAGGGCACCTGATCAAAAAGTTTGGGATTATAAAGCTGAGATGCACCTTTTGACAGTAGTTTATAATATAGTTGTCAGCTTAGAACAGAGCGACATTGACCCGTAGACTTGGAACCCTGAAATACCAACTCATCCACCGTATTCTTATACTTGACCTTCATTAAAGCTTTGATGAAAATCTTTTGAAAAAATATAAAGTTCGTTGAGCAATGACAATGAATCCACATTAAAGATTTTTGAGCCGTCCCGTGATGGTCCTTTTTACACAGATTTATTTGAATATAATTTATAATGATATAATGTCAAAAATTCTGTGATAGACTCTGAAACTCACTTTTCCCCCTTGGCTATGTCGACTGTCTTCATCCATCTGACCATGCACGTCCTAGCCAAGTGGTCACAGCTGGTCACCACACCGTAGTTACTACACTTTCCGTTATTATTATCTGGTGAAAATCAAAATTCAACTTTATTTATTTTACAACAATTCCAAATCAACTTAAATTTCATCACTCTTGTTGGCCCGAATAATAATAGCTTACAGGGAGTCTTAATATGGGAGGAAACCTGAGTACCCCGAGAAAACCTACATGTTCAGGCAGGTGACCCCATACCTTTTCATGTCGGATCAGGGAATCGGACCCCAGTTGTCTGAGTGAAAGACAGTGAGCTATCCACTGCGCCAACCAACAAGAGGTCCAAGGGCCTTAGCGGTCACCCAAGTTATATTATAGGTACTGGTAGCTCAATTTCATTGTTGAGATGTGATGTGGAAGTCAACATGTAAACAAAGTGAAATGCAATACTTGTCATGTCACCATAGGGTAAGAACTCTAAAAACTATTCAAATAAATTATTTTGCTACCGAGAAATATAATATCTATTGTTCTTTAGCCAATTTTTCTCTCTGGCCAACCCCTGGGATAGGTCAGGATCTTAGTTTCTGATACTATTTGATTTCAATTTCATTATAACTATTCCAACCAAGTTTGAATTATTTCTTGCTGAAAATGGACAAGATATAGTCAGAAGTGTTATTTCCCTATATAAACCAAGGAGAACAGATGACCAAAGGGTAATATAACTAACAGTTTATATAATGCACCTAAGGGCATTTCCATCAAAAATAAGAAATTTGAATCTTCTACCATCTGAGTGCAGAGGTTTTTTAAATATCAGCCATTTCCCCTTTTTGGCCCCACCCCTCCTGCCCCTGAGGCATGGACAGACCTTTTTTTCAAACTGATAATGCACCTTAGGACCTTTCTATCCATGAAGAGTATTTGTAACACATCTGAGTCTGATGAAGAAGATTTTTGAACTTTTAACCATTTTCCCCATTCGGGCCCCACCCTTCCAGCCCCTGTGGATAGAGCAAGACCTGATTTTCTCATTCCATCTAATTGCCATCTGGCATTATAATTATTTCTAACCAAGTATTAATAATTTCCAGCTGAAAATTAACAAAATATACCCAAAAGAGTTATTTCCCTATATAAACTACAGTAAACTTGACCGCCTCCCCAACGGAGACTGGATGGCCCAGGGGTACTGAAATTTACAATCGACATAAAGCCCTTGATGATCTTTCCATCCATGCAGAGAAATTGACTATAGTACCTCTGGAGAAGAAGATTTTTGAAATTTCGAATAATTTTCCCTTTGGGCACCCTGGCCCCTGGGGTTGGGGTAGGAATCCCAATTTTACAATTTTGTAGCCTCATATACCAAGGATGATGCTGACAAAGTTTGAAAAAAAATGATCTTCTGGTTCTTGAGAAAAAGTCGAAAAAGTAAAAAGTTTACGCACGACGATGGACGAAATGCGATCAGTATAGGTCACTTGAGCAAAGCTCAGGTGACCTAAAAATTGCAACCAACCATTGTAATGGTGAACATATTATGACTAATGAAGTCATAATATGTTCTACTTAGGTCATTTTATTTAAGCGTTAGTAAACACATTAAATATTCCTGTTTTGGTTAGTTTTACAAAATATAAGTTTTTGTAAAATGTATATTTCCTTTCGCTTTTCACTATACAAGTACATTGTCCACTTAAGAATGCATAAAACAGGTAAAATGAAACACAAAAACTGTTCTTCCTTATACTTTGCAGATATCTCAATTAAGATTTCTGTATTAAGATCGAACAATTTCATAATGCTGATGCAACATTTTAGTTACACAGTTTTAGGGAGTGGTGTACATGCTAGAAGCATTTGATTTTTAATTCATTTTGATCCACATTGTTGCCTGCTCACCTTTGGAGTCTACGACAAAGTCACCAGGAAAAAACTCAAGTTCATCAAGGTGATGAATTGGATACAAGTCGGGAGAAGGAGTCCCTGTTTCTTCTTCTCCGTTCTGTAAATACATCATTTTTCAGAAACTGTTTGTGAAAAAATAAATACTAAAATGGTATATCTGAATTTGTGATCAATTCTGTTTGATAATTTGTGCAATTGGAGATGTTTATCAATATGTATATATAGGCTAAATGAAAACTGCTTTTCTGCTTTCCCTGCCTAGGCTAACCTACTTTTTCACTTTTTAAATAAGCACAGTTAATGTCTAAATTTTGTCCCTGCATAATCTTTGTCAAACATTCAGTATTGCAAAATAAAAAGTTTTGTTTACATACTTACGCCAATTTTTTTGAGAACCAAAACCAAACCCAACAATTTTAATACTTCTTTTGGCCTGTTAAATCATTAATTTGCCAAAAAGGATTGGTTTAAGGGAATCAAAAGGTCAAATTTTACAAAGACTAGTCTTTTGGATTCTGCGATAATCTCTGGACATGAAAGTGTGGATGAATAGATGGACAGACAGACACACCCTGCTTTACCATAGGGCACCTGTACCTCTGATGCAGGGCCCTAAATATACCCTGGATAGAGTAAATCACCAACCTGCCACATAATATTAGCCATTGAAAATGTGTAGCAAACTTCAACAGCCACTTTTGAGCCGGGGTCACAAGGAAGAATAATGTCATCAAACTTTGGAAATGGTTTGGATCTGTTTTTCTCTCCTCTTTTCTTCAATTTTAACTTCTTCATTCCCACCTCTTTCACCGTGCTTGCTGACTTTGCATCCTTGGAAATATTACTTTTTTTCTTTTCAGTTTCATTTGTTTCTCCGTCTACCTCCTCTTCCTCATCGTCCATAGATTCGTACTCATCAGACACGTTATCGAAGTCGTCTTTATCATTACCTGGTTCTGCTGTATTTGTAAAATCACTACCCTCACGAAGTACGGGGGCCATTAGGGACTCCCTTGTGGAGGATTTAGAACATGTTGGAGAGCTTATCGATAGGGCCTCAACGGGGGTAAATTTTGGATAAGTGCCATCCTTAAAAGTCAACACATGATTGTCTCTAATGACGATATCTGGTACCAAGTTCCCCTTAGGAGGAATGATCGTCATCACATCAGTTTCTTTAATCACATATTTCTTCTTATCACCAATCTGTACTCCGCAATGCGTAAATCCCTCCAGCACGTGTAGCCTACAGACCAGAAAATTAAACATGAAAAGTAATTATTATATTTTCGAAACCAGCATTTGAATAACGTTAAAGTACAAATTTTTGTGCATGTAAAAGTTCATGATCACGGTACGGCATAAGCTTCAGACCAGGTGAGCTAATAATACTGGACGCAGGCATATTGCCTATATATCCAGATCACAAAGTTTAACATTAACATGTACATTTTTGTCAAATCATATTTACATCAAGACATACATGTTTCCTAATAACACGAAACAGAAAATTCAGTATTGATTTGTACGTCAGAAAGGTTAGGCTAATCAAATCAAAACTTATTGGTTTCCTGTTACATGTCGGATAATATTAAAGGGTACATACATGTAGGTAGTAAATACATTTTTTTTATTTTTTTTTAATAAAATGTGTATATATATATTAAAAAGAATGATCTTGTTTTAAACAGTGCTTCCTTAAAAATTGCCAAAAGAGTTAGGATAGGCACAAGACTTTAGGTATGTAGTGTAAGGTAAACCGAAAAAAATAGCATTTTTTATTTGGCCTTATAGCCTAATTTCCCATTTTAGAGACAACAAACATGATCTCTGACTTGACATGTTCCAAATTTTCTGAAAAATAACAAATCATTCTCCTCTAACTAAAAGTTTCATAGATCACGGGAAGATTTGAATAGTAAACTTTTTATAAGTAATACTCGCCTGTCGAGATCTTTAGCCTTTACGTCATTAGGAGGATGTTCTAGGTTTGCTATTGAGTCATCCATCTTGGTAAAACCTCTACAAAGCCACTGGACCTCCACAGAGCGAACACTTACCTAAAACAAACCAAAACCATTTCCTGTTACATGAGAAAACATGTTATCATTATCTTAATTCCAAAAGTCATTACCTGGATCACTACTTATATCTTGATATATTATCTGGATCACTCAAAATATCTAATTAAGATCAATCAAGATATTCTATTTCTATCGTTTCAGATATCTTATCTAGATGAATCTTATCTTGACCACCCTAGATATCTTATCTAGATTAATCTTATCTAGATCATTCTATATATTTATCTTGCCCACCCTTTATATCTCTCTAGATTAATTTTATCTAGATCATCTAGATTTTTTATCTTGACCACCCTATTTATCTATCTAGATTAATTTCATCTAGATCACTCTAGATATTTATCTTGGCCACCCAATATATCTATCTAGATCATTCTAAATATTCATCTTGACCACCCTATATCTCTCTCTAGATTAATTTTATCTAGATCATCTAGATATTTTATCTTGACCACCCTATTTATCTATCTAGATTAATTTTATCTAGATCATTCTATATATTTATCTTGCCCACCCTATATATCTCTCTAGATTAATTTTATCTAGATCATTCTAGATATTTATCTTGGCCATCCTATATATCTCTCTAGATTAATTTTATCTAGATCATTCTAAATATTTATCTTGGCCATCCTATATATCTCTCTAGATAAATTTTATCTAGATCATTCTAGATATTTATCTTGGCCATCCTATATATCTCTCTAGATAAATTTTATCTAGATCATTATAGATATTTATCTCGGCCATCCTATATATGTCTCTAGATTAATTTTTTCTAGATCATTCTAGATATTTATATTGGCCATCCTATATATCTCTCTAGATAAATTTTATCTAGATCATTCTAGATATTTATCTCGGCCATCCTATATTTGTCTCTAGATTAATTTTTTCTAGATCATTCTAGATATTTATCTTGGCCATCCTATATATCTCTCTAGATTAATTTTATCTAGATCCTTCTAGATATTTATCTTGGCCATCCTATATATCTCTCTAGATAAATTTTATCTAGATCATTCTAGATATTTATCTCGGCCATCCTATATATGTCTCTAGATTAATTTTTTCTAGATCATTCTAGATATTTATCTTGGCCATCCTATATATCTCTCTAGATTAATTTTATCTAGATCATTCTAGACATTGTATCTGAATCTCTCCAGATTTCTGAACTAGATCACTCCAGATGTCATAATCTTAACCAAATCAGTTATAACTGACTATTCTCAAGATAACACTGGTAATGTATATCACAAAGTTATTTTTTAATTTAACCTTTTCACCCCTATGTAACTAAGTAAACTCTACCATGCATCGATCTAGATGAGTCTATTATGGTCTACAGTGGTGAAAGGGTTAGTAAGATACTTTGAGAGGTAAAAACCTTACAAGTCTGTTCAGTATGAACTTACCTCTTCCACCTGAACACTGACAGCCAGCTTTGATTTCTTAGCACGTCTAGAATTGTGTAGCTTTGTTTGGTTCAACCATCTGGCGTCTCTGAAATCTTTCATCCAACCCGAGAAAGTCTGCCCGCGATAATAACAGCTATCGTAGTTAAACTCAGAGTCCTTAAGAAAAAAAGAATACACAAATTCTCAGTATTCAATGTATATATCACATGCAATAAATGGAATACATATATGTTTAACAATGGCTAGATATTAGCAAAAATTTTTTTTTTTAAAAAACAATCACGACAAGTTTGCAAGAGTTCTTGCAGAATGGGTAAGAAACTAGATTATTATTTATCTAATAGTTGGATCATCCATATTCTAACAAATCTGGGCGATGAATGTTTAAATTCAATTGTACGATATATTAAAGCGACATTGCTAGATCATGATGCAGAGAACTTGAAAATTGTCGCCAATCTAATTTTTACACAAACCCAGGACCCAAAATAAATCATTCCTGCATATTATCCGATCCATAGATGGGATTCCTGCATATTACCTGGATGCCAATTATTAAACTTTATGGGAGATATCCGTAAAGAAATCCTACACTCCAGGGTGGAATAGATGTTTTACTGGAATAGCCGTAATTATGTTCACAGCACTTGTTAATACTGAATTTAAGCATCCCCGAGCAAAATAAATATTTTAATAATCTCCTCCCTTAAACTCACATCATTCATAATATTACTAATACACTCCAACATGCATAGGTCTGTGTCCATAATAAGACACCGAGCTCCATCAGGAAAGACAACCTGGACCTGTTGATTTACCATCTCCGGGCGCCCAACCCAAGAGTCCATAGTTACCTCCCCTGCATCCACCTCAAATCCCTATGAAACAAACAGCAGAATTGTTATAGCAAATTTCTCTTTAGTCTAAGAAATAATTTATTGAATCAAAGTTTCATTATTCATTTCCTATCTTTCTTTTATTTCAACAATCTTATTAATGATGATAAGGCCAAGAAAATATCTGTCTGTTTCAGGTATCTCGACCTATCTTAGATTTTACTGCCGACTCTAGATATTTTATCACCTAATTGAATCTAAGATTAATATGTTAGCCAGGCAAAGTTCACAGCCACTCATTAAAATGTACTTTCTTCCTGTTCTGTGAATCTGACATTATACTTGACAAATTAATAGCCATTGTAATGTGTGAAAATAAACATTAGAATTAAATTATTTGCCTACAGACCTACCCTATTTTTTTCATACATGTTACCCGAAACATAATTTGGGTTTTTTTGGCCAAAGAATATGAGTTTATCCAACATCATCACAGTCTGTGTCTAAGGGCTTCTGCTTTAACTGCACACCGGTGAACAATTGATAAAATATCTAGAGTCGGCAGTAAAATCTAAGATAGGTCGAGATACCTGAAACAGACCGATATTTTCTTGGCCTTGTCATCATAATAAGATATAGTTAGATATGTATTATTGTTATTTGCACAATATCAATCTAGTTTCAACTTTTCAATTTCTACAATTTTAAAAGAGAACAAAACCAATTAAAAACATGTAGCAGATCTTTTTAACAATCATTCAAAATATATCACAACAATAACAACAAAATTTTGAAATGTTAAAGATATTCATTCACAATAAAATATCTCCTTTCTTTATTTACTTTGTTGAGTATTCAAATCGGGAAAATATCAGAAGAAATTTGGAAAATATTATAACTTTAATTCTCCATGGGTAACAACTGTATCGAACAGGTTCTCAATTTAGGAAACACTCCACTGATACAATAACATATATGAGAAAATTTTCCGTAGGAAATAATTTGCAACTATTCTGGCCAGGTTTCATAATACTCTCGACTTTCACACATATATATATAAACATACCTGCAAGGGTTTCAAGTCTTTAGTATCTACATTGTAGATATATTTATTCGTCCCGATAATATGAAGATGACATTTCATTGAAGTATCTTGTACAAATCCACGAGGACTGTTCTCTCCGACTATTAATTTTCTGATGACATCTCCAGGCATCAGTGATCTGTCTGCCAAGACCACCTTCAAATAATGAACGAAAAAAAATATATATTATATTCACACATGTGAACTGTTTGCAAGAAGAAGAAAATATATGAGTTATCTGTGATTGTATTTTGTAGGAAATATATCTACATCAGCATGTACATGTAGGTGGCTAGGTGCATTCTTCCAACAATTTATGCAGAACAGACATTAACACTTTCACCCCTATGCAACTTTAGTAGACTCTCCCATGCATTGATCTGGATGAGTCCATTATGGTCTACAGTGGTGAAAGGGTTAAGTGTGTAGACAATTATTTCACGAGAATGCAATGGTGTTTATTATAAAATATATGTGGTTGATGTGTGGAGGTATCAGGTTTTGTTTGATAACCTCAACTTGGGTACATTATTGTGAAGAGTAGATAATGAATGGCCATGTGTTTGTAATACCAAGGATAAATGTGGGAGGGATAACATGACAGGTCTGTAGTGAAAGGATCTATTAGGTCAGATTAGGACTCAGGGGTTGGGATACCAAGAAGGCAAGGGGAAGGGTTGGAGGGAGTAGGAGAAAAGGGTATGGAGAGCATAGAAAGCTAAGATAGTAATAGGGTATACCCAAGATATCAGGGCTTTCATCAGCATGAAGGCAACATATAATGGTCAGGGGATAGTTGTGGGTTACTGGATTCCTAGAATTATCGGCCTATCAACACAAAAGAGGTCGACATTAGGCCAAATAGGTGAGGGAATAAAGGGTCATAATATTTTGACTCCAGGGTTGACTTGAGGGATGCAAGTTATAGATGTCAACGGTGGATTCAGTTGGGAGACATAAGGAAAGGAGAAAATGCAAGTATGGCAGGTAATTCGGATAGGATGGTATATATAGGTTATAGGGGTCAGATGTGGTCTAAAGTCTGAAGATTGGTCTATAAAATGTAAGTAGTGTTTTGGAAAGGGTGGACTATATGCCCAAGTCCAAGGCCTACGTGGGTCAGTTGCCAGCCACTGGCCGCAGGTCAGTGGTGTTTCTCTGAGGTCTCTATAGTTTTGCTCCACCACCAAAACCTGGCTTGACGTCCTTAAATTACTATTGAGTTGTAATTTTTTTAATAGGACGTAAAATACAAATAAACCAAAACCAATTGAAGCACAGAATAAAGGCGAGTACACATTAAAGGGGTGGAGAAAGGTTTAGGATGATTATTTATGGATTAGAAGGGATAAAATGAAGGGTAAGGGGATATGGTTGTTTACTGTAGAATTGTGTGATGTTTTAAACGGTTTACCGGTTTAAACACTTTCCATTTAAAACTTAATTACTTCAAAATTACAAGTGATATATGAGTACATTACTGTTTATGATTGCAGTGTCAACAGCGTTTTGATTTTCATCGATATTTTTTTTATATAAAAACTGCATTTCTCAATTGTAATTTTATTAGGATAAAAAATTATGAAATAACCTCAACACAAACATGTTTTTGTAACATATGGATAAAACAGCTATAATGTAAACATAAGGAACGCGAATGTGAAATTGTGTAATAATAAATGGAGCAATTGTATACACAAACTATGGGAAAACCATGTTTGGGCAGTCGGTGATGATGAGGTTATGATGAACAGGTCATGTTGAGCATGTGCAGAACACCATTGATCACCTTGCTTTCCGTTTCTATCGTGTCATCTCCTTCGGGGTGCCATACCACTTTGACAGTGCCATAGCGTAAACGATCTTCTTCTTCGTCTTCGCTACTGAAATATTCTGAATTTTCTAAAACAAAGCCATAATCATAGCCACCGTCATCGTTCTTTTTACAAACTTCGTCTTCGACGAAGAGGTCTAACTCTTTTCCAGCCATTTCCTCTGGATATTCTAATTTATGGCCAGGAAGCGGTGATTAGTATCCGGGTTAAGTTTATAGTGTAAGCTACAACATATTAACCCTATTTTTAATCAGTATGAAGTCTACGTGTTTAATAATGCTAAATATTTTAAATTCAGCTTAAAATAAGAGTTTATGAAACTTAAACTGAAATCAAAGCCCCCCAACAAGTGCCATATCGAATATCCGGATTTTAATTTTCACAGACCGGAGGGGATTTTACGCACTCCCTGTGCCACCGACGGTGTCAACAAGAAAGATGGCGTCGAAATTTGCTCGTTTGATCTTGTCGACTGTTCGTTCTCCATTACTGACACCGAAGGGTGCAACACCTATCAAAACAATATCTAAAAGAAATGTAGTATGCAGTGAAAGTGGATCAGTCCTTCCTGAACCTCACGTCGACCGTCTCGGAGTACTCAAAGTGTTGGTGGTTGTCATGCCGTTCCTGTACATGGGTGCAACGATAGGAAAAGAGGGTGCCGCTTTTATGGAAGAAAATGACATCTTTGTTCCAGATGACGATGATGATGACTAAACCAGAGTAAGGATATGAAAAGCATCATTTTTCCTGCTCAAATATAGGCTATTTTTCCCTTTAATAATGGTTCTCTAGATTTTATATATCGTTTGTAAATGATGACAGGAGGCAGGACTCAAATCGGATCACTTTTTGCAAAAATACTTTTAAATTAATAAATGTGTCAACAGATCAGTTATAACAATGATTTAGCTTTAGAATAGATAGCCATGCATTGAAGATAATTAGTTTTTAGGTTCAAATAGCACCAGACAAACTCAAAAGTCAGTGTTTTAGCTCACCTGGCCCGAATAACCAAGAGGCTTAGGGTTATGATATTTGGCCAGTAGCATGCTGGGATGAAGGGCTACTGAGTTTGTTCAATTGAATGAACTTGACAAATATTCAAGGTCACATGGTTTAAATATGTTAAAAACTTAAAACAACTTCTTCTGAATAACCAAGAGGCCGCACCATGGCATAAGCTCACTAGCCCTTCAGGCAGGTGAGCTAATAAAAACTGGTTGGAACCCTTATATCATTTAGCTGAGAGTTAAGAATCTTTTGTGGTTTTCTGATGCAATGTTTTTACACATCATACATTTGTCAATGTTATTTATTTGCTTTACTCAATATATAGATATTAAACCACCAAACTTTAAAGAGTGAGAGACTTGGGTTACTTTTGCGTTAAGAAAACGACTTCACCAATAATGTATAAGCCATGCTTTTATGTACCTTTCTTCACTTTTTCAGGTGATGTTTTCCTATGAAAACCTATATCTACACGGCTGTTGAGTACCTGCATTGATGATGAAATGTTGAATTTCGAAATTGAAGATCAAATACAAACTACAAACATTCAAGACTGCAGTTCTAGCCTGAGTGAAGCTAACGGCCTATAATTAGAGAATATGAATAATATCAATGTTATCAATATTAAGCATTTTCAAAATTTTGAAAAGAGAGACATATCATTTTATAGTTTGTGTTTGAAGGAACTTTAAGGATGACATTCATGTAGTATGAAATTGCTCTAAAAAATGTACAATGAACACTAGTACTGCACTTGACTGGAGAAGCAAACTTTGGTACTACGTCTTCCAGGATTTAGGATCTTCATGACAAAAGCATTTCTCACTTTCAGCTAATGTTAAACAGTTTTATATAGGTTTTCTAACCAAAGTAGTTATTATTTATTGTGAAATGATGAAACTTTTCACATTTCCTTTAGATGTATGCTGCATTTCACACACTATGTATTACATTTTCTTAATCCTCTTTAAAGACATTTTACAAAATTTATCAATATACATTTCCTCTTTTTTCGTTACATAAACTATGTGTATGAATGCTGTCTGTTATTAAAATTGTCCCTATTAATGAATTTTCTGTTATTTTTATTGCTGCAATCTTGAAGTGTTGATATTAAAGGGGCTATTTAGTCAAATGACATCCAAAAAATCGAGTAGAAACTGATGATATATATCACCTAATGACAGTTTACATAGTTGATAATGACCCGACCTGAAGCCAAAGTCAAGTGTGGTCAGTTTTATCTTTTGGGAAAGCCTGTTATTGAAATAGCTACGACCAAACTAGCACAATATCCGGGGCTTTCAGTGAAAACATACATGTACAGTACTACGCTGTCGACCGACAACCAAGTGTCAGTTATGAGTCTGATTTCACATTCTTGTCGTTTTGAATTTGCACAATACATCGCAAGCAAGAATTATGAATATCATAATATATAAATCTTATGAGATATTTCTGTTCACAGTTGGATTTCAACAAAAAGAAACAGGTGAAATTTGAGTATGCAGGCACAGAGAGGATACCGCAGCGAGAATTTCAAACTACACTAAGTACAATATCAATAAGCTTAAATGTAAAATAGATAACTTGTTCATAAGGATGATTGAGATGATCATTGGAAGATGTTTTTGATTCAGAATAGATGTCTGTACTTGTATTTCAAAGAAGCTAGGTAAATAAAGCAAGAATTTACCTTCCCTCCTCTATTAGAAAGACATGGCTCCAACTGCTGCTGCTAAAACGTACGACTGTACAGTTAAGGATTTCTTCATTACTGACTAAAAGTACCAAGAAAACATTGTCTCTTGTCAATTTCTTGACATGAATTGTTCACAAGGAGTATCAAGCTACATATATTGTCATGAAGAATTTTGTGACGAGATTATAAAAAAAAACTTTCTTCACTAAATTGTCCCTTTAAAGAATACTTATATACAGTAAAACTTAGATATAATGCCTCTAATTAAGTTGATTTGCCATCACTGACTTCTCTTGTCTCCTTCGATGTATATCCAACCTTTTTATGGTGGTGGTCTTGTAGTGCAAAATACTTCAGAAGTACTTGTTCATACATTTATACAGGAACATTAATACATTTGTACTAAGTTTGGTTAAGAGAATTACAAAGTATTAACCACGAGCAATGAAGAATTAAATACAGGCAAATATGATTAATTAACATATTTATTGCATACAGTTGTAAAAATTAAACAAAACATCAACAACAATTTTAATATGTTATTTGTATCACAGACTTAATTTGAAAATCGTAACTTTGAAAAATGAACAAGAGGCCCATGGGCCTTAACGGTCACCTGATATATTTATACAGAGAGTTGATTTTGTTTTTAACACGGACAGAAATATTATTCAGTGACAAAAAAACAATAAAACCACCTTATTCAATAGCATACAGATTTAAGACTAAAAAGTATTTGAAACTAGCACCTCTGATTCTAACAAGGAAAATGAAGAAATTTTAGCACACTGACTCCTTTGGGCCCCACCCTACAGCCCTTGGGGGGGGAAGGCTGGCTCAAAATTTTCAAAGTATCAAACTGTCAACTCAGGGTTATAATTCCAATCATGTTATTAATATGTAATATTCAAAGTATCATTTGCCATTATAAATCATAATAAATTTGCCCCCCCCCCCCCCCCCCCCCCCCNTCTGGGTCTTTGAAAAGATTTTGTTTTGAAATTTCAGTCAATTCGACCCTTTTTGGCCCCTCCCATCAGGCCCAAGGGGGTCATTCAGGGCTCATATGTGCATACCATCAAACTGCTACCCAATACTGATAATGCTTACCTAAATTTAATTACTTCCAATGGAAATTAAACAAGAGTTTGTCCAAAATGTGATTTCCCTGTATAAACTATAGTAAAGTTTACCCCCTCCCCAGGGGGAAATGTGATACCCAACGGTCATGAAATTCACAATTTTGGTAGAGCACCTTAAGACCCTTCCATCTATGAAGAGTGTTTGATTCTACCATATCTGGGTCTTGAGAAGAAGATTTTTGAAATTTCAGTCAATTCAACCCTTTTTGGCCCCACCCAATAGCCCCGGGTGTCAGTCAGGGCTCATATGTGCATACCATCAAACTGCTACCCAATACTGATAATGCTAACCTAAATTGAATTACCTCCAATGGCAATTAAACAAATGTTAGTCCAAAATGTGATTTCCCTATATAAACTATAGTAAAGTTTACCCCCTCTCCAGGGGGAAACGTGAGACACCAGGGTCAAGAAATTCACAATTTTGGTAAAACACCTTAAGACCCTTCCATCTATGAAGAGTATTTGATTCTACCATATCTGGGTCTTGAGAAGAAGTTTGAAATTTTAGTCAATTTTACCCTTTTTGGCCCCCCTGGGGGCCGGGGGCCAAACCGGCAACTATTTTTGTTGACCTTTGGCCATGGAAGCTTTCTGCAAAATTTCATTGAAATTGGTTCAGGAGTTTTGGAGAAGAAGTCGAAAATGTAAATTGTTTACGGACGGACGACGACGGACAAAAGGCGATCGCAATAGTTCACTTGAGACTTTGTCTCAGGTGATCTAAAAATGTTTATACAAATTGTATTTGTAAACTTAACAGCAAGTATCAAAAGAAAATTCCTCTAGTGTTCATATGTCACCCATATCTTGAAATACTGATAACATTTAGAGCCTGTCTGATAACATATGATCGCATAACCTCTTCCACAAATAAAAACTTGAGGTCCAGCATCAATTAGCATCCCTATTATTTGTAATATATTCTGATTAAAAAATAAAAGAACAATCGTGCACATATATATTAACACATTGAAATGAAGGGTCATCAGGAGCTTTAAGCATCTGTACACCAGAAACAATAAATAACATAGTTGAGTATAATATATGTGAGAACAACTGCATAATCTTATGGAAAATTCCATTGTTGTACAGTACAGTCAAATGTCAACAAATGTGTTTGATAGAATAAATAGCGGTTCAATTTACATCAAGTCTGTAGCTATAAGTCAATGATTCATTTCCATGATATATAGAGAATGAAAAGCAGACATTCATCCTCGATACAATTTTCTTTAATGCATTTAAAGATATCTTGAATTCGTTTACAGATATCTCTACGAACGATACTTTATGCATGTTAAGAATATAATGTTATAAATTAAAAAAAAGTGTCAAATGTTAAACCAAAAGTACATTTTGTTAAATACATCAGTAATGCCTTTAAAGAGATTGAATTTCAGAATAAATAGACTTTCATAACAAGAAAGTGATCACCTTAAAAGCAAGCCACGTATGATGTATATAGGAGACTATAATTAATCATGTTTTAACACAATGGGGAAAAACGTTTATATGTTGGACAACAGACTTTCAAAAAAATTAAACATTTAACCAAATATTGTATTAGAATGTGTAGTCCATATAAGTTCAAGTTTTTAATTATTTTGAACTCTTACTCTTTCTACACAACATGCTGAAATGCTGAAATAATAGCTCAAAGATCTGACCACATGGTTTGAAATAGTCAAATACCCTAATACAATTTCATTATTAAACAAAAACATAAATATGATATTTGAGCTGCAGTTACTGCAATGTATTTAACTGTTATGTTAACAGTTTAATATCAATTTTCTTCTGATTGTTTCCTTTGAAAAGATATAAACAACTTTTTTTAGCCTAATCTGGCCATGGTTTTCAGTGCTTGGTATGGAAACAGTATTATCTCCCTTTGAACATGAGTGTCACCACAGCATATGGGGATTGAAGCTGGAATTTAGTAAGAAAGGTAAAATTGACCGCACTTTTTTTTACCAAGGTTGTCCTCATAAGATAATCATTGTCCTTTAGGCATATATTAAAACAACTCTGAATAACATATATGGTACAATTTCTATAATACAATAATGTACAAAATTTCAACACAGAGCTAGGACCTCTGAGGAAAACTTCTTTCTCAGAATATTATATACACAATAATTAACATCAATTCCATTTGAACAGGCACTTTAGTGAATCAGTCTTGCTGAATGTAAATGAGATAAGTTAACAATATCACATCATGCAAAATTTCTAGGGAACACACAGACGTTATCATTGTCCAAACAGAGAAGAAACAACCCGTGAAGCTCTGATAGACTTTCTGTACATGGTGTTTGTTGCACCATTGTCTAGGTCTGTCAGCGTGTGAGTTATATCATGCTTTTCTGGATCCTTGAGGTTGGAACTTATGGTAACAGTGCTGACATAGGCAGGTCTTTCATGAGAAAAGTTTCCAGTCTGCAGTGAAAACAAATTACAGATATTAGAAAACATACTGATACAGTGTATATATATAAAAAAAAAAAATACTTTTCAAAATATTTATAATTTTCAATAGGTCATGTACATTTCAAATCTACCTGTTTAAATTTTATATTTGAATCAAATATTCAGGGTGCATAAACGGAGAAATTATTTACGTCAATTAGGTCTACATTAAATCTTACTAAAGGAGGATATCAATTCAGCTATAGGTAATACACATTAAGGGTCACATGTCTTTATAAGAGAAGATTTGACACAGAATGATGCATTTTTTGGCAGAAGTAACATGGACAAAAGGGTGTCTACCTAATGACAATTTTATTATAGTTACACTAACCCACTCCAAAATCGGCAAAGGAACATGTTAATAATATATGTACAGTTGAAAACCCATTGTCTATAGGTGGATCATAGCCTCTAGTCTGAAGTTAAGCAGTTAAATGCATACCAGACACCAGTGTATGTGTATATATACAGGCTTTACATAATTACATAGTGGATATATGGCCACTACAAACAATTAATTGTTCTAGCTCTCTTTGATCTTGACAGGTTTGTCATTTATGAGTATTACATATTTGTATACATGTATATACTCTATCATACTACATTGTACCGACATATCGCAACAATAGGCGACTAGATTTAGGTGCTTATGATGCAAGAAAATTATGTTTCAACTTCTCAAGTATTTTGACAGAGCTCTGATATTTTCTCTTGTTAAAATGGATTGGTCATTAGATAATGTTTGCTACCGGTACATGAAATCAGTGGTCTGATTGGCTAGCTATGGCTGTAATATCAGTACTTGTACCATGTTTTCTATATAGAGATAATGTTCTACTGCCTAAGACTGTTGCCTTAAGGTTATATGCTACCTTACACATTTTATCTGTGGTTTGTTTTAGGGCTGCCTCCCTTGTGATTTTATACTGGTAATGTTATAAATAGCAATAGCCACTCTACGTAGAGTAGACTGTTCCTATTGATTTTGTTATGTTCCCTGTAGAAATTGTGTTAGACACTTACTGGTAATGTAGTTTCTTCTTAATCCATAATTATCTGAATGTTTTTTCATCCAGCCATAATTTATAACGTACTTTTCAATTAATTAATTTGTAAATTAACAAAGTACAAATTATCTTCTTATGCCAGATTTTATAGGTTCCACATGCCCAGTCATTTTAGGCCTGACCACCTATTCATAGTAAATGTTAAGTTCCTACTACCCACACATAGGGATCTAGACAAAGCCATATCAGAAACAACTACTGTACATATGTATGGTTTTGAATAGAATGTCAGTTGAACAATAAAATTACATTTGTGACTTGACTTGGTTGAGCGCTTTGCTGATATCGTTCTATACAAAGAGATTGGTTGTAGTCTGTTCCGTCTGAAAATAAATGAAGCAATACAATACTATTAAGTACAAAAACCACCAGGTAGGATTGTAAGAATTTGTATAAACATGTTCTACAGGTAAGAATTTGTATTAACAAGTTCTGTAGGTAATTTTGATTTTGCAGAAAAGATCTGCTAGTTAGCCTTGCAGTGAATTTTAATATGTATACCTCAAAGAAAACTAGGATCTCACTGATCCCTTTAACTCATTCACCCCTGAAGACACATTTGAACTCTCCCAATTCAAAGGTTGGAATAGTTCATTATGAAATTCAGGGGTTAATGAGTGAAATCTCATACTTTTAAAATATTTAATCGCCAATCCCTTTAAACAAAATTACCTTAGGTAAGCACATTCTTTAGCCAGCTTTATCTTCCTGAACAAATATGAAACAAGTTTCTGACTCATATTAATCAGTCTTATTTATCTGGATGGAAGCGTGCAGATCAGGGTCTTATTTTTTTGACCCAAGACCTTTTTACTTCCAATTGGGGAATCAAATCCGAGCCGCCTAGGTGAAAGGCGAGTGCATTATCCATTGGCACCTGACCACACTAAATTTCACCAGTATGGTTCTATCAAAGAATGAGTACAGTGAACTTGCAATGGTATTAATTTCATCGATTTTGAAGGAATTTTCACTGAAAATCATCTTATCAAAACAAACCTCTAAGTTTTGTTTCTCCAAATTCATTGCAAGTTTGAGGTGTGATGATAAAGGAACTTTTACGCGCCTTGAGTCCGTAGGAAACTGGAGGTGAGGACAGTGGAGACTGTAACTGTATGTTACTGTGTTCCTCTAGATCTTGGTTTAGCTCATCATCAAAATAGAATTCCTCCACTTCTGTTTTCTTGTTTCCTTTCTGCAATACAATCTGACAGTGTGAATGAATATCTACTGGTACGATCGAGTCCAATTGGTCGGAGTCCATTAGGGATCAGATAACAGATATTTTTATTAATGATCAAGCCATCTCACTACTCACCCCCTTTTGCTGAGAATGAAGGATCTAGAAAATTTAGGTTCTACAGTCAATAAACATAACAGAATTGCAATGTTTGGTCAATATCCTTTTACTAGTCAGCTATCCATACTACTTGAGTTGATTTTAGATTTGCACTCTATTCATCTTCCTTACATTTTCATTGATCCTCCTTCCTTCTAATCCAAAAGTTTTCGTGGGGAATATTTCCTATACTAACTCACCTTGAGTTACAGAATCCATGTACATGTTGGAATGGAGTTTGACATACCAGAAGTAGGTCATTGATCTATTTTTTGACCGCTTGAATTGTTTGTCTGGGGAATACTTCCTACACTCAATGCAAAGAAATATCCTAGAGTCTGATATGAAAGTGAACATATTTTAAAGTATTATGAGCAATCTACAGTCCCCGACCTTGGGACAAAGGTTGGTATCAAAAATGAACGAAAGGCCATAACTTGATCTGTATATATTTGGTTATAAGACGTACCCCATTTCAGTATGAAACACTCCACCATCCATAGAGTGGACTCGCATACAAAATTTGTTATTAATAACAAGTGACAGAGTATATAAGATATGTCCAGGACAATGTGACACACCAACTGATAAAATGATATCTGAAGTACACTATCTCATTAAAACACTTCTTCTTGCAACACTTATCGCATGAATGAAATTTGAAGACCATAAGTAACTTGCAAAGCTAGACTGAAAGTACAGTCAGCGATTTGGAAATAGGATAAAACATGTTACCTTTATAAAAATGTTTAGATAATTACCTTTTTTCCTTGTTTTGCCTTTGTCTTGCAAGGAACAGAATCATAATGTTGACTGTCATCAAACAATGGACTCCTTATTCTTGCATTTGATGCTGAAAAAGTTTAAATTACATCCTATTAGAATATATATATCTAGATGACTAACATAAATAAAGCAAGGCTAACAGCAGTTAAAAGTTGACATGGAAACCTATATATATAACCACTGCCAACCTGTGGTAACATTATGTACTAGGTAACTGTATATACCTGAATTTATAGATTTTGAAGACAAATCAAAATCACAAATTTAGTTAATCACTTAAATTAATAATGTGCAGATGTATAACCCTGGTAAATACTAGCCGCAATATATCGCTCGACTAGAGAGAACTTCTCTTTAGCTCGATCGGTTGAGCGTAAGACTAGTATCCGAGAGGTCCCGGGTTCGATCCCTAGCAGAGGCAGTGATTTAAATTTAATCAATCATGCGCTCTGTTACACAGAAACTGCAAAAACTAATTTGATCAGTCATTTAATCAAGTATTACCAAATTAACTAAGGGCTATTTGTTGGAGGGGAAGCAGTTTTTCTGTTGGTATTTTCCCTAATGTTCTGAATTAATTAAACTGAACCTTCCATTAAATAAAAAATCTGAGTTGATTACATGTTTTAGGTATGTTATATTTCAATTTTAAACTTACTGATATTTTCTTTTATATCCAGAGCATGAAAAACTTCTTCACTCAGAGAGTTCCTCACTTTTATTAATTCATGTGCCACCCATTTCTCAATGAGTTCAGATCCGACACTGCTGTTGTCGCAGAAAGCAGAACCTGATTAAAATCAATAACAAGAGGCCCAGAAGGCCTGTATCGATCACCTGGAAATTTGAAGTTGAAATAGCCAGATGTTGCTGGTAATGAACATGTATTACATGGTAAGTCAGGGGTTGTATTTATATGCAATTGGACAAAATCCTGTTATTCCTACAGGAAAAGGAGGATTTTGAAGAATTTGATACATTTCCCCTATTGCTATGTTTCCCCAGGGGGGTCAGACCCACGGTTGCTACAAAATTAAGTCCCCTTCACCTAAGGATGCTTTAGACCATATATGGACAAAATCCTGTCATCCCTACAAAAAAAAAAAAAGGTTTTAAAGCTATTTTTCTATTTTCCCTATTTGGCCCAGTCCCTCTGCCCCCAGGTGGTTCAAAAACACCATTTATACAAAATTGATTTCCCTTCCCCATAGGATGCTTCGGTTCAAATTTGGTTTAAATACCTTCATCCCAACGGAAGAAAAAGGATATTAAAGCTATTCCTCTATATCCTCTATTGGGCCCCGCCTCTCTGCCCCCAGAGGGTTCAGACCCACCATTTATACAAAATTAAGTCCCCTTTACCAAAGGATTCTTTAGACCAAATATGGACAAAATTCTGTCATTCCTACAGATCGAAGAAGACTTTTAAAGAATTTCCTAAATTACCCCCATGGGCCTCACCCCTTAGGCCCCAGGGGGTTCAGACCCACCATTTACACAAAATTGATTTCCGTTCCCCATGGGATGCTACTGTTCAAATTTGGTTAAAATACCTTCATCCCAACGGAGAAAAAGGATATTAAAGCTATTCCTCTACATCCCCTATTGGGCCCTGCCTCTCGGCCCCAAGGGGTATCAGACCCATTGTTTATACAAAAATTGTTCCCCTTCAACCAAGGGTGCTTCATACCAAATTTGGACAAAAACCTTTCTTCTTACAGAAGAAAAAAGATTTCGTAGAATTTGCTATGTTTTCCCTATTGTGCCCTGCCCCTTTGCCCTCAGGGGGGCCACACTCACTGTTTATACACAATTTAGTCCCTTTTTCCCAAGGATGCTCAAGCCCAAATTGGGATAAAATCCCTTAATCCCTATAGTAGAAGAAGGATTTTAAAGGTTTACATCTATTTCTCATATTGGGCTCCACCCCGCTGCCCCATGGGGGCCACACCCACTGTTTATACAAATTGAGTCCCCTTGGCCCAAGGATGCTAAAGACTAAATTAGGATAAAATCCCTTAGTCCCTTCGGTAGAAGAAGGATTTTAAAGGTTTTACCTCTATTTCCCCTATTGGGCCCCACCCCTCTATTCTCAGGGGGGCCACGCCCACTATTTATACATAATTGAGTCACCTTAGCCGAAGGATGCTCCAGACCAAATTTATTCAAAATCTACTGAGCCTTTCAGGACAAGTAGCGTTTTAAAGGAAAAGTTGACAGACTGACGCTGCGGTATGGCATAAGCTCACCATGGTCCTTCGGGCCAGGTGAGCTAAAAATGTCTTAGATCCACGTACATATCTTACTGATATACTATCTGTTAATCATCAAGTGTTTATAGATATAATGTATATTAGGTGATGCATTACTTTATTACATATATATGAAGTAAATGGGAAATAAATATACATGCATTTGAAAAAAAACCAACATTGATCTGCACTGGTTCAATCTTGTAATGCCAGTTGAGAAATCTCCCTATTTCGGAAGTCAACTATGATTTTTTTTCACCCTCATTTTTTCCTTTTTTAAAAAAATCTCATCATTATTTAGGCTAATATTTTGTCAAAAAGAGGTACCTTGAATTAAGAAATCTTTAGATTTTGACACAATCATAAATTAATTCCTCCCCCTTGAATCATTTCAAAGTTTTTATTTTTATCAAATATGAAGTTTCTATAAAATAGCTCTTATAGCAGCTTAAAGTGTAATTCAAAAGGATGGCAATGGGTATATATATATATATATGTAGTTCTTATATAAGTTGATAAATGTGTAAATTGTGATCCACAGGAATAAGATTTCCAATCAGAATCAATTTTGCTATTTTAGAAAAATAACAAAAGTGTTGCAACACAGTTATTAATAGCTATGCCATACATAATGTACAGTCATGTAGCTCACATGAGCTAATCATAGAACAATATCCAAAGTACAGAATGTGGAATGCTGATATTAAATAAAATGCAATTACATGGATTTGAAACTGTTATACATTTATACTTATTCCATGCATTTTGAATTGTATATATCTAATACACCTACTGTACATGTATCAGGTATATAGATACATTACTAGGATACATGCATGTGTAACACATTATCATACCACTATCACATGGTGAGACAGTAGTCAGACTACTGCTGTTCATAACATCGTTGACAGGTGAAGATGCATGGTATGCCTTGTCCACCTTTTTAGCTGGGGATGGATTTCTCATTTTCCTCATGGGTTTGACACCTGTAGAAATGTGTTAGTTTTCTTAGCACATATATATAGGATCTTAAATGAGTTTCCATTTCATATGAGATCTATGAAACGATTCTAAGGATTATTCAATTTAGGGAGCCTCTGGCGAGTGAAAATGAAAAAAAATTGTGACAAGTTTTATAAATTTCATATGAAATGAAAACGAATGTAAGATCCTTTTTATCACATAGTAAATCAAGATTTGTGGCATTTATTCGTGCAAAACAACATTTTTCATGCAACTTTGAAATGTAAACAGCCGCCATTTTTACTCCAGTTCGTAAGTCTGTGACGTCATGTACTTGTTCTAGGCGTGACGTCACAATTGAAACAATTGAAACTTACAACCAATCACAGGGCTGATAGGTCGTAGGGCTGATAGGTCATATTACATGGGTTAATACGCAAAAAAATATGACAGGGGTATATTCACTGGATAACATATCATATTATGTGATACACAAAGATAGATTCAATGACATAATTATTTGGTAACATTTTTGAAATACTGTTTTAAACTCTCTCATTCACTACAATTATTAGCATATCACCAGTTTAAATTCTGACCTAAAAACCTATCATGTAATCAGATTAAGATTGTATACGATCATACTCGTATCATGGTTTCAGTATCTATTTATACAATCCAAATAAGCATTGCATGCAAGCAGTTTTCCTTAAGTTTCACGTTTTATTAAAATTATCATCCTGGGATGTAAGGAGATTTTTTACATAAAAATACATCACAAATTAATTGCTGAAATATTTTGTAACCTATGACGTTGTAGATAATTTAAACCAGTATATGGAAAATGAAATTGACCTAAAATGCAATCCCAGGCTGCAGAGTGTGCTATTCTCTTCCATATAATATGTGTTCATTCTGAAAAGTACTACAATTTATAAGTCAAAGGGAACAAAGATTTCTGTGCTGATATTTAAGTTTCACTGAAATAAAAAGCGATCATGTTAAGGAAATTTAACTGTTTTCGCATTTTTTTTGTATTAAAGCACACCATGTATATCTTGAACTGCTCTTTATTTTAGCTAACCTGGCCCGATAGGGGAAATAGAGGAAAATTGGGACATAACATGGAAACTCATTTTCTTGTTGTCTTTCCCACCAAAACAGATTTATATGTAGTTCTTCTTGCAACTTTGTTTCTTGTACTCCTTTGATAAACCTGTATGGTACTCAGCAGGTTTTGAATTGAAAAGTAAAATACCAGGTGAGCTATTAAGGCCCCTGGGCCTCTTGTTTCACATACAAACATACAACATTAAGCTTGGAATGGACAAGCTTACTTTTTACAATGAATTCCTCTAATTAAACAATATCTGTATAAATTATATAATATTTTAAATGATGTCACTCTACTGATGTCTCTGCAGTTAAAAAGACTGGCACCACCCACCTAGTATCAACAGTATCAATTTGGCGATAACGTAATTTCTCACCTGAACAATTGTGCTGGTTCATTCCATGGTTGTTGCAGTTTGGACTTTTAATTTCTTTGTCACTTCTGATGTCTGAATCATCCAAACTCTATGAATAATAAATAAGAACTCAATACATAAAATTACTTTGAGAAATTAATACTGTGTACATATTTAAAGTTATACACAAGTAAATATACATGTACTCCTTTCAATAAAAATTAATTTATTCAATATGTACTGAAACTTTTTTTGAATAAATAATTAATTTTATTGTTTAGATTTTTTGATAATTCAATTTAATATACAATATATGACTTACTGGATAAATACAATTATCTCCGTCCATACAGTCTTTAATATTTCCGTGTAACACTGCCTGTTTCAGTTTGTGCTGGAAAAAAAATAATGAAACAATTAATTCTTGTTTCAAAATTAGGAATAATTCCATAGTACCAGCTACATAAACCAGAACTTCTTGAAAACTTAAGACTGGAAAAAGGTTATGAAAAAATAACACATCTGTACTATGATCAATTTTGGCTCAATCACACATATTTCAGTTTAAATACTTTGTATACAAGATACAATTCAATTGAACTTTGACCTCATAAAGTTTTCATATCTGACCTACTAGTGTTTAATATAAGTGGACAAATTTTACATTTTCAGTACCCATGTATCTAGCTAAACTACTTGTTCTTACTTTAAACCTTTGTATTTTAAAGATAATCACATAAATATGAGCTTACACTGCTTTCCTGATGCTGGTACAAGTCAACCAAATTCCTAACACTCCCTGGTTGTTTTAGCAACCTGAAATATACGTGTACATGAATCATGCCATATGAGAGAAAAATGTATTGAATAAACTTAAGTCTTAACAAGAGGCCCAGAGGGCCTGTATTGCTCACCTGAATATTTAAGCAGTCATAGCAAAACATTCTCATTAAATATTATATTGCACTACAAATATTTCCCTCGCAAACTTTGTCGGCTCCATCTGTTGAAACTACCAGCCAAATAATATTATAAGATTCTATGCTTTTGGGATTTTCTTCAGAAGTTGTTTGACATATTTTTCCCTGTGACCTTTTAAGTAGGTCAATGTCAATTCCCTTCTCAAACTTTGTTAGCTCTTTCCCAAAAGGCTACCAGCCAAATCTTACGAATCCATTCCTTTTGGTTCTTCAGAACAAATCCTTTGAAATGCTGTTGACCTCTGTGACCTTGAGGTCAAAGTCATTTTCATTCTCAAACTTTGTCAGGCTCCATCCCAGGAAGCTAGTTCTACAGAAGAAGTCGTTTGAAGCATTTGACATATTTGACCGCTATGACCTTGAAAGTAGGTCAAGGTTATTTTAATGAGGAAACTTTATAGAACTCCATCCAAGGTACCTACAGGCAAAATCTTAAGACCCTGGGCCTTATAGAACTTGAGAAGAAGATTGTTAAAGTTTTTAATATATTTGACCCCTGTGACCTTGAAAGTAGGTCAAGGTCATTTTAATGAGTAAAGTGTATAGCACTCCATCCCAGGTACCTACTGGCAAAATATCATGACCCTATGCCTTATGGAACTTGAGAAGAAAATTGTTAAAAGTTTTTAACATATTTGACCCCTGTGACTTTGAAAGTGGGTCAAGGTCATTTTAATGAATAAACTTTATAGCACTCTATACCAGGTACCTACTGGCCAAATATCATAACCCTAGGCCCTCAAGTTCTTCAGAAGAAGTCGCTTAAAAAAAAATGTGTAAGGACTTGGGATGTCTTAATAGAAACATAATGGTGTTTACAAGGATTTGGGATGTCTTTATAGAAACATAATTGTGTAAGGATTTGGGACGTCTTTATAGAAACATAATGGTGTTTACAAGGATGTGAGATGTCTTTACAGAAACATCTACTGGTGAAAAGGTTTTGTATACAAAACACAAATGCTTTCCCTTCATTGCTTTTTCTAACCAAATGTCAAACTTACATTTTTGTATCATTCTTGATTTCAGGGGTCATCCCCATCCTTTTCCTCTTTCTTGGCATCGTGCTGTAATGCTGATTTTGTTTAGAAATTGGTTGTCTGTTTGGTGTACTCTCCTTGCCTTCAAAGCAGTCCATGTTGTATAGAGCAAATACACTTCCAGCATTACTTAGAGTCTTCTCTGTGTCTTTCTCTATTGTTTCGAAAGGTGCGGTAGAATGGCTTGCGGGCTTGACACTGACACCAGTTGGGCTCCTCACCTGATTGATCTGTAGGTAGCTAAACCTGGTAGCCAATGGCTTGGCCAGGCTTGTATTTAGTTGCTGCTCTGTATCTTGACTGGAGCTGAATTAGCAAAGCGAAGACAACTAGAAAATTTGTACCACAAATTTATAAAGACATTACAACCAAATATAACCTGTGTATTGGACCCAACAGGTTTCTATAAACACTAAGAGAATACCAACAAAACCATCATGGTTAAAACTAGGGCCATATATGAACTAAGGAAAGATTTACATGGAGACCCTTGAGAATATGACCAAGTGCTTCAAAAGGGTAAAGCATCTTCTGCTTCATAGGTTATTCCATCTTTGCGTATTGCAGAGTTATCTTCTCTTGTGAGCAGGTATTGAGTGTTACATCATTGGGTTGTGAGAGTAACGTCATCAATTTTTGAGAAACGACGTAATATTCTCACACAAACCAATGACGTAACAATCAATACCTGCTCCCAAGAGAAGATAACTCTGCAATACGCAACGACGGAATAAGTCTTTCAATGTTATAATTACATATACACTGACCTTGTTTGGGTATTACAAGACTCCTCACTTTCACTGGATGTGATGTTACCGGTGACTTTGTCGGGAGAAGCCTTTCCACACCTACTTTCAGGCTCATACTGTGATTGGCCAGTTTGTACATCACACTGTTCATCATACAACATGTGATCATACATTTGACGCTGGTGTTGCTTTCCATATGCTTGCTGATGTTGCTGTTGTTGGCCATACCCTTGTTGATGGTGGTGTTGATTGTATGTTTGTTGAAGGTCTTGCTTTTCGTATGATTGCTGATCATACGTTTGCTGTTCATACTCTTTTGGATCGTGTTGCTGATCGTACCCTTGATGAAGACGTTGCTTTTCATACAATTCCAACTGTTGCTGTTCATGCTGTTGGTGATTAGCTTGCCGATAGTGCTTCTGATCGCTTATTTGTTGTTGTTGTTCATGCTGTTGGTGATAATCTTGCCCATAGTGCTTCTGATTGCTTATTTGTTGACGTTGATGTTGGTTATACTTTTGTTGAGGACTGTGTGTCTTCTCTTTCTTTGGAAGGACTTTTACTCTGTAGTGATATTCATGTTGATTTTGTTCCTCTTGTAAATCCCAATGTGTGCTGCAAATAGGTAAAATGAATGAATGAATGAATATTTACTGACTATGGTACCTGTTTATATAAACCTACAATGTTTTTTTCTTTCTTCAACAGGGATTGTCTCTGATTTTGGCACTTTTAAAGCATTGCTATCAGATGTTTTTTGTAGTAACACATGTAATGATTATTATGCAAAATTTTGCCCTTTCAATTTGTATTTTTTGTTGTTGATTATTTAGGCACTTATCAATTAAATTATTTCTTTCTATTAATGGAGTTTTGTCTAAATTTTTCCTTTTTCCCTTTTTTTAGTTGAAAAAAACCCTTTACTCTAAGGAAACAAACATCAATTACTTTTTGATATCAAAAGCAACACCATCCTGTGACTTGTATGCATATTCTTTGTTTGGAGAAACTTTTGCTTTTGCAGGAGAACTTTCATTCCTGTGCTTTTTTTCTCTACTAGACTGATTTTGATCATGTCTGAAAAGAAAATTATTGAGAAAATATTGAAATTTTTGTACATTTATTCCTAACACATTGCATAGTGATATTTATTCGAACAGTTATGCTTATAATTTGTCACACCTCCAAAGACTTTTGGCTATGAGTTTCATAGTAAAAGAACAATGTACTTTCAGTCACATTGTGTGTTCTTTCTTTCATAAGAGATGCTTTTAGAATTTTTCATGAATATTTGAATTTGCAATTGGGAAGATGCTATTTCAATATTGATACATGCAGTAATTTTTGTATTCACAGAATAAATATTGAGTAGGAAGTAAATTGCAAATGATAAATGAAAGTGATTTACAGTAACCCTAAATATATGCATTAATAAGGAAGAAAACTGTTTTACCGTTTTGCTTTTTGTCCATCAGGTGGACTTTTTGGACGCTGAGGCTTCCAGCTTGACTGCTGTGTTTGGTCTCTTGCATGCATTCCTTCAACCCTACCTGTTTCTCTGTTTGACTTTTGTCTAGAATTGGATATTTCCTGTTCTGTTATGGTTTCTCTGTTACCGTTCAATGGTTGTTGCTTTGGCGAAAGATTGGAAATATACTGCTTTACTTTCTGAAATTTGATAAATTAATCTGATGAAATGAAATTCAGATGCACTACAACATCTTCAAAAAAAAAAACCACGTATTTAAATGTCTTTTTATCCTATTAGTTCTTCAAAAGAAAATTACAACCAAGTGCTTTCCTCTAACTCATTTGATTTCACAAACTTTTTTGCTATGTAGAAAATAAAATAACACTGGTAATATAACAATTTTGAAATTCAAGAAATGTATTATGTGAAGAGAGAGTGCCTGCAATCAATTATATCATATAAACTTATTATGTCAGGTTTTCCAATCTGCTCAAAATAACCTAATTAGTAATTAATTAATACTAAGTTATGCCAAGTGTGTTCAGTTTCATCTTAGAAGTGGCTTTAATGATTAAGGAAGAGAACAAGAGATGGCTAACTCCAGCCAAACTTTAAAAGGTTTGGCAACATTTGAGAAATGACCCTTGTAAAAATCTTACTTCAGTTGACAAGCCTAATATGTCCCGGACATGGTTGAAACTCAGCTGTCGATGCTGAGGGTCCAGCTGCAATCCATATTCCATAAGAGTTAGATACAACTGAGGTGTCCTTCCCGAACTAAGTGGCAGTTGCTCTCCGTCATTGAACATTTTCTGTCTAATGGTTGCTGCATCACATTTTCCCCAGGGAATCGTGTCTGAAATGTTGAAACATGAATTCTTCAAAGACTGGTGTATCTATTATAGTTTAATTGAAAAGAAATTCTGTTTAATAAGGTAAATGTTTGGCTGTGCAATATCTTTTTTTTTCTTCATTAAACAAGAGAGCATTTTAAGCTATCACTAATTCCTTTTGTTTTACATATGAGTATCTTTTAGTGTGCGTTACATGAATAACTGACTGTGATATTTTATACTTGTGTTGAAATGTTGTTATCCATTCTGTAAGTGGACCCTTGGGTCTGTTGAATTGGAAATAAATAAATAAATAAATAAATAAATTCAAAAAACAGGATGGAACAAATCTGGAAGATGTTTTTCTCTATTGAGTGGTTTACCCTAGATTTTACTCTTGAAATGATAACTTCATGTTCATTTTGCCCTCAAGTTGAATACTGATAATATAATATTTTACATAATATAAAATATTTCTTACTCTCAAAACTTTCCCACATGACGGCACAAAAGCTGTACATATCAGACGCTGCAGAAGGACAAGACCCATTGATGATCTCGGGGGCCATCCAGTTGTAGGCTGCATTCTGGTGCTTGTTACTGATAACTAAGGATCTTTTTCCAACTTCACTTTTGTTTCTTTCAAAAATTGTTAAAATATATATAAAGACTTTTACAATCATCATATACAATCTGAAAAATTAGTCCACATTTCATATATTTCACATAACTATTTTTTTGAACAAGAATTCAATTAGAACTAACGTTTTGAATAATATCTTTCAAGTGATAAAAGGACATTTTAAATCAGGGACTACATACTGTATCAAAATTCCTTTCAAACAAGAACAACTGATTTTGAAGAATACATAACAGATATTCCAGATTAAATACTATAGGATTTGTTTATCATTTTGTGGGTTATAGGTTCTCTGGAAAATTGTCTCCAAAAGCATAGTAGTCTCTCATGACAATGTGCTTTATACATGTATTTTAAAGCAGTCCATCAAATTACAGCAGTGTGGAGAATTTGGTTTTACAATAAAAATATAGGAAAAATATTTTGCATAGTAATTGCAACATGTTAGAAAAATATAGAATCACAATGATTTTTAATTTCTAATGAAAATATATTAGGTGAAGTTTCAAAAATACATTAAAATCTCTGTATAAAGCCCATCGTCTCAGTTGCCACCTCACTAACCTCCAAAATGTTTCCCTTTTCCTCATTTTCTTAATACTTATTGTTCATATCTTCCTTTGTTGATATTTTTTGCTTGACAAAGGAAGCGGATAATTTCGAAAGCTTGCCAATAAAAAGTTTTCAATTTAAAAACTCAGCATTTATCTCCCTTGTTATATTTCCAAACCTCTTCATAATGCCAAAACTTTGCTAGACAAACGGTGGCAGTGTGACAAGGTTTTATTATATACCTACCTCTCAATTGCGTATTCCAGGTTTCCAAGTTTTGCTGTGTGTGATGATACAAGAAAAACAGCATGTGACGTGATGTAGCAATGTAATAAATCCTGGTCGTGTAGGAAAATGATACCATCACATATCTGTACCAGTATTTCATGTATTTGGTTTGTTGACATTCGTTCAGACTAAAAAATCAGAAACAGATTTTCTACTTGCAATTTCATGTATCAGTGTAATAATAACATTATTGAAGCTATAAAAATCACAGTATTGTGCTGAAGAAAGTTTAGATTTAGGGGAAAGCTTATTCAGACTTTTTTACATGAAGTAATCGGATTAGTTTATTTGTTTGTTTGTGTTTTACGTCCTATTAACAGCTAAGGTAATTTAAGGATGTGCCAGGTTTTGGTGGTGGTGGAGCTTGAGGAAAGCCGGAGTTCCCAGAGGAAAACCACCGACCGACGGCCAGTACCTGGCAAATGCCCCACATAGGTCTCGAACCCGCGAAGTGATAGGAACATCTTAATCCAATAACATTGAGGGGAAATAATCTTCACTATTTCAAAACATATTCAGACTTTTTATGTGAGAGTGATGCCAACATTCAATTTCAATTACAATGTGGGAAACAAATCTTTGATTTAAACCATATTCACAGTGATCAATCTACATGCGCATCCTACATCCAGTACGCAGATAAATTGAAAAGGACGCACACATTTTAACAATGTGCATGCAGTGGACGCATACAAATTTCAGAGGATGTTTATGTTTATAAGTTGTTTCTTAAGCAAAGTAAAACAAATAAAGCTGGTTTTAGAAACTGCTTAAGGCTATCATTTGTTGTCATAAAAAAGCGTTGGTATGCTTATAACAGAGGCCGCACTGAAAGTGGAAATCATCGTTTCTATTTATAGTGTAAGCGCTGCGCTGATTGGTTGCCGATGTGGGTAACCAGACAATCGTGCAACGGACGGTTCACTACAACGTGTTGACAACTTGACAACATGCCTCCTGAAAAACCCTGTCTAGAAAAGGGCCAAAAAACATTATTTTCAATGATTACAACCTGTGATCGTGAAAGAGATAATGACAAGGAGGTGGGTGAAAGTGAAGCGGCAGCAGATGAGCCTGCAAAATCTGGGGAAATCCAAGTATTTAATGATAGATGGCGTTCTCTTTTCTCCTGGTTAGTGCATGATAGCGAGAAACAATTTATGTTTTGTAGTATGTGCACTGAAAACGGTATGTACAAACTGAAATCTTTGAAGTGAAAAAGATTATCACAGTCAGTGTCCACTGAGACATTTGCCAACAAAATAAAGAATCTAAGTTGTTTTTGAAGTGTTTATAAAAAATTGGCCGATGGGACCAGATTCAAAATGGATTCAAGCATTCAATTATGATAAATAAACAATCTACATGCTTTCAGGTTCATGTAATATGCATAAAAACATTTGATTGTGCTTTGTTTGTAGTTCATTCCATATAATGTTGTTTGATGTAAAATGCAATATTGAATACATGTAATGATTTTCCTAAATTTTCATTCCCCCCCACCCCAAAAATTTCTGACAATGTCTGAGGCATAAAAATGTCCCTGAAATATGCTCAGAATGCAGGATTTTGTATCTATAATTATAAAAATTTCTGGGGGAGACCTAGATTTAACACTGTATTCATACCTTTTCATGTAGTTGATAGTAAAGTGATCCTACACCGACATTCTCGAATAGCAGCACCAAACCGTCAAGGTTGTTTGTTTGACAAATACCCATCAGCAGTAAAATATCAGGATGTCGCAACTTCCTGAAAACGATGCAAAGAAGACGTTACTATCATGATAAATGACCAGGAACTATATTACACTCAGATTGAGTCAAAACTTATATATGGATTAAAGCAATTATAGTTCATTCTAGTCTTATCTGTAGTATAGAAAACTTAGTTCAAAAGGAGAGAAGGACAAGAAAAGTCAGTCTTAGATTGGTTTGGTTTGGTTTAGTAATGTTTAACGTTCTATCAACAGCTGTGGTCATTTAAGGACGGACTCCCCTGAGTGCAAGATGAATGTACGTAGTGTATGTGTGTGTGTTTTTGGGAGGCTGCGATATGTTCGTGTTTGTCCTTGTGATAGAGCGGAACTGATGCTGACTTTATAGTGCTCCCTCACTGAAACATACTGCCGAAGACACCCAGCAGGACACCCCACCCAGTCACATTATACTGACAATGGGCGAACCAGTCATCCCATTCCTAAATTGCTGAGCGTTAAGCAGGAGTAGAAACTACCATTTTTACAGACTCTGGTATGTCTCGGCCAGGGGACAGAACCCAAAGCCTTCCTCACAGGGGCGACCGCTCAACTAATGGCCAAAAGTGAGGCATTGTCAAGGGAAACATTAGGAAGAAGAAAGTTGTTTAGAAAGAAGAGAAAAGATAAGATCCCAAATTTAGACCCCTCTTACGATCATGCAATGGGGGCAGCAGGTACAATTCTTACTCCCTACTTGCAGGGACTCAGTCGTAGAAAGGCCATGACAGGTCTTATTGGAGTAGGTCATGAGTGGTCAGGGGTGACTGGGATGACATAAGGAGTCAGGGGAAACTGGGATGACATAAGGGGTCAGGGGTGACTGGGATGACATAAGGGGTCAGGGGTGACAGGGATGACATAAGGGGTCAGGGGAAACTGGGATGACATAAGGGGTCAGGGGTGACTAGGACGACAATGGGTCAGGGGTGACTGGGATGACATAAGGGGTCAGGGGAAACTTGGATGACATAATGGGTCAGGGGCGACTGGGATGACATAAGGGGTCAGGGGTGACTGGGATGACATAAGGGGTCAGGGGTGACTGGGATGACATAAGGGGTCAGGGGTGACTAGGAAGACATAAGGGGTCAGGGGCGACTGGAATGACAGATGGTCAGGGATGAATAACATGACAAAGAGGGGTCATGTGTGAGTTGGATGATATGAAGGGCCAGGGGTGACTGGGATGACAGAGGGGTCAGGGATGGCTGGAATGATATGAGGGGACAGAGGGGATTGGGATGACAGAGGGGTCAGGGGTGAGTTGAATGACATGAAGGGTCAGAGTTGCCTGGGTGACATGAGGACTCAGGGGGGATTGGCTCATATGAGGGGTCAGGGGGAACTGGGATGACATGGGGGATCAGAAGTAACTGGAATGACATGAGGGGTCAGGGGTGACTAGGATGACATGAAGGGTCAGGGGTGGCTGGGATGACATGAGGGGTTAGGGGTGGCTGGAATGACATGAAGGGTCAGGGTTGTGGGGAATATGGAGAGAATGGGAGGTAGGGCACAAGGAATCGGGGGAAGGTAAAAATGTGAAAGATAAGGAGTTGGGGTATACATAGTATAAGGGGTCAAAGAGGGGAATATGTTTCAAGTGAGGAATCAGACAGTGGTGTAGGCAGGAAAGTCAAGGATAAGATAGGGCAGAAGGAGTCAAGTGGAGGGAGTCTAGGGTATATTGGGTCAAAGGTCAAATTATTGCAATGCTTGTCTATGGCTTCAGATTTGCTCATGAATCTTCATAGATGTGTATCATGGTTGGACACAAAGACTTTGTTGAGGATTATTCTCAGGTTGACACAAATAAAGTTCAAGGCCATGGCAGGAGGTGAAACGGGCTATGGGGGTTTAAGTTCATTTTAAGCTCACTTTGTTTTTCCTTTTGGAAGACTCCTATACATTCACCTCCATTTTACTACCCTTTAGTTAAATTTTAATTGTTAATGAATTGTTCACGAGACATTTCAATTATTGATCAAATATCCTTAAAAACTTAGGCAATATATATATAAATATAACACATGATAACAATAATTTTAAATATGTGTACCCGACAAATTCTGCCTCCGTAATGAGTAAATCCACCTCTCCACCTGCTTCTGCCTCCCGATGTAACCTTTTAGCTGTCACTTTTGTTGACTGCCAATGTATACTACAAAACAGTAGATTATTCATGGTAAAATGAATTCAATAGATGCCTTTTTTTAATTAATAGAATATATCATGAAGAGGTGATCATCAACTATACTGATGAAAACAACACTAAAACGTTTGCTACAAATTATGAAAAAACAGGCCCCATATCCCAATCATACAATACATGTATATAGATTGTATGGCTATGATAGGTTTTATCTTATTTTAATAGTAAAACAAGTCATAAGTGTTTGGGTTTTTTCATTGAATTTGGGATGGGGCCTTTTAGTTACATTATGGGAATGAAATAGGAACAATTGGGAAGGAAATTTTCAGGAGTAAACTGCAAATTTTGGGAATTAGGCATAAATATGTAGTTTCAGTACATAAATATGACAATGGGGTTATAATAAGATAATTTCAAGTTTCCCACACTGCAACTTTATAATTGTGATTAGTACTTGTATCACCCTGAGTTAAAAAAAAATCAGGATTGATAAAAAGAATAAACTCAGATCTACCTCATAAAGTGTACTCATTTGAAAACAATAAAAAATTAAAACTGTATATTTGCAAAAAATGTTATTAAAATGTACCTTTCCATTACCATAAAAGCCCCATTTTCGAATGTTAAACCATCGCCATTGTGTCGGAGGCAGCTCTCTGATATTAATGGGATACTTGTCATAAAGCCACTGCTGGAATCACCATCCAAGTATACCTTAAAAAATAACATTATGCATCTCTTTTTTTATACAAAATATTTTTCTGATGAATAAAATCTGCTACCTGGGCCATGATTTTATACATTTATTTCTCCCTCAACCACTACAGGTTTCCTCACTTCCAACTTGTTGGATAAACATTTTTCTTTACCCACTTGTGGGCAACACCCTGGACATGATTTCATTGGTCAATCTTCTTATCTTGACACAAGTAACAATACTTTGAGACATTACCTTCACAAGAGTGAAGTCATAGTTTATAACAATTTTTCCCCGATCAGAAACAGGAATTAATGTATGTCCAAGAGAAACATATGTTTTTTTCTATATATTTAACATCTAAATATTGCAGGATAAAAAGTTTCCAGACTCGTAATGGTGGATTATCATGTTTATCTTACTCACAGTAGTTAATTTTCAAAATTCATACATTGTTGAATCTTTGATTCGGTACACACATACAAAAATGGAGTTACAATATTGAATGCAAGCAAAACATTATGCCTGGGTACTACCCAGTTTGCAAACATGTACCTTTCCAAACCCCATGCTGTGTGAGCTCTTTAGCTGGTCTATATTTGCATCAATCCCACCTTTGATCTTGTTCTTTATGATGTGCATCAGTGAATTATTCTTGTTCCTAAAACAATAAAGAAAAAGAAAAAAAACATATGATATGAGTACACTTGATTATGATGTTTTCAGAAGTAATCTTCACTATTGTCTGAAATTTATGGCCTTGACTTGAATGAAGATACAGGTTTTATATATGACTTCTACTTCCAATTTCCATATCCTTTGCTATGTGTTATTTTCACCATACCTGACAAGATGTAAAAGATGTATTTACCAACCATTTATGATCATGACCTTTCACTAAATTGAAGGTCATAAAAAAAAATTGGCACATGATATACTTCCTACGATAAGTAACACATTTCTCATTAAAAGGAAATACTTTCAGCAATTTATAATTAAGTTATGGCTAGGAAGAAAAGTTTTTTTTTTAATACAATCAACCATGTTTAGAGGTGTATTAATTACACCTTCATAGATATTTAAAACATGTAGATACTTTTAACTTATCCATTATCAATTATTTTGTTTTGGTAAATTCTCCAGCTGGATATGGGAATTTGACCTTTTCCAAAATCTATGAAAACATCACTTTATTTTCCCAATTGAGATACCTGTGAAAGATGCAATTAAGGACTGGCGACATTTGTGCAAGTAAACTTACACATGAACATGACTGGACATCTTATTGCCAACCCTGATATCTCTTCCAGAAGTTGTCAGTGCAAACAATTTTGTCTTCTCTAGGAATTCAAGCATTTTCATTCTTCTCTTTGGTTCTGGTTGACAGAGTGCCCAGTCTTTAGTTGTTCGTCCAAGGTTATCATGGAAACGTAAATCTCCCCCTGCAGCCAGCACATCAGATAGAAGCTTGACATTACCAGAATAGGCAGCCATGTGTACAGGGGTGGTCCCAGCATTGCTCCTCCTGTTGATAAAAACCACTGTCACAGGAATGCATTTAATGCAAAGGAGACTTTCACAAACTAGAATCTCACAATCCTTCTCTAGAGTTTGGGGAAATAAAAAGGTTTAACTCTCAAAAACTAGATAATGTCACAAACTAGAATCTCACAATCCTTCTCTAGAGTTTGGGGAAATGAAAAGGTTTAACTCTCAAAAACTAGAAAATGTTGGTAAGACATGAATTCCCCCAAAGCTCTGTAGTTGCCCTATAAATAGAAACTGACTTTTATCTTACTTTGTATAAACATTGTTTTTTTTTAAAAAAACACTGTTTAATAAGAATTAAGTCAGAAGGGTCATGGTGATGAATTGCAACAGAGGTCACGGGACAGGATGGTCATGGGTAACACTATTTATTGTCACCCTCCACCTCATAAAATGGCTGAATATGTTAATAATTGAGATTCAAACCCACTAAGAGGAGGTTTTTTTCTCTGTTTTTTCCCCCCAAGTGAAACACTTTTATATTTATGCTTAACACTAATGGTACACATATAATAGCATGTGCACAACAGTTGCTTGTCATTTAGTTTTGTAGTTAGTTGTTCTAGAGGTATGTGTGATATAAATATTTGTGGGGAAAACAATTTGTGTTCCCAGTAATTTGTTCAATGGTAAAGGTTACATACTCATTTGGGTTGGCTCCGTTGCTAAGCAATAAATCACATGCTGATGGCTCATTTTCGAAGCAAGCAATAAACAAAGGAGACTGGCCCTGGTCATTTGGATAATCAATCTGAATACCTGGAAAAGGGAAATTATTTATTGAAAATCAGGCAATATATTGCAGGGAAAATCAAAATTCTGACAGACAGTGATTTAATCCTTTATACAATATACAGAAAAGTTATAACTTGATTGCACACATCTATAAAGAAATACTATGTCATAACAGTATGGGGATTTCCCAATCTTATAACTTTTGGAGTCATAATGATGACTGAATAGAACAGTAATTTGTCTGTTTCAAAAGAGGAGCTGTAAACTGCAGCTTTACACCACAGTGTATTCCTGACTATTTTAACATTACATCATTTTAATAATTAATAATTTGCAATAATTAAAAGTTTTGTGGGTTAGGAACTTAGTAACTTATGAAAAAAACAAAAAAAACATGGTTAACAAAATGTGGCAAACATTTGCAATCCCTTTCCATATATACAGTTTGATGACTATACCTCTTCCGATAATCTTTTTTAATTTCTTCTTGTTTCCATTTCTAGCAGCATCATGGTAATCAATTCCCAAGGTATCAGACTGTTCCATTCGACCAATTCGAAAATTTCTTATCTGTGGACTAGCTGTTGCCATGATCACACTGTCACGTACCACACCAGTACTGCCAGTACTGAAAATAAAATTTAAGTATAAGCTTAGAGGCCAAACCGCAAACATAACTTGAAGACGAGTTGAACTTGAAGATCAAAGCTACGAAAAAAAATATGTTCATTAATTACATTATATTCATTCTACTTGCTTGTGGCATTATCAGTTTCTTCTGTACTATAAATTGTTTGGTCATATAAAAAACCTTCTTCCTGTTACATGTCTGGAAAAAAAATCAAAAATGTTTAGGAGTTGTTCTTGACTTTAACAGTGCTTCCTTGAAAATTAGGCACACAAAATTAGGATTATATGTAGTATAAACGCGAAAAAATAACATTTTTTATTTGGCCTCATCAAAGCAACATTACAGAATTAGGATACATAGGAATACATTTGATTTGCAGACCATTGATTTGATAACAATTCAATCATAGGTAAGCACTGCGAACAAATTGCTATTTGTGTCGTGAAATATCTGTCCTTTTCAAAAGAAGTACTACTGTACTACTCCATAATAAACAGATGTTGCAATGCATTGTACAGGATTATTCTTTGTCTTAATTTTAATAGAAAGAAAAAAAAACATAAAAAACACATGTGATTAACACAGGATCTGTTCATAGTCTACTAGATCTACCATCTAGTACAATTTAACCAAATCCAATGAGCTGAATGAAAGCAAAGTCAGTAGGCTACTTACTTCTTTTACAGTAGGACTAAGAACTCAATGTACCGCTTGCATGAGGACAGCTGTCGATTGGCGGGAAATGTAGTAGAAATTCGCTCGAGTTACAGTTCCTTAGGAGGGGTCATCGTATTCCAGGCAGGTTTACTTGCAATGTTCAGCGATTTATTCCGGGCAAATATTGCAAGCAGACGATGTTTATTTTCTTTCGGAAGACTCGAATATACAATCGGAATACCTCGCATCTTTTCCTCTCCTATTACCTTTCCACTGCATCGCTGCTGATTGGTGAATACAAATATAACCCGATAAAGTAATCGACCAGACAAAACTTAGTCAAAAGAAGGGCAAGCAAGGAATATTTCTTTGACTTTTGTCATTGTGGAAAAATTTAGCTTTTAAAAACCACTTACCCAGAGTGCTCTACAGCCATGCAGACTTAAAAGAAAATAGACAATGTTACCACTTTCAAATGAAAACTTACTAATTTCTGTATAGCAGTGTCCTAGATTTTAATTTGTTTCTCCATGTAACCAAAACTTGTTACTTTCTAAATACACTTCTTATCTAAATTATTAGCGTATAGCTATGTCAATTTTTATTGTTTGCTATATTAGCATGTATGGATATTATAGGCACATGCCATTTAATTGATGAAATACCTTTGCATGAAACTTTATGCATTCTGTGATACTCTTAACTAAGATAACTGTGATATAACCTTATATAGGTCGATTGCATCAATATGTATGTAACTTTTAACTAGCACATGTATTTTACTAGCAAGATTACCATGCCGGTTTATTTATATATCGATTGCGTACTAAATATGTTATTGTATCTAACACATGTATTTTACTAACAAGAGGACCATGTGGAAGATTAGCCTTTGGCTAAACTTGTATTTTATCCTCAATAAATAAAGTTTATTAAAGACTTAAAACGAATAAGGGGTGTAAAGGCGGAGCATTCGGCACAATTTTTTATTTTTATCTACACAGGTAGTTATTTGCCGCGATGAATTTTTTAATGTTAACCTAATCAACACTTATTTTCCTGACGGCTAGACTGTTTTATGGATCGGCCACCCATTTTCAGCGACATTCCTACTCCTTGCGCCGGGTATTGAAAAAAAAGTTTTCTGGAAATGTCGCTTGGTTAACCCTTTCACCCCTAGGTAACTACAGTGGACTCTACCATGCAATTATTGGGATGAGTCCTTCATGGTATACGTGCAGTGGTGAAAGGGTTATACCGGCAGAAGTAATAAAATAGCCCCCGCTTTGGCCTTACAGTCACCCGGGTGTAACTAGCAGAGCATATGAGTAAAAACGCAATGGAACGTATGGTACGTGTTCCCCAATGTGTGAATAAAATAATTATTTCAATTTTGCACGAAGTGACTCCCTTCTGAGCACCCTCCGTATGCTTATTGTAAATAAATAAGCTTTGTGAAAAGCTAGCAACTCTCAGCCCCCCTCCCCGTTTTTTTTCTTGTCGGAGTTAGAACAGACCTTTCTGGAGCATAGGTTTTTATCTCCTGCCTTAATTTACAGAGATACGAAGTTTTTTTTAACGGTTTAGCACTCTTTGACCCCTTATAGTAATATTGTCCTTCAGCCCAGTAGGGAAAAGGGTGGAGATAGCCCTTTCTTGATTTACTTGATTCATAGGTATCTACTATACTTTACACATAATATACAGTATATCATGTGTATATAGTTCTAGTTCTAATGTCTTGCCTACTTCAACAAAATGAAGATCAAGTTAGGCAATTTATGATAGGAATTGCATGGCTGGGGGGGGGGGGGGGGGGGGGAGGAGATTAGTTATATCACGGAATTAGATTTGCTATCAAAGTCCGTGGTTATATGTACCTGACTGAAGAGTTGATTGCAGATTTAAAAGAAGATATAGTGTAGCACTAGTGGCCAAGTCTATAGTATATCCCCTTTGGTTCGAGACAAATCTTGCGCTTGAATATAAGATTCTGATCCTCAATAATCGTCAATGGATAAATGTAATAAATAGTGTTCAAAATCAAACTGTAGCTTTCAGATATGTGTTGAATGATTTGAACTATGTGACCCCTTACAACTCCGAGGGAGGGGTTAGGAGGATCAATCCAAATCGGGAACCGTCGGCACTTTCCGTAAACGAGAAAATAGTATCCCGATTGGAACAGTCCCTTTGTTGAGTATAAATTGAAAAAGAACATGTTTCTTAGGAGAAATTTGATGTTGTTACGGAGGACGGATATCGAAGACAGACGATGTAATACGTACGATAGACGAATGGCAATCAAAATAGTTCACTTGAGTTACTCGGGTTATCAAAATCTACAACATAATTAACGGTTTAAAATAAATAGCACAGAATCGACTAAAAAGTTTGTGGATTTGAAGGTATTATTTTCATTTGTTTATCTTATCACAAGCGTAACAGTTCAGATAGGATGTAAAATAGCAAAGTCCAGACCGATCCCTGTGTATGTGTCTGTGACTAAAGGGAGATAAGTCATGTTTTCGAAGCATAACAAACGATTTTTATAACAAAATATTTGGAAAGTTGGGGGAATTTTGTTTTTCTTTTAAACACTGATAGTTTTATATTTTGTTAAACTGCGGTCAGCTCCTTGTGGAGGATATTATACTGTAAATTGCCTGAAATTAATTACGTTGTACGTGAGCAATATCTGATAAATTTTATATCTCCAATACCGCTTCATACTATAAGAGCTTAAAGAAATACTGAAGAAACTTATGTATTATATGACGTGAACTTTTGTTACAGCCTATATTTGGACCTAAATTAAAGTGTTCAGAGTAATTTTACACGATTTCGAGGTTTCAATCAACTTTCGGTATAAAAATGCCACCTCAATATATATATATATATATATATATATATAATATATACAACATTTGATATAGCGCCCTATCTAGCTAACATAAGCCACTCTAAAGCGCTTAACAGTACATAGATATACAATTGTATACAGTCAATACAATTAGCATATATATTAATCAATACAATATTGAGGATTTCGCAGGAGCTGCCTTATCAGGCGCTAACTACTAGTCCTATGCCACCTGGCTAATATCTCCCTATGTGTGTATGCCTGTGTGTGTGCTGGAGATGTATTGTCTCAATGCTGATATATACGAGTACATATCACCATTGGGTGTCTTTTTTACCAAATGTAAATTAAACCCATAAAACTTGTAATATTACTCTGAACACTTTGGTTTAGGTCCAAATATAGCTGTAACAAAAAAGTCCCTGTGCTTTCTTTAGTCTATATAAAATCGTAATGTTAACTCCATTTTAGAGATTACTACGGGATGGGTCTCAGTCTTTGTATGCGGGTTTTGTTGATATTTTGAAGTCTCCCTTCTTTCTTCTCATTCTTCTTTTTTACATTCATCTTTGTTGGTCGCCGTGGCGGTGCTGTGAAAAGCGCCTTCACCAAGATCGCCTTACAGCCAGACGACCCGGCGGCGTTCGATTCCCCGTTCGGACATGAAAATGTATCGGGTCGTCACCTGTCCGACCACGTGGGTATTCTGGGTTTGCTACTTTCTTCCATAGCAAGACATTCTGAACACCAACAAGAGCGATAAGAAGAAGCACGGACTTATAATGCAATGGTTGAAGTTAGAAAGAAAAAAATGAAATTGCTGGGAAGAATAAATTTTGTTTTTAAACAGTGTATGGGATTAGGCTATATTCAATCAGAGACACAATGGCTTTATACGTCTCTGATTCAATCAATTTTTTGGAACACTTCGTGTTGTTTAATAAATTCTTTCTGTTTATAATGAAACATAGTGTTGAGTAAAATATTTCGATTATATATAATAATAGGTTTTGTACGTTTGTTGGCGAAACTGCAATGGTAAGAATGAATGGAATGATGACCATTTGAAATAGACATAGCCAAATGCTCTTCATATCCGATATGTAATTTATGTATATGCTCGATGGTTAATGACGGGAGTCCGCTCATGTTCTACTTTCATTTTCAACAAAACCAAATTTTAGTGGTTTGACCGAACTAACAAGCTTGTTCGTGTGAAATCAGAAATATATTTATTAGGGACCTGAATTTCAGTGCGGTGTTCTGGTGAGTCCTAACAAAATCAACACGATGCAAAATGTAAACATTCGATCCATTCATAAAACATAGTTCAATGGTGATATGTTAAGGAAAACGTAAACGCTATAAGGCCGGAACGACTAAGGGGCAGGAACTACTAGGGACGGACCGGTTTGGGGCCGGAACTACTAAGGGGCCGGACCAGGACAGGCCGGAACGACTTGATATCGTTTCACAGAATACGTTTCACGGTAGCGATATACAACTCGTATACGTCATAAGGAACATCCGGGGTTGTGTGGCAGTTTGTCACGTGTCTACCTCGTTTCCATCCTTTACAAACCAGCTCGTGGGTTTGCCGGTAGTGACTGTCCATCCTCTGATCTTGAACAGCAACGGAAAGCAATCAAGGTTTGTATTCCTCAAATTGAATGGATATTTCAATTGCAACAGCATAGACTATTCAATCATATTCCTTTCATATTTTTGTTTTGCAGCTGTTTTCATATTGATAAGATTCATGCCTACCATTGTACAACCTACACTTGACATGACATTGAAAATTTGCTCTGCTGTAAAACGAAATTTGAACACATTTGGCAAAGTGATTTATTAAAACATGGCTAAATATACGTATTGTTTTAATTAAATGCGTTTTTATTTAATATTCCATAACTGCAAACTTATCTTTTTCCGTTCTCCAGCATTTAGCTTCAACATGACCTTGTCAACTTGTCCGTGCAATGATTTCGACTTTGGTCATTTAAACTGCAGTATCTTTTAGATTTAAAATTAAAGACTGAAAATAAACGTTATCGAATAAACTTAATCATTGGTATGTGATGTTAGAGTACAGCACATAGTCTTGTTGCTATGGTAAGAATATGCTGTTAGCAGGTTTGGGGGGTCATCGGGCCCCTCTCAATAAAAGTTTCCTCTAGCATGTCTAAGCCCCAGACAGGACCTTTAAGACATGATGATACAGTTGTCAGACGGTCTGGTGTTGGGTCAAAGCACAATTTTATGCCAAAATTACTTTTGAATATGGTTTTGCCAAGTTTTTGTGTGCTGACAAAAGAAATGTGATATATTGACATAACAAGATTTAGTATAGATTTTCAAAACCGTACATAACAAGTTAGCCTTATCCACCTTGGACGAAATCTGCCAAACTTTCCCGATTCGGCTTGGTCAGATAACTACATTAACAGGATCATGTGAGTAACATGTTTCATGTAGTGACCATGTTGGATCGTCTTTCAGGGTGTTCTTATGAACTGTTTCCTTGGAGCATATAAACTATAATGCACAATGACAGCTTTTGTTTTCGTTCAATACCTCTGAGTCTTGCAACTGCACCATTTTAGTAGTGGAACGTTAATGATATCTGAAACATAAAAAACAATTGATAATTTTATAAAACAATAGCATTTAAATTATCCAAGAGGATGCCCTTATTAGAGGAGGTACAATCATTAGGTCAAGTACAGAACGTACACATTATTAAATGTATTCTGTTTGTATCTTTCAGATGTCGAAGAAACTTGGGTTTGCGGAAAATTTCGCCCTTAGTGGTGCCGCTGCTGTCATTTCCAAGACAGCTGCAGCCCCAATTGAAAGGATCAAGCTGCTTGTTCAAAATCAAGAGGAAATGTTGAAAAGTGGTCGTCTGTCTGAGCCATACAAAGGTATCATCGACTGCACTGTCAAAACATACAAAAATGAGGGGTTTTTGCCATTCTGGAGAGGAAACTTGGCAAACTGCATCCGATACTTCCCAACACAAGCTTTAAATTTTGCATTCAAAGACAAGATCAAGATTATGTTCAAAGCCTCCAAAACTGATGCATATGCAGTGCAATTTGCAAAGAACATTGCATCTGGTGGTGTTGCTGGAGCGATGTCCCTCTGCTTTGTTTATTCCCTTGACTACGCCCGTACCCGTCTGGCCAATGATGCCAAATCTGGAAAGAAGGGCGGTGAGCGTCAATTCAACGGCCTGGTAGATGTATACAAGAAGACCTTGAAAAGTGATGGAATCGGTGGTCTGTACAGAGGATTTGTCATCTCCTGTGTTGGTATTGTAGTATACAGAGGATGCTACTTCGGATTCTACGACAGCCTGAAGCCAATTCTCTTAGGCGACAATGCTGGAGTCCTAGCTTCTTTCTGTCTTGGCTATGTGGTGACGGTCTCATCCGGCTTGCTCTCCTACCCCATCGATACCATCAGAAGGAGAATGATGATGACATCCGGTGAGGCTGTTAAATACAACGGCTCAATTGACTGTTTCAAGACCATCCTGAAGAATGAGGGATTCATGTCCTTGATGAAGGGTGCTGGAGCCAACATCCTCAGAGGAGTTGCAGGTGCTGGTGTACTGTCTGGCTTTGACAAATTCCAGTCACTTTACATCAAGTGGCGTATTGGAGATAATTAAGTACAATTAGGACTAGTAAAAAAAAAATTGAACTTTTTCTCACAGTGACATCTTCAGAGAGGAACAACTCTTTTGAACACCCAATTTTCCAGAACTGTATCTTTGTATTTATAGTGCTGTTTGAATTTCGATAACAACAGAGTGTGATATTGTTGATTGGTAATTGATTAGATGCATACAAGTTACTATGTTGGAACAGTGGACCTGATAAAAAGCGATTGTTTGATGATAATCAAAATTGTGTTGTGTTTGTATTTAATTAAGGCTAGTCTCGACTGAAGGCATGGCATCGGGGGTCAACTTGGTCATGTAACAACTTCAGAATAACTGTGAGACCCAGGGTCCACTTTGTTATTTTATGTTTATACTTTATTAGGGCCAAATGTGTTAAAATGTTTACAAACTTCTGAAAAACCAAGAACTCGAGTCAGAGGCAGATAATACATGGCATTTGATTAAGATGAAGGAATATTAATCAGCTTGACCTACTTTTCAATGTCACAAGGGTCAAATATATTATTCTCCAGAATAACAAGGATACCTTTGTGATGGGCCAATAGCTTATGATAATGAAGAAACTTATGTAGACCAGCAGTGCAAAACCTTTTCGTTTATGACCATGATCACGATCACTGCAAGGTCATCCGAGAGTACGAACAATTTTGAGGATACTTGCCTGGGACTAGTAGATACTAATCATCCACAAAACCGAAATAAAGTTCTGCTAGTACGACAAATACAAAATGGATCAAGCCGACAACATGATCAGTCTATATTTCATTCACAGATAGATGTTTTACTTCAAATTTAATAACTAAATGGCTTAAAAAAAATGAAACTTAAACCAAAAAAAAGTTCAATTAAAAAACATCCTCAAAAGTCGCTAGTAAGTCCCTAAATTTCACTAGCCCAATCTGCAAATCCGGTAGCATTGGGTTAGTGGATTTTTAAACCCCTGGTCATTGATAAAAAAAACGAGAGGCCTCACCTGGTACTTTATTTTTCAATTTAAAACCCGAGTACCATACAGGTTTATCAAAGGAGTACAATGAAAAAGTTGCAAGAAGAACTACATATAAATCTGTTTTGGTGGGAAAGACACCAAGAAAAGGAGAATTCCCTTTGCCCGAAGATTCTAGAGAACAAGCTTTGTTAAAATCCCTTCAACGGTACAGAAGGAGAAGGATCTTGAATGTTTTCCTCTATTTCCCCTAATGGGCCCTCCCCCCATCTGACACAATTTGGTCAACATCCTTCTATTAGTTGAGAAGAAGGAAGATTTTATAAGATTTTCCTATTTGGCCCCGCCCCCAGGGGGACTATACCCTCCGTTTATACAAAACTCTTCGCCCAATGATGCTCCAGACCAAATTTGGTAAAAAAAAAGTTGACGGACGCTGCGTCATGGCATAAGCTTAAAACATTAATCATATATAATTCTGTATGACAAATAGCATACAAGGCCTTTTGGTTGAGATATACTGAACAAAAAAAGAAACGCACAATTAAATTATGCAATCAATAGCCTGTGATATTTTGGGAAATTCTATAAAATTTCATATCAATATGAAGGCACAAATACTGTAGAAGAAAAGTCTGTAGTTACTCAAAGTGGGATAACTGCAAAAAAAACAAAATGATACTTCAGTACCTGGTGTGGGCACGTTTTGCACGAATCCCTGCACAGATTCTCCTATGCATTGAATTCATGAGAACATTTATTCACCTTAAGGGAATGTTGTTCCATTCTTGTGTTAATGCTGCGATCAACTGGGCGCGGTTAGTTGGGGGGTTTTGACGTTTCCTAATATGCCTGTCCAGCTCATCCCACAGATGCTCAATGGGAGACATATGGGGGCCATTCCAGAGGCTGAATGTTGTTTGCCATGAGAAAATCACGACAAACTCGAGCAACATGCGGTCGAGCATTGTCTTGCTGGAAAATTAGGTTATGACATCTTAGAAGTGGAAGGACATGTGGTTGGAGGATCTGGTCTGTGTATCAAATGGCATTGAGGTTATGATCTAGGACCACTAAGGGGGATTTTACTCCATGGGAGATGCCTCCCCAAACCATTATAGAATCCCCACCGAATCAAGTTCACAGATTCAGTATCAAGAAGGACAATACAACTCATGTTTAGTGGTGCCTACAAAATATAGGCGACGAAGTATATGATATACACAGTGAACTAAGGGCCATAACTCGGGTTAAGATACAAGTATATGATATACACAGTGAACTAAGGGCCATAACTCGGGTAAAGAGACAAGTTTATAATATACACAGTGAACTAAGGGCCATAACTCAGGTTAAGAGACAAGTATATGATATACACAGTGAACTAAGGGCCATATCTCGGGTTAAGAGACAAGTATATGATATTCACAGTGAACTAAGGGCCAAAACTCGGGTTAAGAGACAAGTATATCATATACACAGTGAACTAAGGCCCATAACTCAGGTTAAGAGACAAGTATAGGATATACACAGTGAACTAAGTGCCATAACTCGGGTTAAGAGACGAGTATATGATATACACAGTGAGCTAAGGGCCATAACTCAGGTTAAGAGACAAGTATATGATATGCACGGTGAACTAAGGGCCATAAATCGGGTTTAGAGACAAGTATATGATATACACAGTGAACTAAGGGCCATAACTCGGGTAAAGAGACAAGTATACGGCACACTATAGCTACCATCAAATGAGGTTCTTGCACAAACTTTGCCAATTTTTGGGAGACAGTTTATGAGACACGCCCTGGATAAAGAGACGCACGTTAGTCAAAGAGCCATAACTCTTTAGTTTGCCAAAGGACTTGATTTGAGGTACTAGCATTCAAAATTGGACAATTAGGTGACAGTATACGAGATATGCCCCAAACAAGTTGATGAACTGACTGACTTAAATACCAAGGAATGGAATGGAATAGTCCCATCAGTAGTACCAGTAGGGGCTTAAAGAACCAGGCATCTTATAGGGAAACCTAACCTTCACAAGGAAAAGCTTACTAAAATGAGTAATTCTAGGATTTGTTTCATATCTCATAAGAAATGGAAACTTGTGAAAATTCAATTTTTATTACTAGTGACATTCATCTAAACAATAAGTACACCAGCAAACACATGTTAACATTGCACAAACAATTTGAAATCTAGTCTTATGAACATCATCTGATGCCAAGTGCTGTGGCCGGGTCCTGGTACTGACACATGATGAGAACGTCCCTAAATTTGTCCAGTAAAGTCACCAAGTGGGCTCTATGGAGATTCTCGTAGTACATGATTTCTTCTATATGATGTTTTCCATTGAAGTATGAGCACAACCTTCAAAACAGAATCAAATGAAAAATTTCATTTAATTAAAGTACTTTTAAAAAACACAAAATTTTCATTTTATGTTAACAATGTTGACTAGTTGGTGATGGCTGATTTTTAATTAAAATACATTTTTTTACATTTTTTTTTAGGTCACCTGAGCTTTAGCTCAAGTGACCTATTGCTATTCGTCTGCGTCGTCCGTTAACAATTTACATTTTCAACTTAAGCTGAAATACTGTCAAAGGGATTTCATTGATACTTCATGGGAATGTTACTGACAGTTCCTTGACCAAGTGTTGTTATTTTTCGGGTCGATCAGTAATCCAATATGGCCACAACGGCCGCCATTTTGAAAAACTATTTCAAACTTTAAAATCAACTTTTTATGGGCCGATTTAACTGAAACTTGGTAGGAATGATCAAATAATGGTCTTGACAAAGTGTTGTTATTTTTCGGGTCGATCAAAAATCAAATATGGCCGCCACGACCGCCATTTTAAAAAATGATTTCAAACTTAAAGTAAATTAAGTTCTCCTGGGCCGATTTAACTGAAACTTGGTAGGGATGATCGACTCATGGTCCTGGCAAAAAGGCGTTTTTTTCAGGTCCATCAAAGATCCAATACGACGCTATGGCTAACAGGTTTCAGTTTTCCATGATACAGTTAAAAGAAATTCATCAAGTTGAGCAGCTGCCTATATGCTGGTACCCAGGTGAACCAACCAAATTTTCAAACAGAAAAACGAAACAAAAACACTACCATTGTTGTACCCCCTTGTACCAAGGCCCTGCTTTGGACCAGATACTAAATGTTTCAACTCCGAACAAGGGCTAACTACCCCCCTGAATAAGATCGTGGTTATCACGTATAACACCACAACTGAAAAATCCTGTATACACATCTGAATGCAGTGAAAACTTACAAAAAAATAAAAATCTGTTATGGATAATGTAGATTTCAACATATAAGATGAAAGATGATGGAAATAAAATTTTCAGCCATTTTCACTGGCAGGAAAGGCCCAGGAGTGCAGTCCTATTATTTTTTTTTACCTTGAAAAGAGTTTCAAATCCTCTGGACTTTTGGCAGCAGGAACATTTAGAACACACTCTCTCTCCTCCTTTGATAAGTGAGACAAGCCGTCTTGGTTGAATCTATTGCCTGCCCTCATGTCCTCCGATACCTGCGAACTATCACTGGCTATTTCTGACGAAGGCGACTTAGAAAACATCGCATTGATAGAGTTTGATCCTATGCTGACACTTTCATCACTGTTTACTGAAGAAAAAAATCACAGACAAATCGTACAAACTGTATGGGTACACAATAAACTCTTTTGTACGTCGTTGCCAACATTTTTTATATTGTGTACTTCTGAAAACTATATATGTTTTGACCTGGTAGCCTCAGCTCAACCGATATCACTGACGTGTGAAGCACGGGTGTTATGGCGACAATATCAAAATATTCACGAGGGTTTTAATTTCACGGAATTAAAACCCTCGCAAATATTAGCAACTATACATTATACAAGAGGTTCAAATCTGCTAAAAGAGGTCATCCATTCACTAATTCACTTAACGGTTTCTCATGAATGTCTTCTTTTTTTTTGCGTTTTAAGAAAGACTGATAAACTGTTAATAACAGAAACAGTAAAACCTTCATATAATGCCCCATCACTTTACACTAAAACATTTGTAAAAGTTGAAATTAACATGGTGTTGGAACTGCTCATGGTTTTTTGCATTGAGAAAAAATTTACACGAAATCATTCACACAGAAATATAATTATATACCGCTTATACATAGGTGTCAGCCTCTGAAACCTCCAATGAGGGAGATCTCCCTCATTCTTCATTTCCAATGAGGGAGAAAGTGCATGAAATGTGACTGATATTGCTTTGTTCGATTTATCTTTCCCATTTTATGTATCAAAATACACTGTAACTCCTAAATAACATTAATGTGATTCAGACACACCTGCTATGATCATTACACACACACTGCAGTTACTAGGAGATCATTTGACCACAGGATGTAGATTTTGAGTTTGTGTGAGTTCGGGTACGAATGAGGGAGTTTTGAGGGAGATCGGTAAATTTTAGACAAAATGAGGGAGTTTTCCCTCCTAATACGGGACGGTTGACGGCCATGCTTATATATATCATAGATATGTATTGAATATATCAATTTCAAAACTAATGCAGAAGTGAAAATATCCACACCGCCATCACTTTTAAGAGTCACTCAGCAAACATTTCTCATGTGAGAAATACAACCTTTACTGATATAAAACTTGTTGCATTTCCGTTGAGGTTGGAGATAAAGACGATCTTACAGTCCATGTCCTATTGAATTTATTAAGCTTGTTCAGTAAATTGATATGACGCCTCCATGTAAGATTCCATTTACCATATAACATTCATAATTTGAAAAGTAACAATAATGCTTTATCAGTTGACTCTTTAAAGGTAAACAAAAAAAGCACTCTGATATCCTAGTTTTTTTAAATTTCTGCACAGTGAAAAAAAGTTTCAGATTATATTTTCTAAAATAATGAAAAGTTTTGAATGCAATGAAAATAATAATGACAAAATTGACATTTCAAATTAATTTTATAGCAAAAACATTAAACTTCATCAGACAAAATCAGTTAATCAAGTTCAAAATTTTGTAGTGGCGTAGGAATAGGTTTTGACCAATCACAGCACCTACACATGTAAAAAAACTCTATTTATGACATAGTAAAATGGGTCAGTTATGTGATAAATAGAGAATAATACATGACCTTTTCCATATCACACCCAGTATCAACCCGAGATTGAAATATCAGCCCAAGGGCTGATACAGGTTTTGGGGTGTGATACGGTGAGGGCTGATATGGGTTTTGGGGTGTGATACGGCGAGGACTGATATGGGTAAGAGCAATTGTGTCATATCGCATATACAAAAAAACCCGTATTTATTAGTAAGTATGTGATAAAACTTATACCATAGATGCATACCTGATGCCACGTCGGATATACTGGACGCTCGTTGCATTTCAGTCCGATTTTCGAAAGCCAAACTCTCATCCTCCGGTAGTATAGGCATGATCCGGCTCACATCCTCCGACGTCTTCTTCTTTCTCCTGGATAACGGTGGCACGAAGAAGATGTAGGTGTGCTGCTGGAAGATCAGTCGGTGCTGCAGCAGCCACAGTACTATCTGTACCTTCTCTTCCTGTAAATCATTACAACATATATCAAGGTCAGGTAAGTAGGAAGCAGCTAGTATTCACCAGGGTGTGACATACAAATGCTACCTGAAGAAAATGCATTCAAAAAGCTATGACCAAAATTGGATCAGTGTCATTTTGATGCTTCTTGTCCTGCCTCACATAACAGAACCTATCGTAAGAAGCAAACATTTACATGTAGATGATGTAAGGCTATTCAAGGAATGCTGTTGGTACTGATGGAATAGAAATTCATTTCTGCAATTATGAGGAACTATTTAGAGTAAATAGATTCCTCTCATTTTCTTGCATACATTCCACAGGTTATATATGTTTTGTTTACATCTGAAAATGTCATTTGTGGACTAAATCTGTTTTTAATTTTTACATCAATGTTTAAAAAATGCTGGACTGTGTCTTTTACTTCTTTCCTGTTTGCACATGTGTGCCAGATGTATGCAAATAAAGACACAAAAACAATACCATACAATTTTATCAATGGACACAATTCAAAATAAATTGTCAGATAAACTATTATTTAATGAAGGGGCACAGCACTGTCTCTAAGGGTATCTATTTTGACACCTTTTTACAATGCAAGTCAATTTATTGTACCTGCAGGAAATTTTACTAAGCAGGATATCTGGTAAGTTCTTCACAGAATACCATGATATTTCAGCTCATGCCGGCTATCCCCTGGTTTGGAAGTACATGTTCACAGCAAATTCGATATATGTATTGAACACTTAAAGCTTCATGTTAAATGTAAATGTAACTAATTTGAATAGAACACTATAAATTCAGTCACACAAATTCAAAGAATTTCATACTGGAAAAGCAAACTTATTTTTTGGGGAAAACAATTCCACAAGAGTCTAGGCAATGAAAGTGTTATTTAACATGAATACACCAATCCAATAAACTATAATAAACAATAACATTCACATGGATGAAAGTGGGTAAAGTAATCAACAAAAACATATTTGATGCCATTTACTAGCAATATGATCTAATTGTTGTTTACCTGATTTTTTGGATGATCCAAAATATCCCTAGTATCTCGCAGTTGCACTGGATAGGAGAACTTGGACAATTCTACCGACAGTGATTTCTCTTGAAATGTTGCAGCAAATTTTTCATTCAAACCTGAATTTCTAAAATAAACAAACACAACTATATGGTATATGGTATTTCAAATTCAATAGTTCACGTCTCCTTTGTAAATGCTTTTGTTTTTTAAAAGGTCAAGGCCTGCAGGTGCATGCACTCACATATCTATGTATTAATAGTATTACCAGACTCCTGTGGGAGAGGGTGTAGATAAGGCCATGCATATGTATTAAAGATCCAACCTGACAACAGTGGACAGAGACAGGACATAGATTAGGCCCTGCAGGTCAACTTACAAGCAACTGTGGGGGATGTAGAATTAGGCCCTACAGAAATACTTACTAATTAGGCCCTGCAGGTCAACTTACCAGCAACAGTGGGAAATGTAGAATTGGGCCCTCCAGAAATACTTACAAATTAAGCCCTGCAGGTCAACTTGCAAGCAACTGTGGGAGATGAAGAATTAGGCCCTACAGAAATACTTACAAATGATGCCCTGCAGGTCAACTTCCAAGCAACTGTGGGAGATGTAAAATTGGGCCCTACAGAAATGCTTACAAATTAGGCCCTGCAGGCCAACTTACAAGCAACTGTGGAAGATGTAGAATTAGGCCCTACAGAAATACTTAAAAATTTGGCCCTGCAGGTCAACTTCCAAGCAACTGTGGGAGATGAAGAATTAGGCCCTACAGAAATACTTACACATTAGGCCCTGCAGGTCAACTTCCAAGCAACTGTGGGAGATGAAGAATTAGGCCCTACAGAAATACTTACAAATGATGCCCTGCAGGTCAACTTGCAAGCAACTGTGGGAGATGTAGAATTTAGCCCTACAGAAATACTTAGAAATTAGGCCCTGCAGGACAACTTACAAGCAACTGAGGGAGATGTAGAATTGAGCCCTCCAGAAATACTTACAAATGAGGCCCTGCAGGTCAACTTGCAAGCAACTGTGGGAGATGTAAAATTGGGCCCTACAGAAATGCTTACAAATTAGGCCCTGCAGGCCAACTTACAAGCAACTGAGGGAGATGTAGAATTGGGCTATACAGAAATACTTGCAAATTAGGCCATGCATGTGTATTAAAAGTCTAACCTGACAACAGTGTGTGGAGGGGGGGGAGGGGGGGAGGGGGGACAGGGTGTCGGTTATGCCCTGCAGATGTTTTTTACAATTCTAAAGTGGGATTCCCCGATAAAGGATTTAGAATTAGGCCCTGCAGATGTTTTTTACAATTCTAAAGTGGGAATCCCCGATAAAGGATTTAGAACTTTAGAATTAGGCCCTACAGATGTACTTACAATACCACTGTTGGAGATAGAACGTAGACATTTGTACCACACACAGGGAAGATGACCGTCGCCTTGGCCCAGTACACCAGGTGACTCACCATCTGGAACACCTTCGGTACAAAAAAACAAACATCACTAGTCAACATTGCATTGAAGGAACAGAGACAGGTTCAAATCATATTCAATTATCAGTCACACAATATAATCTGTCTTAATTGACCCCTATCTTATCTGAATCCCTGTCTGTGCCGACTTTGGTATTTGGTTCAAAAATGTCGTAAATTACTAATTGACCTTTACCCTTAACCTTTCAACCCAAGAATGCAGCTGTGAGTGGTGTATACCTGAGAGAGGTTGAGGTCAGCCTCCAAGGCTAGGGTCTGTAGACTCTTAAGGGGGTTGGTGACGGTGATCAGTCTGTTGAGGGACTGTGTTCCATCCAGGGGAAGGAACTCCTGCAGACTATGTTTGTCCGTCAGCAACAGGATTCCGTGGTAAGGTCTGTTAAAAATATCAAACCCTTAATATTTACGTTTGCTCTGCATCCCTCCATTGCAATGCATTGAGAATTCAAACGTTGTTGTGAGACTCAATCTCTATTGTGACGTCATCAATTTCATTGTTGTCAAAGATTTATTTGCTGTTCAAAGAATTGTTTGATATAAGTAAATAAAGAGTAACCGCCCTATCAAAATGTAAATATAAATAATGAACATTTTAGCAAATATTGTTATGGTCCTATAACACACATTTCTATTGCCGACAAACTTACATAAAGCCCAGCTTAAAGTTTGTCATCATTAGCAAGAAGTGTTTTAGGACCATAACAATATTTGCTAAATCATACATTGCTAAACTAACAACAAACTGCTTTTCTTTTCTCCTTTATACCATGTTGGCAATGCTGTTTTGCAATATACCCTAAAAGTTGTGTTTTTTTTGCGAAGTTCAAATTTTTCGGAATTTTTTGCAGTAACATTTTCCCCGAAAAATACAACCAAATCCTTTAACTCCTACAGAAGAAGAAGGATTTTAAAGAATAATTTGCTGTATTTCCCCTATTGGACCCCGCCCCTCAGGCCCCTGGAGGGCCAGACCCATGCTTTATACAAAATTGAGTCCCCTTCCCCCAAGGATGCTACCGACCAGATATGGAACAAATCCTTTCATTCCTACAGAAGAAGAAGGATTTTAAAGAATTTGCTATATTTCCCCTTTTGGGCCCCACCCCTCAGCCCCCAGGGGGGCCACACCCACCGTTTATACAAAATTAAGTCCCCTTGGCCTAACCATGCTTCAGACCAAATTTAGTCAAAATCTAATTGGCCGTTCAGGACTACTAGTGTTTTAAAGGAAAATGTGACGGACGGACGACGGACGCTGCGGTATGACATAAGCTCACCAGGTGAGCTAAAAAATGATTCTACAGTATGTCATTGCCATGAAATATGCTTACTGCAGTTCCTTTGGAAATGACTATTTTAGCAAATCTGTGAAAATAATTGACACCAACTAGAAAGACTTTTACAGTATTATCTGTGTGGTGTCAATATATATATCCATGTGTGCATTTTTCCAATTTCAGACAGAAGTTTAAATTTAATGACAAAATTCAGCAGATATTTTTTTTCACATTTACAGAAAGTGGCAAATGTCTTTGACATGCATGATGTTATGGTACTACCAGTAGGTACATTTGTTTTCCTTCTTAACAGTTTTCAGAATTTCATTATAAATTCCCATTCATCAGGTGTGCTTCACAAAACTTGAGCTATATATGGAACAGTAAGCCCCTCAAACTTTCACAAGGAGGATTATGAAACAGCTGATCAACAAAACTCCTGAAAAAGTTTCTTGATTTTTGAAAATAACCGTTCAACTGGATCAGGCCTGTTATTTATACATACCTTAACCTCTCCAAACACCTCTGAATTCTGCCTGGCTGTAAAACAAATTTCTAATTAAGACACAATGGAAGCTTATCATTGATGTCATATTGATGAACAGGAACTGATGGTATTTCCAACCTTTGAATTGGAGGAGTTCAAATGTGTCTTCACCCCTTAAATTTCATAATGAACTATTTCAACCTTTGCATAGGAGGAGTTCAAATATGTCTTCAGGGCTGAATGAGTTTTTTGTTTATGGGGCGAAGACACAATGTAAACAACAGTGTCTCTTTCAAAAATTATGCTCTGGGTTCGGTGCCCACTTCAATTATTATCTTCGTGTATACCAAACCCAGTGCGCAAATAGTTTCAAAGAGACCCTATGAAGTACGTTCTTACTATCCCCACCCTTTCAGCACATTTTTAACAGGAAATAGTCAGTTATTTTGAACTAACACATGGAGATTTTAAAACTAATTTTGCTGCAGGAAAATTCTGTTTTTGAGTTTGATTTTCATGAGACAATGCATTATCATGTAACAAAAATATCAGGTACTTAAAAATAACTTAAAATCAGATAACACCAATTAAATAAATATATTACCCTAAACTGACCCATACTTTACTTTGATATGAAAGAAAACTGAAACACGAATTTTGTTTGGTTGGCTAGGTTTTACCTATGTTACATTCATTTATCCGGTTTATACGGTTGAACCGGTTAAACCTGTAAAGAAAACGACAGGTACAGATCTGAACCGAGGCTGACCTCAGGAAAATTTGGAACGTGTGATTGAGGGGTCCAGACGTACCTGGCCAAAACTATAATGCTGACTATTGCTAGTTTGCGTTATTTCTTTCTAAAACAATGTCAAGCCACATGTAGTTTTTAAGATATTTTTATGTTATTCAGTGGACGCATGAAAGAAGGGCATAATATTCTTGATACATTATTTTTTATTCTCCGAAACTGTGTATTTTTAGCTTTACTTATAGAACGGTCCAAGTGCGTTCGTTTATCGTGGAATATTTCTGCGCCACACGTACCGTTTCAACCGGGATACGCGAATGTAGCCTTAGTAAATTGTTAAGGTAAAGGGCGCAATAATTTTAAAACAAACAAGGCATCACAAGTGATACAGAAAAGTGACCTTGACCTTGACCTTTAACGCAGTAACCCGAAGCGTAAACTTGTTTAAGGTATTGTCATACCAAACACTTGTATCAAGTTTCAGGAAATTCCGTTGACGAATGAAGTCGGTAGAGTGATGACAAACTGAGAGTTTTTCTAAAAATAGTAAAAGTGACCTTGACCTTCAACACAGAAACTCGAAACACAAACTTGTTCAAGACAAACCCTTGTATGAAGTTCCATGAAATTCCGCTGAGGAATGACGTCGCTAGAGCGACGACAAAGAGTGTAACATATGTACATACGTACGGGCTGAATCCTATATCCCCTCAAACTTTCGTTGCAAGGGGATAATCATCATTTACCTGAAGAACTCACCTCAATATAAAGGTTTCTGGAAGCCCAGGGCTGTCTGTGAATCTTGTGTGGGAGACAAAAGCTTACCAGGATGAAGTTGTTGACCAGTAACTTGACGACGCCATTATCACACAAACTGTGGAGGTAACAGTACAGAAACCGATAAAGGCAGATCTAAAACTCCTATACTTGTCAAGGGCAGCGATAAATCTACACATGGGTCCGGAGTCTTATACTCATAGAATTTTGGAAATACTTAAATTTAACATTGTTGGATGAAAACAGATTGAAGATTGATAACTGCAAGGGTAGGGAAATTTGAAATGTGCAATAAACAAATCGCTGAAAGTGGTTCAGAGTCGATACACCGGTCATTACACTCTTAGCTTGACAAAGGAAACAGACGTTTTCGAAAGCTCGCAAAATAAGTTTTCAATTTCTATAGCCATTATAACAGAAACACTGCTTTCCTTTTAAAATAATTTCAAATAGCACAGGAACAATGCGTTGTAATCAACTAAAAGAATTTTATCTTCGAAATCATGTGAAACATAACAAATTTATACCAAGGAATGAAATTGTTTACCTTTCAAACATGGATTTAAGATCTTCGGCAAGTGAACTCCTCTTCAGTATCATTGAAAACGGAGACTCGTTTGAATCTGTAAAAAAACAAAAACAAAAATGAAATTCATTTGACATTCTTTTCCTTATGTTATGCATATTTATTTCATCTTAATATTAATAAACGTAGTTTTTAAAAATATACATCAATATTTTATTGCTAGTCTAGTTCATATAAAAATACCATTTTAGCTATTTCCTCATCATAGTATCCTGGTCTTGTATGTATAAAATATCTGAAAGTTGAGGAGAATATTAAGCAAGGTTTACTGGGATATTTCGAAGTTAAGGGAAGCTTGAAACTTGTCTGACAAAAGCAAGACCTGAACATGATGATTAAGAAATACTCCCTTCCCTGTTGTTGTGTGTACTGGACTTTAAAAGCAAAGAATCCCATGCGACTGGTTTACTGGTATATATAGACAACAGAATAATTAATCCAGGAAAAAAAATAAAAAATCATTTTGAATATGTAAAAAAAGAATTTCAAGTAATTAAAGAAGTACCTAATTTATCTGCCAAAAACATTTCTGGTTATAAGCCCACCCATACATGATGTAGTTAAGAAGAAATGCAAACAAAATTTTAACAAATGCTATTCTACTGTCCTGTAATAAGCCCAACCATACCTGATATAGTAAAACAGGAAGGCCTACAAATGCTATTCTACTGTCCTGAAATAAGCCCACCCATACCTGATATAGTAAAACAGGAAGGTCACAAATGCTATTCTATTGTCCTGTAATAAGCCCACCAATACCTGATAAAGTTCAACAGATTACATGTTGGCCCCCTGACCTTATTGCAGGATGCATACAATAAGTTCAACTAAAAAAGAGGTATTATTTTTAGAACCCACTTCAAATGGAAATTATTATGAAAATGGATCCTGGTAGTCAAAACATGTCAGGAATGATGGTCAAAAGAGTATTTCCACAACAACGAAACACTAGAAAGTTTTTGAAGGTTTCTGGATTTCCAGATTACCTTCCTCAGGCATGGCGGCCACCTCATCGTGAACGCCGAGCATGATCTTTGCCTGCTGGGATAGGTAGTGCCTCCTCCGCTCCTCGTAGTGTACAGCTACAGTCAACTGCTTCATTAAGTCATGGTAACAGTTTATCACAGACAAACTTAGGTGTGCCTACACAAAAATGAAAATATTTTGAGGTGTGCCTAGAAAAACATTGAATAACAAGATGCCGTCATCAATATCCCCTGTTCGCAGTGCAAAAGTCATTAAAGACATGAAGCGTAAAATATAGTTCAAATTTAAATCTGCATCCGCAATATGCATTCAGTAGGGCAATCCTTGATAGATGGTAAGATAGAGATGAGAACAATTCTTCTTAATCAGGTGCATGGACGGACGGACGCACAGACGCAAGGACAGATGGGCCCCATTTCTATATCCCGCCAACTCGCTGAGCGGGAGATAATAACTTTAGAAAAGCCTTAAACATTAACAGGACAACAACATTAATGTATACTGTGAAATGTACGCTGCACTTTTGGTATATTGGTGTGGGAAATTTCGCACCGTCACGACATGGGGTCTGAGACCAGTGCTAAGCTCCTAAAACTAATAAGATAACAGAAGTAAAATCTTATGTGTTATCTGTTCAGAGGCAGGATACAAAAGAGACCCTGCTACCTACACTAGGGGTACATTCACGTCTCCAGTTGAAACGATTGAACCGGTTGAACCTGTAAAGAAAACGACAGGTACAGATCTTAACCGAGGCTGACCTCAGGAAAATTTTGGTACGTGTAGATTGATGGGTCCAGACGTACCTGACCGAAACTAAAATGCTGACTGATGCCAATTTGCAATATTTCTTTCTTAAACAATGTCAAGACACATGTAGTTTTTAAGATACGCTATGTTATTCAGTGGAGGGATGAAAGAAGGTCATACTACTCTTGATACATTGTTTTTTATTCTCCGAAACTGTGCATTTTTAGCTCCGTTTCATCCGGGATACGCGAATGTAGCCTAGATATCATGTCAGTGCTGTCAGCAGTCAAAGGGAGATAACTCTCCTGAATTTAACTACAAAAAAATAGTTTTTAGACAAAGATGGAAACCCAACAAATTAATTTTGGTCTGGTAATCCGGCCTTCAGATTAGATATATTGAGGGTCAGAATGATGCTGATTTCTCATAAATTTGTTGGCAAACTGATACTGGTAACAATTCTGCGCCCTTTTTTGCAGAAGGATTCAACTATATACCTAGGAATTCAATGATCATGCAAAGAATCATGGACTACTGTTAATAAGTATGTTGATAGGGGCTCATTAGAATGTTTCATAGTTTCAAAATACCACAGCAGTACTTTAGCATATTAACAAGTACCACAGGGCTACTATCCGAATGAGAGGTTAATGAAATATTTTAAAAGTTTCACTGTGTCAATGCATCACAGACCAACCTCTTTTCTGTGAATGCTACTTTTCTTGAATGTTAATTTCCTGACAAAATGCAAAAAATAACCCGGCACAAAGCTCTATACTGTATACTTAGGGCCAAATAAGGAGTATTTTTTGGATACTGTGACAGCTAAAATGATGCGGACAAGTAAGATACCTTGAGGGCTAGTATTATGGTGAAAGATATGATCTGATGAGAGGATTTGCCCGCAGCCTGACTTGTACAGGGGTCAAACATCATGGGATAGCCAATGAAATGTATGTCGTCCACTTTAACATTGAACCTCTTGCTACAGAGGTCGGACTTGACCGCTAGCAGGTTGGCAAGTATCTGGTCACTGAATCTAAAATAGAAAAAAAAAAAAAAAAAAAAAAGATCACCAAACAAAAACATAAATAGTGAATTTATCTATTACTATGGTATACAAGGTCTGCAACAATACATGAACATGAGAATACGATACGTATCACAATATTTTGGTTACAATATGATACGTATCTTGATACATATAGTAACAGTAGAAGCAAAGAGAAAAGATATATTGCAAATTTTCAATGGTAATATTACAACTGGAAATAGACTTGGTCCAGAATGGTCATGACTTTCACACAATTCACATCTTTTGAGGTGCATGCTGAGCTGGAGCTGTCACTCGCCCTGTTGGAATGGACATGAGTTGACTATATTCAGAAACGTCAAAATCTGGAAAATATTGCAGGTGTATCATGACCTCCCAAAAAATATTGTGCATCGTACTGTATTTAAAATATCGTGATATATTATATATCGTTACGACACTATAGTATACATCATATGTAGTAATCACATTTGATGGGCATTTAACACTTGGAAAATATTATTTTTACTAATAATGAAGGGCGAAGAATTAAATCAAGAAAGCTTTCTTTATTCTTATTTTTATTTCAGCAATATACGTATAAAATGGTACCTGATGCTGTCCAGTGTGTTAGTATGTTTTCTGCTACTCTGTCTTTGGTTTCTGCAACAAACAAACAAATATTATCATATTAATTACTATTTCCACCAACATTAAGACCCTATACACGCTGCCATATTGGACAAAAAGAGTGATTACCCGCTAAGTTGGGGGGAAAAAATATAATTTTTAAAAAAGTATTGTAGTTTATCAAAAAGATTTTTTAAAAGCACTTTCAACAAAAGTCTTGCCCTTTTTTTCCTTTTATGTTTTTTTTTCTTTCTTTACAATTTGACAGCTGAATTCTTAACAGTTTCTGAAGCCTTTGATCCTTTTAATGATTAATAAGTGGCATGTGCCAGGCAGAGGCACCGTAGTCTAGTGGTAGGACACCAGGCTCATGACCCAAGGTTTTGGGTTGGGCAGTGCTGGAATTGTTGAATGCTAGCTGTGAGCACCTAAATGGCTGCAATGGCTGTATGCTCCCCAGGGAGTTGAGAAATATATTGGCTAGTTGCAAAAGCCCTATAACCATGGACAATAATTTGTGAACAGCTTTGAGACGACCGACGGACTAGGTTGTAAAAAAATATTATATTAAGCAAGATTCCTAGCTTGATGTACCTAACAACCCTTAATGCTCAACAGTACAGGCATAAACACAGTATTTTTATCCAGTACTTACAGAGTCATGATAAAAACAGAGTGTTTTTGGAAGGAGAACGACCATGAAAATGCTTCATTTGGAAGTGTTTTTAAACTTTTGCAGATTTTTTTAATAAACAATTATTTGTTTAATGCTCCTTTACATAAAATCAGACTTTCAAACCTGCACCAACAAGATGAGAGGACTTACTTGCATGCTTGAAGGTCTTCACTTATCTTTACTGCATAAGGACTCCTGGCTGTATAGGGTTTCACTGAAAAAGGACAACACTTAGAATGCCGGCACTGCTACATATTTAAAGTAACATGAGATTGAAGAATTAAATCATCCTGGTTTGTACAAGTTCTGTATGATGAAATCTGGTGACGTTGCAGTATGTTAACTTCTTTAGTTTATCAAGCATGAACCATTTGCATTTATTTGATGTTCGCATGATCAACAAGAAAAGGAAATTAATAATTAAATTTTGAAAAATTCAAACATTTGTGAAAACTGTATAATTATGTTTACGACAACTAATCTAAGATTTCACAGATTTCTAATAATAATTGCATAGTCTATCATTGTATAAGTTAACATTAATTAATAGCTATAAAATACTTTCATGATTTAGGAGTGTAATGTATATGCCAGTTTGCTGGAGGGTTGGAGCTATATGTTGGAATATTAATTTACCTTGCCTTTCAATAGCGCAGATCTGATGCCAACTTTTGAGTGCTACTTTACTGATATACCATGAAGAAATCACTAATCACTGCAAATATTCAATCTTGGCTGCCTCAAAACTTGTGGGTAAATATAACTTCACCGGATATGGCTGTATTATGCTATAGTATTGATTGTGTAAGATCATACAGTCTTCAAAAAATTGGAGGCCCTTTTACATTAACAGTTGTTGTGTCTGCATTGCCTTTATTTACTGTAAATTTTAACATATACTGTTAGGCCTACTGCAGCAGGAAGTATACAACCCGACAAAGACCCTTACATCAGGTCCAGTACATTCTGCCGATTGAGTTATATAGCTGTAAAGACCTATAATAGCTCTATTGACCTATCTGAAATAGGTCTTTTGAGCTATTTTCATGTGATTGTCTTTTTAAAGGAAAACGAAAGAAAATCGCTCTGAAAAGAAGATTTTATCATTAGGTTGATAACAAGACATTAAATATAAGTATTCTTTTTAAAAAATAATGATGTAAAAAAATCGGAAATTTTACATTTATGAAAAATGAAAATAAACATCTAAATGTTTTATGTGACTTTGCTTGAATTTGAATGAAAATTGAAATCTGAGAAAATATAGCTCAATACAGCTATACGTTATAGGTGAATATAGCTATATATAGGTCTTTATAGCTATATAGCTCAATCGGCAGAGTGTACTGGACCTGTACATTATCACTGGAAATTATTAATTCTAGTTCAACAACAGTATGGTAATGTCAATATAGGACATCTAAATTTTGCATAATTTAACACAAGTGACAGGGGCATTGCACAGGGACAGGATACAGTTTGTAATCCAGGGGTATTATAAATTTGAACGGTTGAAGAGGGATTTATTTGATCATAAGGGGTTCTTTTGGATGAGCATCTGAGCCTCTCAAACATAAAATCCTAGTCTAGTCTAATCTCCTAACATATCAAACACATTGACTCGCATAAGTCTGCTGCTGCACGTTCTAACCGATATCAACAAGGCCCTGTGGTGTGACTGACGAGTAACGACTGAGGCATTCGTAAAACAGATTCTTACACTTATCCCCGACAACCGGCACGTCTGGTTCTATAGGATACTTGTATAGAAGTCTGTCACCCCGTGTGCCAGACGTGACGAGCAGCACCGCGACTGGATTCAGTCTTTTGTCGCCCACAGTGGTCACCATCTTTCCGTCTCAGCTGCTGTCTAAGGGAGGCTACTCTGAGCGACACAAATCAAATTACCTCCCCTTTGACCGTTAGGGACAGGAAAGCTAGTTTTCCTTTTTTTTTTTTTTTATAAATGAGGATATTAAACTAAATAAGTAATATAGAATATTATCTGTAACAAATATTCTTATTATTAAGGTCAAGAACAATATGATGATTTTGTAAATTTTAACTTCCTCAAATTCTCTTTAGACTAATCTGATTCCTGCAGTAGATACCATTTGTCAATACAGTTGTATAATGAAATGTGAACAAATGGATATTCATTCAAGTAGTTTTCATGACTTCGTTTTTCAATGGTTCAGCTACATGTAACATATTTTAATTAACAGTTGGCATAGTAAAATTTATAGCTGCTAAAATATATATGCTATCCATTTGATTCCTGACCTTACTTACACCATTGAGGAAGAACTTTCTTTTGATCAAATACAAAACTATTGCCGATAAAAATTAACCGTGGCTAAACACAAATATGCTAATTCTATTAAACCATTAAATGAAGGATTTAAGTATATCAGAATGTCAGGGGTAGGTCAAGTGATGTGCTTGTCAAATCAGGTGTCGGTCAAGTCTGGTTTCATCCATCAAGTGTGCGGAAAATAGAATGTCACTGTACTCATTTTATTTTCAGTGACCATACTTACATAGCAACTCAAATTTCCATTACAATTTTCAAGTTTAATATATTCATCATGACAATAAGCAATGATAATATATATATTTTTTTCATGTAAAGGTTGTCCCAAATTAATACTTTCTTATTAGTGCATTTTGTTACCTGTGTAACAGGAAAGAGAATAGCGTGCTTCCACCGAGGATCGGACCCTCGATCTCCAGGTTCCTAGTCCGACGCTCTACCACTGAGCTAAAGGGAAATTCCCTCTAGCTCGAAGCTAGAAGGCGACCTTAATCCTATGTACAGTTGAACCCTGCCACACCTGCAATAAGGCTTTGCCTGGTAATAAGCTCATCCATATCTTATGCATTTCAGCAGAAACTTTATACTGTAACCTGGAAACTTTCGCCGAGTAAAATATTCACACTTTGCTGATAAAAATCCATTCTGCCTAGTGTTAAATTCGCCCTGCACATGTACTTACTATATATTGCATATTCACTGATAAATTTGCCCTCATTCTGGAGGATGAAAAAGGCAAAAGTTTAACTTTAGCAAAGATTGCCCTGTATTACACGGTACAATTTCAGTATCATGAAATAAGACCATGTAGTAAGAAAACTTGTTATTTTCAGTAATGAAGTGTCCATACTAAGAAAAAAACAGAAGATTTTGTAGCAGTACCTTGTACATATTAAATTTGGGAAGGTTCAATTAGTTCCAAGTTCAAGTATATTTTATTTAAAAGTCGGGACATGTTTAAACAAGGCAACACAAGCCTTTGGAAGGCTTTTACAACCGACTTAATTAAGTCAAGTAATGGAAAAATTACTTCAATCGGAAACAGCTTCCCTAATCTCTTAACATCCATGCGACATTTACTATCACATTTAGATGGTCTGAAAAAGAGCTAAACATCTTTGTCGTCCACTTTAAATCTCATCAATCACTAGCAATTCTTTTGTTAACAAAGAGACAAAATTAGTTTTTAATTTTGAAGAAAAAACGACCATTTGCTTGTATTAACAAAATGCATGATTTTTATCACTTAGAAATGAAAACAAAGACCGATATCCAATAAGCAAAATTTTAATGACATTTTGTTTTTTACAAATCAACAAAATGCGATAAAGCCTCTCTCAGAGAAATGTCAGTGTGCTTAAGTTACATAATAATTCAGCTTATTACAGAATGATATTATCACAAAATGTTTCTTCCGGTTGACTTTGAAGTTTCAGTTCATAATGTTTATATCATGTAGCACTAGTACATATCACTGATATTCATTTACATCGTTTATTTGTATCATTATCCTCCATTCGTAGTGGTAACACCAAAACTTTCAATCCATAAATATTTCCTGTAGCGAGGTCACATCAGCCGTCAGATCTCACGTACGACTGCTCATGTCTGAATCGGTCAATCACAGAGTTTATGGGTCATTTAATTTTCAGGGTCCAAGATGAAGAAGAATTTTACTTTTTCACAATCTGGATGACGTCATCGTGGTTCATCAGATGGTTTAGGCCAACACGCTGTGGGCTGTATTTCACACTTGTTCCCTGAAAATATTCAAAATACAATAATATTAAAATTTTAAAATAAAAATACTTTTATTAAGGGCTATCATGTATACCAGAAATACATGTATACAGAAAATATTCAAATACAATAATATTAAAATTTTAAAATAATACTTTTATTAAGGGCTATACATGCATACCAGAAATACACATACATAGTATGTATGTGCGTGTATGGGGACATGGGGCCTACTATATAGGTAGGCCCAATGCAAGTTGTAACCCCTTCAAACAATCAATTTACTTTAAATTTCCTGGTTTTAGTATTTCAAAATATACCTGGTTATTTACATCTGAAATTGACAACACCCCAACAGGATGTGTGCAGATATGAAACATCTGAGTTTCTGCCTTGCTATAGAATATGGAAAATGCTCACAAAAAGGTACATGTCCTAGATTTTGTAGATGGTTGAATGTTTTACATTTTCACAATAAACTTTATAGGAATGGCAGATGTCTTGCCGATTGGGATGTGTCATGCTTACCCTGGTTCAAACTTTTCGCAATGATAGCCATTAAAACAAACTACACAAAGACCAGGGCTTTTGAAGATCAGTAGACATTTGAGAGGATGTTTTTGACTCCTCAAAATAAGCTTTAGCTCTTAGGGTTTAATGGACAGGTCTATTTGAAATTTGTTTTGATTCTTCAAATCTAAGGGAAACAGTGTTTTTAGATTTCTAGAAATGCTATATTCAAAGTTACGACTTAACGCCCTGTCTCAACCAAGCAAGATAAGTATGCAGAAATGATCCTTTGACAACCCCACCTTACCAAATCTCACCACCCACCCCCAATGACTCGGGGAAATACCTATAACATGGTACCTCACACTGTATATAACAACCATAAATACACTAAAAGTCCGCTTATGACCTTGAGCTATTATTTTTTTTACGACAGCCACACTCACCCAGACTAAAGCGTACTTGAATGTGTTTACAATCGTCCTGTGTATCAAATGGCACTGGAAATAAAGACAAACATCAATTAGTACACAGAATACAGATGGCACTTCAAGTAGAGATAAACAAGGCAAAGGTACTTTTCAATTTAAAACGTTCTAGAACAAATTCAGGTTCATGAAAACACTGGGTAAAATTACAAGTATACATGTACATGTATAAGAATACTTGTTGAATTTCATTGACCTAGATTCAGGCTTCAGTGTCATGAAAGTTCCTTAACTCATTCACCCCTGCAACTGTATAATGTACTTTTCCAACCTTTGAATTGGAAGAGTTCAAATATGTCTTAAGGGGTGAATGAGTTAACATAAGAAAATTCCTTCAGTTTTTCAATGTGAAGCATTATTGGAGCTCTCCATAAGAAACTTCTAAAGGATTTGTTTTCTTTCACATCATTAATGCTATTTTATGTAAATTCTACTGTTGCAAATTTATCCAGCAGTAAGCCAATGTCTGTTAATAAGCCCACCCACATTTATTGAATTCTAACAAATGCTTTTCACTGTCCTGTAATACGTCCATCGCCAAAATTTTATTCAGAGATTATTTCTTGTCCCCCCGAACCCCCCTCCAACCTTGGGTTGGTTTGTTTGTGTTTGACGTCCTATAAACAGCTTTGGTCATTTAAGGATGTGCCAGGTTTCGGTGTTGGAGGAAAGCTCGAGTTACCGGAAAAAAAACCCATCGGCCGACAGTCAGTACTTGGCGCCTGTCCCGCATTAGTCTTGAACCGGTGACCCAGTGGTGGAGGGCTAGTGGTAGCAGAATGTCAGACGCCTTAACCACTTGGCCACCACGGCTCCCTCCAAACCTTGGCTTTTTGGAGGATGAGTATGGTAAGTTAGGAAATGTCCATAAAACTTGTGGCATTGTGCAAAAAAAACCCACAGAGATAAACTATTAAAAGTCTTCACTGATACAAAAATGTTGACTTCCTCGCTGTACCTACCACATGTTCCACCGTACAGCCCCGCCTCAGGATAAGTCCTCCATCGAAATCGGGTCTCTCTGTAACAGTTTAAAAGGGGTACATTTTAAAGTCACTTTATAAGCTTCAGCTACGGAGAACTTCCCTCTAACTCTGTGGTTGACCATAGGACCAGAAATATTTGAGTCGCTGGTTTGGTCCCCAGCAGAGGCACCTTGTATTCCTGGAAGTACTTTTATAACCTTTTATAAAAATTCACAGGCAGCAGTATTAAAGGAACAGAAAAGTTAATTGATATAAATATCAGGATTTATGGTCTAAAGAATAATAAATATGTTTTCATTGGAGTTTCTTACAAACTTCAAATACATCAATAAATGATTTTCTGACGAAGGTTTACAATTCCAGAAAGGTTATCACTTCCTTGTTTTTGTGTAAATCATACATGCACCATGGGCCTTTTTGCTTATGTGGACCAACCGGTTCATTTTCTTAATAACATATCTCTAGGATAATTAAAGCCTGACAGACCTGCAAATACTGATGCAGACCAGGTAGTCTTTGCCAAGAAAGATTACTAGGTCCATCCCTGCTTCGAAAACGAAAACATTCTGGTCCAACACCTTGTAAGGCGATAAACAAAAGTGGTCCAGGGTTCATAATACTCACCCCCTCGTTTCTTTGTGTATACTCGCACCAAGGCCAGGTATTCCCAGACTGTCTCCAGTAAGTAATCAAGGTTCAACTTCACATTGCAACTGAAAAGTAAATAAAAACAACATACAAATTGAACTGCAAACATTTCCTTATATTGAATAAAATCTACTGACCCAAGGTGTTAATTATCTAGAGCTCTCTACCTGTGATAAATTGCCAAATGTTGCTGGAAACCTGGATCTCTGTCCCATTGTAGGCAAAACACTTGATAATTCCACTGTGTTTTTTTCCATATATACAGTAACCTCCCTTTAATATCACTTCAGTATATAACTGAAGTACTGTTAGGACAGGATACTCTACTGACCTGGGGCCTGTTCGTTTATCTGGAACAAAACAACCGGTACACCCGTTTTTTAAATGTAACATTTTTGGGTATAAATCCTGGCGGACTTGCAAATGTTTATGCAGGGGCTTGCAAGGCTTTGTCAAGGCTCGCCTGAAAGCAGCATCAGATTACTGGTTCCAACCTGATTTCATAAACGAACAACTCTGGTCCCACCGGTTTAACCGTTTGGACCTTGATAAAGGAAAACAGCCCGGGTAACTCATTTGGTTAGAGCAACAGTATAATAGTTTAAGGTCCAGGCATAAAACTCTTGTCTAGCCTCGCTAATTTTAATACTCCGAATGTTAACACTATTGTTGATATTTGTTAATTTCATCTCCATTATTTTTTTCATAAAAGTCCTCTAAGGTATCTTTTCGATTTCAGAAATAACTGATAAAAGTTATAGTCATGCCAGAAAAACAAGTCAATCGGATTGATACGTCTCGCATATTGATATTTGTTAATTTCGTCTCCATTATTTTTTCTTAAAAGTCCTCTAAGGTATCTTTTCCATTTCAGAAATAACTGATAAAAGTTATAGTCATGCCAGAAAAACAAGTCATTCGGATTGATATGTCTCACCTATACCCCCGCTTTGACCATCAATGGACATATCTGACAGAGAAACCAAGTTAAACGCAAAAACTTAATGTTGATGGAGATGCTGACAAAGTCAATGGACCATGAAAGGTAGGCCGCATCCAGCATTTGATGTATGGGTTGAGATGTTCTACCTAAGATGCATCTATGGTCAAAGTTTGGTCAGTGTATCACTTATAATTTCAGAGAAACAAACTTAAACGCAAAAACTTAATGTTGACGCCACAGTCGCCGGAAAAGGAACACCTGTAAGTCGGGACAAACACGGTCTCTGATGCATTTGCGGTAGTGATACAAGGATCTGTAACAGTATCCAAATCTCCAACCTTATATCAACAGTATCAGACATCCAGACCAATCTGTCTTACCTCATAACAAAAGTATGGGACATTCCGACTTATTTCTCTTACCTCACAACAACAGTATCGGGCATTCTAGCTAATCTGTCAACTTCTTCTATAGAAATCTGATCAATCTTGTTATAAACCTACAATAAATAAAAGATAAGATAAATTAACTAAATTCTTAATTGCAAGCAATAGAAATAGTCCCCCCCCCCCCCCCCCATACTTTACTGAACTTGCAGAAAGAGATTTTAGTGGTATAATGCTCCTTTATAGAATTTTTTCAACGAAATCTGACATTATCTATTCTTAATTTCGACCAATCAGAAGCCAGGTCACAGCAAGTGTCTTTTAAAATCAGGAAACCAAGGTCACAGTACATTCCACAGTGCCATAAAACACCTGCATACCAAATTTGAATTAATTTGAACAATATCTAAATTACAACCAATCAGAGGCTGCCAAGAAAGACCTACCCGGTATATTAAAATATGGAACTCACATCAGCCTATCAATATGTTTTGCACATTCAGGCAAGTTTCAATTTTTTACCAATCAGAGGCCATTTATTTATGCTATGCATATTTCTTGAATTTTATTCTCAGACCTTTAAAAAAAAGCAAACGGTAATAGCTGGTTCATTTATTGAAACTTTAATTTGGCATTTTGGCTACTCCACATCTAAATTGCCAGCGAAGTTTCAAAACAAAAGTGAAATAAAAAAACTTACATAGATACATTCTAAGTAAACTCTGCTTCCGAGAATGACATCCACGAAGTCGTCCGACGTGCAATCTTCTCGGAATAAAACTTCGGCATTGAATATTTCTTGCGTGGTTAAAGACAAACAAATAGGCTGAATATTCTAAAGTTGTTAAAATGAACTTTTAAAAAGTAGAGGTAAAACAACACCTAACAAACCAACTTTAATACAGAACAACAGGGAAAAATGACTGCTGCAGACTTATGTCCCACATGGGATGAAACAGACAAGTATTAAGGTAAACACACTGGCAAAAATCATGTTTGAAAACCATTGGACATCTAAAAGGATTTTTGAAATTTTAAACCTTTAGCGGATTTTTCATCTACAAATTTTGATATCTTGTAAATGTATTTTTAGCTCAGCAAAAATGTAACAGCTACCTTATTCGCCGTCATTATTGCCCCTCCCCTTACAAACTTTTGGCTTTCTTTTCACCACATACTGAAATGATATAAATGTCCCCTTTCCGGAAAACACCCTCCAATCTTACCTGTCAGTCTCTCACAATTAAGATTGTTTTCCAGTTTTAAAAAAAAAAAAGAAAAAAATTGGAATTCGCAATGGGAAATGTGTTTGATCGTGAGTCATATTTACAAACAGCAAGTGCCATAACTAACTATTTGCTCTCTCAGTAAACTCCTGCTTCTGCTATTTTTTAAGTGCACTGGATGCTAACTACAGTGAAACAGAACCTAGTATTACAGTAAACAGCCTGTAAGGATACTCCATTCGTGTAGAATCATCTGAACCAACTTTTCGTTGCATTTCGTCAGGGGTAACGTCGAGTTGAATGATATTCCTCCTCCTTTCTTTTGCTGCGTGAAGAGAAAATATTTACAAGATTTGATATTTAGGTACCGTAAGTATATGACCATGGTTTTACTAGGTTTTTATAGCAGTGCCGTACAAGAATGTCGTCTGAACAGCTAATGATAAGAGCCGAGTTACACTGCAAAATACTTTACAATTAAGAGTGTTACGGAAAGCTACAGTTCATATTTCTATTTGGTTTCGTTTCGTTTGTTTCTTACATCCCATTAACAGCTATGGTCATTTTAACTCATTCAACCCTAAAATTTCACAATGAACCATTCCAACCTATGCATTTGAAGAGTTCAAATGTGTGTTCAAGGGTGAATGAGTTAAATTATATATAAGGACATGCAGAATTAACCAACATATGTGTGCCTGTATTAGGGTGAAATATAAAACGCTATTGAGAAAATGTTGGAGGGAAGGTGGTGAGAAAATCAAGAGAGGACACTGCAGACTGAGTTAATCATTTTTCCAACGAATTTGAATCCCAAGTTGAGCAGACAATTGAAAAAACTCTTGAATGCCCGTTGTTTCATTGCCAACACTCTTACTACCAACATACCGGGGCATTTTAAAGTCCCTTTTTTCTTTTTTTTTCTTTTTCATGTTTCCTATAGATTGCCAAACTTCAAAATATCGCCAAAATGGTGGCTGTATATTGAGGTTATACTATGCATGCATCTAAATTATATAAAAAAAAATATTTGAAGACTTGAATGCAGTTTCCGTTAGTACAGTTAAACTTCAGAATTCATTAACGAGGTCACTTCTTACTCAGCGATGTACTCATATTTGACAACAAAGTACAACAATGTCACTGAATAAGACAAAGGGTACATTCGCGTATCCGGTTGAAACGGCTGAACCAGTTGAACCTGTAAAGACAGGCACAGATCTGGACCGAGGCTGACCTCAGGAGAATTTGGAACGTGTAGATTGAGTGGTCCAGACGTGCCTGACCGAAACTAAAATGCTGACTATTGCCAGTTTGCGGTATTTCTTTCTAAAACAATGTCAACTTACATGTAGTTTTTAAGATACGTTATGTAATTCAGTGGACGGATGAAAGAAGGTCATACTTCTCTTGAACACGTTTTTTTATTCTCCGAAACTGTGCATTTTTAGCTCTGCTTATAGAACGGTCCAAGTGCGTCCGTTTATCGTGGAAAATTTCTGCGCCACACGTACCGTTTCAACCGGGATAAGTGAATGAAGCCCAGGTTACTTACCTTGAAATAGATGTTTGGTTTCTGTTTATTTAGCCGTATACCCACACTCTCCAACTCTTTTGTCAGAAGTTCTCTGTCGACAGAAACATCGGACACTTATTTAAATACAGCACAACAAGTTACAGGTATTATTTATCAGTGAGAGCACCAACATTTTAAAAAGTTGGTTCCCAAGCTGGTATTATATAACTAAACTGATCTCATGAAGGAATATATGTGATATACAGTATTGTTAGAAGTGAGTTTTGGGAGCAATTTTCATACTGCAGGATATTTAAATATTCTAAACCTTCACATTATGTCGTGTTCCTTGAAATCTAATGAAATCTTTGTTTAGTTATAACATCAGATCTGACAGCAAGTCTACATGGTTAATTGAAAATAATTTTATAGTTTTAAAAGTTACCAGAGTCTGTCGACACATTAAACAAGGTAAAGTCAAATAAAATATGTTCAATGTTCTTATAATAATAATATAATAATTTGTGGTTCTTTTTAAATCTCATTATCACAACCTAGTTCGTAGGTTGTCTCAAAGCGGTTCACAAACTATTATAGGGCCTTTGCAACCAGCCAATATCTTTCTCAATTCCCTGGGGAGCATACAGCTGGTGCTGCCATTATGGCGCTCATAGCTAGTATCCAATCACGTACTCATTTACAGCTGAGTAGACTGGAACAAGCAGAGTCAAGTATCTTGCTCAAAGACACAACACAGTGCCTTGCCGTGAATCAAACTTGCAGCCCTTCGGTTATGAGCCCGTAATATTGTTTCATATTGTACCTCTGAATTTCCTTTTTTGTGGCATCCAACATCATGATGACGACATCAGCTGTTCTGGCGACGGCGATTACTTGACGACCTCGACCCTTACCTGTAATAAACATAAAACATTGATACTGATTTATTAAAATATTTAATTATACATTAATCTTACTTACAGATTTACACAAATTCTTTTCATTACTTGCTTTGTTGATCATTCTTTAAATTTGGCGATACCCGGGTAGTACAGAATTACAATCAGATTCACAAAACATGTTTGAAAGGCCCTATTGTGCTATATGCCAAAAAAAAAAAAAAAACTTGGTATAATTATATACCTTGGCTTCAGATCATAAAGAAAGTCAAAACTCAATGTAAATATGAAATGATAACAACATAAACTGATAAGGAAGAGATTGAAAAATGAAACAATCCCATACATGAACACACACATCAGGACTCCTCCAACTATAGACGAATTCCAGAGATTTCTTAGACCAAGGGAGAAACTAACTGTTTCAGAAAGGTAAGCATTTCCTACATCACATGTAGAACCCAACATGAGGTCTCTCATCAAACACAGAAGATTACGAAAAATCTCAGTGGTATAAGATGCATTTAACAAGTCCTAATCATGGTAAAAATGAAATCTTATATTTGGAAATTGGACCATCATACATGTGGACATGTAAAAGTCCCATATCTGGTAATGACAAGATTTGGACTCTTGTTATATCTGGTGATAATTTAACAACCTAAACCGTTTTATAGAAGTCTTACAGAAACTTGGTCTTAGCTACCTTTACTATTACTGTAAACATACTCATTTTAGTGTACCCATATCATAGCGCATTATTATTTTTTATTACATACTTACTAATAAATACAGTTTTTTTGTATATGCGATACGACACAATTGCTCTAACCCATATCAGCCCTCGCCGTATCACACCCCAAAACCTATATCAGCCCGCAAAACCTGTATCACGTCCCATTTTGGATTTTTTTTCGTTTTTCAATATTTCAAAAGAAATATAGATAAGTAGCTTTTTTTAGCAAGTATGTAATCAACAGAATAAAACATGTCTTTTTCCATATCACACCCAGTATCAACCCTCAACCAATATCAGCCCTCAGGCTGATATTGCAGTCTCAGATTGATACTGGGTGTGATATGGAAAAAGGCATGTATTATTCTCTATTTAACAGTTGAAATATTTGTTGTGACCAGATGGTACCTGTTCAGTTGTCAGGTAAGCACCATGACAGAGACCCTTAACTGATTCACCCTTGAAGAACATTTGAACTCTTCCAATTCAAAGGTTGGAATACTTCATTATGAAATTTCAGGGGTGAATGAGTTAAACTATTTCAACATGGATTTAGTTGATAGTTTGGTATCAGAATAATACAAACCTGCGGCAGCTCCCTCTATGATACCAGGTAAATCAAGCAGCTGAATGTTAGCACCATTGTACTGAAACAAAAGGAAAGCCATTAGCACCATTGTACTGAGACAAAAGGAAAGCCATTAGCACCATTGTACTGAAACAATAGGAAAGCCATTAGCAACATTGTACTGAAACAAAAGGAAAGTCATTAGCACCATTGTACTGAAACAAAAGGAAAGCCATTAGCACCATTGACCTGAAACAAAAGGAAAGTCATTAGCACCATTGTACTGAAACAAAAGGAAAGCCATTAGCACCATTGTACTGAAACAAAAGGAAAGCCATTAGCACCAATGTACTGAAACAACAGGAAAGCCATTAGCACCATCGTACTGAAACAAAAGGAAAGCCATTAGCACCATTGTACTGAAACAAAAGGAAAGCCATTAGCACCATTGTGCTGAAAAAAAGGAAAGCCATTAGCACCATTGTACTGGGGAAAAAAACCCATTAGCACCATTGTACTGAAACAAAAGGAAGCCATTAGCACCATTTTGCTGAAACAAGGCATCATTGTATTGAAACAAGTTAGAGAAATTCTATTAGCACAATTGTACTAAATATATTTACAATAATATACCGAAACAACAATTATTAAAATATCCAAAAGCATGTCAAATTAAAAAAAGGAAAACTATATCTGGCACACCTGGATACAGATAACTTACCTCTATGACACCTGGTATACAGGTAAGCGTGGTAAATTCGTAGTTAGCAGACTCGCTGTGTGTTGCTGTCAGCGTGTTCAGTAGTGTAGACTGAAAAATAAACATTAAGAGTTCTTAGATTCTATAATTTGTCATAAATAAAACATGTAGGACCATTACCATACTATGGAGTAGTACAGAAGTACAATGATTTTTGCATTTATAGGACAGCTGAACTACAATCTCCGCATTTTCAACTATTTCTTGAGCTGATCCTGGAACATAGAATTTGTTGTGGTTGTTTTGCAAAAGAGACGGGCAACCTGAATCTTGAAATTGAAACCTTTTTACCCCTGCTGATCTTAATCTCTGAACTTAAGATCTTGATGATTTATATGATAAAACGACATGTCAATAGAAATTCCAATATTTGATTTGTCCAAAATATCAAACAAGTTTCCAGTAAAAAAACCCACTTATCACACATTTTTCAAAGCAAACATCTAAGAAGGGTTTTCCTGATAACATAATTTCAAAATACTAGAACTGCAAAAACTAAATCACTACAGGTTCTAGAATTTGACCCCTTTGAAGTAGTGGTGGAAAGTGCACATTTATCAACGACGATAAAGGTTCCCTTTCCACCGATATTTCAAAGGGGTCAAATTCTAGGTTAGTACATGTAGTGATTTAATTTTTGCAGTTCATTCGATGACATAAGTTACGCTTCAACAGTAAGGCCAGTAATATTAATCTGTATTTTTAATAAGATTTGGGTTGGCCTAAACACAAGCTAGGATTTTCAGTTTCCCAGAACATAAATTAAAGCTATAGGTAAGAAACCCAGTATGTATATCATTATTTTACAAATGTCACTTTTTAACAGTCTTAAGTAAATACTTCCAAAATATGTTTTACTCATGCTTTGATATTGATCATGTGTACTGTCGGATGTACACATTTCCAATATTTTTGGTTAAAGCAGAAAATGGACAACCAACTTCAGTGTTCTCCCCAGGCTGTTTTTGCAGCATGGCACCATGTTCCTATAAATTCTTGCCATGCTGCTATCCTAGATCTTCTCTGCTATATATTCATTGTAAATCTAAAGTTACCATGCTGCTTTGATTTTACATAGAGTGCTGCTTTAACAGAAATATTGAAATACCATGCTTCTTTCAAAACATTCTGGGGAGAACACTGAACTTCCTTTACAGGATTTGTTGAAAATAAAACAGAATTCAGACTTTCAATGAAATGCTGACAATGGGTTTTTTCCAGACCAGTCAGGATTAGACAATTAACATTATATTTAAAGCCTATAAATACATAGTTGTGCAGACAAAAGATCGTTCACCTTTCCAACTGAGGGGAATCCGATGAGTGCTACCCTGGCATCTCCTGATTTCATAACATCAAACCCTTCTCCCTGTAACAGATTGATCAAATATAAAATAAAACAGAAATATCCATATTAAGAACATCACTTACATATATGATATCAAAGCTGCATCGTCACATTGTTGAACAAGTAAAAAATACAAATAGCTCACTCAGTCATAGCTTGACAAAGGGACCAGTCGGTCTTGAAACATCACGACACGTTTAATCTGTACACTGCTTGTGTAGAGAGTAAAACTTTGATATCACATATTTCCAAACAGATGAATTTTATCGAAAATCACTATAATCATATACATATTCTAGGACAATACATAAGGTACAGATGTTTTGGTACTTGGTCTGATATATATGTTACAGCCCTTCCAAAAGGTTGTTTTGATATTTCACATGTTTTTCAGCACTTGGAGGAATGATGTTTTAACTTTGTACTTTGTTTTCTTTTTGTGTCCACTGTGTTGCTATTTTTTTTTTAAAGATTCTTCATGATCAACATTTTTTAGCCTTTACAAAAAAGTACTGAATCGAAACATTCTATTCTTGGTTACCAAAACAACTGGGAAAATGAACCATCTAGGATGCAGTATTTTTTTGGAGATTTTGTTCAGATGAGTCCTCAGCATCTTCTTCAAAACTCTGATGAATCCAATTACTTGGATATATTTAGTGTTCTCAAAAAGTTGGCGAGTCCCATCGGGATAACTTGAATCTGGGACCTAATTATATCTGACTCTCGAGTCACTGCTTACTTCAGTTGTTACCGCCTGTCGCTGTTGTCATTATTTCTGCACAATATAATACATAACAACATCCAAGGACTTTCTGGTGTTAAATTAATGAGATATATATATATACAAATGATTTTGCCAATTGTCTGAATTTCAGTTAAGTCCAAAGCAATAATCGTTAATAGCTCTATATATGCGACAAGAAAGAGTAGTGTGATTTAACCCTTTCACCACTGTAGACCATAATGGACTCATCCATATCAATACATGGTAGATTCTGCTAAAGTTACATAGGGGTGAAAGAGTTAAAATGGGATCGAACCCACGAACCCCAACTTCCCTGTCTGCATCTCTACTAATATTGAGCTAAAGGGAAAATCCCTCTAGCTTGAAGATAAAAGGGGACCATACTCCTATGTACAATTGAAATCTGCCACACTACTCCCCTGTTATAAATGAGTTTGCCCTCGAACACCACAACAACCCAGGTCTTTACTCCCTATCACCACAGGAAGGGCCATACATGTATATGGACACTAGTAGTGACAGGAAAGATAGTAGTGTGTTTACAACAGGGATTGAAACCGTGACCCCCACTTCCTAGTCCGCTGCATTCTGATTGATCTAAAGGGAAATTCCCTCTGGGCAGAAGCACATCCTTAATGTACAATTAAAAACTGACACATATTTTATATGATGGTGACAGATGGGACAACCTCAGTACCTTTGCTCCAGGCTTCCCAGTCGGCTCTATCAGTTGTTGTCTGTACTTCGCCAATTTTGCTTTCAGCAAACCAAGATGGTACTCAGTCGCTGAAATAAAGAAAATCCATATAGATGCTATTGGGTTAGACTGGAATGGGATGGGGGGGGGTACATTTTATAGAAAAGGGGGATATCTTATAAATGTTCACTTATCATACTGAATTGGAATCAAAAACCACTACACGACTAAAATATATGAGTAAAATTAATATTGCAGAATAACATATTTCATTAGCATAATCAAGTTTCCCGTATGACAGCTGGTGGACAGCGAAACTGAAAGTGTCAGATGTGTTGTGCAATTTTCATCAGCATACCTTTGTTTTTCTGGGTACGGGATATCTCCCGCTCTATCTCTCCGATTTTTTCTAAGATACCCATGTTTGTCTTTAAATATAACAATCAGTTAACAACTAAGATGACAGAGAATATAACGGAATACGGTTGAAATTTCAACATCTGCAATGCCATCGTGGAAACATGGAGAGCGCCATCTTGAATGTACATATTAAACTTCTCAAGGAAGCGGAGAAATATTCCGGAATACGATTGTCGTTTTATTCACTTGGCTAGCAACGATTTATATGGGATAAGAATAAAAATAGCGAGAAAAATTACGTAACTGTACATAACATAACACAAGGGAAGATGTAGCCATTTCCACTGGGTATTTTTAAACAGACAGCAGACTACTTGTCCCTTTGATTGAATAATAAAGGTACAGAGCTTTGTTTTATGTCTTTTTCTCGAGCTACAAATATTCAACATTTTAAAATGAATCATTAAATTTTCGGATGGGACAAAGACGTACATATTACAGAATCTCTGTAACATATACGTCTCTGGATGAGGTTGAGTTTTTTTTACAATCTCAGCAATTTAACCACATACTAACGTTATTTAGAAGGGGTGCTATGCTTAAAAAGATATTACGCACATATCAATGCATATTCACTTTTTAAAGTAAGATCAATGATCAATTAATTTATAGTAAGGCTTGTGGTAATTTTTATTGAAAATCCACATAAGTATACGTCAAAGGGCCGGGAATGGCGTGGCTAAACTCGGCAATACTCTTTTAACCCGAGAACTCCCGTATATTTCGTACTTCATGGGAGGGGGTGGGGGTGAGGGTGGCTGAAGACTCCATCAGAAGGGCTTCTCACCTTTAGCGCTCGCGCACAGGCTGTCGTCGCGAGGGATATAACCTATCGCAGACATCACATCATCCTTTCCAACTTCCTACATCCGTCCCTAATTATAAGTAGCTCATCATGATGTACTACACTGGCCATTTTATTCTCAAAATTTGACTATTCTAGACGCCCTTTACATTTGACACTCTATATTGGAATCGAGTCTTTATATCGTATATAGATGTGTGGGGCGATAACAAAAATGGTGGGGTTTTTTGCAAAAAAAAATATGGTGATATTTCAGCCAATACCTGATTGTAATTAGCAGTTAGATATATTCTCATAACGCAGGTTTTTGCGTTTTTATATTTTGTCAGTATCAGTATGGTCTTTCGATCTAGTTAAAGAAGAAAAAAGAAAGAAAAAAGAAACAACCGGAAAGGGAGAAGAGGGAGAGAAAGAGAATATCAAAGTGTTAAAAACGCCGTTAGTCGAACACAAAATTGATCACATCAGTGGAATATATAAACAATGAAAGATTAACACTGTTACAGAAACGTTCGAAAAAAGTACAACGCGGGTTAGACCAGGATTCCCGAAAGGAAAATTCTGCGTCAGTGTCGAGACATGCCCGACTTCATAGCAAGAATCGGGGTAGTGACAGCAAAACAACAAGGAAGGCCAAAAATGTCGACATTCGTCTCACAATAAGAATTATCATATTTCCAAATGAGATTGTAACAGCGAGCATAAAAATTATCCGTAATCATGGCCTCATCAATTTTAAGGCTGCATCTTTGAAAACCCTGTGTTGTAAGTTTGTCCGTCAGTAGTCGACATCTATCACGGAAATATTATACTCTGAGCAAGATCTTTAATGCCTAATCAGCTTCGACATGTTAACATTGTAGGTTGGGAAAGTATGGATGTTACTTTCAAGAAAGGGAATGTTGACAATTGGAACAGGCATGTGGTAATTAGTTAAGATCGAGGAACCGGCAAAAGCAGATGAGTATCTATAGTGTCCTTGATTTAAACTTCAGGAACGTTTATAAAGATCGACGTGGTAGATAAAGTCCTGTCACTAAAATATAGCATATTTTCCATTTATCTGAAAGTGTTATTTTCTTTTTACCAGTTCTGATACATTTTTCAATAAATTCAGTCTCATATGAAAAAACCCAAAGTCGGTCTGATAAAAAAGAACTATAACATCATTGAGGAAACATGACGCCGATTCGGTAGATGCATGGTAATCTGACGTCTTCGGGCCTTGCTGTCAAGCGATGTGGATTTTTTTATGGAAATGTACACATTTCAACACGTATGACAATTTGTGTGCTCCTAAAATATTCACACTATTTTCAAGTAAATGTCCTCTGTTTAATGGATTGTAATATTTTTTCTCGTTTGTGGCAAGTTGTGTGTGTTAGTCCCGTCTGATCACGTTGACATATATAGTCAACGAACTTTTAGTGACGTCATTTACGTTGTAATGTAAATACTTTTGTCTGACATGTAAAATCCTTTGTAAAGGTGGAATATTGTGCCAATGCCATGATACTGCGTGTCCATTATCCAGATATCACAGATACTCGGGGCCATATAAGTCGGGGCTATAAAGTAAGTTTAGAATTCTGACGGTCCCCATTCATTAGCAGATAGACTAAGATTTTATTTTATCACATGTGTTTATGAAAGGTCAAGGTGATTTATTTGAAAAAAAATGATAAAAAAAAGAAATCACCGACAAACTACTGGTCATGATATATCATGGTCCTAGAATTTGTTTGAAGATTCTAACTAATTTGACCTTGTGACCTTGAATGTCGGTCATGTGTTCCAAGCAATTGACCAACAACATACTTATAGTGGTATTGGTCGTCGTATCTGTCTGTATCTATATCTTTACGTTGTAGCGCCCGTTTCCGGCTTTTATACAACGGGAGGGAAGAGAGAGAGAGAGAGAGAGAGAGAGAGAGAGCAGTTCAGTTAGAGTTTTGTTGCGTTATAGCACTCTTAAATGCCTCCAAAGTAAGGGCACATACTAAGTCCTCTTCCAGATGGTTCCACTCTATGACTGTACCTACACAAAATGTGTTCTTGTATTGATCACAGCTGTACTTATTATTTATTTATTTCGAATTTCATCACCTGGACTAACATTCAAACCTGGATATTTTGGAATAGGGAAAAAGTCCAAAACACATCCCTTTTATTAAATGGGACTACATCGCTCAACATTTTTTTTCTGTTCAGAAACCCGATCACATCTGCATGCAAACCAACACTAGGAACTAAATATAATTACTCTGTATCTCAATATAAATCTATGTTGGAATATTTGAACTTATTTTGCTCATGAGGCCATGGCCTGGCCAAGACAAAGCAATACATATATATATTTAACTTAATGCCAAATGTTATTACTCATCTTCCAAAAATGGTATTTCAATCTTTTTACTATGTTGACTTGTATGACAAAGAGAGCTAATCAAGATGATTTAGTTGAATAAACTTGATAGCATTTAACCCCCCAGTTGTATGTCATAAGTCAAATACCTTAGGCCTAGTTTAATATGCACATATTTTATTCGTTTTAGATTGAAAAAAGTACAAGGTCATTCATTTGAACAAACTTGAGAGCACTCTACCTAAGTGTGCTACAGGTCTGCTGTCATCACATTTGGTAGTTATTCAACAGTTTTAAAATGTGACCAAGGTCATAGATTTGAACAAACTTGATATCAAGCATAATGAAGGACAAAATATCAGCATCACTGTGCAACAACTTAACCCTTGTATTTTAGCAATATACCAAACATTTAAACAGGTTTGACCTTTGTGGCCTTGAAGCTATTCATTTTAATAAAATTGGTAGCCCTTCATCCCAAAACACTGTTCCTTTGTGCAAAAGGGTATAACGATAAATATATGTTCACAGGCACAAAGTCTTTTTCAAAATTCTGAGATGAAATTTGACGATTTGAGCATTATACACTGTAAAATGGTATTGATTATCATAGCCACTGAACACAATGTCAAGGTTACATCATGGGTTCCAACTTAAAAAGGTGAAACCCTTGTTATAGCAGTTATGAAAGAAGAAAATTAGGAAATGTGATTTTTGGTTTGATACTGGTCAAGTGTTGACATTTGGGAAACAAAACAAACCATTTGATTAAGCTTTAAGAATCAGGTTTATTACTCATAAGAAATCAGGTACTGTGTTTAACATCTGGCAGGGTTTGCAGACACATGTAACATCTCGCCGTCTTTCTCGCACCATTTACACGACACTCCAACACTCACAGCAGCCACCGCAAGGTCAGCGTGAACACCAGTAAAGGTCAGCACGTATTGTTCCTCCCTCACCATGGCAACCAACATTCACCCATAAACAGGCAGTGATAGATAGTATATATATATTTATTTTTTTACAGTGGTCACTCGGATGGGCGAGAGAGTAAAATGCGATAATGTCACAACTGACCATCCAAATGTTGACATTTAATTCTGGACCTACCTACATGCAAGTGTGAATGATCACCAATTGGACAATCAAGTTTCTCTCAATCCGAAGGGAGATAACCACAACACGAATTTTTATTTAGTCTTGCCTCCCCTTCATTTTGAAAAGACAGATAAGGCAAGATACATGCATTGACCTTTGACCTTGCACAATAACTTTGATAATTTCTTGTACCGCATATGTTCGAGACCATTTTATAAAATATGTGTGTACTGACTTTATTATCAATTGAACATATTCATCCAAGATCACGACGACATATAACATACACCTTCTGACCCTACGCCCAGTGTTTTGCTGGAAACAATATCATCACGTACAGTCTGCAGTAAATATAAACAGCTGAAAATAATTCAGCAATTACAGGAAAAAACAAAAAGTGATGCTTAAAAATAATTATAATTTGACCCAAAACACAACAAATTCAAATAGTGTAGTGTAAGGTGAATCTAAAACTGTTCTTTCTTTACACGTTTTTCACTCTGATCTGACATGCATGTTTGTACCTTTATGTACCCTTTGCCTGCTCTCCCCACATTGGTAAAGTATAGGGTGAGCAACATTAACGTTGGACACCGAGTCGACATGCATGATGAACATAAACGGCTACAGCGGTAATAATTCTTCTCTCCCTTATGTTAAATCATAATAATCATCTCTCAGACTTCAAAATATGACCAGATATGCTATTTCTGTAAACTTCTACGCATTACATTGACAAGAAGCATTTTCGAGCCGTTTATGGTAAATATAACAAATGTGAATAGTTTTCTTGGAACAATTCTCCTTAGTCTGGCCCACTATGCTACTTCAAATATTAAAGGGATGGAGGGAAACTAAACTTGAATCAAACACAGATAATAATACACAGGACTACTATACATGTCAATTAGTGTAAAATTTTCACTTTTTTATTTACAAAAAAAAAAAGTTGAAAAGAGAATATATGTGTGTGTTGCATTGAACATAATGATTACACAAAAATTAGTTCCTCAAAATCTGATTTTGATGAATGGAACATTCAAGAAAAATTGACTCGGCAATAGCAAATGGAGAGTAAAGGTGTGTTGAAATATACTGTACACAAAACATACTCTGTTAGTCGATGATCTCACAAAACAAAACTTCTACAGAAAAAGACATTCCCCTCACTGACTGATCAGTACAAGAAATGGTAAAAACTGCAGGTGTTCCAACATTTGTGGCTTTTGATTGATTTCAGATGTAAATCAAGTGCTAAATGTAGAATGGGTTGGAAAGTGTTACACTCTGTTTAAAACCTACCATGTATCTATTCACAGCACAGATATACATCCATTAATTAAATCATCAAATCAATAATGCTCATTGCATTAGGCAGAAATGAATACATATATACATGTATATAAATCTTCTCTTTCTTGACGAAGAAAAACAATTTACAGAGATAGTAACTGACGGAAACTTGTGCAGTGACCAAAAAACTTAACAAAATCAATTGACATCAGAAAGTTTGAAAGGATGATCAAAAACGGCAACAACATTACAGGAAGCACTTCAGGTTTAGCATTTTTTGAGTTTAAAACCATGTTTGCCTTCAAGGGAAAGATTTTTGTCAACAGTGTTTAAAGAAGGTATGTTTGGCTCAACTTCAAAAAACACTGGTTGAACCCGATATGAAAGAATGACAGGAATATGATCAATGTCCAGTAAGATTAGGTAACTAGAATGACAAATATGGCAACAACGTAAAAACATGAAGCATTTGACATCGAGTATATTGTAGCGTACAATCGTACTAGCACTAGATTCTACTACATATTAAACCTCTGTACAGAAATCATATCGGATACTTATTCCACCTATACATGCCATTATCATACTTGCCACCTAGACCTGTACGTGACATTCCATGTACAGGGAAAAAAAAAAAAAATCTCCAGCTTCATCTGCTTGCAAGGTGCTAGTACACCTACATGTAAGGCAGTGGACTAAATAACATTACTACTGCAACATCATTTTACATTAAACGTTTCACAAAAATCTATATATTTTAGCATTCACTTCGTAACAGCTAATTGAAAGTTTTCAAATGTATCGCCAAGAGTTGCTCAACACATTACGTCATTTGAAGTTAAACAATTCGTGGTGGTGGTTGACAAACTGTTTCATGCCATATTGTAATAAATTATTTTTCAGTCCTCCGAAACATGCATTAGTAATCCCCGACTATCCCCAACACAGCACTCGTTCAGTGAAACAACTGTAACATCAAGCCATTCTAGGTAAAAGGACAAGCACTATTTACAAGCAGTAAATTAGCACCTGATCATAGCTAAACCAATGGGCGAGCACTGTTTGGCTGTTATACAATCAAATATCTGACCGATATTTATTCGTTTACAGGAAAGATTTTTTACGGCATTTTAATATATTAGCATTTACAAAATGATATTTTAATTCGAAGATGTAACAATGCCCAATGCTCACATTACTTGTTTAATTTGCATGTCTGCAAAAATATTACGCAAGATGGACAGACAGGTCTGAATGTATAAATCTCTTCACATCCGACTCAGCCTAGGACTTTTTTCAATGACACTGCACCAAAATGCCGCACACCTTCTTCCTAAGTCAACAACACAGTACTATAATTTCCTAGAAAATACCAGTAATTTATTCGACTATTTGTCTGTACCTTGAAATATAACCCCAACACTTCGCTATGATCACATGATGTTTCTTGAGAAACTTATGAACCCCATAGGTTTTACACTGATCCCCCTATCCTGACAATCATTCTGATATTTAATTTTAGGTTTTATCTAATTTGATTTACAATGAAACCACTTTAGTCTGGACATATTAACATTAATGTACCTCCCTGCTACCATATATTTATTTCTGTATTAAATAGCCTTAACCAGAAAAGCAAAAACATTCCTTAAAATGGATTTCAGTTCTCAAATATTAAGGTTTGGGGTTTCTGGAAGTAACAGGTTCCTATGGTTAACAAATATCACTTGTATTGAGTCTGAATAACTAAAGATGAACAGTCATCTTCCATCCTAGAATTACTTACAAATTAACTCCAAACTAAAAGACCAAGATACACTTCACATGTCAAAACAATTAATTGTACAACACCAATAAGGTACTTGTTCTATCTAATGTCTAGAACATTTCTGCCCAAAATACTGTAGAAACTTGTGAATTATAGCAAAGCACTAAGAACTTTAAAGATAATATATTTTTCAAGTTCAATCATCAAGTTGAAATGATCTAGTTTTTTCCTTTATCCTCCCCACCCCTCCCCTAAAAATGTGTATGGAGAGCAAATTTTCTTTCTGGAAACCCGACTCCCAATTTCAGTACTGTACTGAAATGTGCATAATATTACATATTATCACAAACCTGTTGAATCTTGGTAGAGTAATACAAGCAATTTTCAGACCATGACATACAACGTTCTGTATTGCACATGTACAATACGGAATGTTGTATTTACCTACTAGCCGTAACTACATTTTTATGGGAATCCCCTTGTCATGGCGAACTGAAAAGTTCCCGGTATTTGCAAAAAATATCAAAGTTTATAAAATCTTCGTATCGATCTCTACCAAATACGGAAGGTATGTGATAAAAGCAAGACCACACACTTGTGTTTTTCTAACGAATCAGAAAGCACTCATTTATTGCGCGGACGTATATATTCACTCGTGCGCTACATGTGTGGGGTCAACAAAAGGCGAATGAATAAATAAAAGTGTAAATGCCTTCAAATGAAACATACATAATGATATCATTAATTTTCTGATTAATTCTCACGAGCAAGAAACAATGTGCTCCATTCATCATATACACAACTGACTGCATCTGTCATTGACAAATATATATATTTACATTATACCATTTTACAAACACAGGTAAGACAAATGTATTTTGGAATAATTCAAAACCTGGATCCGTCTTATCCTGTATTTGTTATATATAACTACAAACAATGCCAGACATCAGCATGAAATAAAATTGAAATCTCCCAAAAAAATTTATCTAAGTTTTTTTCTAAATTTGCAATCTAAACAAAAATCACCATTAGTGATTTTTAAAACCTTTATGAAGCCAAATTTCCAGTCATATTTACAAATACAGGAAAAGCTGGTGACAACTGAAGTCAATAAACACATAATCGCACCTAAAGCGACCCTACATAACAGAAACTGCTACTTTTCATCCGGTGATGGTAAACAATGGATTGGGTTTCAGATGGTTGTTACACTTGAGTGGGCAGCTCAAACGGCACACATGCTTTAACATCTTAAACCACAAAACCTATATCCTAATTCAGCATCAAGTCTCCACCAGTTTTGACTAAGACAAGTCCCAAGTAACTTTTTTTTTAACAACAGTCAATCTTGAAACTCATACTAATCAAACACAATTGAGTTTTTGTTGTGATTCAGGGGTATACAATTTCACTAACCAGATGCCTGGGGCTAGTCGATGTTACGTTGGGGCTAGTAAAAAATTCGAATATTTCCCATGAAATTATTATAGGTCGGGCCGACAGAACTTTCCAAAATCAACACTAATTATGAAATTATACACCTCTGTGATAATTTTGAATTCCTGTTTGATTTAAAGATGAACAAATATTTCAAATAAAGTTTGCATCAAGTTTACAGTGTGTGCCATGCATATATCAAACTTAATATCCTGACAGGCATTAGGTCATGAACTGAAAAACTTTTTAAGCCCTGCCTTTGTCAAATCTGGGAACTTGACCTCTACAATCAATAAACATCAATGTTTTTGACACTGCCCCTCAGACTATAGGGGTTTTGTTCCTAGTCTGTGCCTGCCAACTTGATCAATACATTTTATGGCTGCTGGCAAACACACTTTAGACTGAAACATAAACAAATGATCTTGATTAAATATCTGAATTAGATCTCTCTCGAGAGGAAATCTTCAGACTTTTAACGTGAGATTTCTGATTTCTTTAAGAAATCACGACCAGGGACTACGGCTATAGCTCGCGACAGAAATGTTTTGTATAGTACAGACTTGCACCAGACAGACACATGTATACACAGAGAGGACTTGATGGAGACAAACCCTGAATAAATCTGCAGACAGAATTTCCATCCATCAGAGTCTGGTGTCTGTCTGGCCTGCTTGTACCGACCGAGAGGATCTGTATTTTACGCCCATTTCTGATCAAGCTAGGCTCGCAATCTTGTAACCTTTCTCTCTCACTCACAACAGGCACACACACAAACAGACAGGCCAAGCATTCCATGACTAAGGTCCTAGTGTTATACTCTAAACCGATCTCTGGCCGTAGATCCTGTTTTCGTCATGGTGTCTGTATGTGCCTGAAACAAAAAATAAATGCCGTTTAATAACAATATTTCACTCGGCCAAATGAAAACAGGTCTGTCGAGTGTTTATTCTTATCAGTCTCCTTCCTTAGAAGCTGTTAATAGTAATTTCTTCATCCTGTTCTATGTTTGCAAACTGTGGTTTGACAAGGGGCCCAGTTGGCCTGAATTGCTCATCGTGATGTTTTAGAAATTATGGTGTAATATTTTCAGTTATCATGTATTGTAAATATTTCCAAATTTTTGGATTCAAAAGTTTAATGACATATCATAGTAAATTTGGTAGAGGTCTGCGATTTTGTGTTTATGGTTAATAGGAACAAATCCTCCAGTGGTGGAGCCAGACCCCTGGGTAATCCTGGTAGCATGATTGAGTGATTATTGGGTGGTGATCTCAACAGTTTCATTATAAAACCCCAAGGACAAAATCCCCAAGAACGGTGAGGACTCCAGGGGCAATCAATTATGACAACACTTTTAGGTATAATCATGACAAACAAGCGTGGTATGTTTCTACATTGTTGCTAAAAGTTTTAACAATGGCACATATGTGCCTAGACCTACTCTATTGTAAATTTCTGAGCAGTGCCTTGGTGAACATGTATGGGAGTTCATGGGACACCTCTCACAAAACTGTACATGCATCTCATGCAATGTTCCTCACACATTTATGAGAGTCACATTTCATACAGGACACACAAAACAGTACCTGTATCTCTGTAATGTTCCTATCAAACATACATGCGAGTCTGTCATACAAGATCATATCTGTATCTCTGTAATGGTCCTATCAAACATACATGCAAATCTGTCATACAAGATCATATCTATCTCTGTAATGGTCCTATCAAACATACATGCGAGTCTGTCATACAAGATAATATCTGTATCTCTGTAATGGTCCTATCAAACATACATGCAAGTCTGTCATACAAGATCATATCTGTATCTCTGTAATGTTCCTATCAAACATACATGTGAGTCTGTCATACAAAATCATATCTGTATCTCTGTAATGTTCCTATCAAACATACATGCGAGTCTGTCATACAAGACGAAACGAACCAAATAGTATTTATTTCTCAGTGTAGGCTATGTTCCTTTTACTACAAGCTAAATACTGGGATTTTTTTGCCACAATTTCCTTTCTCTTATTTCATTATCCGTTATGAGGGCAAATTCATCATGGACCTCATTTAGTAGTTCACAGGACACCATAGTAATTACATGTGAATGATGACATAAACACAGGACAAATATGGATTTCAATAGCAAAAGGCAAATCTACAATATACAGGAATTGGCTGTCTGACAGGAAACACAATTGGTCTGTGTGGGTAGAGATATGAGAAGCTGTCAAACAGGACACATAAGACAGTGATTGCTGTCCTGAAAAATGTAAGACACTTACCTGGAAACCTATTGCAATTTTGATGGGAATTTTCAGACTGTCCTTTAATTTTTTTCTGAAACATGAAGTTAAGATACATATCATAAATAGAATACAAAAAAGAAAATAACCCAATCGTTTCTCAATCATTTCTAAGTAAATTCGTTTCCACACAACCATGATTAAATTAACCCTGACTTTACTGACACCTGACTTGCATGACATTCTGCAATATCTGACCGTGATTTTATGGCCTAAAACAAATGTTTTCCTTCTATAACGGGGGTCGACACTAACACTAGTCCGCTAGTCCTGGACTAGTAGATTTCAGCAAGGATTAGTGAATCACCTTACCGAACTGGTTCTTTGGACTTGTGAAAAACATGATTATAAAATAAGAATACTCCTTTTTCAAATTTAGAAAACTGCTTAAAATAAGATACATTGCATGATAATTGTCAAAATTTTCCTAAAACTTCACCTTATTTTTATGGAAGTAGTTATTCTAAGTTCTGGGGACCGTCCCCTACTTTTGATGTTTCGTGCTATAGATCACGATTTTTCCTTATCAGGAAATCTGGGACTTGTTACAGTGACTAGTAGATAATCTATTCAACTAGTCCTGTGGACTACCAAGCAAAACAAGTTAGTGTCTAACCCCATATAACTAATTACAAGACCCTGCAACCACACAGTCCGATCTTACCAAATGATTAAGACCCTCTGAATAGGCCCTCTTGATGGCATTATGTATCATATTTTCAGCTTTCATACTCCCATTCTATTTTGATGGAAATGGAACTAAATGCACAGTTTAATAAAATAAATCAGTGGAGCTGAACACAAAGCCTAACCAAAAGTCAGTGATTAATTGTGCATTACCCAAGATGTATCCACAGATGAAGCTTAATGACCGACTACTTTTTAATGCAGACAGTGAAGTGTAACCAAGATGGTGCATGAAAAAGGCAAACACCTAATGCCCTTCCACTGTGTTACACGGACATACAAACACCATGTATTGTATGGCAAGAGCTACGCTAATTAAAGAGACATATATTGCTTCCTTGAACCTTGGACTAAGAAATAAATACATAATTCTTAAGAAAGACGACGTTTCACCAAGGTTCACATTACTATAAAATGACACATCAGGCTGTACTACACACCCTATTTTCATGATTGCATCAGGCCGTGTTGCATCTCTCGTCCACAGACTCAGTTTGTCTCCCTTGTTTCGCACATTGACCACAGCACCGTTAACGTCGTCACTGAATTCCTCAAACGACTCGCCTATTAGACACAGCAGCTGTGAACACAGAAATTATACTCAGGCTATTTTTATAACAAACATAATGATATATAGATCCATGCAACTTGGCTAGTTTTCCAAAAATTCTGCTGGCTGCTTTTTCAGGGAAAATTTCAGTTTAAAACAACTTTCAAATAAATGAATTGCATCTTTGAAGTTTAAAATTTAATTGACCAAGAAATTGCATAGCTAGTTGCTTTTTATGACAGGCCTTGCTCATATTCTAAATTTAGGATGGTTGGAGTTGTAGAACGATCAACATGTTTTATACCTCCAAATCAGTGGAGCTGTCCTTCACCTTAACTCACTTTCTATCCTACATATTTAGACTTGCTGTATCTTACTTCAATTGAATTTTTTCCTAATCTTCTGGTTATTTACAGCTTTGTGTCAAAATTTTCTATTACGCTAAATTATCACATTCATAAACATTTTTATTACTACATCAAGTGTTTCATCATCTAAATTAGTGGTGTTCGGATGAATTGATGACTTTGTCGACTATTTGTCAGTAAACTTACTAATTAACTACATAATTAATCATTAATTTTAGTAGGAATAAATGTATGTAATAACAAGAGGCCCAGGGGCCTTAATAGCTCACCTGGTATTTTATTTTTCAATTTAAAACCTGCGGAGTACCATTCAGGTTTATCAAAGGAGTACAAGTAACAAAGTTGCATCTTCTATTTATAAATATTCAATTCCCTTTGCCCAAAGATTCTCTAAAACAAGTTTGGTTAGGTTAAAATCCCTTCAACGGTACAGACGGAGAAGGATCTTTAATATTTTCCTCTATTTCCAACACAGCTTAATAATGATATTGGTCTATAATTCGAAGCATTATGAGCGTCGCCAGACTTAAAGATTGGCATGATGTTTGCTAATTTCCATTTATCGGGATATATACCATTGTTTAAGGAGTGATTAAAAATGAGGGAAAGGGGAATGGCAATTTCATTTGCTACAAGTTTTAACATTCGATGACTGATTCCGTCAGGCCCTGTTGCCTTATTTACATCTAGTATGTTAATAATATCAACTATTTCAGAAGGTATGATATGAATTTTGGACAAAAGAGAGTCTCTTCGTTTTTCTAAAATGGGAATAGGTTTGCTTTGGTCTACTTCGGAATGACTGGATATTGAAGAAAAATAGTTATTAAGAAGTTCACATTTATGGTTATTATCATTCGTGAATTCGTTAGCATTGTCATCAAAAAGTGGTGATATATCAGTAGTTTTGCTTCCTTTCAGTACAAACCTTAACAATTTCCAATATGTTTTAGGGTTGGATTTATTTTTTTACTATGATAGAGTCGATATTTTCGTAGAAAAGTTCTTTTGCTCGTTTTATCATATTATTTGTTTTATTTCTTGATTGTTTAAATTTCGTCCTATTAAAATCATTATGATTATTTATAAGTATCTTTTTTAATCGATTTCTATTACGTATTTGTCTTCTGACAATATTATTGATCCAGGGTTTGTCATGTTGTCTAATCTGCACATATTTAGATGGTATGCATATATCTACAGCGTTAAGCATAGTGGTTGTTAGAAAATCACACATGTCATTAACGTCATTAAACACATTAAATTGGTTTACCCATGATATATTTGTGATAAAATGTTTAAGCTTTTCGATGTCTGTTTTGTCATATAGCCATACCTTTCGTTTGAAAACTGTTTGGGTTTGTTTCGGTACTTCAATTATTGTAAAAACAGCATTGTGGTCACTTATATTGTCGTCTATATTAATAACTTCACTGAAAAAAGTGTTGATTGTGTTACTGATAATTACTGGATCTAATAATGTTGCTGAATGGTCCGTTATTCTGGTAGGTTCGGTTATAATATTTGACATCTGGTACAAAGTGAGAAGGTCGAATAATTCATCTCTGGAGGATTTTAAAAAGTCAACATTTAGATCGCCCATCAAAATAACATTATCTGTAATATCGAATGCCAGGTCGAGGGAATGTTTTAGTCTCTGCCATATACCGTCAGAATAATTTAGATTAGGTGGTCTGTATAGATTTCCTATTATATGTGTAATATTATTTGAATAAACTTGTACCCATATTACTTCGTCATTAGCAAATTCTAACTCAAGTTTTCTTTTAACTACGAGAGATGGAGAATAGTATAACAATACACCCCCTCCGAACATATTCCTATCTTTTCTAAACGGTTTGTCACTAAAGCCCTGTAGCGTAATTTCTTCATTAGTAATAGAAGGATCCAAATGAGTTTCGGTTATACAAAGAATGTCGACATCGTCGGTCAATGCGTCAATGTAGCCTATTTTGTTTCGTATACTTCTAATGTTAAGATGCATAAGATTCAGTGAATGGGTTGCCGTCATATTACTAGAGTTTGGACCAGGGTTGGAATGGATATCTCCTGATGTCAGAAGAAGAAGATGGATTATCATAGGAAAGAATATGTTTACATTATTGATATAGGATTGTTGTAAAAACAAATATGATGTAAATAACCAACATTTGGCATTGACTTCAAAAATATTTAGAAAATCAGCAGGGTATGTTTTGTAAGTGTATGTTATTAAAATGTTTGCAACTTTACAGTGAAAACAGCCTATGGCAGCTCTCCACGCACCAACATCATTACCTACTAAGGAGGGTATAGATCAGATTTTGGGGGCGCGAGAAGAGCTTTCATATACGGGCAGTTTAATACAAAGCAGTTGGGGATGACTGGATGTGAGATTAGAAAAGAGAAGGGAAATGGGGTAGACAAAGCAGCGGATGAGGGTAGGTAGGGAAAGCAAAAAGAAAGAAAAATGAGAAACGTTTGAATAGATATTGGGTATGTTATCGTCATTGGGAAGATGAAGTACATGTGGTGATTCCCAAATATCAGCAGATAGGTTCTGATATGGGAATGATCTATAGGCGTGAATCGGGGGGATTTTAAAAGTACTATAGTGTACATATAACAGGTTGAAATGCTTAGATAACTGGGTTTTGGAACAATTGACTTCTATTAACAGGTCTAGTATTTACAAACATAAATCATAATAGTAAGATGGCATAGTGAATTAATTGTAAAAATACACACACACACACACTTCATTACATAAGCAATCACACACATATATTACATTTTTGCATATACATAATAACATATTAGTACATGTACACGCAATACCAGGCAATATTTTGGGATGTATTAAGACTAATTTATAAGGTTATCCCTTCACTTGTATAGTAGGAGAAAAAAAAATCCTCTACTTCCCCTATTTGGCCCTGCCCCTCTGCCCCCAAAGAGGCCCCACCCTCCGTTTATACAAACTTGAGTCTCCTTTGTCCAAAGATGCTCTAGGACAAATTTGGTCAAAATCCTTCTATTGGTTGAGAAGAAGATTTTTAAAGATTTACCTATTTTCCCCCTATTTGGCCCCGCCCCTCTGCCCCCAGGGGGGTTATACCCTCCGTTTATACAAAACTGAGAACCTTTTGGCCAATGATGCTCCTGACCAAATTTGGTCAAAATCCTCTGAGCCATTCAGGACAAGTAGCATTTTAAAGGAAAAAGTTGACGGACGCCGGACGCTGCACCATGGGATAAGCTCACTTGGCCCTTCGGGCCAGGTGAGCTAAAAATCACTCAATAGGGTGATACTTACTTCATGCCCATCTCCTCGCTAGATACCATCAAAGTACAGCAAAACGCAACCGATATATAATTTAAGCCGGTACGTTGTCATTGTTGCTGACTTACTTTCATGCCTACTAATGGCCACTTAAAGACTATAAATTACCTAGAGATTCCGTGTTTGAACGGAGGTCATCCTCCTGGGTATCGCTTTTATTTGCATAAGCAACTCCCAACATGGAGGATTTCATGATATATATATTTTAGAACAATTAATCGATCATTGGTATTTAAGTTAAAGGTAACCAATAATCGATCGAAATTTTTAACAAATTCCCAACACTTATCTTAACAATCAAGTGTGATCCCCTCCCTCACTTTCAACAGAATGTACACATAAGAAGCGGAACCATACATCTTGTCATCTAGAAGTGTCTATAACCTCACTCACCGTTTCTAACCAGAAATTGTCCAGATCTGAATGACGCTGTTGTTTATTGAGATTTATTAACCACCGGCCACCATCTTTGTTTTGAGCGTCTTCCCACATGGGTTGAATACCATCCTGGATAAAAGAGTTTTGAGTGTTAAAACAATATTTCTTACTCCTATTGTTCTTCCTCATACAAACTATTTCAACTTGCAAAATGCAATTTTGAAATTAAGCAACTGTGGGATAAGATTTATACATAACCTTCTTAGTTCTTATACGTATTCTAAAATTGAGGAAACTAATAATACATTTTGTATAAGATTGTAACCTAGCTAAACATTCGATGTAATTGCCTGAAGATTGTCGCAAGGGTTGAAAACGTTAGTAAAACTGTATTTGCCTTGTTGATGATTTTTTAGTCTGCATGTATAATAGGAGGCAAAATTCAATCGTGGTCCAGAAAGTGTGACTTTCACATCAAATTTTCAGAATGTGTTTTTTTTTTGTGTTATATTAAGCATTTTGTGAAGGTTATGACATCAACGTTTAAAAACAAGGGTGGAGAACATAATGATTTCTATTGTTTACCAGTATTTCACACTAAAAATTGCAAATTTCACACTGATGCGTTGGTAACATATGGTGTCCTTTATATCCTCAAATTGTATTTCTTTGTCAGGTAATTTGTTCAGTATTTAAGTTATTATTCTAGTTAAACAAATAACAAAGTTTTCTCAAAAATGGAGATCTTGGTAACTAGTTATTTTGAGGGAAAAAAATGAAAGGTTCAATAAGGACACCACTGTTACCCACAAAACTACTACGTAAAAAACGCTTTTGGAACTCATTCAAACATTATCTGTTTTTATCTCTTTGAGACATATTGAAAACAATGAAAGTGCCCTCATTTGAACCATGACTGAATTTTGCCTCATATACTGCCAAGTGAAACTTTTGCCCTATGTCGATAAAACCCATATTCGCCTGTAAATATTAATTTTGACATTAAGGTTTGATACCTAGGCAAAACTTCCTGGTGTACAGTTTATATTTAACTCACCTTGAACAAAGAGTAATCACAGCCTGATGGTAACTTGCTAGCTTTCTGCACATGGTTGTACAATCTGCAAAGAGTTACATATATGTTAAAATTGTTTTTTATTTTTGTAGATCCTTTTTCTAGCTAGAAAATGTCTGTAGAACATAATATGCTCCCCTGCTACTCTGATTGAAACAGAGCTAAACCCAAAACCTTCCAGCTAACCAAAGACAAACCTGAAGTCTAACAAAAATCAGTGAAGCAGGAAATACGGGTCAAAATTATCCTGACCTACATTTATGTTTTGGTGTAGTACCTGCTACATTAAGTATAAGAGAAGTGTCTAACCAAATCACTGAAGCAGAACATGTAAGTCACAGCAACCTACATATCATATACATTTGATATATTGGTGTCGTACATTGGTGGTCGTACACATACTATTCAAGATGTATCTGCAAATGAATTGTAGATTAATGACTATTCGACTTCCTAGACATTAAGTCTTAACAAACACAGCCAACAGACCGAAAGACCAATGGCAAAAACAAATGCATACGCTTAATGGCAACTCCAGGGCATAAAAATCTGAAAGAAAAGCCAAATAAGTATCGCTAGATCTACACAATATCATTAGCAGAACTTGCCAATATTTATAATAACATGGTGATAGGGGGCATTACAGAAGCCATAGCTTTTATACAAATACAGGGTTATTAAGCAATTCCAACCGTCTTCATGGTTGTTTTTTTATCTCAAGTATGCCACATGAGGTTACTACACATCCAAAACAACCAAATTGAAATTACATTTATTGGCAGGTGCTGTGTAAAACACCTTTTAGCATTAAATTATAAACAACTCATGTCAGATGAATGACTTACGCCCAAAAGTCTTCCACTGTGTCGAAGGAGGTGACAAGTTTTAGGTTAGCTGTCCATTCCTTAGTGCGGTCATTCTTGAAGAACCAGAGTGCCCACTTGTTTTGTAGGGGGTGTTTGATGAGGGCCTCTGGAGACAAAAGGATGCTGGCATTCTCTTCAGCAACTGCTTCCTCTTCTCCCGGATGGGAATCCTGTCATAAGCGTCATATAAGTTAAATAAATGCAATTTTATTTATACATAAGACACAGTATATTTACAACAAGTAGTTCATATATCAAACTTTAGTGTATATAAACAATTGTCGTTCAGTAGGTGGTATTTATGAAAGCAACATATTTTGTTGCAATCGACACACTAACTAGAAGATATAAAAACAAGTTTCATAGCCTATGATATGGTGTACCAATTTGGGTACGAAATCTCACTGCGAGTTAAGCGTTCTATATTCAAAAACAAATCACTTAGAATCAATTTTTTGGGGGAAATGAACCAACATGAGAAATCTTAGTCAAGAATCAGGAAACATTTCTGATACAAGATCTGAATTTTTAAATATCACAGAAAAACTGTCAAAATTATACCAATTGTGGTAGCATGACGTTACTGGCTGTTTTAAGCTTATAATGTCAGGGGAATTCATCTAGATATAGCAAGACCAACAAGTCCTTGCCACAGAGGGCAAATAGTAAAAATACAAAGCAGGTCTAAATAAAGGTGCTCTTCTTGTCATTTAGCTGCACCTGGCTTCCTTATGAGACCAATTGCACAGTCTGTTACTTGGATGAGGGGAGAGAAAAAAATCTTCAGCAAGATGAAGGGCATATATTGAAAAGAAAACTAAGTGTACACCAGGTTGAAAAAACAATTCAGATAACATTTTTCTTCAAAGTAAAACCTCAAAAAAAATCTAAACGGAGACTTATGTAAAGTCGAGGTTGAACCTGCATTACCAAGACAAGAGTTTTAAAATGTTGGTTGTGGTCAAAGTAAGATCCAAAATGTGTACTCTTTTCATGATCCTGTTATATTAGGACAGATACCAACTGCAGACATCAATGTCTAGGAATCTATTTTCGCGCAAGTTTGATAAACATACAATCTTCTCAGAAGTGAACAAGTCTCCTTCATGTGTAAACTGCGATGTAGGCAACATAAATACAGTTAATGCTGTAAAACTAAGAGTTAAGTTAAGTCAAGCAGCGTCCCGACTTATACTGCATGTTTTGTATCCATGCATGTTACTGCTACTTGTCATATCTAACATAACACTGACTTTGCCCATCAAAAATATGGTTTAAACCCAAATTTGGTAATCAAAAAATCTTGAATCCTTCTATATATAGGCCTACCATATGACTGACCAGCCCAGATAAGAGGAAATGCTATTTAATCGCCAGGCATCTATGGAGCAAATCAGAGCTCCACATGATAATAGAGAGAGGCTATTTGGATGAGCCGTCAATACACAGAAAGGAAGGGGGGGGGGGGAAATGAGAGACTCGGGGGGGGGGGGGGGNAGGGGAAGGAGTAACGTCATCTCTTCACAATGTGCTGCAAGTTTTGGTGGTGATTCATGTGTATTGTTCAGTACTATTGTTACAATTTTTGAATGACGTACAATCAATAAAGTATGCAACAAACCTACTTAAAGCATGGACAGTGATTATATAATTGTATCATGTTCTTGTAGTAATTGTTTGACACCATCTTGTTCCATTTTATGTCAACCCACGTTGTGTCGTATGGGGAAATATTCGACACAAAATCGACTTTCTGCCGAATTCGTTGGCCCACATGGCATGTTTCCTCTTCAACTATACTGTCTCGGAGGCTATTATTTGAACATCGTATATTCCAATATCTGTCACTCAAACAAATATCACTCTAATTATTATGAAGGAGTACAGTACTGTACAACGTGTCAATATTTTACCTCAGGTAACTCTACTTGTGTAGCCATGTTGTCCGAAATCCAATATGGGTTCCAGTCACATGGGGTACCGGCATTGAAAACGAGGCTGTGAAAGCTTTTGCCTCTATATAAATTGAAGAAATTGTTGAAAATATTGTAAAATAGCTTATAAAATCGGAAATTGTGTAGATTTCCTTCCTTGGGTAAATGTGAGGTTTTTGCTAACTAATAAAATTGCTTTATATGCAATTACATTATTTCAGGAAATTCAAGGTTAACAATGTTAATCAAATATAGTGCAAGGGAAGTAATCCAAATGATACAATATAATATACCAAAGAACCGCATAGAAAATCAAATCTTAAATCGGCATTTAAAATTGTTTTATAGCTGGTAGATAAAATAACCTTGTATGTTATCAAAATCTTAAGGATTTGATAGCTTACCTTAAGTGCTTTTTTCGTTCAAATTCTTTTAGAAAGAATAATTGCAAATCGATGCTGCGTCACGCTTGGTAATTTTCATTGAAAACAGATGCCGCATGCAAAACCGTGTTATTCAGTTTTTATCATTATTTATTGTTTTTCATTACATTCCGCCCCTTTATCCACCTCCCCATCGCACACACTTTCAATATATTTGATCATTTTTTCGCAGTTTAATAGTCCACTACCCTTGCGGTAATGGAATCAAATGTTACTTTTTTTTGTCACGGAATGATAAGCACCCTCTAACCCTTTCTTGGTCCTTCATCATAATTTAGTACGAACACGGACTTAGATAGCAGAGGACTTATCTAATTCCGTGGTACGAACAAGCTTGAACAAATAGTGTTTATAATGTTACAAGATCATTGTAATTATTTTAAATTTCTGTCTAAGCTAGCGCACGTGGCACTTATTCGGTCAAAAACGGTAATATATGTGTTACTGCATGTAGATATATAGACATCGTACGTGAAGCAATTAACATCTTCCAGAAGGTGTCGCCATAATTAAGGTTACAGCTGCATGTGTGGTGTTCAACTGGCATGAGTGGTTTTGTTTTGTTTTTATTGGATTTTGCGTCACAACTTGTGACAACTCATTAATAAAGACATAAATAAAATGTATGCGTGTACTTGTGTGCGCTACGGACGTATTTCACGTGTTTTTTTCAAATAAAAGGATCAACATTTTCTCAAAATCATTTGATTCGTAAATTCAACAGAGTTGTATTAAATAATCATAATTGGCACGGCATTATGCATACCTACACATATATAAGCAAATGATGTTTCTATAGTCGGAAAATTAATAAATAAATTAGCTAATTAATGTTTTTCCTTCCTGTCGATCGCATTTTTCAAGCCAAAACAGGAAACAAACAAAAATAAGTATAACATTGAGGACTTATATAAGCGTGGGTATGGATATATTTGCCCAGTCACTCATTCATAAAACAGCGATCGATAAAATGTGACATTTGTAAACACATTACAGCTTAAGCAGACTACGATATGTGCCACATAATTGTGGCCAGAATTTGAAATTTAAATTGAGGTTCGATCTGTGTCGGCTTCGTTGTTGTCATGCGTACGCTGTCTTTTAAGAAGATGCATATAACAAGTAAAACCGACCCCTGAGTATTCTGACATATTGCTATATCCGACATTCCAATAAAATGCTAATTCTGATAATGATACCTGTGTATTAAGATACCCGGTCTAATATAACCGGCATGTTAAGATTCCATGTGAGGTCGGATAAGCCGAGTTCCACTGTACAGTGAAACCTAGTTAAACTCATCCTCCATACTCCAGGGGCTACACTCACTTTCGCTCAGTGCAGAGAGCGAAAGTGAGCGTAACCCCTGGAGTACTCTCGCTCAGTGCAGAGAGCGAAAATTAGCGTAACCCCTGGAGTACTTTCGCTCAGTGCAGAGAGCGAAAGTGAGCGTAACCCCTGGAGTACTCTCGCTCAGTGCAGAGAGCGAAAATTAGCGTAACTCATGGAGTACTTTCGCTCAGTGCAGAGAGCGAAAGTGAACGTAACCCCTGGAGTATCGAGGATGAATTAAACTTGACTCTTGACGTTATTCCTACATACAGCCATATCTGGCATTGAATGTTCATACAATTTCTTATAAAAGTTACAGTTGATGCGTGTATTTTTCTAACACCTGTCTACTCCAAACCATTCGTTGGATTCCACAGGGTGTCGGATTAGAAAGGTTTATTGAATTTAAAGATGTTCCGCAATACCATGTCGTAATGTTATAAGTAAAAGATATGACAAACAAAAGTGTTCAGTAAAATTTTACTTTGAACAGTGTAAATTTTCAATAAATTGACAACAGTGTCCATGTTTCTTGAATTCAAATAATAATTTTGAGGTCTTTTTTTATGTTTTGGAAAACGATGAAGTTAAATTACTCATGTATTGCTTTCAAGCAGCAGTTTAACACTGTTTGATAATATTTTGTATACTTGTACTTTTAATATAGATTACAGTGCTGAAATACGTTTCAGCATAAGAAAGAATGATAATACAATGAAATAGCTAATGAAAAATTCTCTGAATTATTAGAAAATTGAGCATACTGCAGGAATATTTATAAATTAAAAAAAAGACCGACATATTCCATATATCAGTAAAAATATTTATATATAAAAATGTATAAATGACAGATTATTGTCGTTTGTCAGAAACTTTACACACAAAAATATCGTTAAAAAATCCATATTTAAAACATTTTTAAAAAATCTGAATTTTTAAAAATTACCTAGAGTTTTCTCCAAATTCTGAACATACTCAAATATATATTTTGTAGATGGAAATATCTGTAATTGCTAAAAACTCATTAAAATCTTAACGTCCTCCATTATATTTTTATGAATTTCCGAAGGTGGTCCACAGGGTGATCCCCCTTCGCCCTAAGTGTCGCTAAGCAGCCAAGTCCGATCGAATATCTAAATCTTTCGTCATTGTTGAACGGAAATAAATACATCCTCTTTACACAGTCTCCATAATGTCTTCGAGTTTTTCCAGAACAGAGTGACAGGACGATCGGCCATTGGGGTCCTCTACCGTGCATTCCTGAGCAATAGGGTCAATCTCCACGATATGGAAGGTTTCGGAAATCTTGTCAACCAAGTAGCCGACGGCGTACAGATCCGAGGCTGGCGTTGAATGATATCCTTGACGTATTTCCGGAGCGTAGTTCTCAAACTGTTCTAGATAGGCTGGGTCGTTACAGAATTTATATCCTCTTCTGTACGATGCGAGCCCAAGGTCGATGAACCTGTTCGCACACAGAGAAACAAGTAGTTTCAATCACAGGGATTTGAGAATTTGTTGCAGCTATATTTGGACCAAAAAAAGTGTTCAGAGTAATTTTACACTTTTTAGGGGTTAACCGAAAGTTGACTCTCGTTTATATCATCATTCGGGTGGCATTTTTATCGAAAGTTTATATAAACCACTAAAACGTGCAAAATTACTCTGAACACATTAGTTTAGGTCCAAATATATCTGTAACAAATTCTCATGCCCCTGTGTTTCAACAGACATATTTTGATTTTTGGTCTTGCAATTTTTTCTGGAAACCACGGCCAGTGAAATGCATTGTTAATATCTTTTCTGATATATTACTATATCTGTCAGGCATTGACAATAAATTAAATTTGTACATGTTTTTTTTTCATTGTCTAAAACATAGAACTGGAATTGGTACTTTGTAGATGACATTTAATAATATTGAAAGGTAATGTTAAGTAAGCACACATGAACATAACATTCTTTACAGTCAAAATCAGCGAATTTATCTTAAATTAAAAAAGAAGGATAAACAACATGAAATAAAGCTGGACAGAAATAAAAAGAATATAAGGAAAGGAAGATAAAAGAAGAATTAGCAACATGAACAACAAGTTGATGCCAAAACGTAAGGGGATACAACATGAAAAATATTCCGGCACCAAAATAGTATAGAAAACAACATGAAAACAGTGTTGCACTTTTGTCTTTACCTGATATTGTTCATATGGTCATTCGAATTGTAGTCGACCAAAATGTTGTCACTTTTGATGTCGTTCAACAACACCTGTTTCTCGTGAATCATTTTGAGGCCCCAGAACAGCTGGTAACATATGGCTATCCACTTTCTCTTGACAAACACTTCAGACTTATTCCCGAGCAACATTCTAAGGGTGCATCCCCGCGCAAAGCACTCCTGGATAAGCGAAAGGTCGCTGGAGACAAAAGGCGACTCCATGAGACCAAGACAGAATGGCACGAATTTTGTCGTCTGCAGATAAATTAAAAGTTTGGCCTCGTGGTAGACGTCGTAAATTGTAGCGGAATCCATTTCAAATTCTTTCACGCAAACATCAAACGGACACTGCTGGTGTTTTGCTAGGTAGACGCAGCCGAAGCTTCCTCTGCCCAGAACTTCCGTACCGTTTTGGCCTTTTTGGAGTGTGACGTCTTTGGGGTATATCACGGGAATTCTAATATCTGTTAGCGATTGAGGTATAGTACCAATGTTGTTGTACCCAAACCTGCTGAACGGAGAGGACGTTGACAGGAACTTCTCGTTGTGGTTGTGGAATGGTAGTTCTGCATGGTATCTACAAAATAAATCATAGTCATGACGATGCAGTATATTTATTTAGTTTCTTGAAGAATGATCAGATTTTCAAAATAACTGCTTTTATTTGTTCACATAGCTGCAGTTTAGATTCAATTCATAAACGCGCTCATCCTCGATACTCCAGGGGTAACGCTCGCTTTCGCTCCATGCATCCCTCGAATATGTCATAGCAAAATCGAAGGCTCAGTCTGCATTGTGAATGAGACAAGGATACTAGTTTGATCCTTTGAAACGAATCTTGCGGTCGCGTAACGGTAAGACTGACTGGCTTTAAAATCGCTCCTCTGTAATCTTCAAAGGACATGTATTAATCTAGCGATTGGTCAGGTTATTCACATGAGACTAATCAAATAGCTACATTCTTGCCTTCAATTTCGCTATGACATATTCCAGGGGTGCAAAGAGCCAAAGTGAAAACAACCAATTTTTGAACCAAGGGAGTTTTTCTGTAAATATTTTCAATGCATTCTTACGGTATATAATGATAAATTGAAAAATAATTGGAAGTTCAAAAATATTTAGTAAGAAAAATATTCTTTCATAAATACATTATTTTCACTGTTCATTCATTTGCTATGAAGGATTGCTTTTTCATCACGACATGTCAAATAATGAACGTGAACGTAGGAAAATGTGGATAAAAACGGTGAATTTTGAAAAATAGGGGAAATTCAAAGGTAAATTTTTTGATGAGAAAGTACCTATAGAAATGGTGTACATTAATCCATTAAACCTAAAAAAGGTCTAGTTCTGTATTTTTATTCAACAAAAATATGTCAGAACCTGCCACAAAAAAACACACCTTGTGGAGCCTTTTCAAGGCATTGTGATCTTAGTGGTACCGGTATACATGGATTTTACCCTTTATTCTTTAAGCTGTGAACTGGCTGTCAAATCCTTAACAATCGATTTCATGTGTTTTTGTATGACCATTGTTGTTATAATTATTGAATAATATATTTTGTTGAATTCAAATATTCTTCATTTACATATTGTACCTGATAATTCCCTCCCCTTCCGACATCTGTCCAGCCTTGCATTTATCTGATTTCTGCAAGAACTCCTGGCGTTTTTCTGTGTTGCTACCAACGTTTTGTCCCGCCCCGTGACAAGTTGGCCCCGGGAGGTCGCCGCTACCACATTTCTGGGGCTGAAAATCCCCATAATATACATTTATTGGTCCCATCGCTGAGGCATGAGGGGCCAGGCCAGTGTCTCCGGAAGATTCCCTATAAACAATTAAAGCATATATTTCAAATTTTAAAAATCCATGATCAAACTGTACCAAGATTACTTTTTCAGCATCAGCATTAGACCACCTATCTCCATGAAACAAAATGCATCAGTATGTCAGTATCATTAAGATAAGAAAAGGTCAATATCTGGAGAGAAAAAAAACTAAATAAATACTGATTATTTAAATATCAAATCATAAAATGAAGATGGTATGTAGTAATTTAGTCTTTAAGATTCCTCAAAGATTGCAAGCCTGTCAGCGAAAATTCTTTTGATCATCACGAAAGGTCAAATATACCGTTATGATGACGACCGACACGTGACGAAATTTACCATTATAGCGGTCTATTTAAAAGTTTATCAAAGTTTACACATTTTCGGCCAATGTTTATAGACTTTGAAGAACCCGACTTCTAATATTCATCATTATGAATTTGATAAGTTTCATATATAAATATAAAAAAAATCCAACGCCGTAATCGAAGTATGAATATATGTCACCGTTTTTATCAATCAAGTTGTCCTATTAAAATGTTGTTTTTTTTTCAAAAGATAACTCAATATGTGCTTTTTAAGCAGAGACTTATTATATATACTACGTTAATATATACGTCTCTGCTTTAAGCAACGAAATTATTCGGTGAGAGTACAAATTTATCGGTTTCCAGCATTGTTTACAAACACACACTGATTCTCCTAGAGACCCTCATACCACTGTCAAAAACTGTAACTAAGTGTTGGAAACTGGGTTTTTTTCTGGCATTACTATAACTGTGATAAATCATTTCCGAAAAGAAAACCATACCTTCCGGGACTTTTATAAAAATAAAGAATGGAGATGAAATTTACAAATATAATCATCAAACGTGTTCTGAATGTAAACATTTCGTGGTGGGCTAGACCGTGTTTCGAACCCTGGACCTAAGACTGTGTCGTTCTTACTTGATTTGAGCTACCTAGCCAACGGACATGTACGGGCCCAATTTTGGTACAGTATAGGAAAAACCACAGTGCAGTGGGACAGAGATCCTTAATATCATTCACCCCTGAAATTTCTTAACGAACTATTCCAACCTTTGAATTGGAAGAGCTCAAATGTGTCTTCAGGGGTGAATGAGTTAAGATCATTTAATGAGTATATACCCTGTGCGGACTCCTGCCAATCTCAGCTCCTCTCTTATAAGGTTTTTCACAAAGGCTGATTCCTCCTCGTTTAGCGGCACATCCTTGCCGCCAATTTTTACCACAACTGGTTCATTACTGTTCAACTAGGGAGATAATAATACATACATAGATAAATAAATAAATAATAAGATTATCGCATTAAAGGATTGTCTCAATATTTCTTTTGCTTCTGTGTCCTTTGATTGGAGAACTTTACACTGGCGGTATTATCCACTTTTGCCTTTGCATCCTTCAAAGTTCTACACAATATGTCGAAGAATTAATTTTCAAATCGCGATTTGATAACATCGAACGGGTTTTTTTGCGTTTCATATCTTTGGATTATAAAATGATTACGAGGAAACCCAACACAATATTCTCTGCTTTTGCAAACATCGTTTAAAAGTTTACTTCACAACAATTACTGATATCTTAAAAAAAAAATCAAAATTCATACAAATATAGAATTTTTAATCTTTACGACCCATTTATGACCAACAACTGTATACCAATCACAGGGACTTGATAATTTGCTACAGATATAAGAACTCGTATACATATCATCAATTGGGATGGCATTTCTACCAAAGTGTGACCTAAACCCCCAAAACGTATAATATTTCTCAGTTTAGGTCCACACCTAATAATAACATTTACAAATTCTCAGGTCCCTGTGGTGAACTTTTATGGAAGTCAATGAACATGCAAAATCAACCTTAACAACCAGATGATGATCCACAAGGCTATCGGCACCTGAACTAGGTCGGTCACTCTGGTGAGGTGGGGTCATACGTATCCCGGAGTCCGTTAGTATCCGTACTGGCGATGTATTTGTCCCGAACTCTTCGGTCATAGGTTTAGCCTGGACACCACAATCCACGGTTTGTTTAAATACTGCCTGTGACGCGGCGTCTCGGGTTTTAAGGCCAGACCAATAAGTCTGTGATCCACATTCGGTCATGGGTGACGCTGATTGAGTCCCGTTGGTGGATGTTGCTGGCCTCATCTATAACAAACACGGACATGAAACAAATCTTGAAAGTCTGTAGACCTAATAAATGATCCTCAACCTCTAGTTTTGCAGCTGAATACAGGCCTCTTCCCCTGGCTAAAAACGCTATCTATTCTTAAAGCAGGAAAATCTTCCCGTTACTGACAACAAATAACCCACATTTTTTTTAAATAAAGTAAGCCTTGTGAATTATTGATTTTAGTCAACTGCCCGTTGATGTTAGTTTGGATTAACTGTTCATGGATTTGAAACAGTAACGGAAAAAATGCACGGCCTGACCGGGGTTCGAACCCGGGACTCTCCGAATTCTAGACGGCCGCTCCACCAATTGAGCTACCTGATCGCCGACTATCGACCCAGTCTAGTTCCGCTACGTATTTATATGTGGATGCCGGAAAATAACTTTTGGGTTTTATAATTGGCAGGTAACTATTGTTTCACTCAAATAACACTTTTAGTAGATCTTGAACCGCTGAACTGCATTTCGTTTACGGCAACCAGGTGGTTTTAGTTAACGATCCATTAGTTTCTACCTCATTCTCAGTGAATTGTGGTGAAATCCTTGGAAAGTGAAGATGATACTGCTATAAAATAATCTAAAAAATAAAATTGAATAACCTTACCCTTTTATAAATAGCTTTCTGAACATATTCTGGTATCTTCTCCTCGGGTGTTCCAACTCCAAGGGTTGTGAGACATTCCTCTTGGCGGGCCCTTTGCCTGAGTTCTTCGTGAAGTCCCTCTCCGGGTTTAGAAATACATTTCCATCGGACGACATCGGGTTCGATTTCATTGTCGTCAGGTCCACATAAGTTAAATAGCCCATCTTCACATCCATAATACAACTCGATGTCCAATTCATCGTCGTTACAGGGAGAATATGACGACAGGATGTCATTCATAAAATGGTGTTGTTGAGGCTGAAACCGGCGAAAACATTCATCAGCCATTTTTCATAGATAATGAAACGTTACAATAGATATATTGGTTCAGAATTTGACAGTCTCTCTAGTGAACTAGTTGGAGCTCTCTTGAAAATCTTTGGCCATGGTGAGCATGATTTCTCCTTGGGCAAAGCCAAGCCAAGCCCAAGTCTCACAAAGAACGAGGGAGTGTAAGCGATGAAATGTACAGATTGAAGCTAATTTGGTTTGGGGGCATGCTTCTTAAAAAAAAAATGAAATCTAGATCTGCTGGGAATTCTGAACTATTTTAGAGTATTGTTCAAAAGCCTTTTCTTTGTTAAATTTATATTGTAGTTTGTTTAAATTATTTTCCAAAATATATTGTCCCAAGGGAACACTTCTAAATGACATCATGCCAGAAATCGCTGCTGATATTTTAGTTTTGACAGCAGGCCATCAAGCCACAGAAGCTAAAGGGACATATTCCCAGTTTTAGGGGCCTTTTGTCACAGGATTGACATTAGTGTCAGAGCTGGTGGAAACGGTAACTTACAATTCGATTAGTGACCTGAAACTGCAAGTAATTTATTAAAACTAAACATTCACTGAACAATAAAACAATAATAAAAATATCCTCAATTACAATAACAACAACCATGGCGGACTTGACAGTTGATTCTATTTAGAACAGCTGGTCATCTTATATATTCTTACCTGGTTTTGAATCCAGCTGCTTCCAGATTTAGCATATTTTGATGGAACAGAAGAAGGCAGTGAATTGACGGAACCATCCGACTGGTTGTCACTACCTTCAACTAACTTTTTCCACATCAAATCCATTTGTCGATTGACATCTTGCACCTCACACTATTTACTTTAGTTGTCATGGCGTCGTTTGTATCTAAGCGCCTGTGGAACTAACATCAGTATCAATAAATCGCTTAAATAACAAGGAAATTCCAAATCAGTGTAAAGCGTCAATGTGACATTGACGTGTTACTAACAAGGATCACTTCGCCCTTTTCCGTCACATTTCACGGAAATGTCCGAGAGCTGTCTGATACCCACACAGACTGGGCTATCTGCCTTAGGCTACCATTTTTTGCTCCTCTCGACTTCATTTGATACATAAACTCGGTTACTTGTTTAGTATCATTTCTCTCCGAAAACTTTCTTCTTTGTTTCACGGTATCATAGTGTCACGGTATTTATGGAACACCGAATTAATATATATCAGTAGTGCCTGCAATGTTCTGTTCAGATCAGGTGAATATTTGAAGTAGGCCTATATTGGAAATATTATCAGTTACTTGCGCTTAATAATTTCAATTATTTACAGATAAGGCAAATAGAAGATATTTTAAATGCAACTGAATATTTCTCTCAATTTATTTGAGAAGACATATAGGTCCATATACTATCTCACATGAACTGGAACTAGACTATATGTTACAAAAAGTTCTAAAATGAATTGAACTTATTCAAACAAATTGACTCTACCCTGATATGTATTATTCAATTTCAAATAATTGAGTAACAAGAAGTCGATTGACGCTATAAGGCATAGACTTTTAAATTGGCGGATAGATAGACGTTCTTATAGTGCAATTTGATTCAAGTATTAGTGAAGATATCTTCAATATTGGAGATAGGTTAAAAACGACTGCTCAGGATTAATTAAGTTATTAAGTGAGTTACAAGTAAAACATGGCCGTTAATTGATTTAACTTGCATCGAGGGCAGAATATTTTATTTCATTAAATATTAAGGCAAAATTGTTTTTTTTTCATTAAAGCAGGGCTCTAATATTAATACTCCATTTATTTTTTGCTAACGATCTACCTCTGAAGCAACCCCCTACCTCTAAAATCAATGCGTTTATATATATAAGAGTTGTCGAACTTAATGGAAATCTCTAGTCACTGAGGCGGGAAATCCAAACCCAACAATGATGGCAAGTCAATCCTGTGTAAAACAAAACTTCAAAGTGCCAGTTGGTCATATAATTATTTGTGGGAAATGGCGAGGTTCTGATCTTTCGTCTGTCCTTCAAGGTAAATGTCAAAACAAAATCCAGACAATAGAATAATGCCTTACTAACGTCAAAGTACAATACTTTGTGAGTTTCTGGAATATTGGCACATCTTGGTGCGATAACGTAACTTTCAGACGCCGAGAGATTTTTTTTTTATATATGGCCGGGGCAGAGGAGGCCGGGTATTAATATTAGTACTACTTGGAATCTGATCTAATGACACTTCAAATGTTTCTATGTTAAAAGAACAGGATTTAACCAACGTAGTTTCCGTTGTTATATTGATTGTTTGGTTTATTGAGTTCATGTGGTCTTATATCAGCCTGTCTTGATTTTTATATGTGTATTGTCTTGACACTTTGATGAGGCTAGTATCAGGTCCAGAACACTCTGCCGATTGAGCTATATAGCTATAAAGACCTATATAGCTATATACACCTATTAATTATAGCTGTATTGAGCTATATTTTCTCAGATTTCAAATTTCATTAAATTAAAGCAAAGTCGCATAAAACAATAAGGTTTATGGTAATGTTGACTACAAAGAGCATACAGTTAGATGTTTATTTTCATTTTTCATAAATGTAAAATTTCCGATTTTTTTACATCATTATTTTTTAAAAAGAATACTTATATTTAATGTCTTTTGTTATCAACCTAATGATACAATCTTCTTTTAAAAGCGACTTTGTTTCGTTTTCTTTAAAAAAAGAAAATCACTTGAAAATAGCTCAAAAGACCTATTTCAGATAGGTCAATAGAGCTATAATAGGTCTTTACAGCTATATAGCTCAATCGGCAGAGTGTACTGGACCTGTATATTGCATTGCAATAAATGAATAATCATATATTTAAGTCTGTAAGAATAAGTATAATTTCGTAGAGACTCATGGACAATCGTGTAGCTTAACATGACAGTATATATGTTTTACATTATTGTCGAACATAGTGTTCACTGTATTATGTATTAAGAAATTACTAATATCTACATTTTCATGACATATTTGGTTGAATAAGAACTGGGTTAAAATCTAGCTTTTTTCTAATAAAATGCTTATTTTATTTCCATAGAAGGTGTACAAGTTTTATATGAAGATGACCTTGGGTTGATTGACTTTTACCCGTCCGGGAACATGGGTGTTGTGTACCTTCAAGAGGCTGATCTTGTTGCCAGTGGTACCTACAAGAGGAAGTTAGCCAAGCTGAGAAAGGTCTATCCTGCTACATCTAAGTCTGTGATCTAAGAATCATTTTCATTCTGAATTATGAGTCATTGTTGAAAAGGAGAGTTGTATATAGAAAAAATATATAATCCTGCTTACTAATCTTATATTATATTAAATAAAATATTGAATTTTTAAAATAATTATTGCATATAATACAGTTTTCAGTTTCAAAGAATGTTGTCACAATCTGTATTTTTAAAGAATTGAAGTTTGGAACAGTGCAACCTTTCTATAATGCCCCTATTCTCAATAGCCACATTGTTTATAGCCATTGTGTTTCAGGGTCTCCATTTGGTCATCAAATTATTTTTTCTGGAACAAAACTCTATGAAAACTTTGTATCCTTGAATTTTATTTCACACATTTTTACCAAATAAAGCATGTAAATTATGAGTTGTGATGCTTATCTGATTCCCCTTTGCATTAATTGCTATTTGACAATTTCATCTCTTTGACAGGCCAACAAAGTCTGTGTGCTAGTGATGGCTGAACGGACCACAACCAGTCAACAGTACTACTCCCCACTACAGAACTTTTGTATGCTGGAGCTCGGCTTCTCCCTGCTGCCTGTCCCCAGTCAGAGGGAGGCTGCTAGTCTGCTGATACAAATGGTAGGTATTAAGACATCTAATGTCCATTCCTCAGGTCAGAGGTAGAGGTTGAAGCTCATACAAATAGTAATGCCAAGTAAAATGGTAGTTGTATTTACCTTTTCCTATGACTGTTCCTATTTAGGTATTAACTCTGACCCTAAAACATTAATATTTGGTAAAATATTTTTTCCAAAATTTTTGATAGAATTGTAGGTATGTTTTGTAACTAACTTCAGTATTGCTACAATATTTGACCAGACTTAACAAAATCATTTTCTCATATCTATGGGGTAATTCAACGGATAGAATTGCTAGAAAACAAATAATTCAAAGTAAGGAGGAGGGTGGTTTGGACATGCTTCATTTAGAATCGTTTTTAAAATCCTTAAAACTTGGGTGGATAAGAAGATTTATGAAAAGTCAAGCATATACATGGGCATATGTCCTGTTAGAGGATCATAATCATGAAGTAGAACTCCATTTGTCCAATGCGGGTGACCAATTCTTTAAAATGATGTCAAAAAGAACAAGTAATTTATTTTGGAAGGAAATTTTCCATATGTTAGCGGAAATAAAAAAAATCTTTCATCCTCAGGATAAGTATATATTGACAGAGCCATTGTGGTTCAACTCTCTCTTTACCATTGACAAAAAAACAGTTTATTGGAGGGATTGGTATGAGAGAGCCATAATAACCGTCCAAGATATGATGGACAAAAATGGAGACATTTTCTCTTATCATGACTTTTGCCAGTTTTATCAGTTTCAACCCCCATTCACTTCATTTGAAGGATTAAAGAAGGCTTTAGTCAAATCTTTCCCTAGTTTGAAAGAGAAGACCAATGTGACTGATACCCCCACTTTTCCATATTTCCTGGAAAGCATAGTCTCCGACAGGCCTGGAAAAAGAGTAATATATAAAACTTTAATTCAAGCATATGGGTCAACAATTAACTATTCATACAAGTTAAAATGGGCATGTGATCTGGGACTAGAAGATGATGAGTATTGGTGGAAGAAAACTCACAAAGAGATTTTTAAACAAACAAATGATACAAAACTACGATGGCTGCAATATCGTCTGGTCCATCGAATTTTACCAACCAATATTTTTCTATTCAGAATTAAGGCGGTGGATTCTCCGCTATGTACATTCTGTAGGGAAGAAAAAGAAACCTATATACATTTATTTTATGAATGTTCAAGGATAATCAAGCTTCGAAAGGAGTTAGAGAAGTGGTTTCTCGATAAAACCATGTTCAACTTTAGTATATCGCCAATATCGATACTGCTAGGGCTTCATGGTCGCCATAATGGTATGATTAATATGATGTCGCTGCTGTTTAAGCAATATGTCTATCACTGTAGAATTAAGAAAATTTATGTGTGTTTTGAAGTCTTAAAATCACACATATGTCAATACTATGAGGTAGAAAAGATTGTGTATAAATCAAGAAATGAATACACAAAATTCCTTACAAGGTGGGGAGGATGGCATGCTTTATCCGAAAGGGAGGAACAAAGTAAAATATAAACAAAGTCTTTGTCGGTATGGTAATGAATATTGCACTGATGATGGAAATTGGTCTTGCTGTATGTCTATTCGTCTAAGTGTACTTATCTATAGCAAAAGCTAAGCTAAAAATTAAATTTAATATGGGCGCTGCTAAAAAAACTTGGAAGAAACTAGGTGAACAAATTGCTTCAAAATGAACTTGCATATTTTATTCTGAAACTATTGTGTTTAGATCCAACTAAATCACCGATGAAGGTGGAGGTATGTGAGGGCATGTTAATAAATATGTATATTTAAGAGAGAAAAAATCGGTGCAGAGTGTAATTTCTGATGTTCCCAAATTTAGCAGTGCGCATGTTAAACTCAAGCATGTATATAATCCTATGGGTATTGTAATGTAATGAATTGTTATGTAATGTCATGTTTTGTCTCTGGTCTTAATGTAATTGTTCACATGAAAATCAATAAAAAAATTGAAATGTAAAAAAAAAAAAACCTTCAGTATTGCTGACAGCAACATGTATAGAGACAACACCAGTGTAGCATCAAGGAGGCACACTAGTCTAGTGGTAGGACACCATACTCTTGACTGAAGGGTTGCGGGTTTGAGTCGCTTGTTCCTGTTGACACAGCTGTAAATGAGTACACGGCTGGGCAGTGCTAGAATTGTTGAATGCTAGCTGTGAGCATCGAAATGGCAGCACAGACTGTATGCTCCCCAGGGAGATGAGAAAGATATTGGCTGGTTGCAAAGGCCCTATAACCACGGATAATAATTTGTGAACCGCTTTGAGACGACCTACGAACTAGGTTATGATAAAGCGGTATACAAGAATATCAGAGAAAGTGTTTTTCTCCTGCCCACACAACTCCAACAACCCAGGTGGAGTATAAAATGGTCTGGGGTGGATGTTGCGGTATCTGTGATGTAGCATTTAAGTGAGGTGGCACTATAAAAGATGCCGTTGGAAGCACGGTCCCACTACAAACAGAACACAATACATCTCCAGCACACACGCAGGCATACACCCATAGGGAGATATTAGCCAGGTGGCATAGGACTAGTAGTTAGCGCCTGATAAGGCAGCTCCTGCAAATTCCTCAAAAATTGTATATCTTAATTGTATTAATTGTATATATATATGTACTGTAAAGCGCTTTAGAGTGGCTTATGTTAGCTAGATAGGGCGCCATATCAAATGTTGTATATTATTATTATTATTAAAGTAAATTAAATTCAAAAAGAATTATTAAGGTGTGGTTGACGTTTTCCTGATTGCAACAAGATGAGGTGTGTTTACAGATTTAGTACAAACACACTTTATTGTGATTTCGTGGGTATTGCGAACAGATTCAGATTTCCCTACTCATCTCCCTCTTACTTCTATGTAAATATATGATCACATTGGGAATTTTCACATCGCGAATTATTCTCTGTTATGACGTAAATCAGCTGTCCCCCTATGAGTTTTGAGTGCTTCATTGTAATGCTTTTAGGTACATTGTGAGGGAAAACCTGCAGATATGAATCCTTTCTGTAAGAAGAAGAAAAATGTCCCTCTGGATCCTGCCATCCTCACCACTCTACAATGTGTTCCAAAGCTTGGAGAAGTCAAGGCCAAACTTCTACTTCAAACGTTCAAAAGTTAGTATTGAGCAACAAATAATACGGTAATTGTATCTCCCAAGAGTTTCGATTTTGTAGAGATTTCTGAAACAAGTCTAATTATGATTTCATTTTAGCACACCTGACAAGTTTCATTTATCTCATTCAAAAGAAACCCATATAAGATCTTTTTCATATTAACTATTTTCGCAACTACTGTAATGTATATAAGATAAATGGTGCATCAAAACCAACATGATATTAACCAAAATGAGACATTAAGTGACATGATATTAGGTTGAAAGTACTGTGTTGGGAAAAATATGACTTTTCAGGGCGTCCTTAAAAGTTGAAACCACTGCACAATGGCTGAAACAATCAAATAGTAATTTTTTTTTCAGTCAAAATACAAAAGAAAATCTTTCCTAATTTCTGCTTCATTATATCCTAATTTCTACTTCACCATATCTACAACTGTTTGAAAGTGTTTATAAATTATATGTGCATTGTACGTCTGCCATGATAATACTGTTTAACATAATGTTGTAACCTTTTTAGATATTCAGAGCATTTCAGCTGCATCTGTTGAGGTAAGTGTAGAAAATTGTTTATGTCTGATTAGGATATGATTTGGAGGTGAAAGTCACTAAAGTAAAAAGGTAGAAAAATGTGTTGTTTTGCAATATATTTTTTCAAATGTTACAGAGAGTCAGAATTTCTGACTTTAACTCTGTTTGTTCAAATAGGGTAGAAATTTTAGTCTATGGTAAAAGGAAAGTGAAAATAAGGTTTTACCTCACAAATGCACCTGTCAATATAAAGGTACTGAAACATTTTTGAAAGAGATTAATATGTACTCTTAACTCACCCCCCCCTGAAATTTCCTAATGAACTATTCCAACCTTTGAATTTGAAGAGTTCAAATGTGTCTTCAGAGGTGAATGAGTTAAACTTAATTCTGGATCTACAATTCAGTTAAGGGCCCCATGTGTGCCTAAATCTATAAAATCAAAACTTTGATAGCTTTTCATTTTAAAAGACCTTGACAGACTGTTTTCAATTTAGTAGCAAAGTCATGAGTATTTTCTTTTTGTCTGATAGGAGTTGACTGCTGTCATTGGAAAGGCAAATGCTGCACAAGTAAAGACATTTTTTTCGGAAGGTGTTACTTGAAAAGATCCTGAGCAAAATCTACCACAAATCCCTCAACAAAGAAGTGCTACATATGAACTACCCAGCAGGGTGGTCATCCACCATATCTGTCCAGCTCATCGCCCGACAGCTGTATGAATAGTTTGATAGTCAGTCGGTGTAATGTTCAGACATGTTGTTCTGTTACTGATGAACACCATCTTGTGACTAAACGAAGCCAGTGGTGCAGGCTGCTGGTAGATGTTACCCATCCACGATACTCCAGGGCTTACACTCACTAAGGCTGCTGGTAGATGTTACCCATCCACGATACTCCAGGGCTTACACTCACTTGCGCTCCCTGGTCTGGTTGCTCAGTGGTGGACACACACTCCTTTTACGCAGGAGGCAGTGGTTTGATTCCCTGATCAGACTTGGAAAAGTTATGGTGTCACCTGCCCAACCACATGGGTTTTCTCCGGGTATCCCAATTTCTCTCACATTAAGACCTCCCATGTGTTAACGTCCAGGCCAATAGGAATTATTAATATAAGTTGAAATAATTTGTTTCAGTATTGTGGAAAAGAAATAAAGGTTATTTTATACTGTTTACACCCCTGGAATATGTTGGGACAAAATTGAAGGCTCAGTGTGCGCCACCTTGTGGATGATTTGTGTGGTCATGCAAGACTGAGAAATTGTATACACATATGATTATGATTATCTATTATGTGTATGACCTGTAATAGCATCTTTTTGGAAAATAAACAAGTATAAAAGGTAATTAGAGCCGTTGTGTTCTTTTTATGGATTAACAAGATAACAAAATATATTATAGTCCAAGGGAGATAATTAATGAGCTTACTTAATGTATCACTTCTCAATCTGACAATAGGCTTACTATATAAAAAAACGATTTTTTTCTCTAAAATTTCATATGTATGCATACGTGAAATTAGGTTTAGTTTACAGTTGTCATTTGGAATGAGATTTATTAGTTTTGTATGAATAATGAATGCTAAGCTTGTTTTGAACACAAATAGTCATTGAAAACTTATTTTGGGAGCTTTAGAAAACGTCTCTTTCCTTTGTGAAGTAATGAGTGCAAATGACTTGTGTCTCGACTCTAAAACTGCTGAATACAACTCGTATACCCACAATGTGCAGAGTCAGTAAAGTAAGCTGTCAGAAAATATTGGGACATTTCACCAAATAACTGTACACTAATTATATAATAGTGCAGGCAATCAGAGGAATGGGTAATAGGTTTACCCATTCAACCCCTTTAAAAAGTGAGAACATCCCGTGTTATTTTACAGCTATATATAAAACTACTTGCTCCATATTCAACCGTCATATAATTTACCGACTCGCTGTCTTTTCAGACAAGCGGTCCCTCTTGATGGCAGTAAAGCTACCCTATATAACTTTATCTTTTGTCTTTTTTGCCCTCCATACCGAGGATGGAATTTTCATTACAGCAAATATAAGTACACAACATGCAATATATATCATATAGTAATTTCATCCTTGAACACTTGGGGAAATACATATTTTCTAATGTAAGGCAAATACATGTAGTTAACTGGGCAAACGTTTCCCTGTATACAGTAAGCTCTGCTGTACATAATAACGTAAACACTTTTTTCTGGAAATATTTTTATTTTGTTTTATAAACTTTCTTTTTGTTACAAATTGACATTAAATAGCATATTGATGTCTTTAATAATCATAAGAATTCTCAATTATTCTATTCATAAATTGAGAAGCAAAAATAATTGTAGGCACGGACACTTGTCAACAACAATAAAAGTTGAGTGCCTTAAAATTTGTCTTGCTCAATTCACATAAGTTTTGTACCTGAGCTTGAGCATAGTAATAAATAATCAACAAGTACAGTCAGTCAAACCTGCTCAGGAGACCACCTCTATTAAGAGACCACCTGTGTTAAGAGACCATACTTTTCATGTTAACTCTTTCACCCCTATGTAACATCAGTAAACTTGACCATGCATTGATCTGGATGAGTTCATTATGGTTTCCAGTGATGAAAGGGTTAACTGAACCTGTATGGAGAAACCACTTGCCATATAAGATACCACTTCACCGACTCTCCGAAGGTGGTGTCTAAATAGAGATTTAACTGTGCCACACCCTCTCTCACCCCCCTTACAGATCCTCGAACAACTCTTTATAGTGACCCAACAAGCAAGTCAATGAGACAAACAAAACGTGGACTTCATTTATAGTTCCATGATCAGCTAACTTACAAAAAAGTTTTATGTATTACTGGTGTATCATCGTCTTCATTTGTGCATTCATACAACTACATTTTCAGTCGGGAATACCAGGTCTTGGGACATTCCAAGCTATATAGATAACTGGGGCTATTCTGACACATGTATCTAAGGGCAGTTTCAATGAATCCAGGTATCTTTGGGGAATTTCTCCATAAAAATGCACCTTAGATATTTAGGGTATCAGGTATTTTGATACACATTCCGGTATCTAGATCTAAGGCAATTCAAACATATCTAGATCACTAGGGTGCATTCTAGCTAAGATATCTGTGATTATTTCAACACAGCTTGATATTGGGGAAATTCCAATATACATAGATATGTGATTATTTCAGCACAGCTATTTATTTGGGGATATTCTAGTCTAAGATATCTAGAGGCATTCCAATATACATCGATATCTGTGATTATTCCAACACAGCTAGACATCTGGGGACATTCTAGTCTAAGTTATCTACACTATATCTAGGTATCGGAGTATTCTAGCCTAAAATAACCAGGAGAAGTCCACCAAAATATAAAATTCAGATACCCATCACTATTGTTGCACACTTCACTGTCTGCCATTATTATTACAACATACCTAGATATCATGGATTATCCAAGCATCACTGGCAGCTACAAGTACAGTACCTAAACAACCTTTACAACGTCATCTAGATGTCTACCTTAGTAAGGCTGTTACACAAATCTAGATAAATATCAACACATGATAAAATTATCTACTTAATCAAAATCTAATGGAATTAAAACTAGTTGATCCAATATAATAATATAAACAAAAATGTCTTTTTTTTTTTTTTTTTTTTTAATGCAAATTTGCAATACTTTTAAGAACTTGTGTAATGAATGTTGCTTTTATAAAGCTGATGAGTATGGAGTATGGAAATACTTTATTGGGACAAAAAAAATCTAGAAGGAAAAAAATATATATGAATATCTCTACACACATCTAATGGGTTTTCAAATGTATCAAGTTGGTGCTTATATTACCATATTTATCCGGTAATAAGCCCATGTCTGCTAATTAGCCCGCCCATATCTATTACAGTTTAGTAGAAATACCAACAAACAATATTTCTTTGCTCTGTAAATTAATAAGTCCACCTCATGCTTTGAGTAAGAGATTATGTGCCACCTGGGCTTATTGCAGGATTAATATGGTAAGTAAAAACTTGATGCAAAATTCCTTCTGTTAATCCTTCTGCATGTTTGAACTCTCATTCTTTACCAATTTTACATTTTAAATACAAAAAGTTTTAAATGTCATGAAAGATTGAAAATTGGCAAATTTTGTTAAAAAATCTTAAATTGTAAGAAATGACATGAAAAAAAAAGAAGTTTCAACAGTTTTAAGGTCATTTAATAAATTACCATTTTTGTTGGAGATTTTAACGAATATGATTTCATATAAGGAAATGATTCACCCTTTTCTACCGAGCCTACCCTGGTGTAAGTCAATTTTCAGGATAATAATTATGACTAATCCCTCATTTGATTTCCTTTCTAAGGGCTTCACCCCCTGGACTTAAGCGAGGTAAAATACAGCTAATGCTACTTTTAAACTTGGGTCCAATACTGTTAACGTACTAATTTTAGTGCACTGAAATTTTAGCGCATTATCAAATTTCAAACAGATTAGTGCATTCATGAATTGGTTCACCCCATAAACATGCCATAGAAAACAATATACTGAAACTTCAACTGGCGCATTTATAATTTAGCCCAGGAAATTAAAACCACTAAAATAAGGCCACCACTAAAATGTGTACGCTTACAGTATAGAGTAGGTTTGACCCACAGATTTGAAAGCAGTTTTATAGCCATACAGGAATATTTGAATTGTCTATATTAAGTTCAATATCATTGAAAAAAAATCTTAACAGTAGTTGCCATCTTTTTCATCATTACAGCAGTCATTTATGATAGAGAATATGTACAGACAACCCTGAAATGATCTTAAACCATTTCACACCTATACTATATTAGTAGACTCTACCAGGCATTCATCTGGATGAGTTCATTATGGTCTACAGCATTGAAAGGGTTCAGTGATCGATCAAAACATTTTTTACAACTTTTCACTTTGTGATAGGAAAAAAAACCTAAAAATTGATCTGTATAACTACATGTACCCATTAGGGGTCCTACATACATTTGCAGAAATAGGAATCAACAAAGTAGTTTCATATTGCAGAAATGGGAAACTACAAAATAGTTTCACATTGCAGAAATGGGAATCTACAAAGTAGTTTCACATTGCAGAAATGGGAATCTACAAAGTAGTTTCACATTACAGAAATAGGAATATAGGAATCTACAAAGTAGTTTCACATTGCAGAAATGGGAATATAAAAAGTAGTTTCTCTCGACACTGTTTGGCACAAATGATTGAAACCTCAACTTGTACCCCATTTTCACTACTATCCTTTGCAGACCTTAATTTCTCTCAATAAATTAGCAAAATTTTATAATAATTTAACTGAATAACAAGAGGCCAAGCGGGCCTGTACAAACAGGTGAAACAAGAAGGTACCATGATTCAGATTATATTTTGAGACCACGTCCAAGGGAAAACCAAACATCCAATTTTTTGTTTGATCACTTAGTTCACATAGCATTAGAACAACCTAGTTAGTTAAAATTTCCAAAAAGGACTGAGTCACGTGATCATGACAGTACTATGGGAATTTGTTTCAAAAGATATCCGAGTACAGTTACAGCAAGAAAGTACAAAAATCTGCAGCGAAAGAAAACTATATAAATAATTGAAATAGATACTGTATGCATGGTAAAACAATAAGGATAATTTAAATACCAGACACATTATTACAGAGTAACATAATGAATACAAGTGACCACCTGATATTGATGATCATCAAAGGAACTGACATGTTTATAGCAAAAATAGGTCACACATTTTTCGAGTTGGGTCTAAACTGTCTTTTTGATCTGTGATTCAAACAAGTCCTGCTTGTTCTAATCAGAAAGTGAAACTGTTAAGGATATATGCTACCTTACACATTAATAAAGCATTATCTCCCCTGGCTTTATAAAAGATTTCTCTAATCATCAATAACTACTTACATGTTATCAATAGGTGCATTCTTGAGTACCTTTCAAATGCATCATCAATTCTCGTGTACCTTTTAAATGTGTCATGAATTCCAGTGTACCTTTTACCTTTACAAGTTTTTTGGTGTGAAAACCTTTTGAAGAGATGCAAATCCATGAAATGAACATTGTAGCATACAGCTTTAAGTTCCAACTAACTAATTAATTTTCCTTCATTTGAGACTGATGTTCCCAAATAACATTGATCTTTGGTTTACAACAAATATGATCAACTGAAATATATTGTCTCTTCTATTTTTCTTCCATGATTTAAATAATGATATCAAAAGATCATTTTTTATGCAAATCACCAAAAATGACCATAATAAAGCAAATTTGAATTGTACATTTGGTAAGGAAGGGTGAATGATTATTTTCTTTACAAATAATAGGCTATTTGACTAAATAGGTATATGCAAATGTGCTATCTGAATTACGTCAGATATGATCAAGTTGCTAGTTAGATTCTGTGGGGATATATCAAATTCCTGAAATCAAGGTACATGTTATGAATTTTCACATAATGACCAAACATACTGTCACATTTGATGATGAGTGTGTGATCTTAGACAGGTAAGATTACAGGTACATGTAGAAACAGGAAACACACCTGTATTTGTGTATTTACTACAAATTACACATTACTATATGTCATGATACCTCATAAATCTGAACTTCCCAAAATTGGGATTTTTTTCCAATGGTAACAAAATTTTAATGGGAGACAAACCATAGTTCTATTAAATTTAATCCAGAAAATGAGTTTCAGTATATCAGCCATTTGTTCGGACACAAAGCGTAATGATAAAAAAGATATATAAATAGGTTTATGATACAATGTGTATGGTTTAACAGGTTCATATCTATCTATGTCTTTAAAAGTTTAAAATGAAAATTCCCCAAAGCGAAGATGAAGTTTACAGAATTATACCATTGGGTATTCAATACCCAACACTTCGTAACTGGATCGAGTAAACATATAGACAATATAGACCATACAGTAAAACCTTGATATAATGCCCCTCCTTTATTTGCCATTTCACTTACTGCCAGCACATTTCAATGTACCCTTTTCCATTTGCCTTAACTACTTTTTGTACATACTTCCTCAATGTATAATCAAAATCCCTTTATAATGCCATAACTATTCATAATGCCAATTCAAATTGGCAGCATAATAAGGCTTTATTGTATGGCGATTTCAATCCTGATTTTTTCCCCCTCTTATCCCTTTCACCCCTGTGTAACTTTAGTAGACTCTACCATGCATTGATCTGGAAGAGACCATTATACTGTCGTACCTATATTAGATACAGACAATATGCATCAAATCTAAATTGGCTTTTTGATCATACCAACATTTCAAAATTCCTTACACTGAGAATAGAGATATATAAAGTATAATCAAATGTGGAAATTCATCAACGTATATATACTACCATTACATCTGAACAAATTTCATTTTTGACATGCATTTAAAATTCAGTCATTAAAAAAAAGGATAAATCAATGTAAAATTACAACTAATCAATCAAATATACACACATATCGTAAAAGCACACCATTAAAATATCTCTTATTCGGTAAAGCACTCTTCCTCTTAAAACTGTAGAATCATTCACATTTCAAAGAAAAAATACCATGCAATTTCCTTATAACTTGGATATACAGTGAAACCTGTCTAATCTGACCCTTTAGTATTCTGACATCTTGTCTAATCTAACCTAATGTTGTAATCCCATTGCTAATCCAATCAGAGCTGTGTATTCTACCATTATGTCAGGTCCCACAGGGTGTCAGTTTAGACAGGCTTCACTATTAATATATACCTATCTACTGTGAAGATGAACGAGCCTTGAGTTACTCGCAAAGTCCTCTTCAATCCAGAAATTAACCAGAAATATCACTTTACAAGCAACCCAGAGTTTTGCAAAACTTCTCTTTGTTAATGTTGACATCCAGAGTTGATCAAATAAGCACCCGTGTTTTATGTTCTATTAACAGTAATGGTCATTTAAGAACGCGTCATGCAGATATTGGGGGTGGAGGAAAACCAGCGTGCTCTGATAAAAACCCAACCAACCTGCAGCTAGTACCTGGCGACTGCCCCACGTAGGCCTAAAACCCACAACCCAGAGGTGGAGGGCTAGTGATTGTAGACGGTCAGATGCCGTGACCACTCAGTCACCGTGGCGCTTAACAATCTGAGAAAATCAGAATGACTTCAGACCTTTCCGATGTTTTCAAAATAACAGCCATAATAGACAGGTACCAGGTAAATCATTGCTAAAGGATGGAAAGCTCGTCATAGACGAGAACAGTGCAGCTTATATTTGGGAATGGGGCATTTATAGAGTCCCATATGGTATCAGTATTGAACTTTGGTAATATTGAAATTTTGTATATATATACAATTCCATTACATACTTTTTGAACTATGTATAGTAATATAAATAATTTAATATAAACACATCATTGGGTGATACATATCATAATAACAATTATTTAACTGCCGGTCAATTATTGTTGTGATTATGGGCGATTCTACTTGAGTAACAAATAAGCTCATTGGTCGATAGACTGGTCTCATAGCTGTGATACGCTACTGGGTAGTTATTGTTACAATTCAGACTAATTAACGATTTTAACGTTAAAAGATTCTGTAGAAACGGCTGACACTTAGGAATAGTTCTCTTGTAGCAATGTTAACATGGAAAGGTCATTAGATGATCTTCAATGAAAAGAACCGAGTACCTTATTAAGACCAGAAGTAATTTCAGGAGCCATAAATCGTTGCTAAATTGACTTTAACTGAGGTTTATTCTGCAAAAGGGATATACAGTATCCTGCCCATTTAAACATTGTGATTCCGCAACCTGGGAAGATGTCGCGAAACCAAACATTATATCTACATATATACACCACATACTGGTATACAGAGGATATTTGATGGTTTCTCATTGAATACCAAATAGATTTCACGAATAAGGCAGAATACCAATATCTTTTCCATGAGTGTGAAGCTGATTTTCCTCAATACATGTTCCATTTCCAAACAGTCAACACTGACCAGCAATAATGAAGATATTTTTATATTGCATATTAAAAACATGTTATGGTGTTTGGGAATATCGTGTAAGAAATATATATCTTACAATGTTAGTGTCTATTTTGTTGACTCTTTGAAAATAAGAATGATGACATAATTACAAGAATGGTGATGGGGCTTGATTTAATAGAGAGCTTCGAAGGACGAAGTAAAATGGCCAACACAAAGTATATACCAACAGCTCCCCCCCCCCCCCCCCCCCCCCCCCTCCTAGAATAGAGATTTCAATATATGGGGTACATGTCTTGATAGGAAATTGCATAATTTCCCTAATTCATATACAATATTTATCCGGAAATAAGCCCATGGATACCAACTGCAGTTAAGCTAAAATGCCAACTATGTTATTTTTATTGTCTTGTAATATTATAAACCCACCTTATCACTTTGAGTCAGAATTAATGTATTGGTCCTCTGAGCATATTACAGGATACATATGGTATTTTCTTTCTTCCCCCCCCCCCCCCCCCCCCCAAACAAAAGTTGCAGATTGCGATTAGTAAATTAGTGAGACTGGTAAGGTAAATTCAGTGAAATGTAGGCAGCCCTATACAAGAAGTGTGATATCGTCTTCGCAATAAAAATATGTGAAAATATGTTTAATTGATAAAGTAAATATGCTAAAAGACAATTTCATTCCTCTTAATAGTAGCCATCCTCAAAATTCCAGGTGTTTCGCTCTCTTACATTCTCTGCATCTCTGGAATATGTCATAACGAAATCAAAGGCTCGGTGTGTGCCAGTTTGTGGATGATTGAAGAAGAGTATTTTGATTCCTTGATGTCCATCAAAAGAACCACGAAGCAGCCTAACGGTAAAATCCACCAGCAATGAAGCCGGGTGTCGCCTCTTGGTAATCTTCAAAGGACAGGTATAATCCAAGCAATTGGTCTGTTTTTTTAAAAACTGGAACCAATCAAATACCTTTCGTAGTGTCTTTGATGTTGTCATGACAAATTCCAGAGGTGCAGAGAATGTAAGCGAGTGTAACGCCCGGAATTACGAAAATGGATCATAGTACAATGCACTGGGTACCTCTAGATTCAGTCTTACTCTTCAAGAAAGATTAAAACACATCTCCATAGAACTTACATAGCCATAATTTGCTGATTATTTCTTTACACATGTATTTAATACTGGCAATGCCTGTGCCTAATCCAATTGTGTTTTTTTGAATACAATAAAATTGATTTGAAATGAAATTTAATACTGACGTAAGAACCAGAAAAAAATTGTACTATTACTAAGAAAATAAAAAAACAGGAGAACCATAATTCAAGGTCAGGTCATGAAAGGTTTTTGAGTAAACCAAAACGCCATTAATCTTCCCTCATCTTACAGAATAAAAGTTTTTAAGGATTTTGTTTTATCTACGAATAATCATCTAAAATTACATATCTCCAGGAATTTTTATCAAAGTTTTTTTCTGGATTATCGGAATCTGGATTACAGAGTTTTCAATGTACACATGTACTGGTACTGGTATTTGTGGGGAATGAAATGTATTATTAACTTTGTGACCTATTAACAATTTAACAACAAAGCCCACAGTCATCTCCATACAACATGTTTGAGATGACGGCTTTCTGATATATATATATATATACTTACATAAATAATGATATAATACAACAATGCTCTAAATGTCATTGGCATATTTCTCTATGTAACTTAAATTACAAGACAAATTTCAAACATAAATCAGTTAAAACAACTGTTCACATGACACCAGCATAATCTGTCGCTGGAGAATCGTTCTACGTCGCCTTGTCATGACGTCATTTACGATGGCGTGACACGTATGAGTCTCTTCTTCACGTCGCTTTTTTCTATGGGGTTGTAAGCACCTCTCCGAGACACTATTTTCTATCGAGTTATAGCTGAATAAGATCCCTAGAATTTTTTATTGTGCGCAAATCAGCTTCCCACAATGCTGTTTCCTATACTGATGTTGGTGAATTGACTACCCACAATGCTGTTTCCTGTGGCGATGTGGGCGAATCGACTACCCACAATGCTGTTCCCTGTGGCAGGGGGGGGAATCGACTACCCACAATGCTGTTTCCTGTGGCGATGTGGGCGAATCGACTACCCACAATGCTGTTTCCTGTGGCGATGTGGGCGAATTGACTCCTCACTATGTTGTTTCTTGTGGAGATGCGAATCGACTCCCCACGTTGTCATGTTTACGCGACGTTGTCCGCAAGAGTTTGTGCAGGTGTCACTGGAACCTCATAATACAACAATACAAGCTAACAGTTCCCTGTCATTAGCTGGTTTCATTTGGGTCACCAAATTTCTCAAACACTCCCTGTACATAAGTTGCCAAGGTAGCCGAGTCCATAATTCTCTCCTCTGCCACAAACGGATGCGTCAGGAGCTCTGCATAGTTGGAGCGATACTTAACATCCTTCAGCAAACTGTCAACAAATAAAAAATAAAAATATTACCATCCTTCAGCAAACTGTCAACAAATCAATACTTTTTTTAGAAAAAAGGTAAAATCTGTTAAGTGTCAACATCACCTTTTCTATATTTTTTTTTTGAGTATTTGCCAAATACATTTGTACAAATCAAAAGATAAATATATCTTAACATAGTTTTGATTAAGTAGATGCAACAAAAGAAAATGAATTGTAAAGTGTTTTGACTTAAGGATATATGTAACCTTATTTTGTGATATTTTGCTCCTTTCCAAAGAGTTCCATCTAAAAAAAACCCACCTAAATCATTTGGCATTGGTAATTTGAACTTTTGAATTATTTATGGGTAATATGGTGATATAAAGTAAGGGAAATAACTCTCGCTTAAATTGCAGTTTCAAAGGGAAAGATACTTGTAGCCTTAAATATAATTAAGTTTAAAGACTATTATCATAAAAGTGGATTTTTCACGCCTGGTAAAGTTTGCGTCGTCACCATTTAAACAAATTGCAGTACAGGATTTTATTTTTTCTGGCCGTAGTTCTGAAATCTATACATCTGATTTATCTATAATCTGTACCATCTACAAAGAAATATTTGTGTGTGGATATTTTGGTACTAATTTACAAAAAACAAAAAAGGTGAACATTTCCACACCATGAAAATAGCCATTTTTACAGTATATTTTCAGGGGCAAACATCTATTTATTCAATAGTTCACACCAATACAATCTGGAAACAGATACAAGGTACTTCCATTTTGTGCTTTGAGCTTAGGCCAAACAAATTTGATTATTTGGTTCTCAGGCCCGCATGATTATATTTAGGGCACTGCATTGCCGATTTTATCATGAAAGTAATAAAAAATAATTGGTCCACATGCCGTTTTTGCTCGTTAGTCACCCAAGTCCCGAAAACGTTTGAATAAAGATAAGGATTGATATACAGGCAAGCGTTAAAATGATATGACTTATTAGTCTTGTGTACAAATGGCGCTCATTTCGGTACAAATAAGGAATGGGGGGTTCGTGATTCTCGTCTGAAACATCATGGGGGGATTTTCGGAGGCTTGCTCTATGACAGGTCTCTACACAACTATAAAAAGACAAGGTAATGCCCACAATGAACGTTTTACAAACTACACAATAAAAACACCCTCGTCTCGTTTTTGCAATGTAAAATGAAAAAAAAATAATACCGCCCTGCCGCATCTCTTTTGAAAACAAGAGGCCCAGGGGCCTTAATAGCTCACCTGGTATTTTATTTTTCAATTTAAAACCTGCTGAGTACCATTCAGGTTTATCAAAGGAGTACAAGTAACAAAGTTGCATCTTCCATTTATAAATATTCAATTCCCTTTGCCCAAAGATTCTCTAAAACAAGTTTGGTTAGGTTAAAATCCCTTCAACGGTACAGAAGGAGAAGGATCTTTAATGTTTTCCTCTATTTCCCCTAATGGGCCCCACTAATCTGCCCCAAAGAAGGGGAATCCACACACCTCAGTTTAAACAAAATTGATTCTTTTCTCCCTAAGCATGCTTCAGACTGCATTTGGTTTAAATCCCTTCACTTGTATAGTAGGAGAAAAAAAATCCTCTATTTCCCCTATTGGGCCCCGCTCCTATGCCGCCAGAAGGCCCACACCCTCCGTTTATACAAACTTGAGTCTCCTTTGTCCAAAGATGCTCTAGGACAAATTTGGTCAAAATCCTTCAATTGGTTGAGGAGAAGATTTTTAAAGATTTACCTATTTTCCCCTATTTGGCCCCGTCCCTCTGCCCCCAGGGGGACCATACCCTCCGTTCATACAAAACTGAGAACCCTTTGGCCAATGATGCTCCAGACCAAATTTGGTCAAAATCCCTTCATCGGTACAAAAGGAGAAGGATATTTGATGTTTTCCTCTATTTCCCCTAATGGGCCCCACCCATCTGCCCTTAGAAGGAGGCCCACACACCTCAGTTTATACAAAATTGATTCTTTTGTCCCTAATCATGCTTCAGACTGCATTTGGTTAAAATCCCTTCACTTGTATAGCAGGAGAAAAAAAATCCTCTATTTCCCCTATTGGGCCCCGCCCCTCCGCCCCCAGAGGGGCCACACCCTCCGTTTATACAAACTTGAGTCTTCTTTGTCCAAAGATGCTCTAGGACAAATTTGGTCAAAATCCTTCAATTGGTTGAGAAGAAGAACATTTTTAAAGATTTACCTTTTTTCCCCTTATTTAGCCCCGCCCCTCTGCCCCGAGGGGGGGCTATACCGTCCGTTTATACAAAACTGAGAACCCTTTGGCCAATGATGCTCCTGACCAAGCTTCAGACTGCATTTGGTTTAAATCCCTTCACTTGTATAGTAGGAGAGAAAAAATCCTCTACTTCCCCTATTTGGCCCCGCCCCTCTGCCCCCAAAGAGGCCACACCCTCCGTTTATACAAACTTGAGTCTCCTTTGTCCAAAGATGCTCTAGGACAAATTTGGTCAAAATCCTTCTATTGGTTGAGAAGAAGAAGATTTTTAAAGATTTACCTATTTTCCCCCTATTTGGCCCCGCCCCTCTGCCCCCAGGGGGGGTTATACCCTCCGTTTATACAAAACTGAGAACCCTTTGGCCAATGATGCTCCTGACCAAATTTGGTCAAAATCCTCTGAGCCATTCAGGACAAGTAGCATTTTAAAGGAAAAAGTTGCCGGACGCCGGACGCTGGACGCTGGACGCTGGACGACGGATGCTGCACCATGGGATAAGCTCACTTGGCCCTTCGGGTCAGGTGAGCTAAAAATTGGCCTGAGAACCAAGTCATTCATTTTATTTTGCCTTATGAGATTGGGGCAGCATATTATTGTAAATGTTCTGCCTTACCATTTTTTGACAAAATCATCAAACTCTGGCGAGAACTCATCAGGGGGCAGATTTGGTGGAGGATCCTGTACAACCTGCTTCAGCTGTTCAAATGGTGTCTTCCACGAGGGGTAAGGGAACTTTCCTGTCGCTAACTCAATCTGTAACAAAATACATTGATATCTAAACAAATGCCATCTTCCATGATATTCAGGGGAAAATTTCCTGTTGTTAACTTAATCTGTAACAAATTAACTGATACCTAAACGAACAACATCTTCCATGAGATTCGGTAAAAATTTCATTTTGCTAAAATAAATCTGTAAAAAAACCATATTCCTATCTAGAGAAACAGCATCTTTCATGTGATTTGGGAATTTTTTTCTGTTCCTAAATCAATCTCTAACAAAATAAAGATAACTAGACAAATTGCATCAATCAAGTACCGGCAAGTTGGGGTTTTCTTCCCAAAGCTAAGCAAATCTGTACATATTCTCCCATAAGGAATACAGGGAAATTTCCAGTTGTTTCACTTCCCACAATCTGTGACAAAGCCATTTCCATATATCTTATTTTAACAAGTGGTCTCTTAAGAGAGTTTGGTCTCTTGAGCATTACTTACCAGTGTTATACCCAGACTCCATACGTCTGATTTGATATCGTAAGCCCTCTGACCCTCTCCTGGGTTGATGCGCTCGGGCTGTAAACAAGAAAAGAAGTTTATGTGTATATGTAAACAAGAATGCATTGGTAAGTGTGCTTATGGTCTGTGCATTGTAACGCTGAAACGGGTAAACTTTTAGTTTGTTACATTTGAAGAGATATAGAGTAGATACTTAACACTTTCAATCACATAACTGACCATTTTTTTATAACTAATTTGGATTACTGCAGATTGCAAGTTGTGTCCTTGAGCAAAATATTTTACCCTTATTGCTCAACCAGCCTGTAATGGAGTTCAATATCATCTGGGTTGGGCACTACAGTATCTGTGCTGTAGAGTTCAAATGGTATGGCACTGTAAAAGAGCTGGTTGAAAAGCAGAACCACAACAAGAAGAATACCAATACAGTCTGCAGTAGACATATAATATAAGCCCACTCACATATCGTGTGGTCAAACAGTACAATGAGCCTAAGCAAGGCATTCCCTACTCTCTCTTCATTGTATTGAATGCGTATTTCTCTTACCCTGTACAAGGGTACCTACACTTTACTGGGCGAGATATCCTTGTCTCACCCTTAGAGTTGAGATGGGTGGGTGGGGGGGGGGGGGCCCNATCATGACGTCACGTCAACCCTGAATTTAGCATGTAACGTTATCATTACATTGTGTATATGATACACAATGGGAGAACAGGGTAAGAGAAAAAGAATTATTCACCCCCTTTTGGGTGAGATAGGGGAATCTCAAACTCCGGGAAAGATTCTTAAGTTGCCAAACACTTGGCAAAGCCTCATATTTGACAACTTAAGAATCTTCCCCCTCAGGTTGAGATTCCCCTATCACCTCCCCCAAGGAGGTGAGGGATTCTATTATTCTCTTACCCTGTACCAGGGTACCTACATTTTCACTGGGTGAGATATCCTTGTCTCACCCTTTGGGTTGAAATGAAGAGATTTTTATGTCTTAACAACTGTACAACATCATGTCAACAATGTATTGACCCTGATAAGTAACTGTTGTTTCTATTTATGACAGGATAAACAGGGTAAGAGATAAGGAATCATTCAACATTTAGGGGGCAAGATGCGGGATCTCAACCCTAAATCACTCCTAAAGTCACCAAGCACTCAGCAAAAGCCTTTTGTCTTGCAACTTCAGGATCTTTCTTCTCAGACTGAGATCCTTCTAAATCAACCCCAAGGTGGTGAAAGATTCTATAAGTCGAAATTCTTGGATAGAATCCGCCTTAGAGTAATATTCTTAAAAGCAGATATGGCACTACATAAATGTTGTGTTAACAAATCAAATACATTTCAAATGTTCTATTTCAAAAAAGGAAACAAAAGTTTTCACTTACAGCCATATAGGGCTTGCATCCAGCATCCATTGTTTTGGCAACTGAATCGACAAGGTATCCACTGATCCCAAAATCACAGATTTTCACCTGGCCTTGCTTGTTAATAAGGATATTTGATGGTTTAACGTCACGGTGTATCACACCCAGTTCTTTCTTCAGGTAATCTAATGCTTTCACAACCTGCCACACGATAAATAAACAATGTATTATGTTCATAAAGTCAAACCTGCCCAAGCAACCACCTCAATCAAGAGACTACCTGTGTTGAGAGGCCACTTTCAATGATCTCTATTGCAGTGATTTCATTGTGATTTAAACCTGTATTATCAGATCATCTGCATTAAGAGACAACTTTTTAGGTGGTCTCTTGATTCAGGTTTGACTATGTTTTGTATTTTTACACCACCGAAAAATTATATAACTTAATAAAGGTTGTTTGCGTAATTTCTATGTTGGTACAACAAGCATTTTTTTTTAAAAACTGGATCCAAAGCATAAAACAATAGCTATCATATAAGAACAAAAGACATCTTTCAAATTCTTGGGTGTCCATTTTTTTTTTTTGTCTCCAGCTTCAGATATTAACTTACGGTAGTGTCAGGGTGAAAAATGATCCCTACAATTTCACACAATTTCAAACTTAATAGATACTGGAGCCATATCCGATTTAACAAAAGTCTCTAACAGTTATTTACAGCAAATGTTCTTTCTGACATAAGAATTTCCTTAAAGCAATGAAAAACGAACCGATTTCATAACCGTTTTTTTTTTTTTAACCCATTTTCAAAATTGACTTTGTCTGCCAATAGAACACATTGAGGTTTATCAAAACCTAATAATCACCTCATTAAAAGTTAATAGCAGTGGAAATAGATAATGTATAAACACTTACTGAAAAGGCAATGACACGCACCACGTCCTCAGGTATTCGGTCACCTTTCTCACAAATTTTCTTGTAGAATTTATCTAACGATGCATCCATTACCTCCATACATATCCATACATCCCCCTGGAACAAGTCAAATCAATCATGTAACTAATACATCTCATAATTTTTTTCTTAAGGAAAGGTTTTGCTTATTTTTGTTTGGTTTTTACTTCTTCACAACACCTAGAGTCATATAAAGACGGATGTCTATAGGGAGACATCCTAAAAAGACAGAAGATGGAAAAGACCGAGAAGATGGAAAAGATGGGAAAAGACAAGGAAGGGTTAACTGCCTAAATGTATCTTCTACTGTTTCTTCACTTAACCTTTTCATCACTGTAGACCATTATAGACTCATCCAGATCAATGCATCGTTGAGTCTATTAAAGTTATTCAGGGGTGAATGGGTTAGTTTCATTTTACACATACAGTAATTTGATTTGAAGATTTAGACATGAAAAGCAATATTGCTTAGAGACACACTATATTAATATAAATCTCTGGCAAAAGATCTGGTGCAGTTTATAATTAGGTTCTAGATTTTGAACCTTCGCCTATCAGCCAGGAAGGGGAGACAATTCAGGTGAAATTCACCAACTGAAGAATATCTAAAGATGTAACCAAATATACAGGTACATGTAATTGAAATTATTGGTTCTATTTACTAATAAGAATTATTTATGGATAAGAACAAACAGTTACATAGGAAAGAAACCAACAACATTTCATGATAACCTATTCAAAAAGGTATGCATTTCTTCCATCCACAAAAATTGAACACTACAAAATATTACATACGCTACTTACAGGTTAAAAGTAAGATGAAAGGAAAATAATCATATTTTACTAATCAGAAATAAAGAATCTAAAAGTAATTTGAAAAAAAATATGCAAATTTTGTTTGCAGCTCCTTCACTTTGAAACAAATATTATATTGCTGTTATATTTCTATGAGTGGTGCCACAAAAATTTATTACACACTATAAAACGTAAAACAACACATAATATGGGCCAACCAATATGTCGAGATATATAAATGATTTCTTAAAGAGTTGCATGAAAATATTGGTCAGTTTCCCGTTAAATAAGAAGCAAATTTTCAGTTTGATAAAAAATTCTTCCGAAGCTAACTTTGGTAAAGTAGCTACCATGAAAAAGTTTATCTGGTCAGTTATCTCCCTTTACCTACCTCACGGAACAAAGCACCATAGAAGGTGACTGTGTAAGGGCAGGATCCACTCCGCATGGAGATATCCAGGTCCATTAATAAACGCTTCTGTTCCTGGCTGTTCACTGTTACTGTGATTCTCTGTAAATCATCAAAATTGCCTTAGTGTACTTGTCCTCAAATGAGCCCAAGGGGGCTAACACATCATATCTGCCCCAAAATAGGGGGCCCAAATAAGCCCAGGGGGGCTAACACATCCTATCTGTCCCAAAGTAGGGGACCCGAATAAGCCCAGGGGGGGCTAACACATCCAATCTGCTCCAAAGCAGGGGGCCCAAATAAGCCCAGGGGGGCTAACACATCATATCTACCCCAAAGTAGGGGGCCCAAATAAGCCCAGTGGGGCGCTAACACATCCTATATGCCCCAAAGTAGGGGGTTTGGTTAATTACAGGACGATGAAATAGCACTTGTTTGCATTTCAGCTCAATTGTAATAGATATGGGTGGGCTTATTAACAGGCATGGGCTTATTGCCCGATAAATACAGTATAAATATGCATGTTTTAGTGACGGTACATTACCTCATTCACTCCTGAAATTTCATAATGAACTATTCAAACTTTGAATTGGAAGAGTTGAAATGTGTCTTCAGGGGTGAATGAGTCAATAAATCTGTGACAATTTTACCAATCCATATTTTTGAAAGCAGGCGTTAAGACTTCCTCAAACTTACTCACTAAATCTGGTCAAAACAATACCTAAGATTCCCCTTCTAACACAGGATATTATTCTTATATTTTGTATAATGTAATACATACTGCGAAATCACTAATTCGTTGGTTTTTTAATTTTGTTGATTTTATGGGTACTCTCCATCCACAAATTCATAGGTGCACATGTACAAGGTATTTACAAGTTTGACACAAAGTTATTCTCTATATGAGCGAGTACTCGTAGTTCACGCGTTCATGTACACATGCAATGGTGTCTTATCCTTTAGGTCCCAAAAAAATCTGATTTCACAGTAGCATTTATATTATTAAAAGACAAAATAACTTTCCATAATACATCTCTATGAAATCATCCCACAAACTTTAATTACCATTACATTTTTTTGTATTATGCATGGGATGAAGTATTAAATATAGTAGCTTTCATTGGACTTACCTTAACTGCTAAAATTGTGTCACTTTTAACATGTTTCATTTCATCTACCACCCCATAAGCTCCGCGACCTAGATTCCTCTTGAGTATAAGGTCGCTGGCCTCAATCACGAATTCTTGATCCCGAATCTTGATGGTTGCCTTAGAGTCAAGGTCACGTGGGGGCCTACAAAAAAGAAACCATTAAATACACCAAATAATCAATCAGGTCATGGTTTAGTTTGTTTTATTTAGTTTATTTAGCGCTGAAGCACCGTTAGGAAACTTTTTAACAATCTGCACTGATGCGCACGCTGCACAGAGTACGCGAGAGAGGACGCTACATTATACAACGATAGGTAGTATATCGTCCTTTTAAAAGCAAAGATAATTTAAGGATGTGTGTAAAGTATATGTGTGTGATGGAAGCAGTAGGTCAAGAGTATTTGCCTCCGTTGTGAAAGTACAGGTCTGATGCCGACATAAAGAGTGCTTCCTCACTGTTATACTGTGCTGAAGGCACCCAGCACAGCACACTACCCTGTCACATTACACTGACAATGCACTAACCCTAATGCTGTTTAGCAGGGAATAACACCTACACTGTACCATTTGTAAGGACTTTGGTATGTCCTGTCAAACAGAATAAACAAGGGTTAAGTAGAGTAAGATCCTATATCCTCCCTCTATTTGTATAATGATAGGCTTTTACACCACTCGACCCTCAATGTGGGTATGATATTTACACTGCAAAGCATACTTGTATTTTCAAGCTACCTTTAAGTTGGTAACCTAGCTTCATAGGTTGGCCTGACTGTTAGCATTCTTTGAAGTCACCCAAATAAAGCAAATACCTGTCTTTAGAGGGAAGTAAAAGTCACCCATATAAAGCAAATACCTGTCTTTAGACGGAAGTAAAAGTCACCCAAATAAAGCAAATGCCTGTCTTTAGAGGGAAGTAAAAGTCACTCAAATAAAGCAAATACCTGTCTTTAGAGGGAAGTAAAAGTCACCCAAATAAAGCAAATGCCTGTCTTTAGAGGGAAGTAAAAGTCACCCATATAAAGCAAATACCTGTCTTTAGAGGGAAGTAAATGTCACCCAAATAAAGCAAATGCCTGTCTTTAGAGGGAAGTAAAAGTCACCCAAATAAAGCAAATGCCTGTCTTTAGTGGTAAGAAAAACTATGTTCATTACAAGAATAAAGAAAATGTGCCTTTTCTGTATAGATTTGACTGTGTGCTAAAACTTTGATAATGCAGGCCACTCATGAGCCAGTTTTCATCAAAAGTGGCAGAATTGTGAGATACCTGGGTCCCTGAGATAGTTTTGTACCAGAAAAGTCTGATATGTCCCGTAAATCACTGGTCAGATATATAGTGGGACAACTGGATTAGTGGTACCGGGAAGTTGGATCAAGTAACGAGGACAGTTGACAACTGGATTAGTGGTACCGGGTAGTTGGCTCAAGTAACAGGGACAGTTAGACAACTGGATTAGTCGTACCGGGTAGTTGGATCAAGTAACGAGGACAGTTAGACAACTGGATTAGTGGTACCGGGTAGTTGGATCAAGTAACAGGGACAGTTAGACAACTGGATTAATGGTACCGGGTAGTTGGATCAAGTAACGGGGACAGTTAGACAACTGGATTAATGGTACCGGGTAGTTGGATCAAGTAATGGGGACAGTTAGACAACTGGATTAGTGGTACCGGGTAGTTGGATCAAGTAACGGAGACAGTTAGACAACCGGATTAGTGGTTTCGGGTAGTTGGATCAAGTAACGGGGACAGTTAGACAACTGGATTGGTGATAGCTGGGTTTGCATTGCATACTGTGTATTTCAGCCATTGTTTAACTTTCGCGTATTTCGCCCTCCATTTATTATGTGGGCAAATTTATCATTATAGCAATATGCAAACATCAGAAGTATAAACATATCAAACATGATTATCAAAGGTGATCAAAATAAAATCTGATCACCAAGGTGATAGGGTGGTCGGGTGGCGCAGTGGATAGCGCACTTGCCTTTCAGCAAGGCGGTCGGGGTTCTATTCCTCGATCGGATGTGAAAAGTGGGTTTTCTCCGGGTACTCCAGTTTTCTCCCACATTAAGACCCCCGCGCGCTAACATCCGGGCCAACAAGAGTGATTAATACAAGTTGAAATAACTTGTTTCATAATTGTTGTAAAATAAATAAAGGTTATATTTTAAAGGTGAAGGGTGAAGTTAAAGCTTGGCAATAAAGTCTGACATTTTCCCAGTGTACAGTATTACTGAAAATGTACATCTAACTGCAATCATTTTGTAGTCCTTTATCTTTAAGAAATATTCAGCCCTAATGGATTATCTACAGAATTATTCCCACAGTTTTAAAAAGAGGCCTTTGGGAGTTTTCATTGTCAATTCTAGGAATAAGGTTAACTCATTCACCCCTGAAATTTCATAATGAACTATTCCAACCTTTGAATTGGAAGAGTTCAAATGTGTCTTCAGGGGTGAATGAGTCAATATCATCTTGCAAATAAGTAATGCCAAACAAAGTTTACTCGACTGATATCACATTGTAATAACAATTATTGTATTTTGAATATTATTATTTACTAGTTTTTATTTTGGGGACGTTCGCCCCCCTAACCCCCTCCACCCCCACCCCCTATATATAGACATCTGGCAGCTGCCTGAATTATTGCATTAGTAATTAGGACAAATACACCCTGTATACAAATTTCACTGGTAACCAAACATAGACAATTTCCCCACATACACAAATGGTACCATGCATACAGATATATACTAGTGCATATGTATGCTGCGTAGCTCACATAAATGGATCTATATATATACCTGTTAATTGCAGACATCTGATGTCAATATTTTAGGATCGTAAGAATCACACCCAGTCTCTACATACATATTTAAATTACCTGGTGAAAAGTTTAGATGGCACTGACCCCTGAAGACCTTAAAATGAAGGTTTACGCGACTGAACTCCAATGCACATTTGTATATCGATTCAACAGCTTTACGACAAATTAAACAACAACAAAAAAAACCATAACAAATTAAAAATTAAATGAAAAGAAAACTTTTCTTACAATTGTAAATGACTACCTTCAAATGATATACGAAAAAAAAACCAAAAATAAACCAAAAACAAAACTATCTTTAAATTTGAAAATTTGACTTTACATACATTAAGCTGATTATATAAACACACCCACATGTAAACCACAAGTATGTGCAGTCTTATATCTTCACCGACACTGGCGGCAAGCTTAAGGAAGGTGTTGATCACATATTTTGTAAATGGTTTTGCTGAACTTCACATTCACTACAATCAATCAATCTGAGGACAAATCAAAATAGGGTCTAACATTTTTTTTTAATTCAAAAATTTGAAGTCTACAAATGAGTGTTTATACTTACGTCGGGTTCGGTGGAGGTTCAGGTGTCTGCACAACAAACCCTGGGGGGCGTCTTTTACCTGTTAAAATTGAAAGATAAGAAAATATTTCACACTGATTTTTAACACAAATATTTACTATCTTAAACAATTAATATAGATCATAAGTATATGCAGAGTTGTTTTTTTGCACAATGCTAGTACGTCAACACCTGAACTCATTTACCCCTGAAGACACATTTGAACTCTCCTAATTCAAAGGTTGGAATAGTTCATTATGAAATTTCAGGGGTGAAAATAGTCGATACCTGAAATAGATGAAGTATTTCTAGGAAATCTCCATTGTTTTAACTTCAGGCTGTAACTGTGTAATTTATTCCTGAGTCTACTTCGTCATGATGGGGCTATATCCATATATCACTCTTTTAAACAATTAAATGTACATGTTTACATGGATCTAGAGTATAATTCCAGGAAAACAGGTTTCCTATGAGGCCCTAACTATATTATATAATACAATAACACAGAGTGGTAGCTGTCAGGAAAACAAATATCTGGAAATTTTTGCAAACAAAAAACGTAAATGATGTTTGTGTGTATACACAAATAAATAAATGACCAAAAGACCCAGTTTCTTGAGCTTAATTAATAAGCTCATCTTTAAGGGTCTTCATGAGGTAACAGTAATTTTTGTAGATTTTTTTCAGGCAATACCTGACCATCTCCCCCAGCCCNGGAGTCCAACAGAAAAATGTGCGAGTCCAGGAATATGATCCAAGTCCTATAAATCTCTGTAATGTAAATGTTGCCTAGACCCGTGTACCTTATGGTCTTAAATCAAGTGTCAGTTCAAACGACATACTGTATTTCTACTTTATACCTTGTACTGTATTTCTACTTTATACCTTGTACTGTTTTTCTACTACCTTGTACTGTATTTCTACTTTATACCTTGTACTGTATTTCTACTTTATACCTTGTGCTGTATTTCTACTTTATACCTTGTACTGTATATCTACTTTATACCTTGTACTGTATTTTCTCCTTTATACCCTGTTTGCGGCTTATTTTCACAAGGGCTGAGGATTTTCAAATTATTTTGTTAAGATTTATCCTTCTGCATAAATTTGTCGCCCAGTCGATTTCACTTTCATCAGTTCAACAAATTAAAATATAGAGTATTTATGATCGGTAATGTACTACAGGAACTAAATCCTGTGGCCAGACCATAAAACTTAACCAAATTGTAGATACCGTAGGTAAACCTCTGTTTATAATATAACTATACCATTGACAGGTCAGCAAGTGCAAGGGCCCCGCAATATGTGCCAGGCCATAGCCCCTCAGGAACAGTATAACTTATACCTGAAAAAATCTTCTGTAATCCATATTGCACATCTACATTTCAGTGTATCCCTTTGTCAAATTTCAGAATGATTACCTGGTGTAGTCTTTTGGATTCCAAGATAATCTCTGTGATCGAAAGTGTGGACGACAGACAGACAGACAGACAGACAAGACTTTTAGGAAAAAATAATAAAGATGAAATATTCAAATAAACAAAATATTTTAATTAACAATAGTGTTCGGGTCGTTCAGTGGATAACGCACTTGCCTTTCACCAAGGCGGCTGGGGTTCGATTCCCAAATCGGACATGAAAAGGTGTGGGGTCACCTTCCCAACCATCTGGGTTTTCTACGGGTATAGTCTGGTGTTCTGAGTGTGAGGATTCCAACCCTGGACTTCAGATTGTTATACTATCACTCTAACCGACTGGTCTACAGAAGTAGTCTGGCTCAACTAGTACTGTGCTATATATAGTCATATCCAAAATGAAATTAAGGGGAGGTAATTACTGTATACGGAGATCCACTGTACAGGGATCCTTAAACATTTATAAGAGACCATTACATAACAAATAGTAAAGGTTTTCCTGGAATCTGAACTTGGCATTGAGAATTTCCACATGAATGGACAAAGAATGCAGAAAACCAATGCAGACTTCAATGATATGATTGTTAGCAGATGTTACGCAAGATCTCTACACCATAATAGGATAATAACACCTCCACAATACTTTTGATAAGTAGCATGTTGTGTCAGTTATTTCAACGGTTTTTTTTGCTTAACCCTTTCAACCCCATGTAACTTAAGTAGACTCTACCATGCATTGATCTGGATGAATCCATTATGGTCTACAGTGGTGAAAGGGTTAAGGATTCCTGTACCCCTGCCAAAAAACCCCCTTTAACACTTTGGAAACTTTTTTCTCTCATGATGACGACTTGAGATTTAATAAATCATATCTGAAAAGGACACCCATACCATACCTTCAATTTCTGGATTGATAGGTTTTATACCATAACTCATAATTGTGATGTTGTAGATTGTGGTATAAAACTTCCTTTTTGAATGAAACTGCACATTAGACCTACTGTATTAATGTACGTAACAAAAGATATTCACTGAAGTTAAAAACCACTTGCCAAGGCACTTGTGATAAGAAAGTCGACAGGATTTTGTTTGCATCAATCAATTCCTTATTATCCTTATTAAAAAAATCTTCTTTATGATTTTTTTTCATGAAATTTCTGCAAGGTATGGTTTTCTTTTCAGAAATATTTTTATGGTGAAAATATTTGTTCCATAAAAAAAAAAAAAGATTTAAATTACTCTTTTTTTTGCATGGTATTGGGATCCTTAAATGAACAGATTTGATGTTCCAAACATGATCAACTTGTTGTTATTTTAATACTACTAGGTATTTTCTTTTTTGAAGTTTTGTAAAGGGAGTACTGAATCTGCAAGCTTAAGTCCCTTACAATTTCCGTTTTGTCAGATTTCACAGATTATCACAGAACAAAGATTATAATTCATTCTTGATCATGAAATAAGTCCTGAAACTGTTGCATATACATTGGGTCAAGATAATATGCTAACTGCATGATATACAATATAGTTATCAATTACAAGATTGATACAATTATAGATTAACAGCAACGTTTTCATAGTGCCACCTCTCTTGAATGTCACTGTAGCTCCCATTCCTGACCATTTTACACTCAGCTTGGGTTAATATAATAATAGTATACAACATTTGATATAGCGCCCTATCTAGCTAACATAAGCCATTCTAAAGTGCTTTCCAGTACGTATATATACAATTAATACAATTATGATATACAATTTTTGAGGAATTCGCAGGAGCTGCCTTATCAGACGCTAACTACTAGTCATATGCCACCTGGCTAATATCTCCCTATGTGTGTATGCCTGCTTGTGTGCTGGAGATGTATTGTATTGGGTTACTTTAGACTTGACGGCATGAGAAAAGTTCCATGTTTTGATGACTTCTGGCATGGAACCCTAGTCACCTGTGTTGAAAGCCAGAAAGTTGACTAACTTGGGTGGATTTAGCCGAAATCGAAATCAATCTGACCTCTGACCTCTTTTGTATAACCTTCACCTTATGATGAGGGGCATTGCATGTTTAAAAAGTATTACTATGCATGCGTGACATACAGGCTGATATCTTGTGTTGATAAATATTTATCAGATTTCATGAAAATGTTTTCACAGCTGTTCAGGTGTGACAACCATAATACAATTGCACAAATGCAACAGACACCCACATGCAGACCATATCACTATAAACATGTCTAGTGCATGTCTAGTTTTCCTGCTAGAGGAACAAACTACACTGCAGATGTTCTGTGGGAACTTCCCTACAGAGGCTTCAGGACCTCGACCTGTTGATCGCAACACACGGCTGGTTAAATAGTAGGTTAGGTGAAATCCCCACAAAAAAACATTTGAGTGATTCAGCACTTTTTGTTATACGGAGGTGAGTTAAAGTACAAAAGGAATCATGATCGGTAGTAAATCTGAAAAGTTATTTTTAGACAGACTTTTCATTTACAGGGTACGTACCGTGTAGCAAATATGTTATATTTCATTTTAAAAACTTCAAATGGTATAAGAAGTAATATCAAAGTTATACTATATATACAAACACTGTACGTATTAAACATGTGGCAATGTTTCAAGACCGACTGGTTCCTTTGTCAAGCTTGTATATTTCCAAACTGATAAATCTTATTGAAGGTGAAAGACAATTTATTTTCTGTAAAGTAATAATATTGTACACTTAGTCAATATATATATATATATGTACCAGGTCCATTGTATTCACATATATATTGCCATAACATGGGCATCCAATTACCGTTTTGAGTAAGACAGGCAGATTTGAAAATAGAAATCTAAGAACCCCACCCCTACTTCATAGTAAATAATGAACATTATTACTTCTAAAATTAGCACTGTAATATATACTCTGGGCGTCGGCTAGCTGGTATTGCATACCGGTATGCCAATGAAATTCTTAATTGAGAGTTTTTTTGTTTTTTTTATATAGCCGAATCATTTAATTCTGTGAAACTTATGCAACTATTACACAATTCAATAATCATAACAATATTGGTGAATCACATGAATCTCCAACGCGCAAAACATCTCTCGTTTATAAATAGCCGTGACACATTATCTTCCAGGCGTGTTAATCATGACAATAAGAGTTGGGTCCAAAGGATGACTCCCCCTAGCTAGTACTGCTACCCCTGTATCTATATATATAAATGGTAGCCATGTATAGCGCAATCATTGAAGACCCTCTGGATCTGGTATATAAATCTTACTACAAACAGCCCCTTATTGAACTTAAGTAGCCATTTCCTGTAGCCTGGCCGGGCAGGGCCAGGTGTAACCACTGTAAAATAACTTCATAATCACTCACGTTGTTTGGGTTCCATATTAGAGCCTTGGGTCGAGTGTGACCTGGTTTTTAAACTTTCATGTCCCACTTTTAGGTGTTGATATAAATGATCTGGCATCATGGTGGTCTCATCACAGAGAAAAATATCGGACAGATTACTTAATGAAAGTCCTTTTCTACACGTAATTCCAAAATACCAGCACAGCACACAAGTCAAAGATTTGCAAAGGAATTCCACTGTTTACTACACATCACACAATACAGCATGCCTGGCCTGCCTGGGCTACTAGAAGTCATTACACACAATCACATCCGGATGAATCATCCCCGCTGATTGGTTGAAAGCAAATATGTATAATACACAGGCCATGAATCCCATTCATAGAGTGGCGTGACTCAACAGGCTGCCGTAATCTGATTGGATACTACAAGTCTGGTTTGTACAGCCCGGGATTCCCCAGTCATACACATGTACATGTGATCTGCGATTATCTGCTACAGGTGATACCCACCGGCAAACTCTACATAGCTGGTTTCACTGGCTATATATAACTGACACATAGGGGAAGAAGGAAAGAGGAATGTGAAAGAAAGAAGAAGAAAGAAGAAGGGTTGATGACTGGGACTGGTTTTTTTTTCACAGAGTGCACTTTCGCTTGTACAGCTTTAGAAAGCATTTAGCTCTGAACTAGGCAGTTCAGGTAATGATTGAAGGAAAGAGAGAAGAAATGAAAAAAAGATGGGTAGATTCTTTATAAGTCCACCAGTCTAAAGGAAGCCAGCTGGCTCTGAACTCCAAAATGTAGGCACAAGGCATGCAGCAGAATTAAAGAAAGAAATATTGAAAAAGGGATGTGAAAGAAAGGAAAGAAGAAGGGGAAAAATGAAGACACTGAGGATTCTCAGTTCTCATATCTTATAAAAGCCACTAGCTCTGAACTAGGCAGGGCAGATATAATGAACACGTGAAATACTGAAAGAGTAATATGAAAGAAAGAAAGGAGAAAGAAGAAAGGGATAGATGAGAATAATGAGGGACAAAAATTCACCAGTTCTGGACAGGCAGGGCCAAGGACGAATGTCAGGAATGGTTAATGGGGAAAAGAAGAGAAAAGGAAGTGAAACGAGAAGAGAAAAGTACCAAGTAGGAACAATTCTGTTCTGTACAACCATATAGCCCTTCAACAAGTCAATGAAGTCATTTTGGTCCAAGAAGGAAGAATGAGAGGAATGAAGGAAAGGAGGGAAAGTAAGAAGATTGACAGCAGGTATGGGAGAAAGAAAGAGGAATAAAGAATTCGAAGGAATAATTAGATCAAGGTATGGGAAGAAGAGACATAGCAGGACGAAGAGATGGAAGGATTGAGAAAGCAGGAAAGATAAAAGGAATGAAGAAAGAAGGAATGAAGGAAACAGGAAATAGGAAGAAGGAAAATAGGAAACTTCTATACCATTCATCATTGTGTTGAGGATCATAAAAAACATACGATATGTGGTTAAATGGATGGGAAGATATATAGAGGAGGGCATACAGAGACCGTATGATAAGGACTGAACTTTGGAAGGGAGATGGCTATATAGGTACAAAGTAAATGTATGCTTGCACAATGTTGCATATACATGTACATACTACAATGTATATTTACAACATATCTAGTACACTCAGGATAACTTGCATTTATTTCTCTTACATTTCATTCATTTTCAAGAAACATCTCTTCATAAAAGTACTGAAATGAAAAGAATATTGTGTTATATATTGCCTCCTTTTCTTCATCGTGTCATTTAAATTCGGTATATACTGGTAAAAATGTTCTGTGAAAATAGTTATTATTTCTTCTGAGCAACCATCTTATAACTCCAGCAATTAGTGATTTATAATTAATCTAAAGGTAATTTTCATTGTGTTATACAGAAATTATGTCTTGGTACATGTACAATAAAGCTATTTTTGAGAAAACAGTAAAATTATCTGAACAACGAAATTAGAACTCCAGTCGTCACCAAATCATAATTAACCCTTTCACCCCTATGCAACTTTAGTAAACTCTACCATGCATTGATCTGGATGAGTCCATTATGGTCTACAGTGGTGAAAGAGTTAACCAAAAGGTGATTATATAAACTTCTCATTAGGACTGATCATGTGACGTCTGTTCAGGAAATTGACTTTTGACAAAATATAAATACATGCATGTTTGAGATGATTTTAAGACCCAGTACTTTTGAGAAACAAACTCATCAAGTGATTAAACTAACAATCTTGTTCAAGTATGAAAACAAGGGAACAAATTCCTGATTTCAATTTCAAAAGTTAAAGTCTTTAGCATGATGACTGATCTGCCCTATAATTCAGTGATACTGTCAGGACTTCTGCAGCCCCTATAGTTTTCGCTAATTTGCTGATATATATAAAGTCAACGATGTGGGATCCATTTAATTTTACGAGGAGTTCAAGTCTAGTGACCGTGCCACAATGCAATATGAGGAAGTATGAATTACATGTAATTTACCATCAATTTCGCGTAACACCAAAATAAACTTTGGCTTTTGGAATCTAAAAGAATATATCAGAATCTTTATAAAATGTGCTATGACCTTTAATATTTCAGGTTAATTAAAGGCGATATATTTCTGAAATTGCTCAACATCAAGGGTCAAATGCATACCAAGATTTTTCTTCTTCTTCTTCTTCAAATACAGACCTTACAAATACCAATTGTTGCCTCACAATTATTTTAGAATTTTCATTTTCATTAAATCAAAAGTACCACACGTTAATTTGTGGTTTAAGCCTAAAAACAATTTAATAAATTTATACTGAATTTTGTTGTAATTTAATTCTTTAAAACCCCTTTACTAGTATCAAAAACCTTAATAAACTATGAATTAAAAACATTTCATCGGCATGACAAAAGCATTAATAAAATTATTTTTTTGAAATGAAACCCGAAACCTGCTGAGCTTTTTACAAAGTAATAATACAGATGAAATAAACAACCAAACAAATTTAATCAACAGTGTCCTGGGAATGGAATGAAAATGCAAGGAGGCCAGAATGGGATTCGAACCCTGAACCTCCTCTCACAATAATGAATAAAGTCCCTCTAACCAACTAGGTATATTGATATATGTAGGGTATAGGCAAGAGTTTCCCGGCTGTTAGTCTATATATATGGTCCCAATGATATATTCAAAACAGAATTAAGGGGACATTACTCCTTGCATGAAAACCTACAGTGGAATTCTCTAGTGTTTTGTCTAGTGGGTTGGGGATCCTTAAGTAGACACAATAAAATGTCAGTTTTATATTTTGAACAATGGACTTTATCAGATTATTGAACTACGGTACCATCAATATGTAGATAGGATTGCTAGATCTATGTATTTAGTTGTTACCATCCTATTGTTTGGCGTACCTGTTTCAAACATCTCTTCTTGGTCATGATCACTGCCCCTAACCTTTATTTTTTGTGAAAATTGAATTTTCCAAAAAAATACATATCAAGTCTAGAATTCTACTCTATCCTGAAGATACCATTGAATTGAAGATAGTTAACAGAAAATATCAAACAAATAACCTCCTTGGTCTACTTTTCGAAAGCTATATAATAAGGAAAAATAATTTTCTTATTTGGCCTATATATAGAAATGGATAAGCTGAAGAATGCCTAGGTGTGATAGCTAGGAGTGGAGTCAAAGCCCTATACTATGTAGGTCAACCTAAATCAATACTACTATGGACTCTCTATTTATGGTGCAGCTTTACTTACATAAGTACATGTATGCTAGATATCTTATATATAAAAGAAGAAAAGGCTTTATAAATGCAACTTTGTGAAATCATATAGGGAGGTAGAATTCACAAACTGGAAACAATTTATATTAATTCTTTCACACTGAATAGACATACATGTACAAGGTACTTTGTGATTTAAGATACTATTTTCAGAATTCTAGTCCACAGACCGAATGTTTCAAAATCTTATCAGCTGAACTATACATACACTGTTAAATAGTAAATACAATAACTTCACACAAACTTTCACACTATCATCAAACCAACACGTGGATAAAATCAATCTATTGCAAGCCGTATAGTATAGTTCATGTACTGTACAAAACGGCATCATCGGAGTAGCCTTGACTGGATCCGGGTCAACTATGTTCACTTCTGCAAACCAAACCCTCCCTAAACCGACCAAATGTTTCTATCCCTTGCATATCAGGTTTAGAGAAATTCTATTGTACTTAGAATTGCCACTATATAGTGCTTAAGCCCTGATATAAAGTTTACAAGTCCTTGACATTGGGCTAGTTGATTTGTGCACCCGTGATATGCATGTTGAATTCTTTTAACAAATTCTGCCACATTCACCCTAGCCTTCCTTATTCTGGTAAAAGAATTCCAGAAAAGTACATGCAAAATTATTTTTATAATTAACCTTTTATTTATCACACAGATTAAATGCAGCAGCTGGTTGCAGGGTTTGACAAAAATACAGACCACCAATTTTCTGAACGGTTATATTAGAGGGATGTGTATTGTATTGAGCACAAGAAGTCACCTGTCGATACACAATGCTATTAATACATGAGCTATATACACAGCTTATGCGATGCATTCCAATGTTGGAAAGTTCACTTCTATCAAGGTCACGCACGATTGCATTCCAATCCCTGTCAATACAACAGACCTCTATATTTGAAGCCTGCCTCATTAGATACAATCTGCAATGTACACTTTTTCTAAGACTTGATCTCTGAGAAGAAATAACGGAAAAACTGGCTGAGACTGATAGTGTAATTGCAACATTTTGCATCCACTTTCTATATATATTGCTTTGCATGATGAAAAATCTCAATTATTTCTTTGAACGACACCACCAGGTTCTTTTATTACTAAAAAAAAAATGTACTACTTGTAAACAAAACAAATTATAATTTTAAGATTGTCTGCATATTGTCATAACCAGACACACTTTATCACAGCCTAATGCTTTAATGTATTTGAATACACAGGGCTACCATGCGTGCTATTCATTGAAAACTTCACATGCATAAAGAGTTTTCACTCAATCTAAAGCGAAGTCATTAATAATCCATGATGCACTTCAATGTGTTTTGTACAGAAAGTTCTCGCTAATTAAAATCTGCAATTTTTTAATTGTTTAACATGCATAAACCTGCATCTTCGCCTGACCATATAGACATACATAATCGTCTGGTTAATGGGGAGTATGTACAACTGGGTCAGTGGGCCAGACAGCGTACAAGGTGTATATAGGCAATGGGGGAACTTGACTGGGACAGGGCGACAAGAAAACATA